AATAGGCATTTGTGTTTTAGTCTGTAAAATTGGGATTTTGACGGGTAGATAAACTTTTTTGTAGAAAATTGTACTTCATGTATATTTTAAAAACATTCAAAGATATTAAAAAGTTCTGGAGTTAAAGTTTTCTGTGGATCCAGAAGAAAATTTTCAGGAACATCACAGAAGAAGATTAATCCCAAGATATTTGACAAAACCAGAGACAATTTTAGTCTGGGAGATGCATTTCTAGCCATCCTAGAAGGCTTAATTTCAAAAAATTTCTTTCGCGTCTGACCCAACCATTGCAGGTCCTACTATGTCACTGAACTTGATTCTTAACCCCCCAGGCTCAGTTTTGTGGCCCCATCTCTGAAACTCCGAAGCACAATGCACCAGTCGCATTAACGGAGTGTAATAATGCCAAAATGTATTCGGTAGATTATAACACTTGCACACTCCCAAAAAAATTTCCTGAAGCCAGGCCTGCTTCCAGGGTATCATAATCGTGCATTGAAGTGCATAAAGCTCGCAAGCCACTTCCGGATACAATCTTTCATATTGTTTCTGCTTGTGTTCTAATTTTTACAGAGAATTGAAGTATGAACTTGTAAGGGGTTTCACAACAATAATCGTTCCAGGTGAAACTTTACCCCCTTAGCTATCAATCACGGTCAAATTCCTAATGAAAGTTTTCTAATGTCATAATAAAATCAATGTCGTGACCAAAAACATTATGAAAATTTTCAAGTAGACTAAAATTTTTGCTCTTAATGCGAATCTGGAATAAAAGATTTTGTACGAAAACATTTGAAGAATTTTATCAAAAAAGTTTAAGTTAAATTGGTGTATACCCTGATAGTAGAAGGGGCGTGGTCGTTAAAAATTTAGAAAGACAACGCCCATAAAGTCCAATTTTCTAAATTTTCTAAATTTTCAAAATTCTTTAAATAAACTCTGGTGCGAGGAGAGTTTAAACTGAAGCTGTTTGTTGCGAAAAGTCTGGTTTATCCGTACTCGTAATGAACGGGAAGTCTTTCCTTATCAAAAGTTGTACGGCACCGTGTAAACGCGATCTATCCGTATATATCTTTTTATCGGATCAAACGTTATCCATCATCAAATTGCTCCACAAAAACGTTCTTATTTCGAAATCTTGCATCACTCGCAACAATACTTTCGGTCAGAAAAAGGGTCCCAAGTCCTTTAGATCTGTCCGGGCCTAACATTAAATACGCTATGTTACCTAGCAGTTCTTTACGATGAAGCTTTCAACATAATCAACAAACTTCCCAACTGCACAAACCTTTTAAAAAATTATCTTGTTTTTGCTGCGTACATGAATCGCAAAGGTGAACGCACTGATAGATGATCGAACTGCAATCCAAACGGCCATCTTGTGTTTGAAAAAGCGCGCTCATAAATGGCAGTTGCTTGTTGGTTTAGCCATGGTTTAGCGATGGTCAAACCATGATTGCATGCATAAGAAAATTTAAATCCAAAGGAAATAAATGTTTTCTTATTTGAAAGCAAGGAAATAAAAGCTAATCTTGAAATACCCAACTTAACAGGCACCGCATAGCAGGGGGGGGAAGGGGGGCTGCTAAAAATGTCAAATATTAAGTAATAAACTACCAGGAAAGCCTCTTTTTAAAAGGTTTTAGCCCCCACTTCTTTAAAACCCTCACTGTCTCAAAGCTCCCTGGTGCCTGTTTAATAATGAAACATATAACCATGCAAAAAATTACTGATAGGCAAAAATTTCTTAGTAGGAAAGGAAGAAAATACCAGGATTTTAAACAGTGGAGACTTCTTGTAGGGACATAGGGGGTGGAGCCCATCTTTATTGTTAGAAATTTTCTTCACTTTGAAGGGGGCAGGGGGCTTGATCTTGCTTTTGAATTTGAATTTATTTTAAAAATTCTTTGCCATTTTAAGAAATTTCAATTAATAAATTGACCATGGTTCAGCAATTGGTCAGCAATGGTCAGGCCAAATTTTCATAAAACATTTCAAATTCAAAGAAAATAATTTTTCTATGGCTTAAAAACAAGGAAATATGTCCATAAAACAAATATAGTAGAAATCAAACTATTTAATTTAAAAATTCTTTGTCATTCTAAGAAATGTCAATTAATAAATGGACCATGGTTCAGCAATGGGTCAGCAATGGTCAGGCCAAATTTTCATAAAACATCTCAAATTCAAAGAAAATAATTTTTCTATGGCTTAAAAACACAGGGAAATATGTCCACAAAACAAATATAGTAGAAATCAAACTATTTAATCTAAAAATTCTTTGCCATTTTAAGTAATGTCAATTAATAAATGGACCATGGTTCAGCAATGGGTCAGCAATGGTCAGACCAAATTTTCATAAAACATCTCAAATTCAAAGAAAATAATTTTTCTATGGCTTAAAAACAAGGAAATATGTCCACAAAACAAATATAGTAGAAATCAAACTATTTAATCTAAAAATCCTTTGCCATTTTAAGAAATGTCAATAAATAAATGGACCATGGTTCAGCAATGGGTCAGCAATGGTCAGGCCAAATTTCCATAAAACATCTCAAATTCAAAGAAAATAATTTTTCTATGGCTTAAAAATAAGGAAATGTGTCCACGAAACAAAACTAGTGAATATCAAGCTGTTTAATTTAGAAGTTCTTTGCCATTTTATGAATATCAGTTGATAAATGGACCATGGTTTAGCAATGGTTAGACCATGTTTATGTAAAACTCTTGCCATTCAGAATAAATGAAGGAAATTAATAGTGAGACAAGGAAAATATAATCTTTCAATTTGAAGGTATCAGAAACCAAGCACATAAACCCCCCCTATTGACTGAGTTGTGTCTTGAGACATGGACCATGGTCTTGACATGGTCAGACATGGTTACATGGAAAATGATAAAAAATACAGAAAACTGTTACTTCTTCTTATATTTCTATTGAGGATAACTTTTTAGACAGTTGAGGATTCATATTTTCCAAGAACCAACAAATTAAAATCATTGCAGGCAAAATCTTCTTTCATTGCTCAACCATGGTCACTAACCATGGTTAGCACTTGTCAGGATCACGGCTCAACCATGGTATGACCATTGCAAACTATGGTTGGGCCATGAACCATGGTTGGGTTTTCGCAGGGGGTACATAACATGTGTTTGAGTATTAGCAACTTTTTGCATTGTTCCTCACTAAGGCAAAACATTATAGTTGTGCTTGACTGGTAACTGTGCTTGACTGGTGGATTTTCAACTACAGTTCATTTTCTAAGCAAGAAGTGTATTTTTGCTGAGCTGTAAACCCATAAGAACAGAAACTTAAGGGGAATATGTATCCACAATTGACACACAACCTCTCTATTCTTAGTATAGCTCATACTGGAATAGTTGGTTCATGCCTGAAAGGTTTTAAAAAGTGCTACATAATTCACATTAGCCTGATCGTCGTTCCATCTAGCAGTTTTGGATCTATCTACATAAGCACAAAAAACCGCTATGATGTAGACAAAAGAAGTTTGTTTTTATCTTAGGACTCCATTGGTAACATTCTCAATAGGCAAGCAGCACTGATTGGTCAATCATTGGTCAAACAGTCATGTGCTCGCGTTTCTGATTGGCCTTTTTCAATCCACAACTGGATATATATATATTTGCTAGTGTAGAGTTTTCGATATATGTTCTAAGGTTTTAAACTCTGAAGAGTGTCGGATGAAAAGCTTTTGTTTACTCAAATGTTTGCTTTTTTCAAAGCCATTTTGTTCTTCAGCAGAAACTTGAGTAGTTATGATGATGTAATGATACAACATGACAAAATTAATGATATCAGCTCATTCTTATGCCAATTTCCTTCTTTCAAGAAACAGACTTTGGTCATGCCTTTTGAAGCAGCATTCACATGCTCATTGCTGTAAAAACATGCCAGAACCACTTTCCTTACAATTGCTATTAGTTAAAAAATTACTTTCTTAACTATAATTGTTGATGGTACTGCCTGTAATGCAAAGCTGAAAACCCTGCAATCAATAAAGGGCCTTTATGAGCAATCTTGTTAACTTGGTCAATTCTAGAAATTTTTGCTTAACTGCTTTTTTCTACCTCATTGCCAACTCTGCTTTGGAGTGTGCAAAAACAAATCGCTGCATATGCTTCTTTTGCAAATGCATGCTTGAAAAACTTTATTATCACTTTTCCAGGTTGGCCAATCCAAGAAATCCCAGTTGGCCATTTTAGCATCCAATGTAGTAACAATAATACTAATATTAAATCTATAATTTTCATTGAAGCAGTTTTACCTTCATATTGAACAGATATTATGTGCAAGTAAAGAAGATGAAAATTGATATGCAAGAAAGATCGTTATTTTCTGGAAGCTAAAGATAATACACAATCATGTTGTCTTTCTACAGATATCTACATTTTGTGCTGACCAAAAATAGTGTTGTTACAGACAGCAATAAGAGCTTATTGGTTGAGACGTTGAGGTCAATAGCAGAGATTTTGATATGGGGTGATCAGAACGACTCTTCTGTCTTTGAGTAAGATTACTTTCTTTATCTTTATTTGTTTTTGATGCAAATTAATTCAATCTTTAGGATAGCAGAAAAGAATTTATTATGAGTTATAGATTTCTAAAATGTCAGGGAATACAAGAATACTCCAGAAATTTTCTGTACAATAACATACCTTTTGAGAGACCTCCTTCTTCAATTCTCTTCATAAAATAGTTTTTCCCTGCAGTTGTATTTTTAATTCATTTTATGTATCAATGTCTTATTTTTGCATATTTATAACTTTTATCTTTCCATGAATGCAGGCATGCATGAACAAGGATTGTGCTTTAAAAGGGGCAACAAAACAAGTTTTATGTATCGACATATTTTTCGATTTTTTTACAGTTAACTCTAATGATTGATTAGAAATGATTTGATTATGTGAACAATGTTTTCAGGTTTAAACATGAATCTTTGAGCAAGGTTTCTGTATAAAATTCAATGTGTATAATTGTTATTGTGAGGTGCTGGGCGAGTTTGAAACTTATATTTGTTTATATTTGTAGACGAGTTTAAATTTTCTTTCTTTTCTAGCTTTTTCCTTGAAAAGAATATGCTGTTGTTTTTCTTGAAAATAATGACACAAGACTCGGGAACATACGTGACAGTACAGTTGTTGCAGACACTGAATATTCTGTTTGAGAATATCAGGCATGAGACGTCTCTTTGTAAGTTATAATTTACCAATGATTTTGCTAATAAAAGGAGTTATAAGAGCTATGAATTTGCTCGCTTATATTTGTAATCAAACGTAGGGAATGATTTCGCGTCACAATGACAGAGTTTTGACAGCTCAATAAAAAGTGAAATGTTTGGCCCTTTAAAACTGTACTTTGGGTTTATCAGTAAGATTTCCTTCCCATTGAAACATTACAAATTGATCAATGGCTACACACTGTGATGCAGCTTGCTCTGACGATGTTTTTGTACGATCATAATATAGGTACATTTTTTGCATAAAGAGAACCATCAGTTATCACAATATTCCTTTTTATCCCCGTTGATGATGTTTAGAATCTATTGACGAGAATTTGGCAATTTATACGTTTCCTATTGTCACCTGTTTCATTGTCCATCTATTCACTTACTGTCTGCTTAAATAAATCAAAGAGTTCAGATGATTAGGTTAAAGTATCACATCTAAGATTTCCACAAACTATTCAAGAGCCACTTTTCAAGGGCATTCTGATCTTTCTTAGCGTTTAAAACACGCTCAATACTTTTGTAGAAGCATAAGGTTTCCGCATAGCATGTTTATGTATTTTTGCTATCTTGAATCATTTTCTTTACGACTTTGTTCTAGATTTTCTACTTTCAAACAACCATGTTAACTCGATAATTGTGCACAAGTTTGATTTCTCAAACGAAGAGGTAAGTTGACAATCTTGGACAATCTTAGACAAAATAAAAATGTCCATTCTTATTTATTAGATTCCGATCACTGGTTTCATAGTGTTCGAACTTTAGGCTTTTATTCGGAAGCAGAAGTCCCCAAAGAGTTAAACTTCTTAACAAATTGACCTCGATGGCTAGCAGAAGATAAATGAAAATTCTTTTCGCTCTACTGGAGTAAAAAAGCTGAGATTGGATGCCCTCTTGCCCGAAATTGTACATTGTTATATATTTGGATTTCAAAGTGCCCCTTTTTTACTGCTATTACATTAATGAATTCGCAGAATTATGATTCACCCTCTTCACATTTACCGAGTTGACGAGCTTCCTTTCTTAATTTTCCTTGATTTGCAGGTTTTGGCCTATTATATATCGTTTTTGAAAACATTGTCATTAAAGCTGAATCAGCACACTGTCAACTTTTATTTCAACGAGGTTTGTTTTTTATCCTCAGCTGACTTTTCAGATCAATGTTTTTAAAGTTAATGCATCGCGTAAGAGTCTGCCCTTTTTGACATTCAGACCCATGCATTTGCCTGCATGCCTATGAAGACATGGCTACTCAGATCGAGCAAAAAGCCGCACAGGCAGTTTTCGACAGGGCTCTGTGCTTGGTCTTTGCCCTTCATCATTTTCACTGATAAATTGCTAAACATCATCAAAGCTTTTTATTTGTTTACTGATAACACCTGATAATTCTACGATCCATTTTGAAGCTGATCAAACTACGCAATTTGTTTCGATTTTAAAAGAAATTCTAGGTATTCTTAAGCATTGAGTTAATATAATTGCAATCGAAAAAGAATCTACTCATAGACAACAATAGCAAAATGTAAACCAAAGCAAATATGTTTAAAATCTTAGTTTTGTGTTGAGCTTAGCTTTTTTGCTTAAACTTGCCAGCAAGCTCCTTGATACAGTTTACAGTTTTCTATTTAGTCAAGCGTTTGATCAATATCAACTTGCTATTGCTAATTTTCTAGCGGAAGAATGATTTCCCACTCTACACTGAAGGCATAAAGTTTTTTAACCATCCAGAAAGTATGGTCAGGATTGCTGTTAGAACCTTGACCCTCAATATTTACAAAGGTTTGCTGTTTGGAATCGGTTTTGTTCCTTAGCATATAATGACTTTACACACTTCCTTTGTTTATATGCATAGTTAGACTGTATGGCTAGACACATTCAAAATTTCGATGTTTTGTGTTTATACAGTTCGGTTTATTTTCAGTTCCCTGTTGCTAGTGCTTTGTTTATTATTTTTTCTATTTATGATATCATGATAACCATAATTTGCATACATACATCCAACGTAGTTAAAAAGCATTGCAAGTTGCTAGCTTTTAAAGTGAAATTCAAAGATGCTATTATTAGTGACAAATCGAATGTTTTTAGAGATGACAAGTCCGTACAAAGGAAAATAAGAGTTGTTTGTTTGAATATCTGAACCCAGTTCTTCGTTTCCACATTTTTCATTTCAACATTCTCCCCAAATAGAAAGTGAACTTTTTAACAAAATGGAAAACTGTATCTGTATGATTCAATAGCCAGGCTCAATTGTTTCTATTTCAGTTGGTCACGAGGGCATGTTGAATTTCATATGCGATAAAACAGCTGATCCATATTTTTCAAACCTGGTGTGGTTTATTGGAAAACATGCGATCGAATTGGATGATTGTGTTACAAAGGAATCTGAGTGAGGAGTTTTCATTGTTTCTTTTAAGTTTTCGTCAGATTGAAATTTTCCTGCCTCGGAAAATTCATAAATATTTGAAAGCCAATAGAATTTGAAAAATCTATTCAGAGAATAATGAACTAGTCAATGTATAATTTATTTAAAAAATGTAGATTTGGCTTCTTTGACAACTGTATTGTGGAGCTTCTTGGGCAATTGATAGTCTTGAAAAAATTCGTCTCGTTGTATGATTTGCAAATTTGAGACTTTTTTGATTTATTCCCTTCAGTCACCTTAAGTGTGAAACACTGAAAATGCACGTGGCAGACCATCTAGATAACTTGCATTACCTCCACGATATCTTGTGCTTGGGCATCGAAAGACTAAATGTAATCCTGACAGATAACATGCTGAACAAGCTTCTCATCCCTCTTTACGTCTACTCGCTACCTCCAGATGATCTAAATTCAAAGGTACAAGTTCTCATTTTGTTCTTTTTTCTGTTTATTTCTTCTTTCTGTTTTGTTTATCGACATTCTTGCCCAGATTTTGACCCTCCGTATACTGCGATGTCTGATATTATATTATAATTTTGATATGATTTCATTTCAAGGAAAAGTATATCAGGATCAGAATAAGCAGACTGGTGTCACTATTCCTACTTTCCCAGGTAAGATGATTAACAAGTAAAAAGCTTTTTTGGTACACCAGTGAGTTTAATTAAGTTTAGTTTAAGTGAACAGCCAAATCTTTGAAAAGAATTAGTAGTATTATAGCAGCCTACAAAACCAGATGTAAATTATCAGTATTATTATTATAGAGTTGTGATTATTGTATTTCCAACTTATTGTTTCTACATTCATTCTTACATCTGTAGCATTTGCTCATTATGAATCACGGCCCTTTGGTATCAAACCTTGTTGACGTCATACTCCACGACGAAGACGAAACTCAGATTCAGCAAATATCCAGCTTTGCTTCACCATCGACCAAACAGAGTGTTTGTATCCGATTATTTTACGTTTTTCCGAATTGATTTTGCCATATATCGAGATAAGAGCGTTTTTGCCTTGCTTTTTATGAGATGATTCACATGAGAAGTGCCTTTCCAATAAAGTTTCCATCTTCTGTGAGCCTATCAACTCATTTTTTGTAATCAAGTAATTTTAGAATTTCAAAGGCATATAACGTAAGGCTATTTTTCAAGTATCAGCGAATTTCGCTCTTTTGAAATTAGATCGTTTAAAACCACATTTCTTTTGATTGACAGGTTTCAAGTACGCCGCGAGGCAGTCCGGGTGTCCGTGCGTTCATTCCTCCGCCGGACAGCTTAGAATCGCAGCTAGAGGCGTCGGGGATCATCAAGGACAATTACAATTTAATGCAGAAATTGCAGTATTTGTCGAAAGATCGAAAGAAAAAGGCCTCAACTTTTTACGTCACAGGTTAGTACTTGCCCTACTAGGCGCATATTATTACTGTTGTTTTTACGCTCGAACATATTAAACAGTTGCTTGCAAATGGTTACCTATGTCTAACTGTTTTGCTTACTTATTCAGATGGAGATTTCAAACGGCTGGAAGAAAACAGCAAAGAAAAAGCAGGTTTGTTTTTTCGTGATATTGTTCGGCCGTTTTCCATGCAAGCAATCACTTTAAATTGTCGAAGTCTGTGGTTTAGATCTTGTTTGCCAGGATGAAATATTAATATCAAGCTAATCCTTGCAATGAAAAGAAGCAAAACTGGACAAACAGTGACCGAGACAAGACAATGAAATATCAAAAAACTTCCGTCACTGCTAGCAGATCAATGAAACAGATAATTTCATTAGAAAAGCTTCTTAAAACTAGTTTATTGAGTTCTTTAACTGCACTCAGGCTAGCTGGTCACATAGATTGGAATCAGCGATACCGGTATTTCTAGGCATCCAATCAAAGAGCGTTGTAGGCTTTAGGTACATCCAAATGTGATCTGTTGTGAAACATGTTTACATGTCCACCCCGGTTATTCGGGCTAGCGACGCCGCTTATCTTCGGAAGCAGTTACAGCCCCCAATGTCAATTATTGGTGGCTTTCACTTCCCAGGACTCTAGTCGTAAACGTTTGTTTGGGGAAAAACCATCAGTGACCACTACATCAAGCATTAAAGGCCAAGCGCTTTAGAAGGTTCATAAAGTCTTTCTGGTTTTGCCGTGGGAACAAACCCGTCAGCCAACCAGTTTGAGCGACAGCTGCCTTCCGAAACCAGACTGCATACTAAAAATAGAAACTGTGTTGAAAATTAGTTAAAGAGAAGCCTCTGTCAAATTGCTTCCGCTGTTAGGCCAGGAACTTTTCAGCCAATGCTTTCATCGTAACCTCTGTCTCGAATGGCTCATCTATATTTTCAGCTATTATAATAATTATTCTTAAATTTTGCTTGTCCTCTTTAGCGGAGGAGACAAAAATACCAAAAGACAATAGTAGATCGCTTGACCAATCAGAGAGCGAGTCAGAAAGCGTTACTGATGTTGCTTCACAGAATGCAAGTGGAACACAAACACCGCAAGGTCGTTAACTTATACTTTCATTAATTTAGGTGTAAGGTGTAAATATCATAATTTTATGTACAATTATTTGTTTAGGTAAGGGAGAAATTCTTCAACCATTAAGATATCTTTTGATGATATCTTCAATAGTTTTCAGATGAAAGGATTAACGATAAAAGTATTCGAATTTTTCAGTTTTTGAATTTACTAATGTATTTATCTTCAGTGTGAATAACACTTTGTCTGCATCTGTATTTTAACAAACGCTCCAATTTCAGAGCCCCTTCAGCCCGCTTTAACATCATCGACACCAGCGATATTTGAAGATCAAATGAAGGTGAATGTCATACTTTTTTTATCTTTTTTGTTTTGTTGTTATTTTTGAAGTCCAAAATAACTGAAACAGATTTTGATTTCCTCCTCTCCACACATCTTTTTTGTTATCATCAACATAATTCGCTTTTCAGCGCTAGTTGCCCATTCTTACTACTTTTTTCATTCATTCATTTTCTATGGGACTCTTCCCCCGAGCCTCCTTTCATTTTGTCAAACAGTGTAAGATGTGGTGCTTTACAACACAGTGTTACTTTTCAGGCCCTAATTGTGTCTGAAAACGGTAACTAGCAGATACGAGGATAAATTTCAGGAACAAAGCAAAACGGCGACGAGAATCCAATCTTATAAGATAAATTTTCAAAATAAATTAAATTAAACGAATACTAATATTTCGCCCCGGCATACAGGGCTTCATCACAGTAAATGGAACGAACGAGTGAATTTATATTACACTCATTGCAAGATTCACAGAACCGGGCGGTTCTCCCTTCTCACACAACTAGCAGATAGCTGAATTTAGGAGAAGATCAGCTAAAGAAGTGGATAAAAGAAACCTTTGTTTTTATTTATTGTTATTTTTATTCATTACTCTTTGTGATGATTTTGGATCCTTTCTTTCTGCTCTTTAAATTTATTCTTGAGATTCATTCAAATTCCCTTTTTAGGATTTTGGACCAATTCGTAGGTCAGGGTAAGTGTAATCGATCTCTTCAATCTTTACAATGTTCTCCTTGTGTTTCTTGTACATTGTCAAAACTTAGTTACACTTACAATTACACTTAGTCAAAACTAAGCTTGAAACTAAACTTAATCATAGTTTCAGTTTCAGTACAATAACTAGTATATAAAATAACACAGTAAAAGCTATTGTCCATCATTTAACCTGATAACCAGCTTTTCATTCGTAAATTGCTATTTGTTTTAACATATTCAAAATTACTCTTGAACTTAGAATAATCAAGGAACCAAACAAGACAAAGAAAATAACGTCCTCTTGTGCGATGTAATTTCGCCACAGCTGCTCGGCTGCCATTTTCTAGCGATTCTAGGACTTTGTATAATAATTCTACAACACTGCTGAAATATGTGAACCATTTGGTTATATATTTATTCGACTGTTAGTTTCTTCTCCATCACAGCAGTTATCAAACATCTTTTCATAGGCCCTTTTTGAAAAACATTTACTCTGCGTTTGACTGCTCTAATGGTGACTGCGAGGCCTTATTCGCAATCAGCTTCTTCTACGCCTTGCTTCAAATGATGGCATTGATAAACAGATTCTGAAGGCTGCGAAGATATCATTACCAAAGGTACGTTATTTTGACCTTGTTTCCATTAAAGCCATTGTCGAAAATGGCCTCATTTCCATTGTAAATGATAGTTTTGTGTCTGTGCAATCTAGATTTGAAATCCCAAGCAATCTTTTTGCAGTAGTACATTTTACTGCAAGCTTTAGCTGCGCTAGTAGGTAATTCTCGATTCATGTATTTTTTCATTTTGATTTTAGTTTTTTCATAATTTTTACTCTCTCTCTCTCTCTCTTTTTAAAATTGCAGGAATCAGATGAATACAGCGAAGAGTTGATGGAAAAGCTAATTTCTATTTTAGAGCAAGGAGCTAGAGATGGTAAATTATTGAATCGAGCTGTAAATTATTTGCTGTCCTATGTTTCATTTAACGTTAATTTTATCATAATTGCAGATATTGTTTCTTTCGAAGTGCCCTGTATTTTGTCCCGTTGCATAACACAGTTTTTTTCTTAATTCATTTAGGATCGAAGGTTCGGTTGGTAACTCTGGAAATGGCTGTAGTTGTGTTGAAACAGCTGGCTGTGGATGCGGGAAAGAGCAGGCTGAAAGATTTCCATTATGCTATGATAGAAGTAGGTCGACTGGCCGTGTAGGAATCTTTTTGTTAGATCCACCACTATGACCTCGCCATCGACGAAATGGTGTCTGTTCTAGGATGCTTGTATATTTTATGCAATTATCTTATCTAGCCTCAGTTTGAGACCCATTTTAGGGTACATGAGTCATTTAATAAGTAGTAACTAGATTTTATGTCTTTCCTGACAAATATGTACTAAATGAATTGGTTAACGAAATTTGCATGGTTCCTTTACAGAACGTACGTGAAGCTAGCACTTTTCAGCTAAGGAATTTCTACAGGGTGAGTGATTAAAAGATGTCCATTTTTGAATTTAAACTCTTGGTTAGTCATAGCACTCGAGCTCATGCAAATTTATGAAAAATGATTTGTGTTTCTTTTAGGCTGATGAAGTATTTCTGGAGATGTTTGAATGCGAGTATCAGCAAGTTTTGGTGAGTTTCCTTCCATATTTTTCAACCTCGACTGCACCTTTTTTCGTGCAAGTTTATATTACCACCAAGATATTGCAGGCTCTAATACAGATATGAATATTCTTTCGTAGAACAAGCCAATAAATGTCCAGTATGTTGTGATGAATGCTTCCCTGCTGCTGCCACCAACTAACACACCCCTCACTGGAATTGAGTTTAACAAGCGGTTGCCTTGTGGTGAAGAGGAGCGCGCTAGGAGGGTAGGATGAATTATATCTAACATTTATTTCCCATCACTGTTGAATTGAAGACTGTTGAATTTTAACATATGTTACAAATGTTATGAATGAAAAAGGCTTGTGGTGACAACAATTGCGAAATGGAAGTCTACGCCTTTAATGCAAATACTGCTTTTTTAGAATTGAAAGGATTGAGTAAAGAAAGAGAAATTTCTTACCTGCATTCTTCCAATGTCATTAGCGGCCATTCTTGCCCTGCTTTGCTGCATCTATGTTGACGTTATTAACTAACTACAAATTTTACCACAAGTGCATGAAAATATGAGAGTAACCAAACTCAAAAATTTGGCTCGCATGTAAAACTTTCCTGTTTTTTGGCGACGATTTGCCTTATCGATTCATTTACGCATAAATTTTTTTATTGTTCCGGCGCATCTTTGCGAATATCACAGCGCTTTAGCGCTTCAGACGAAGCCTTAGCCACGCTACAGACTACAGAGATAGACCCTCATCAACCAATCGTCGTCCGCAAGGGCCATCTGTTTTTACACATTCGTCCAAAAGAACATTTTACAAAATTACTAAGACGATGCTAATGGGAGCATGATAGGCATGGCTACCCATTGATTTTGAAAAACAATACAGTAGCACCAAAGACTACCAAAATCCTGTTTAGATCGTTCGTAAAGGATATCCCATTTGATCAAAAGACAAAGAGGCTTAAATAGAAGATAAAATGTGCACATGATTTTAGGTGTAGTCTTTAGTGCTGTTGCTACATAACAATTCATTTATTGCTAAAAGGTTTATAGGGAAGGACGAAAGGCTAGATAGATAGAACTTTTTATGAATTTTTTGGTGCTACAAGAGAAAATTCTGATATATGAATGAATTTTAGCGTTGATCCCAAATTTTTTTTGTTTTCATCATGAAAAAATCACCATACAACATAATTTGCACAAGGGTTTGATTTGACAGGTTTGAGATGCTATTTAGTGCTACTGTAATATTTTGTCGCCAAGGAGATCACACCTTTGATCGTCATATGCATGGCGATGTAACAAGAAATGTTCAGCAGCCTCAAATCCGTCGTTAATTAGGCACACTGGGTTGACTGTGTCCGGATATTTGTAACTGAATTTGTGTGAATTCAGTTTACTGAGGCCTACGCATAGCTGAATGTATCGTCAGAGAAAAAATATGTCAATGCACAGTACAGGGATTCTATTCAAATTTTTATTCAAGATGCTTTTAATTTTGCATGCAGGCGATACGAGTGTTTTTGCTTATGCGGGATTTGTGTCTGACGATACGCAATGAACCTGAGAGCAAGCTTCCACTTAACAAAGTTGAAAACCCAGTCAAGGAAGAAGACGTTTTGGATCTCAGTATGTTTTTTAACGTCTAAATATATATCAACTAGCTGAATTATATTTTTAAATAGTTGTTATTTATACCTAATTTGTTAAACCATTCATATTTCAGTTGAAAGTTAAGTCTTAAGAAAATGTGAAAGAAAATGTGAGTAGGTTACACGATTTGAACCCTGATTGACTTTCAAGTCAAATTAAACACAACTGCAGTAGAGCTTACTCCAGGGTTAAGTATTGGCTTACTCCAGGATTGTAGTACTGGCTTACTCTATGGTTTTAGTATTGGCTTACTCCAGGATTGTAGTACGGGCTTACTCTATTGTTTTAGTATTGGCTTACTCCAGGATTGTAGTACGGGCTTACTCTATTGTTTTAGTATTGGCTTACTCCAGGATTGTAGTACGGGCTTACTCTATTGTTTTAGTATTGGCTTACTCCAGGATTGTAGTACGGGCTTACTCTATTGTTTTAGTATTGGCTTACTCCAGGATTGTAGTACGGGCTTACTCTATTGTTTTAGTATTTGCCTTTTCCAGGATTGTAGTACGGGCTTACTCTATTGTTTTAGTATTTGCCTTTTCCAGGGTTGTAGTACGGGCTTACTCTATTGTTTTGGTATTGGCTTACTCCAGGATTGTAGTACGGGCTTACTCTATTGTTTTAGTATTGGCTTACTCCAGGATTGTAGTACGGGCTTACTCTATTGTTTTAGTATTGGCTTACTCCAGGATTGTAGTACGGGCTTACTCTATTGTTTTAGTATTTGCCTTTTCCAGGATTGTAGTACGGGCTTACTCTATGGTTTTAGTATCGGCTTACTCCAGGATTGTAGTACGGGCTTACTCAATTGTTTTAGTATTGGCTTACTCCAGGATTGTAGTACGGGCTTACTCTATTGTTTTAGTATTGGCTTACTCCAGGATTGTAGTACGGGCTTACTCTATTGTTTTAGTATTGGCTTACTCCAGGATTGTAGTACGGGCTTACTCTATTGTTTTAGTATTGGCTTACTCCAGGATTGTAGTACGGGCTTACTTTATGGTTTTAGTATCGGGCTTACTCTATGGCTTACTCTATTGGCTTACTCCAGGATTGTAGTACGGGCTTACTCTATGGTTTTAGTATTTGCCTTTTCCAGGGTTTTAGTAGTGGTCAACTCCATCCTATTTATTCTGACAATTAAAAATTTTTTTCCAGATAACAGCGACTTGATTGCCTGCACTGTTATCGTCACCACTAGTCGGTAAGTTTCAACTTGCTGCCTTAGAAAGTTTTTTACTTTTCGAGAAGCTCTAGGTTTACATTACTTGTATATAAGTTGCTTTTTCCGAAGAAATTCTTTTTTAATATTCGTTGTCCGAAGTTTTTTCAATAAAACATCGATATATTGTAATGAAATAAATGAAATAAGATAAAATAATATAAATTAAAATATAATAGAATAAAATAAATAAAATAAGAAGAAATAAAATGAAATAAACAACTCTTTAGCATCACATTTGTTATCATCAGTATCTACAAAAACCTTAATATCGTTTTCACGACTCCCATTTTGGTTGTGAACATCTACAGAATGTGTTGTAATTTACCAATTAGATAATAACCCTTATTCTTATAATTAACCCTATAATCTTCAAATAGAACTGAATTCAGTGAAATCTCTAATAGCGGCACTTTCTGGGACCAAGTTTAATAGCCGTTTTCTAGAGGTGACCGCTATTGGAGGTTTTTCATATATTCATCAACTTATATTAGAAAATTGTGATCTACGATATGATACACTGTCACTGAATACAAATAAATCATGGGGAATAGATTAGGACTTTAAGTAGCTGCGATGTAAGGGGACATGATAAGGCTGGAAAAAGCTGATGATCTCTAGAATGTGTACGTACTCTCTAAGTAGAAACGAATGTTTTTATCTTTTCATTTCATTTGAAAGGTACCCTGGGTACCAGACTCGTCAGTAAGGTGCAAAAGGTACCCTGGGTATGCAAAAGATAACCTGCTTAACCGTTAATGAAGGTAGAATAAGGCATTAGGGCACTCCCAAGTGGCTGTTGGGCCGTCAATTTGTGGTGGCCGCTGTGCGGAGGTTTTTTATGAGCGTTTGACCATAAATTCGGTAAGGACTTTCTCCACTGGCCTCAGATCTGGAGGTGGCCGTTGCACAGAGGTGATAGTTATTCGAGGTTTCACTGTATACAGTTCTAAACCGATTAATTGCCTGGCTTTGCGAAGAGAGATGATCAACACCATCGATGAAAAAGTCAATTTTCCAATGACCTGAAAGTCTCCAATGACTCTGCTGGAGACTTCCCTGTTGTAGCGAAGCATCTAAAAATTCATTTTACCCACTTCCTTTGCACGTTGGAAAGGTCGGTCTCTTTGGTTTTCTTGGTCCTCCTTTTTTTCTTCTTTTCAGTCCCTTTTGCGCCTATTTGGTCCTCCTTAGACCTCTCTGGTCCTCTCTAAGCCTCTTCCGACTTTCTTACCCTCCTCCGGCCGTTTTGGTCATCCTTAGGCATATTTTTTTGGCCTCTTAGGTCCTTCTTTGACATTTTGGCCTATTTGGTCCCTTTTTGGTGGTTTTGGTTTTCCTACCTCTCAGTCCTCATTGATAGACTTATTCCTTGGCCGCTTTTGCCCTCGTTTTCTGAGACGTCTTTGCCTTTGATCCTTCCTCAGGGCCGTCGAATGCAGCGGGGGGGGGGGACTGGAGAATGGAGCCATTCCCCCAATAACAGCCAAACTGTACTCTCAATCGCAGTTCTTGTTCTTTCATTCCCCCTCTTTGTCCTTCAGGTAAATGTTCTGCCACCCATGTGCTCAAACTAGTCAAGTACTTTGTCCGTGGTCTTCCTCTGCTTTTCTTCCCTTCAATGCTTCCTGTGAGAGTTAAATTCTCCAAACTTTCTTTCCTCATAACATGCCCCAAAAATTCCAATTGCCGTTTTCTAACTGTTGGCACCAGTTTCATTTTAGTCCCTATTTTCTTTAGAAGTTCTTCTTTTGCAACGTGGTCTGTCCATGGACTCTTAAACATGCGCCGGTAAAACCACATTTCAGCTGCTTCAAGTTTGCTCCTCGTATTTGCTGAAATTGTCCAGCATTCACAGCTTCCAGCATTCACTCGTATTTCCTTGTTTTAATTGTCATCTTTCGATTTGTCAGTACCTCACAAACTGTACTACGTTTCCTATATTACAGTGTACATAATCGGCAGTCCCTCCAGTATGAATTTCGTTCTGATGGCACTGTTCCTGATACTCCTTTGGCCGCATTGGTCGGGCCTTGTCATTTGGCTAGGTTCGGTCAGGTATAGCAAGGGCAGATTTTGTAAAGCCGCTCTTACACAATCAGATTTTGACGAATTCGACAAAAAAGAATTCGACAGAATCTGACCGTGTAAAAGGAGAAATCGAATGTCGAAAGCCATCATCAGATTATCGAATTTGATTTTTCAAGGATCGAACATGTTCTATTCCATTCGACAAATCGAAAGGTGAATGGATGACATTATCTCGCCTACGCTGCTACGTCACCCGAATTACCACGTTCTCTATTGTTTCAGTCTGTTTACAGTCATTTTAAAGAAAACAGGAAGTGAACGCAACAAAAGTTCAATAAAAATGAAAAAAATGTATTTCATGTAGTCCTTTCCTTTGGTTGAGCGCAACTCGTTCAAATATGAATCGTATGTTCCATATACAGGATATTGATTCAGCAATTCTTTTGTCAATTTTGTTCGTTTTTGTGCTATAACTATGGCAGCTGAAGCAACCTTATCTCATCTATTTCGACAAAATCTAATCATGTCAAAGGTGCATTCGATTCGACAAATCTGAAGCAAAACTAGATTCGACATTATCGAATTCGACAAAATCTGACCGTGTAAGAGCGGTTTAACAATAGGATCTTTGGTTTATTTTCATTTCGTTGACTAGCCAATCAAAGAGCTTTATTTCTATGGCGTCATATGACAGTAATTTCGGAAGGAGGGGTCGAGAAAACCACACCCTCGTTTTTTCCTTGCGACGAAAATATACTTCAGTAAAAACACAACTTTTTGCACCTCTATAGAGCGATAAATTTTACATATAATTTTATTGGTCTTCATTTTCTGCTCTTTGCGTGATTTCTCGCTATTGACACACCTTTTTGCACGTGTTGGCTGGGGGGGGGGGGGGGCAAACTCGAGCAAGAACCATACCTGAGGGCGGCAGGCTTTTAAACAAAAAAACAGATATATAACAAACAGATATCTTTGGACAAAATCAAGGTCATTGATCTATAAATATGCCAAATTTTCAAAATATAATTTGGAAAAACTGTAGCCAGATGGGGCAAGCTATTGTCAAAATTTTCATTTGGGGGGCACAGCCCCCCGTGCCCCTCCCTGCAGCTACGTGGCTGCCCTAAACCCAACAAATCACACTCTTCGATCAAAAAAAACAGTGGACTTCAACTGCCCTGCCTGCAGATGAAAGGAATATTTCAAAAAGGTCTAACAGTGTTTTTAAAAACCAATTTTTGGTCTAGAACAATTTTTGATTTTTGGTCTAGAACATTATTTTCATGTCTTGTAAGCGTTAACTTTCTAACCTACCTGCGATTTGTCCCGCTAAGCAAGACTGATACACTTTGATTGATGGAACGCCTTAATGGACGCCCTTATCTTTAGTAGCGGAAGTTGCCTCACCAACAAGGTTTGCAGGCCAGTTTTGAGGGTGGCGACGGGACTGGGGCCCGAAAACTTTCAAATTGTTCAGTCAAACATTTTTCCCTTTTTAAAGGTTTTCCAAATTTTCCAGCAAATCCAAACACGCAGTTGAGACAAAATATCTTGAGATTCAGAAGTGTACACTTCCTGTGCACCTTTTCCGCATACTGTTTACGGTCTAGGATGGTCTTTGAATTTCTTCTATATTAAATTAAATCAGTGGCGGATCCAGACTACCGCCATTACCGCTCGAGCGGTAGTCAGATTATTCAAAAATTATAGAAACAAAGATCATTTTCATGTTTATCCTACTACTTTAATTAAACCATATTTAATTATTGAAAATATTTGATCGCGCTGCAAACCAAGCCTTTCTTCCTAGGAACATGCCTGAAATTTCCACAGAGACAGAAATATTTTTTAATCCCTTACCGCTATGGAAATTGCGTGCCAATTGCCGAGCCACATGTTTGCAAATAGAAGGCTAGCATGATAAAATCACGATGATAAAATCATGGCTTGCTAGCTAGGGGGGTTGAGTCGGTTTAGAGCGGATTCGAGCTGCACTGAGCGGTAGTCAGCCTGCCTAAACCAATCAAATCGTCAGAAATCACTGCCAACCTGGGGGGATGCATACAAATTTTGTTGACAACCAATGAACAACCGAGTTGACTACCGCTCAGATGGGGGGTTGAGTAGTACTGCCGCTCAACACGGCTCAAACGTTACAGAAAGATGGGGGATGCCTACATATTCTGCAAGTGGGCAAACTGTAACTTCAAAGCCGATGTGACCCAATATTTTGTACAATACACAACTATTCGTAGGAATATATTTTAAAAGAATATTAAGACTCAAATATTCTAAAATTTAAGAAGGCATCAGGATTAAAAGTCAGGCCCACAATATTCGCCAAAAGTATGTTTCTTTGTTTAACAAAAGTTGCTCTCAATAATTGCAAATTTTATCTACAATGCCTGCCAAAAGTACTTGGAACACCCACCAATTTACGCTGCATTTGATATCTTTCATTCCTTTCATGAAAAAAATTTGCTACTTCCGCCCCCTTCCCCCTCAAACAATGTTGATGATTTAGAGAAATATCATAAAAGGAGCGCAAAAGAAAGTGCTTCCTAAAATCCTAATCCGTTTGATAGTAAACCAACATTGTTCCGTGGGGGAGAGGGGGATGATTGGTTTTGACCTTGGAAATTGATGTCAGTGTTCCAAGACTTTTGGCAGGCATTGTAGCTTTTTAAACTTGTAATTTTCATAAGTAATTGTCAGACTGAATGCTAGTTTTAGGCGACGCTTCAAAATTCTGCCAAATGTATCTTTTTTCTAATTCTATGGTGTTCCTCGTCTAATTGCCGTAAAATTTTTTTAGAATATCCATCCTCAGAATATTGAGTAAGATTATTTATTTCTTCTCAAGCTTGTTGTAAGGATACATGAAATTTCAGTAAAGCACCGCTTGTCTCTTGAAAATGGGCTACATAAGAAATTATAGAAAGCAATAATCATTTTAAAAAACCGGGTGTGACCAAGAAATGGGTGTGGTCTAAAGGGTGTGGTCAACCCTCTATCTCATTTCGGCGGTAGTCAGAATTTTGGCTGGATCCGCCACTGTAAATCATGGCATTGTGTGCGAGATCAACCAAGGTTCGGGTGGTTCGGTCCTGTTTTTATTGTGTAAAGAGAGGTAAATGAATTATCTGTAAGGAGGGAAATGAAAGATTGTGGCAAACATGATTGCCTTATTTCAAAGACTAAAGTCTATAACTAAATTCTGAAAATCTGACGGTCTTCCGTGCGACCTGTCTGTGCGACACCCTGAATCCGCCCCTGCAGTCTTTTATTGTATTATTTCTCATGACGTAGTGCTGGTTTTGTTGTTGCATTGATTATAGTGTTTGACAGCGGATTGACAAGCAGCCCCAGTGGCGCAATGGACTAGCGCGTTGGACTTCTAATTCAAAGGTTGTGGGTTCGACTCCCATCTGGGGTGGTCGCTGCTTGAAACTTTTCTTTCACATTAGATTTTCCTTCTTAATATTTGTACACTGATATTACTAGCTTTTCTTTTCTTAATTTAACCAATTCTTTTTAACTGGATTTTTTAAGGCAGGGTTTCTATAAAATTCTCAAGTTGCTACTGGTTCTACCAGTTTATCTTTATAGACAAGGGTGAAATGTACCGACTTGCTCGCATGACAATCCAATTTTCTATTTCGCTTGCTACTCTCTCCTTCCAGCCTTGGCTCATCACAAGAACTATACTCTTTTTTAAGAAATCTTGTCCAACCTCGATATTATTGAGACAATTTCGTTTGTAGCCTGAATAAATTCTTAAAGTTTTCTTGCCTGGTTTCTGGCATGGTTTCAGTGGAACTTCGCCCACCCTAGAACTGAAACCATGCTGTTCTGAACATAGCAAAACAGGCAACTGCTGGAAAATGAGACACAAATATGCAAACTGAGACTGGGCAATTTTCTTATACTATTCTTAAAAAATGGATGATTTGGACCTGTAACAATATTCTAATAACAAAAGGGTGTATTTAAGAATGTATCTAACTTCATTTTTGGGCTTGTTCCCCGTAGGCAGCATCTAAGGCGCTTTCTTGTTATTGATGCTAACCAGTTCATTTTGGTTGAGCCAGATACGAGTAAACTTGGTTGGGGAGTCGTCAAATTTGTTGCCCTGTTGCAGGTATGAAAACTGCTTTTTTATACGTTTCTTGCCTTCTAATGACTTTTTTGCTTTTGACGTTCCTGTTGTTTGATAAAACTTTTTGACTGCCAAGTTAATTTTCATTCATACTTCACTATACATTTATTTATTTTGCATTTAATAAAGGGTGATACTCAAGTTTCCAACCAGGTCTAGAAGTGTCCTTGGTTTTGCTTAAAATAAAATTTGATAAACACAGAACACGTTGAGAACCCAGCTTCTATCCAACCCTTCAATCTAAATGAAGAACATTACTAAAACTTTGTGAACGTGGAGTTTATTATTCCTTTCCTTGGCAAACATAGTCTGTCTGTTAAAACAATTATTATTATTGTTTCAATAGCAGGTTCTCAAGGTCTATTCTTCACTATTTCAATTCTATTCAACGCGTTTTTATTCAACACGTTTTCTTCGCCCATTAGGACGTGGAGGCCACACCAGACAAAGATGACAGTCGATCTCTCCAGATCATCGTACACCGGCCGTTCGCTGCTAGAAACCGCCAAATTGTAAATCCAATACCTTTGCTTACGGCCAGGTTCGTATTTGATGACTATATACGATGCATGTCGGCTCGCCAACGCCTACAAAGACGCTGTGCAACTTTGCGTCATCGAAAAATGACCACCCTAGCCAACTTACTTGAGCTGCCAGTCATGGCGGCCCCTCCCACACACTTCTATTCGTTAACGCCGTACAACACGGGAACCCAGGGCTACGTATGGTCACCTTCGACTAGAGGCTACACAAATCGCGCTGATGATACTGGCACTGGCGACTCTGCCTCGAAATCAAATAGTCTTACTCCACCGCGGCAGCCACCACAGAAGTCTTTGCCGTTGTCACCTAAACACTCAGAGATCCTCGATCAGAAAACAGGAGGCAGCCGAGGCAAAGATGCTACAAATAAAACAAGCCCAGCAGTATTCAGTCCTGAAGCTTACGCTCGACCGATCAATCTTGCTACTCCTTTACCGAGAAATGAAAAGTCCCAGAGAACGCAGGCTGAGTCATTGGCATCCGCTTTGGGAGCAAAATTTGGTACGGATGAAATAGCAGCACAGGAGCTAGATGCTGAAATGTTTAGCAATTTATCGGAGAAAGTTGGGCGCAAGTTGACTGTTGATGAAGGAGAAGAAATGAACGAGGATTGCACCGATGGCACATCAGATAGCGAATTCTTTTACGATTGCAAAGACAACATTTCTGCGTCACATTCTGACTTAATCAGAGGATTAGATCGCGTTGAACTGAAAGCATCAACGGATAAACCAACGAAATCTGCACCTTCTACGCCTACGGGTAGCAGGAAAATTGGTATAATTGGTCTTTTACGAGGTCGTGTGGCTCAAGATGACTGTCTAAACGAGGCAAAGTCTTTACCCGCCATGGCTATGAATTTTGCCGAAAATGAAGTTAAGGAGAAGCAGTCAACAAAAAGGACAAAACCAGCCCCCGAAACGAAAGCGACACAGAAGCCTAGGCCTGCTCGGCCGAATCGTGTAAATAGGTCGTCGAAAGGAAAGAGATAAGATGTAGTGATATAATTATTGTAGAAGTACATAAATGAAGAATTTATGATACGATTTCTTTTGAGAATTCCTATTTCGAGAATAGCGAATTATTCAAATGGCTTTTGATGCCTGTACAAATTTTGATTTTAAAATAGATATTTACCCCCATGAAGAAAAACCGAGAAATATTTGCAGCAGATATAGGGTGGTAGTTACATATCATCTAATGCAAGATGATTCTGTATTGTGAATAAGCTATCATTTGCTTCTTTTTGTTCCATTGAAATAGTCAAGGTATTACCAGGTCATTTGAGACATCTTAACCAGCTAGTCTATATTAACAATTTTTGTCTTTTAAGAACCTTTAGATTTCCATAAACATCTATGCTTCTATCTTATTTGATTTTCGTGATTTTCCTACAATGTAAACTGTAATATGTGCAAGTTTATCGGTTAAATAAAGAATCCTTTTTTGCTATTGTCTTATTTCTTTTGTTTGCGTTAATTTCTATATGGGACAGTTGTTTCTTTGCCACGGATGCAAGTCACCAAGTGTAGTATCTTTGGAGCCTTCTCTTGCATCTTTTGAATCTGATTGGCGTGAGACGTAGATGCAGACGTGAGACGTAGACGAAGACGTGAGACGTAGACGAAGACGTGAACTAAAAAGTGTAAATGTAAGATAGTGCCGTGGAAATATTTAACTGTGCTTTGAATAAAGATTGTGGCGTGGTCGTTGTGGGCCACCGTAAACTAAAATTCCAAGGTTACATCACCATGGCAATAACGCGTTAAAGCTCACGTCTATCACTTGGGTTATGCTTCTACCTCTTAAGAAATATTGCGATTTTACCTCTATAAGAAATATAGTTTAGATATTTATGGCTCGTTGTGCCGAGGTAAAGACTTGAACGAAGTTTGCACTCATTATTTATTAAATTTATTTCTAGACGTTTTTTTAAATCGGGGCAGGGTAGAAGGTTCTCTGATCGGAATCGGAAAGTCCTTTTGGTATGCTCTAAATGGTACTTTGGAATCTGAAGATCTCTCCAGAATCACGTGTTAAAACTAGGATATTGGAATCTTTGTTGAAATTTGTTCTAGAGAATCTATGAGCCACGTTTCTTTTTTATCTAATAGGCCATAAATGCGCGATAAAATGCTCAATTTCTCCAACACAACCTTCCTTGTGTTACCGTACAACTTCCCTTGTATAGGCTACGGAATCGAATACATAGGCTTAATTTGAACGCAGGAAAAAGTTAAAATGAAAACCAATACGCTTCATTTTTCTGATCTCGAATGCATTTTCATGTTCCAGCTCTCCATCTTTAACTGTTTAGTTGCATAGACTTTCTTAGCCATTGTTTCGTTTGCTGAAGGGCTTCCTGGAAACAAATACTCAATTCATTCATGATTGAAGCTATCAATTTAATTATATAAAGATCATAATTTTTTAAGCGATAGACTAGCATTGGAAGTTATATAGGATTTCAAAAAGTTGCTTGACACTGAAATTGTTTTGAAGTCCCGGAGTTAGTGTACTGGCTAAAGCAGAATACATTCCCACACCATCCAATCAAAAATTTTATTTTTGCTCATAAATATTATTAAGAAAAAATAACACCGGTTGCATTGGCACAGTTAAGAATAACAGAATAACAAGCAACTGTGCCAACGCAACCGGTGTTATTTTTTCTTAATAATATTTATGAGCAAAAATGATGTGGGAATGTATTGTAAAATTTAATCAATGTTAGTTGTTACGATAGTGGAAAGTACTAGCTTAGACTAAAATTAAGCAATTTCAAGGATTGCACCAGGCAGTTCATTTACTGCAAAATGAACACGTGCATCTATTTTCATGGGACCAAGTTTTAATTAGATTTCTGAATTCTTTTGAATTTCAGGCTGTTTTGATTTCATCTGGAAGTGACTTCCAGACTTTCGATCCTTGGAAACTGAGTGATCTAAATCCATGAATTCTAGTTTTAACCTTTGGCATCGAAAGGGAATATCGTACGCGAGGTTGACTCATTCATTTGGTGAAAAATTTTCCTTCGTGAAAGTAAGATTTAGATTGTTCAGTGTTTTATATACTTCAAATGCTTAGATTCTGATTGAATGTGGATGGTAGTTTCCTTCGATTTGGCAATTAGATCCTTATAAGAGGATGAATGCGCTGGTCCTAATGCCCTCTCTTTTGTTTTCTCTAGATCAACCTGACCTCCTTTGCTACATAATATCCATATCAGTGGGCATTAGTTAAAATTACATGCTATCGATAATTATCTTATTATCTTTGTCTCCTATACGGTTTGCTATTCAATTTAGCGAATATATCTGCTGGACTGCTTTTTTACAGAGTTTATCGATATGAGTTTCAAAATTGAGATCTTCGTCAATCTCAACTCCAAGTAAAGTTATTTATGGTATTTGGCTATGTACATCTACATGTTAACCCTTATTTTCGATGGTTATAGCTTGAAATTTAGGGGGATTTGCAGTCATTTTGTTCAATTTTAACCATTCCATGCATTTATAGGTGTCTCCCTATATTAGTTCATCAGCATTTGTTGCTGTGACAGGAAGTGTGTTGTCATCAGCAAAGGTGCACAATAATTCATTATCAAGGCTGTAAAAGTTATCATATTGTAAATTGTTAAAGAGCAGAGGGCCAAGTATCGATCCTCGCTGTACTCTAATCCAAGCCTACCCCTAGTGCTGTAATGTCCTTTAACTTTGACTTTTGTTTTCTGTGGTGAGTTCTTACATAAGCAAAACAACTTTTTTCTAGTCCATAAAGAACAGATTTTTAGTAAGACAGTCAAAAGCTTTCGATAAACCCATAAGAATAGCATTAATGTATTCGTTACGTTCTATCTAACCCTTTTTTAGCCCTCGCTGAGTCTAAAAAGAGCATGCTGGGAAGAAATGTTTTTTATATAGGAACATGAAAAAATGGAGAGTTTTCTTTTTAAGAGAGGGCAATTTTAAAAGTTGAAGCTCTATTGCTTTATCAAATACTTCCAAAAATGCTGTCAGTAGACTTTGGGGCCTGTTGTTAAAGGGAGCTTTTATCTGATATTTATGTGATAATATTGCCTTTTTTAAGAGTTAGTAAGTTTCCTTAAAGAATGAATTTGTTTATGATGTCGTATAAAGGGCTTTTAAGACTTTTGCTTTTATCATATCAAATCCTTTTGCTTTCTTATCGTCAAGATAAATTTTAGCAATGCTGAAATAGTCTTGGAAATATCTTATTATGTCTATAGTCGTCAGATGCTCAGTCAGTTCTTTACGAATCGAATTCGTACTTTGACCTATCTTATAAAATTGTTATTCATTATTTCAACAACAGATTGCAGATCTTCAATAAGACAATCATTGACAGAAATTTTTATTTCTGAGTTATCATTCGTTTCACTAAAGAAATATGGCTTCAGTTACGTCCAAAAACTTTTAGAATCAAGGATTCCGTCTTTGTTTGAGCTTTATACAGTAGTAAGATTTTACCCGTTGTCTAATATTTGCATAGTTATTACTCAGAAAGCAAAATCTCCCAGAGTATTTTTTTGTTCCACATTCATTTCAGCTATTTTTTAAACTGGTTCGTAGCATTATAGCTTCTCGATAAAAAATTGCTAAAGGGCTTATAGTTTGATCAAATTTAATTACATTTTTATGTTGTATGTTTGTTAACAATGCGGCCAAAAGCAATCGAAGCTCATATTTTCATTTTGTAAATGCTTACAAGATAGCAGGGTGTTGCCAGTGAATTTTAGCAAAAGCATTTCTCTATGAATTTGGCTGTTTAAGTCTGTTTAATGTTTAATTTCAGGCTGTTGACAGGCAAGACTTTAACTGTATCCAAAATTATGAAAGTCTCTTAAACCATTTTCAATTGTTATACTGTTTTTGAAATGATGCTTTGTGATTAAGGCTTGTAATAAATTGAAACCAAAACATGCAGCCGTTGAAAAGCAAAAGAAGTTGAAGATAGTAGGGAATCTCTATATTGTCAGAGTGTATCGTTGTCTTCTCTTGTTTATGTTTAACGATAGAAGGCGAACATTTTGAAGTTTTGCTAATACAGGAAGATTCAGTCACTATTCAACAAAATAATCTACCATTGCCAACTGAAATAATTTTGAAAAAAAATGCGAAGATCAGAATTCCAAAGTCACGAAGAAATTCTTGGTTGAGAGAAAATCTCAAATAGACTGAGAAGTAATGAAAAAGTTGAACATGTCAATACCATTTCCCTGCAAAATTTCTGACATTGGTTGCCAATAGAAATAAAAGTTTCATACCTTTAGAGAATTGCAGTGTAGAATATTTAGATCTTAAGGTAAATAGAAAGAGATTTGATGAATAAAATCAAGGTTTTAAAAAAAGATTTGTTATACTTTTTTGTTTACATATTATTTTTTGCAAAGAAGATGTAACTAGGTGATTTTATCTAATTACTTTATTTCTGTGAAGTAAAATGGTTGACTTTATAAGCTTTGCTGCTATCACGAAACCGTTAAATACATCAAGCGCAGGCACGAAGCCAACACTAAAAAGTTGGGCAGGCAAAAAGTTTTCGGAGGTAGTATCGCCTTTTGCCGACAAATAGGGCTTGTCTCACTCTTTTTGGGTTTTGTCATAAAATAAATAACCTTATATGCTGCTATTTTGTGTTTCTAGCTTATCATTCAGAATTCTAAAATGTTGATTTGTATTTTAAGTTCATGCTTTGAAAGTTTAGCTGCTACAGAAAATTTAGCACATTACAATTGAGTACCACGACAGTCCTTTCTTAATGTTATGATAGTCAATTGCATGCTAAAATGAATTTCCGTTATCAAACGATGATTTGGCTTTGCCCATTTTTAATAAGATATACATGTAAGGACATGGGGTAATTAGATGCCACATGACAAATTAATGCTCATTTTACTACTTTGTATTTGTCATTTCTACCAAACTGGAAATATAGAAATGTAGAAATACATTTCAATAAATGTATTTCTACCAAAAGAGATAAACTATCCGTCATATTCCACTGCTTAAACCAGAATTATTTGGTTAAAAACGTCATTCCAGCAACGTTTCTCGTTCGCAGAGAATAAGCAGGAACCTCTCCTCTTGTTTTAACCCCCATCTCCCCTGAAAACATTGGCAAATCCCTGTTTACCATCACAATTCAATATCCCCAGTTGATGAAGAGCTCCAAACTGGTAATCGACATTTTCCCGCCCCAAAGTGGTATTCCTCGCCATTTCCGTCTCGTCTATCGGGTTGTTTCGGCAATAGTGGAGGCTCTAGAGTTACAAAATAAGCTCAATCATGCAAATCGTAACACCAGCTAGCCTGTGCTCCAGACCCCTTACTTAAAAGAAGAGGGTCTGTGTAACCGAGTGCCAAATCGCGTACGAGGATTGAATTGAATAATTTGCATAATTATCATATTAATGACGGTCATGACGGTACGATCGAGATTATTTGTTGGGAGAAAGATTTGAGGATGCTACTGAGCTATTCAAAACTTAATTGTGACCGAAACCACCAAAATGCAGCATTAAAGGGGTTGTCAGACCCATTCAGGGGCAAATTTGAGTTGGGATCTGACCTTTATCTTTTTCAGCGCATCATATTGCTTATCTTTTACCAAAATTCAGTACTTTACCTGTTTTTGCAATAGAGTTATGATGAATGCTCCAAATAGACTGGGTCCGAGTCTCAAAATTGACGCATCAAGTTGTTTATCTTTGCCAAAATTCAGTATTTTATCTGTTTTTGCAGTGGAGTTTTGATGAATGATCCAAATGGGCTAATTCCGAATACCCCAGTCTAAAAATAGCATTCAGGGGTAAATTAGAGTTAGGTTCCGAACCTTATCGTTTTTAACACATCAAATTTCTTACGCTTGCCAAAATTAAGCTCTTTATCTTTATTTCCAAAGGAGTTATTATGAATTCTCTTTAAGTGAACTGGTTCAGAGTACCCCATTCTTAAAATAGCATTCGGAGGCAAATTTGAGTTAGGGTCGCTCTTCATCTTTTTCAGCGCATCAAACTGGGTAGGTGTGCGAAATATCATGCTGGTATCACCAGTGAGGCAAATTTGTTTACTTCCGCCATTTTATATTGTGGCAAAAAGCGAGCTGCAATAGGGTTCAGTATGGAAAATTTGCTTGTTTTAATGAATGATTTTCTCGTGGCTCACAACTATTTCAGTGTCTTTTCTGATGCTGGTAGTCGGAGGAGTTATAAATCAACAACACATAACAACTTTTTGGGGTTTTTAAACAGAATTTTTAAAAATATGGCTCTTTTAGTTTACGCAGTTACGGGGGGAATATAGCAGTGGCCTGTCGTGTTTTTATGAGTTGAAGAAGTATCTGCTTGCACTTTTTATCTTCATATGAATTAGAAAGAACTTTTTGAGTCTATTATCTAATAACATAGACGATTTTAAGTATATAATTTTTGAATTTTTCTGTCTGTCGTTTAGAACCTAATATGGCATGAGTAGGAAAGTGCTAATGTTTTATATTTAGTTTGTCAAATTGAATTTGCAGAAAATAAATTTGAAATGAATCAAATTTATTTTCTCTTGGTAAGGCCAAATTAGTAATCTTTGTCGTGAAAATATACCCCGAAGGTATTTTATAGGCCTAAAGATATGGTAGGTAGGGACGCCTTGTGCTGAATAATAATTACAAGCAACGATTGTGGTTTTGAAATAGTCTAAAAATATATATGATTATATAGAATCAAAAGTTGGTTACTATATCTAAACTCTGTTATTAATATCCAAGCATTAAATTGTGACCTATTTTCAGCTTTTTCTAGAGTTGGGCCAAGATATTTCATAGCAGTTTCTTTAACCAAAGAAAGAAAAGTAACTAAATCACATCTTTGTACAAATGTGTTAAGAAAGTTATGCATTGAGTGGCTGAACATTGTTGCTGGATCCGTTTTAAAACAGGTCAATCATTATTTTCTGGAATTTCAACGAGACCTAAAATACCGCAGCGACTGTAAATGCTTGAAATTTGCGAATGACGGCTTATTTTTCCAATATTGACATCAGTTCATAAATTTAAGTGCAATATAAGGCCACTCACCAAATTTCACATCGACATTCGAAAGAGAAGTGAACGAAATCAATCCTTACTTTAACCAAATTTATAAGGGTTCAGTATGGAGCAAGTTCCTTTTTGCCACTACATTGTATCAAAAATGTATCAAAAATGTATCACTACTTTGTATAAAAAATGGCGGAAGTAAACAAATTTGTCTCACAGCGTACCCGTGAGTAAGACATCTAGCGCCTTCGGCGCTTCTATATCATTGACGCGAAAATGAAGATTGAAAGCGAGGTCGACAAGGAAAGTGAAAGGCCGATAAAACATGTCTTCGAAACTAGAGTTGTCAGTGTCACCTGATCTTAGGAAAAAATCACAGATGTGTAAGCACAAATCTTGTTTTTTTCATCATTGATTATTTTATCTTTCATTACCTGAGCAAGTTATGACAATCGCAATTTTTGTTTTTGTCAATGCCCACTGACAAAACATAAAATTGTTATGTGAGTGCGCGAATTTTATTTTTTTTCAAATTGAAATTTGCAAACTTTTGTTGCTGAACGCGGAATTCGTAGCATGCTAATACTTTGGTTACTGTAGAGAGTCAATGCATTTATACCGAGGTTGGAAAAATAGGTTTATGTCTATATCTGCAACTTTTTATGTGGACGTCCTCTTTTTTCATGTACACTCTTTTTTATAAGATCAAGGTGATAAGAACACCAGTCTCAAATTAAGGACATGCTGAGACTGAGCTACTGTGAAATATGACTTTGAACAATGTTTTATCTCAAAAACGAGGAGTCTTTTGCAATCTAGGGATGCTTTTAGGTGAATTTTCAAACTAGTCGCCAAATGAAGGATGTCTAACTTTATGGCAAACGAGGCCTAAACATCCCCCAATAACTAGCAATTGCAAAGCTTACACCCTTATAATTCAAAAACGAATTAAGAAAAATCCAGTCTCGAACAGCCAGCCTAAACTTCAATTAACTGGTTTTTATAAAAGAAGAGTGTACTTTTGCCTATGTGTTCCAAAAGTGTTTACTTTCAGGTTCTTTGCAATTTCTCTCTAGAAACCTGCTATGCCTTCCTGATTGCTAATGTCGCTTGACTTGGAATTGTGCAGTAATTTTAGTAATCATTTTTCAGTATCATATGTTGTTTGGCTGTTGTCTGTAACTTTATATGCTTCTTTATTACTTGGGTCAAAGTGTCATTGTTCAATCAGTTTTATAGCATCTTGTCTTTGACTGTAATTTTGTATTTAGGTAAAATTTTATCAGAAAATCTTATTGTTTTATTTAGCGTCGAGTTAAGCTCAGTCAGTACAAGCAATCTTTCTAGTAGATGAATTGCTATGCAGCACTAACCTGACATATGTATTCTCTAAATAAACTGCCATGTTGTACTTACCTGACATAGGTATTCAGCCAGTTCAACCAATGTCATCAGAGTCATCATCATTTAAACCATTTTTGCAGACTGTCGACTTGAAATTTTCAAAACCTGGAGATTTCAGATTTTTTGTTGAGAAAAACAGGGAGATTTGGCCAAAAACAGGAATTTGTTGAATTTATAAACAAAATAACTGTCAAAAAGTCATGTTGAACAAGCAGTTAATGACAACAATTATCATGGGTAGCATCTTCCTTTTGGTTTTTAATGTTTTCATTATTTTGTAAACGCTAACAAAAACTTTGTCACGAAGAAAATCATTTCCATCATTTTTGTTATAAGAAAACCTTTGCTGAAAGACAAGAAAAAACAGGGAGAAAATCATAAAAAACCGGGAGACCAGGGAAAAGCAAGCAAAACCTGGAGTCTTCCGGCAAAACCTGGAGTCTTCCGGCAAAACGGGGAGAGTTGACAGGTCTGCATTTGTGAAGCCAGTAGACATATGTCATCAGAATTTCAACAACATTTGTGAAGCCAGTGGGCATTTGTGCACAATTAAAACACATTCAAATGAAACTTCAAAACATTGGCAACACATCTATTTGGAAATTTAACAAAAAGTAGTATAAACTTTTAAATGAGTAAAGAATGCTAACTTTCAGTAGATTGTATTAAGGATTTAAAACCTTAGTTTCTAAAACTTGCTAAAATCTAACCAAAGTCATTTATAGCTGGTTTTGTTAAATGTGACAGTGAATTGTTAATGTGAACTTAATAGGCTAAGTATATAAATTCATTAGCAAGTTGACCTGTCAGCTAGACATCTCTATCTAGCAGAATGTATTTTAACTTCCCCTTTTATTTTGTACAAGCAAAACAGCTGCAGTCAAGCCAATGCAAACGAGTTTGCATGCTGACAACTGTTTTGTCAAATGGACTGTATTGATGTTCAGTCTATTGTTTTTGTATCAGATAGAAAAGCCTACTGATCACCAAAAAGTCTCAAAATGGAGAAGATAACATTGCCTGGGTTTTCGCCATACTATGGACCAACAGCAGGATTCTCAAGAGCATTCCAAACCTTCATTAAAGATATTGGAGATGCCAAGTCTAAATATGTAATGCTTTACTTATCATTTTAATTTATCATTTATAATTCATCTTTAACATTTTTCATTTCCCTTGAGTTTTTTCACATTATTTAGGAATTCCTCTATGGATAGCTACAATATATATTTTAACTAACCTTAACTCTTAAACTAACATGTACTTTAACTAACACATAAATATTTTTATAATATTAACTCATAAGTAAATTTCTCTATTTAAACGTGGATGGCATTGCAATAATTTTCTTATTGACTTGCCCTCTGAAGCTGTTTCAATCTTTAAATTGCAAAGAAGAAAATTATGGGCTAAAGCTGTTAATGAGGCTGTGATAGGAAAATCAATGGCTGAAAATTATAGTTAAGAAACCTGGCACCTAGCAGAAAACACAGGTATTAAAAAATCATCATGATTGTGAGGTCTAGTTCTTTTGGTCCTTTGAATCCCTTTGATTTGCCAGCAGTATATTATGAAACATATCCACCAGTTTAGATATTTTGTCTTTCACTTGAAGTTAGAGAGTACTATTCTGCACCTGTTGTTGAATTTAGAGAGAACTCTATGAAACCAAACTCTATGCATTTATGGCCCATGTTGAAATGCACTTAATTCCATGTTCATTTCTATATATTAATATATTGGTATCTCTTTCATATTCGTATATCTCAGGGCTTTTTTGTAATTCTTTCTTCAACAGTTTTTGGCAACTTTCATATATATGTCGCTTAGTTTTTAATCATCTTTTAAGGATAAATTTTAAAAAAGGGATAAATTTAATGAAATTGAAACAAATGATGAAAAATGGAAAACAAGAATTAATGCATTCTTTTTCAATTTTTGACAAAGAAGTTTCAGGCAACCTTGATATTTGTGTATGAAATCGTTGATGTAAATGTTCAAGCCAAAGAAATAAATCATAATTTTTATGCAGGAAGAAGACAGAATTATGTTAAGAGAAATTAATTACCTGAAGGAACATCTGGAAAGACCAAATATTCAACAGGTAGGCAATCTGCAAATTCTAAAATTATTTATGTTCAACCAAACAAACTCTTTTTGTGTGTTGTTTATGTCCGTTGCTCACTGATTGATAAATTTATGACATTTGATTGCATTATACAGAGGATTCTCATCATATTTCATTTTAGAGGATTTTCTGTTTATTTGATGATATGAGATTTGTGTCACGTACCATGTTACTAATTTTATTTAAAAGTTGCTATCAATTTTCATTACTGAATTTAATAGGAAACATCATTATATCATGTTTATCGAATAAGAATCTTCAACATTTATTCACCCAATTCCTCATCAAACTGCACCCTGACATTTTCAAACATATTTGAATTGAATGTGAAGATTTTGGGTGGCATTAAAAAGAATTTAAAGCTATTTGCTTATCCATTCAGAATAAATCCAATTAGTTACTCAAATATCTTGCATTGGATCTTATCAATATGCAAAACAATGTTGAATTTTAAAAATGACCATCAATGAGTCTATTTGATCTGATTTCACAAACTCTACGGTAAAAAGAAGTGATTCAAACAAAAGCAAATAATTTGCAAGAAGTGATTTGAGTTTTTGGAAGCACTTCCCATTGGAACCTTTATTTGATCGTAAATTAAACACCTCAAAGAAAAATAAACAGGGTTCAGTATTCTGAGCCTTGTTTGAAAGATCAGTTTAAGATTTTGCACCCTTCAATTAGGGCTGGTATAGATATGTGTTTGCTAAAAACAGTGTCACAAAAGACATCACATTTAGTATTTTTAAATTCTTTCTGCATCGTTTGTATATGTGCCTATTTTCATGGTGGATATTTTTCTATTTTCCTTGGTCTGCTTGAAGAAAAGGTTGCAAGGATCTGATCCATTCTCCTAAAAGGTTTTAACCCCTGCTTTAAGATTTAAAACTATCCATTCTATTGTAGAAACAAATGAAAGAAAACTTAATAAGAATGATCTACTGTGAAATGCTGGGCCATGATGCATCATTTGGCTTTATTCATGCTGTTAACTATACGCAAAAAGGAAACCTCATGGACAAGAGGCTGGGTATGCAGTCTTGTTACTTTCATTTCTCATAACACCATTTTTTGTCAGTTCCTTAAAAGTATTAGCAGATTGAAAAATAGTTACTATTAAGATAGGTGTTATTTTGTTAGGTCGATACAGACTTCGCTTTATGTAACACTCAATTAACATTAACTTCGAACTTTGGCAAGAAGCTAATTTTATATAATTTGGAGAGAAATTTAATTTTTCATGATGATAAAGCAAGATTTTCATAATTTCCATCACTACTCTCACATGTGTAGCAACTTTTTCTCTGTGTTAAAAGAGCCTGGTGTTCCTGTGTGCTGTTTTTCTTCATACCATTAAAGGGAATTAAGGTAACAAGCGTATAATGTTTCTCTGATTTACTAAGAAAATGCTCACTGTTGCTCACCTTTCCTACATCTCCTTCACAGGGTACTTAGCCTGCTGTTTGCTTCTTCATGAAAACCATGAGCTGACGCTGCTTGTTATGAACACAATACAAAAAGTAATTTGCATTTTTAAAAAAAATGATTTCCAACACTGCATTATGAAGTTTGATAGTAATTTGCCACATAAGGAGGAAATCTCAGAAAAATGTTTTGCAAAACCACACCAACATTAGCTTTGTTTAATTTACGAGCATCGCACGTGTGTTTCTTTGGCGAATGTTTTTTGAGTCACATTTGTTAATTTTTACTAATCAAGATTCATCTTGCTTGTTTTGTCGTTGTTACGAGACAATGAATCCCTTCCTAAGTGAATGAAATGCTTGATGCTATTCATATTTTTTCATAGGATTTAAAAAGCTCAAACATCATGGAAAACTGCATCGCTTTGATCGCAGCTTCCAGATTGGTTAACAGTGATATGATTCCAGCTCTTCTGCCTTTAGTTTTCAAGTTATTGCAGCACAAAAGGTTTGGTTTGAAGCACAAAAGTTCTTCCCATTGCGTTTTCATTCAACTGTATTCGTTCATTAGTTGTATTTAAATAATTGTATTTAAATGTTCCAGAGTCAAGTAATTTTCGCACGCATATGCTTACAGTGCTTGTTTTAGCGCTTTACTTGAAGAAACATTAAATTCGACAACTATGTAGCTTCTCAGTTCATAGCTCCAACTCCTCATTTCAAATCACAATTTCATAAAAATGGTATATGCTTAAACTATTTATGTAGTTCATTCGTATGCATTCCATTTATCATAAACCGCTTAAACTTGATTTACAGAGACATTGTAAGGAAGAAGGCAGTCATGACCTTGCTTTGGTTTTATCGACTAGATCCTCAATCTTTAGACAGTTCTGTATCTGTCTTTGAATTAACCCTGTGCGATCGCAGTCCTTCTGTTATGGGTGCGACATTAAACGTCTATTTAGAACTCATTAACGTGAGTATAATTCTTCATTTTCATATTCTATATAACGTTGTAGGGGTTTCCTCTGAATGCCTTCATGATTGAAACCAGTGTTCGCAGTGAAGGGGTTCAATAGATAAAAGTCCGGCGAGCCAACTCAGTGGAAAATACCCAAGAATTTCATCGGGTCCAGGGAAGGGTAGCCTATGTGGAGTGTATAAGTGGGAAATGATTCAGCTGAAAGCAGACTGTATCTTTCGGACTGCATCTTTTCCAAAACTCGAAAACTTCAACCATTGTATATGAAACTGGAATTCCATGAGATTTTGAAAAAATAGTAAAAACCTGACAAATTATGGGAAAAAGTAAATGTGAGCAAATCCTGGCTTCTGGCCTAAAATTTCCCCTTTTTCTGGTTCCTAGCTGTACCTCGTTTCACCGGACATTGTTCTGCATCAATAATTGTAAGAAAATCTTTAATGATGTAGTTAGCCTTACGTCGTTTTGTTTAGAAACTTTTTTAATTTTTGGATCATTTTTCTTGAGCTTCAATCTTATATATTCGTCGTCGTATAATATTCAGTTGTACTCCAATCTATGTTCAGATACGCTTGACTTGCGTCCATTGATTCTCTTTAGTATCGTCTTGAGCAACTTTGCTTGCCTTTTTAAAGTGCCTATGAAATGAAATTTTACACATAGTTTTTTAAAAGAAATTGAAGCTTCTACATGTTTTTGCAATATAAAACGAAAATTAACTCGAAAATTTGCACAGGAATGTTTGTTTTGGGGGTTTTAAAAACAATGAGTGCGAGTGACAAAGCATAAGAATCAGTGACGTCACAAGGTTTGCATCTAGTTCCGTCTTCATAATAAACACACCATACCTTTTAGTCAGGGCTGCTAGTCAAACAATTTGCAATTTGTGATACCAGCATTGAATTTTGCAAAAAGGGGTAATTTGATACGCTGAAAAGGGTAGGATATGGGACCCAAATGAAAATTGCCCCCTTTGGCTAGTTTTAGGCCGGGGTTCTTTGCCCCAATCCCTTAACGGCGTTATTACTTCTGAAATCTCTTCTGAAAGTAGGTACAATGGCACAAAACTTTACAACAGGGGGCAGTTTGATACGGTACAAAAGATAGGATATAGAACCCAAATGAAAATTGCCCCCTTTGGCTAGTTTTAGGCCGGGGTTCTTTGCCCCAATCCCTTAACGGCGTTATTACTTCTGAAATCTCTTCTGAAAGCACGAAACTTTACAACAGGGGGCAGTTTGATACGGTACAAAAGATAGGATATAGAACCTAACTTAAAATTGCCCCCTTTTTCTATTTTTCGACTGGGGTACTTTGCTCTAGACCTTTAAAAACGGGATTATCCCATCTCAGTCGTACTTTAATACTTCAGCACGAAACTTTGCAAAGTAGGGCAGTTTGATATGCTGAAAAAGATAGGATATAGACCCCTTCTGAAATTTGTCCGTTGTGCTATTTTTAGACTAGGGTACTTAACCACATGACTCCACTAACAGTAATATTTTGCTTTCTTTGCTGCAAGTAGGTACATTAGCAGGAAACTTTGCAATAGGTGGCAATCTGATACGCAGAAAATGATAGGGTATAGACCCTGTCTGCAAACTTGCCCCCTTGTTCTATTTTTAGACTGGGGTACACTGTCCAGAACCTTAATAGACGGTATTATCATACTTCAGTCATACATTGGTACAACAGTATGAAACTTTGCAAAAAAGGACAGTTTGATGCGCTTTAAAAGATTGGATATGGACCCTGACTTTAAATTGCCCCCCTGTAGTTTGAATAGCGACTTCCATTCTGCTTAGTGTACTAAACGCCAACTGCTTCCGTGTTTGCAAACATTGTGACGTCGCGGATAACGCGCGCTTTTTCACAGTTGAAAACGTGAAAATAGGATATTCAACCTTAATTTTTAGATGGTTGCGCAAGAAAAAATATCACCTGAACATATATCATTGAAATCTGCCAATTTTGCCTTTAAAAAGTGTGCCATTACCTAAACTTGTCAAATTTAATTTCATAGGCACTTTGAGTAGTTTTCATTGTTCTTATATAAGTTATATGTTATAATCTGAGACTTGTTTATAACCTGTACACCTTTGTATTTTCGAAGTTCTTGATAATTTTCATTAACTAAGGGTTTTTTTCAAACTCTTGCAGCTTCATACAAACAGTCGCTCAAAATTGAGGAATAACAACTCTTCCTCGTTTGTGATCGAAAACTTTCGATTATTTATTTTCTTGCAAAGTAAGTCATAGCACCTCTTCATACAGGTCTCTCCGGCAAGTTACAAAAGATTCACGCCAACATTCGTTAATATTCTGAAGCAAGTAATCGAATATCGACTGCCAAATGAATTTACGTATTATAATGTGCCTGGTCCATGGATTCAGATCAAATTATTGAAGATTCTTGCAGCTCTTGGCCGGAACGACCAAAAGTAAGTTTAAAGCTCTTAATTTAGCCACAAGATCCTAGGTTTTGACTTTGACCTTACCACTTTCATTTCTTAACATTAACACCAAACATTAACGAAATTAAAAGTAAATTAATGTGCAAGAATATCAATTTCTTTTGCGTTTTCTCCGCCCAGACGCTTCTTTGCCTTTATATATAGTAAATGTTTTTTTAAAAGGACAAGTGCTGACATGTTTGAAATATTAAAGCAATGTTTAGAAACAACGCATACGGATAACAATATAGGATGTGGTATGTTTTCTAGTCTACCTTTTTTCTATCTTTGCCATGAGCAGTTGAACTTTTCGTTGTAGCCCTTATACAAAGCCGAACCTCTTTTCAGTGTCAATTCTTTAAGCTTCACATTGAAATATAATTTTCTAGGTCTAGACTCGTGTAGCGGATTTTGATTTCATTTTGACATTTGACGATTTTAATGCTAGTTTAAGTAACACTGAATTTTAATGCTAGTTTAAGTAACATCTTCCCGTCTATTTTTTCTTGATGTTTTGTGATTTTATCCAATTTATTGATCAACACTGATTCAGTTCAGTTTAATTAACCCTGTTCTTCTTTTTCCATCTTTAGCTGTTTTGTTTGAATGTTTGCGTACTTCGGTGACCATCATTCCAAACAAAGCCTTAACTGAGCTTGCTTCTAGAAGAGTAGGCCTGCTACTTGTTTCCAGAAATAACAACCTCAAATATCTTGGTAAGAGTTGTTACAATTACCCCCTAATATGTGCCTGTCGATTGCACTTAGATAAAGTGAGCTCGGAATAAAAACTAGGAGTGATTGAGTAGGCGGAAAATGATACTTTGCTCTAAGATTAGAAACAAGTATTGCAACCAAAACTCTTTTTATATTTTGTCTTATTTTTTCTAACCATCTCTGATATTCCCCACCCATGTCTCAACCGAAGTCTTTTACTTTCAACGACAGTTTTTTACTAAACAAGACCAACTTTGCAACTTTTCTTACGTCAGGCCAAGTAAATCTCAACTTTAAATTAAGAATGGAAATTTCGATTTATCATTATAATGGATTTACTTAGTTTATTAAAAAACCTCATGATTTTTGTAAGGAAAAAGCTCGCATTTGACGTTGAGCACTTCAATTTCCAATATCCAACTGCATCTCTCCAGGACATTCATTTTCCTTGCACATTTGTTCATACCACTGCTGCTGCTTTCTTCCACTGCTGCTGCTTTCTTCCACTGCTGCTGCTTTCTTCAACTGCTGCTGCTTTCTTTAGGTATTAACATATTGGCGGATCTAATCGACGTCGACCTCTCCTACGCTGCAAGGCATCAAATGGCCGTCATTGAATGCTTAAATGATCCTGATCAAACTCTTAAAAGAAAGGTATCTGCATTCATTTTCAACTTGTTGTTCATTCCTTGTCAACGTGTTTTTATTTCTTGTCATCGTGTTTTTATTCCTTGTCAAGGTGTGTCCATTTTTTGTCAATTTGTTTTCATGTTTCTTGAATTGTTTTTCCTATTAGGAACCTTAGTGCCATTTCCTGCATCGTTTAGCATTTATATGTTTTTGAAATATGTTAATAAATTCGGTTCTGTTGGAAATTGCTGCTTCTAGGTGGTAAACTTTGAGCATTTCGCAAGTAGATTTGCTCTATTTTTGTTCTAGATTGACAGTTTGTTACATGAATTGTTGATTTGATGAATTCTCATTTTAGACCTTGTTGTTATTGTACCGTATGACAAACTCAAGTAACGTGACTGTTATTTGTGACAAAATGATCGATTATCTTCGACACTCAGTTGATGAATACGTGCGGTCGGATCTTGTGAATAGAGTAACGGCCTTGGCAGAAAAGTGAGTAAACAATCGTTTATTTTGAAAATGAATTGTTTGATTTGTTGAGCCTGGAAAGGTTACTTTGCTGCTAGCAAAAAATCGCAATGCACCTCGGTAATTGTAAATTGATATATTCATTTTTGCATGAAATTGAAAGCAAAAAGTAAATTTTGGTACATCCTGCAGTTTGCAGACATTGAATGCATTGTCGCCTGCTGAAGCGAATTTCTCTAAATTTATTTCTGTAAAATCTAGCGATATCTCCTCTAAATTTCCATTTTCTTTCTGTTTTAGTTCCTTTTTATCGCAGTAATCAATAACTCAAATGCATTCGCTTCATTAGGTTTGCCCCTGACAACGAATGGTTCATCGAAACAATGAATACAGTATTTGAATTGGGAGGCAGCCTTGTCAGACCACAGGTGGCCCATAATCTCATGATGTTAATCGGTGAAGGTATCTTGTTTTCCTTGTCAGTTTTCGTTTTTTTATGATTGTCACTTTAACCAATTTTCGTTTTATACCTATAGTTGTCTGGTAATCGAAGAATGACATTGTTATTTTGATGTTCTTTGATGACTATACTTCAACTTTGTGTTCTGTATTTGTCGAGGTGTCATCTTTGAAAGGCCCACAATGCTTATCTTAGTTTAGGTGAATCTCTTTCCGAAAAAGGCTTTGTTTTCACAGGGACAGATGACGATGACCTCGACAATGAGCTTCGATTGCATGCCGTCAATTCGTACCTCGATCTGATTGATAAAGATACTATACCAGATATTTTGACGCAGGTCGTCTGCTGGGTATGTGGCCCTTAGATCATTTTGTACTTCAAAGAGGTCTTTGTGTTTTTCGTTTTTGCTTCCCTTTGCAACGAAAGCAAAAAACTCACTGCAATTTTTTCGATATCACTTTTCGAATCTGAAAATTTTTAGAATGTACATAGGCAGTATTCATAAACAATAATTTGGGGAAGAATACGTAGGTTTTATCCTGTCCCTGTTTTATGCTCGCTTTTTCGTAACAAAATGCTTTTGGATTTAAAGCTGGGAAACTGTTTTCATTATGTATCACTATTTCTATTACGTATCAACGATTGGTCTTACTCGTTGGTAATTGCAAGAAGGAGCTTGATAATGAAAAGTTTCGATAGTGTTTGAAAGGTTCAAATTCATCCATTTCCATTGCGTTGAAAGGTTTCTAGCATTGGAACGCATCATTTTCATTGATTTCCTATATCAAAGGACGCGACAATTGTGCGCTAGCTTATGCAGGAACTTTGCCAAAATATGCAGGAACTTTTATCCGACTTGCGAGAACTTAATATCTTAGGAAGAGGAATTGGTATTAAAGAACAAAAGCATTTTCCCATTCTCTCTTAGTAGGGAAATTTCCCTTTGTAAACAGTTCTGATGTTTTCTTGCTATGGTACTATTCTTCTTCTAACACAGTTGTTAAAATATTTCCACATTTTGTCGCTTCTTTACGTCTTGACACGTCTAGCACTAGTCCAATTGTTTACATTTATGTAGATAATGCAAAGGTAAGAAACTATAGCCAACACGATTTTCATATTTAATAGAAGAATAAATATTAACGTTATACGTATGAAATCCCTCTTACGTAGAAATCGATTATGAGATTTTAAGATTATGAGATTACGTGGCAAGATTATGAAATTTTAAGTTTCAATCGTTAAATCTGCGCGTCACAATATTTTCGCCTTAATTGTTTTAGAAGCATAATTCAAAATGTTTGGTTACAGGTCATTGGAGAGTACTCTTACCTTGCAACACATTGCGATCCTGAAGATGTTTTGGAGAAACTTTGCAATTTGTTAAGAAGAAACTCGAGAGGTAAGTCCGCGCTTTGTAAAGAAAAGTTGAGAGAGCTTTTTGATTCTGTGTGTGTGTTTTTTGAGGTTGACTTGGTGATTTATTTTGTAGATGGTTCGATCAATTCATGGATTGTTACTTCAATTGCAAAGATCTGCGCGCAAATTGGATTCCTTCCTGATAAAACCAGAGAAGAGTTAGAAAAACAATTAGCATCATCGAGCAATTCGGAGACAAAGCAGGTTTTTATGCTAATATCAGCCATATGAATCAATACTTATTTGTTCCTTATAATTGTGATTTTTGCTTTGCTTTGTATTCCCCGCAATACATACAAATGGCTTCTGGTGAAAGTTTTCAATCTAATCGATATGTAAGTTGTTTAAATTTGTTCATTGAAGCAAAGCAATTCGTGCTTTCCTTTTTATGTGGCGCTGCATTTTCTCATCCGTTGATCTTTTGAAAAAATTCTACTACTGGGAATTTTTATTTACCTAAGGTATCGAATACTACTCAGGGTAGGGACGCTGTTGATGAATTACTTTTAACGGCCAGCGATCAAATGCTAACGTGCCCAAACATTAAATTTGTGCCGCTTTTCTCTCAAGGTGCGGTACGAGAATAATCTCAAATCTTTATTGTTAGAATATGACGTTGCAACTGGAATTCGTTTTGTTGAAATGTGTTTTTTCCTTTCAGCGTTGTGCGGAACTTTTCGGTTTATTTGACATATTCCAATCCCTAGAAGATGTTTTGCCGCCAGATGCAAGCTGCGAAGATTTGGAGGTTTGTCATACAACTTTGGCAAAATGAGCGATTTCTTCCTTGGCATCTCCTCAGGGAGAATGGATTTTTGAACTAAATACGAAACGATTTATACAGATATGAATACGATATTATTTTGTTTCGAATAGATTTGGCTACCTAAAAGGAACCTAGAAACTTTCATTGTGAGTTTTTAATCATTAGCTCCTGGCTCTTTTAATGTTTTGCAGATAATTTCTATAGGAATTTAAGCGAGTAAGAAAAACTACAAATATAATGGGTTGGCTACAAATATAATCTAAAGCTTGAATTTCTTCCTTGTCCACCGCTTTATTCTGTGAGTGTTGGGCAACTTTTAGATTACAATCTGACAATTTGATTTCGAACTTTAGACATCTAGAGAATTTTTTTGACACATAGAGATTACAAACTCTAAGACCATATAAACTGCCATTTGATTTCGGCTAATACAATTGAAACTTCTCTTATAAGGATTATTGTCTTTTCGTCTAAGGTTGACTCTACTTTGTCGTTCTTGGACGAGTTTGTTGCCGATGCACTTGCCCAAGGGGCTGCACCGTACAAGCCAGAGCACCTTCGCCAGATACCAACGTCGAACATCCTCACAGCTGGTAAAGTATTTCTTAGCAGCTCTTTCTCGATCAATTGGAAAAGTAGGAGCAAATAATACGCAGCTTTTATTTTTATTGCCCTGTTTTTGTTGTTCTTGCTCTATAAAGAATCTACGCTTTTCATTGTGTTGCATCTGAGCGATTCGTGAACACGTGCTTTTTTACTTCCGCAGAAAAACACGAGAAGGGGCTCAACTTGACTCCATACCCAGAGTACAAGCCTCGTAAGGGGGCCTCAAGACACTCGTTCGATCACCCGATAGTCACAGAGAGTCAACCGTCTGGAATTAATTCTTCTGTTGGCGGAATGATTCTTCCAACTGACCTTTCTACCCCGTAAGTTTCTATGCTGATTCGCTATTCCCTTTTTTGTTGCAAGTCTGTTAAATGTTCATTAAAGTTGAAACGTTTCTTTGATAGCAATATTTTCTGTAAATATAACGTTCAGAAGATCATTTCTTATAACAAAAGCACCAAGTTTTAGTGACTTTTAAATGGTTCTCAAGGTACAGTTGTTTTAAAGGTCTTTGATTACTGTAAATTAGAAGTCCTTCATGTTTTACCCAAGCTTAAAAGTTATAGAAATGTCGAATACTTTAAATATAAAATGCTCATTTGGTCGGTTTCACGGTGTTAAATTATAGAAGAAAAAGGATGTGGCATGGTGAATATATAATATCTGTCCATTGGTTCTTATAGAGCTGTGTTGAATAAACAAAAGGCAGCTAAAGTCGTTTGGGGACTATCAGGCTACCTTGGTAACAAAGATCGGGACAATTCTGCTGACCAGATGTCGGATTCGTCTTCAACAAACTCAGGTGCCGACAGTGGTTCTTACGCAAGCATAACCAATCAACGTCAAGAGAATCCGGTACGTCTCTGCCGATATTGATCTATCTGTATATCTAATGAAAATTACTATTTTCCGGTCTGTCACGAAGTGCTCAATACTGTATAGGCAGAGCTGTGTTGCCTAATGATCGCATTAAGCGTGAAACTTTACGTAGCAATTTATAACTGTCCTGTTCTATATACCAAATAATGTATTAGTATATTTATGTATGAGTATGCACATGTGAAATATTTTGTCTAGGCCCATCTTTGTTGCTCTATGGCTGGACAAAACCATTAGGTCGGTATTCTATTCTATAGTCCATTAGGCTGGACAAAACCATTAAGTCGGTACTCTATTCTATAGTCCATTAGGCTGGACACAACCATTAGGTCGGTATTTTATTCTATAGTCCATTAGGCTGGACAGAACCATTAAGTCGGTACTCTATTTGCCCCGCAGTTATCATCAGTTTTATTCTTTTATTCAATAAGATTTTCTGACACAATTCATTTCGAACAATAAAAGAAAGGCCTTCAATTACTTGCTGCCATGTGTTAACTAGCTGTGAGAGACAGCTTTTTGTTGTTTGTACCACTAAGCTATGTAAAACTAAACTCGTTGTCATGCCATCGTAGAGCACGGAATCTACACCCAACCAGACATTGACACAACAACCATCGGATAATGTGAAATTAGCCGAGCAGTTATTTGCATCATCGCCTGGTCCTTCCGGTGATCGAGTAAGGCCGGATAAAGCAGGATTTTCGGGCAGAAGGCGACTGGATAAGCGCTCAAGAGAGTCCAAGCTGATTGCAGGACCTAAACAATCAAATGAATCAAAACAAAACCCAATCATGTTGTTAGATTTAGATGACACAAATGCTGCAGATTTATGTGAACCCGAACATATCAATGCCAGTGAAGCAATCGAGAAATGCGAAAGAGATCTTCTCGATTCTTTGTACGAAGAAATTCCTCAAATGACATTAAATGAAGAGGTAACTATTGAAAGTAGAGGATATGAAATGATTGAAGATTCTTCAAGCTTTCCTGATGTAAGAGAAGCCTCTCTCATCACACAAGAAGCATCGATCAGTTCGAATGGCGACGAGTTGATTCCTGTTCAGGTGACTCCACTGCATAAAATATTATTTTATTACAGCTCTTTGCAAATGCCATGTAATGTACTTTATCCCTTACCAAGAATGCTATTTAAAAGCAATATTTGCAATATTCTTGAGCTTTGATATCAATATATTTCCTTGCACGCAAATGGGTTCAAACCAAAGTTGATGTCAACATTTCAAAAGCAGTAATGAGAAACTGACACTGCTAGTCATGTTTTTACAGTCAGTTGATTTCGTTTTATCAATCTTCGTCACATCAGTTTCTTAAAATTGTACATTTATTAACTTTGTTGAATTTCATTTTTTGCCATTTAATTTGCTTAACTCAGTGTATGGTATATAGCGTGAAAATTTGTGAAGCCCTGTCATTTTTATAATCGATGCAAACCAATACTTAAGCGAGAATTTTTTATTTCAGATACCAGATGATGTCATCTCCCAGACAGTGCAACCCACTGACTACAATGTAAACCAGAGAAATGAGGATGAAGACCTCTTTGCGTCCATAGAACCATCAACTGTGAGTGCACCCGCGCAGATACCAATCCGCAGCACCCCTTCCTTGCCTGAAGATTTAAAAGATAATCTTCATTCTGAAATTCAAGTAACATGCGAAGATTCCAATCTGAAACTTTCACAACAAAAAGTATTTTTACCAGATTCGTTAATTATTGTGCTGTATGTTATGAACCAAAGGCCAACGGCTTTGAGAGACGTGTTATTGTTTCTGCAACCACCTTCAAATTTGTCGATAACTATAGATGGAGCTCTTGATACAACTTGTTCTGACGAATTAATTGAGAATTACGAGCATGCGAGACATACTCTACGTTTTGTCTACGGCTCACCGTCTCTGCATATGGTCCTTGGTGGTCACTTGTCGTACAAAGATGCCAGCAACACCCAAAAGCGACTGTTTCTGAACTTACCACTGACAATCTTTGACTTTGTAAGACCCTTAAAAATCGACACTCCAACATATGGCAGAATGTGGGAAGGCACTGCGTATGAGAAAAAGCAGCAGACAGAGACTGAAAGGAAGTTTACTATTAGTGAGATATGTGAACATGTTCAACAAAAATTCAATTTTCACGTTGTTGAGATAATTGGTAAGTAGATTTTAATAATTAAAACCCAGTTGGTAATGCAACGACAAACGTTGCGGCTGGTCATTGTTCCTTTCATGGCCGTGTAACTCGAAAATATTTTCTCTAAGTGAACTTTATTAAATATGTAATATTTCTTTGTGCCCTTTTCTTTCAGGAAGTGAAGCAATCACGGCCGGTAGGATAAACAAAGAGCACTGTTTACTTCATTTCAAATACGCTCATCCTGTCTTGGATTTCCGACTCAAAACCGGGAGCAACCTTCTAAACGACTGTATTTTAAATGGAATAAGTAAATCGTTATGAGTTGAGCGCCACTGAAATTATTGACACTTGTCGGTAGGAATTTTAATCAAACAGAAAAATATGATTCTCATTTTATTTAGAGGCAGCGTATCTAAGAATCTGTATTTGATGTAGGCTGCTGCAAAATTCGGAAATTCTGCCAAATTACGCTTTAATAAAAGATGCCTATTATTCAATGCATTTCCAATACAGGGCAACATTAACGAAATACGTAGATACTTTTTTGATTAAGAAAACCCATTTTTATACGCAAATAAGCATTTTTTAGAAAGACGCACACAAAAGCATTTGTGAAACATTATATTTTCCAGCTTTTGTATTACTGATACACTAATTATGTTAATCTTCAATGTTTGTTCTGCTTCCCATTGCTTTCTTCCCACTTTTTCATTTTTGCTTTAAGACTTTAAGTAATATAGAAGAAGAAAACGTTTTTGTAACCTTTTTGCTTTAAGAAGATAGCAATTATGTAACAAAAGTGCATTGTTTCAGATAAATCTATTTTTCAATTGATAAACATTAGATGAAAATTATTTTTTAAATTTCTTTTATAACAATTATATAGACAAAATCAGAGTTTCGTTACAACCCTTTTAGCATTAGATAAACAGGGCCTAGCACACAATGCTGATTTTAGTCGGCGATACCTGTGATCTTTATCCGTTGAGCTTTTGAATCGTCTTGGGATTGGTATTTTGGGTGACATCGCAAATATTGCGTAGTATTTGATTTTGGACGGATTCCTAAAATAAAAAGTTGACATTAAACAGAATAGAGCCAAAAAGGACTTGACTTTAAATAAAATTAACAAATAACAGAATAGAGCCAAAAAGGACTTGACTTTAAATAAAATTAACAAATAACAGAATAGAGCCAAAAAGACTTGACTTTCGGAGATCTTCGTTTTTTTTCTTCAAATCTACTTGCTGAAAATATTTATTCGTTTGTTGTCTGTGGAGCAGTTCTGTTGCCGTAGTCTCTTTATTAAAGCTTCTTTACAGTTTTTAGAGCTTCTGTCATGGGCTGTGCACGGATCCACATTGCGACCCTAACTACTGACAGAAGGTCCTCTATTCTTGTTCTATGAAAATAATTCCAAAGCACTTCTATCAAAAAAATGATATATAGTCTGAACATGACTGAAGGTCTCTGATATAAGTTTATTTCCTATTCGGCAAATTTGCTGGCTGAACACTAATCTTCTACCTTCCTTGACGTAGCGCTGAGAAGCATGTTTCTGTAAACTTGTAGAAGTGAAGCTTTCTATTTGCAGCTCCATCGTTGTTGGTCGAGCTGCTGTTAGGAAACTCCGCACCTGAGGCGGACTTAGATGCTCTCTCCATACGGGAGAACCCAAAACTCAGAAGAGCGCCACTATTGAAAAAGGTAAGGTGAAAGCCGCAGTATCGACTGGCAGCAAAAATATTTGAACTATAAAATTCAAGGGACAGCTGGAAAGTGAGTCCGGAGCATTGACAACATCGATTTAGAACCAAGGGTCCTAGGCACAGTGAACAAACATTTTATCATGATTATGCTCCATAGTTTTATTTGGTTTGACTTGAAGATTGAAAAACTATAATTGCGAGAAATCGAGCACGGTTTAACTTAAAAACATAAGCATCGAGATAGATTAAGTGGCTTTGCAATGGGCAAAGGCAATTTTTGCTTAGTTGTGCAAAATTCAGAATAAATTAGCAGGCAACATCTCTAATTAGATTAAAAACTTTTATCTAAAAAGTTTTGTTTTAATATCATACTTTAATGTGCATAAATATACCAGATTGCGTGCGGTACAATATAATGCTATAATAACGAATGTAAGTGAATTCTACCAGGAAAATTTTTCTTTCAATAAATAACGGCGTTTTGAGCATAGCCCGTTATCAAGTATATAACTACGTAAGCCCGTATTCTAGTGTATTACTTGATAACGGGCTATGCTCGAAACGTCGTTATTTATTGAGAAAAAAATTTCGATTTTCGTGCATCCTTATACCAAGTACCGTCGTAACCTTGTCCGATGCAGAAGCTTTGACGAAATCAATTCGGTTTATTTGCCTCAAGAAATCCTTTCCAATTTTCCCCTTGGAAACCTTCATACCTCCTATGCCTTTTCACGTTGGGCCTCATTTTAACCTGATTCTCGTTCATCTCATGGAGATGGAGGGAGCACAAAATTTCTAAAAAAGGGCGCCAGACCTACTTCAACTCGGAAGAGGTTGCCACTGCCCCCGCCCTCCCCCTTGAATCTGGCACAGGCGTGCTTTACAAAACAACAACATTGAAATTGTGTCAATCTACAAAAGGCAGGAACAACGCAAAACGGCGGACAGTTGAAATCAGGTAAATCAAATCCAGATTCATTCAGGCAAACGCAGACCTGACGAGTTCACGCTATGGGAGGTGTTGGTAAACGGCTGATATTTTTTCCCGGCTATTTTATTCATATCTTCTTTCAGTACTTGAGTATCAGTATCATTTGAACAAAATCACTTGATGTTGACAAGGCCGACCATTTTGAAACTTTGCTGTTAAAGATGTTTCCAGTTGGGGATTGGCTGCAATTTGAAATGTATCTTCTAAAATGAAAATGGTAAAACTTAAAAACTTATTGCATTAAATGGGGTTGGGGGCTACAGCGTGCTAGGCTCTAGTGTGCCAGGTCTATAAGTGTGCTTGACTATGTAAATTGACGTTTGTGTTCAAAGCTTTTTTGGCAGTGATTCTAGTTTGTTGTTCCTGTATAAAAACATGTTTGAATTTCTGTAACAGCAATCCAAATTTTAACTATTCCACAAGGAATGTATTATATTTTCCCCTTAAAAGTCACATTTAGCCCCAAACGCTCCAGATGTAGAGGGTAGCTGGTAGGCCTGTAGGAAGTAGAAAATATTACTTTTTCATTCTGAAGATCTGGACCAAGTCATTTCGTTTGCATGACATTTCACACTACAGGTTGTTTATGATTACAAAATTTTGCAGACACTTTCGCGAAGCGCTCCCAAGTGACATTTTCACTTTGAGGACTGGTACCAAGTTCTTTTAGAGGTATTTTTCGGCTTGGTTCTCTTTCGAGTTTTATTTCACACCTCAAACTACATAAGTTGAGAAGTTTTCATGCTGGTATCATATTTTGCGCGATTGTTCTGCCATCAGATCTGACTAATGGAGCTCATGCCTTCAAAAATTTTCAAAGATTGCTTCATAAATTTGAACAGGTGTTTACTCTCCATCTCCATTTATTGAAAAAACTTTACTGTGTGATGTTATTCGTTTGATTTGAAACTAAGTATATCTTTATAAATGAATCTGTAATTATTATCATTCTTCTTTTTCTTGCAATTATTTTTATCAACCTTTGGTATCTGTCTGTCAGTATGATCTATCGTTGTTTTTCATCATAAGCCTTTATCCTAAACTTTAGGGGTCGGTTTCCCAAATTTTCATAGAAATTTTTCATCTGTCTGTTTCTCACATTCTCCTAGTATATTGTACCATTTTCCAATTAAATTCCCCCATAACATTCTTCCGCTATATCCTCCCGTTACATCCTTCAATAAATTCTGTCATTGCAACTTCCGAATTCATTGTCGTTTTCTTATCTTTCAGGCAGTTTCCATGCTTCTCTTGTCGGAGCAGTGTCGTTTCTAAATTTTTGTGGATAACTCCTTAAATCAATGCTGTTTTGCTGTGAAGGCAGTCGCGATTGATTTGGCGCAGTTAAATAACTTAAGAAAATGAAGACGAGGCTAATCTGACGTAACAAAACGAGGATGGTTAATTAGGCGTCATATAATGTTGGCGTCGCAACATTTTCTCACTTTTAATCGTGTTCTTTGAGAGTACGGTCGATTCTTTATTTACGGGAGAATTTATTCTTTATTATATTAGTACAGAGAAAACTTTTGAAGATTTATTGGCTGGTTTTTATAAATTATCGAAAGGAGGTAGGTGATTTTGTGTCAACTTTTTTGCAATAAACGAAGAACCGTAAGGAAAGTGCGATAAATATGATTAATAAAATTCCAGTGATTACATTAGGCAAAAAACTTGGCATAGTACCTTAGAGCCGTCTTGTTCTACATACTAAACAGTTTTAAATGACTTTACAAAAGATCGATCAGTATAATGACAGAAAGGAGTAAATCCGATATACGTCGTAGCAATATTTATACATTTTCAACATTTTCTAACCCTAGGAAGGACTGTTTGGGTTCCCGAGCTCCTTGCGGAAATCGCAAAGGAAGATTTAGTGTCGTGAAAATGCCGTGGCCCGAACTGGATTTGCAAGGGCATCTGGAGATGCAAAATCAGAGGCAGCCAGTTAACAGAAGGCAAGAAAAATACACAGACAGAGATAGAATCTATGATGGACAGGCACATAGAGTTATGCAGGACAACACTTTCGAGGGGGTTCGCAGCTTCTTTTACCCCTTAAGAAGTGTTGACTGTAGGAGGGATGACCAAATGACGAAGGTTGATATTGAGCAGCTTATAAAAGAGGAAATACAGAGCTACAAAGCGAGTAGAGCAGTAGCAGAGGGCAATTACGAGAGACCAAGTGCGATTGGAAAACTGCAAATTGATACTGAGCAGCTTGGAAAGGAGCAATCGCAGGAGCCCTTCGCATTAGAGGGAGACTACAAGGCACGTAGAAGAGTAGATGAAATAAAATCTTATCAGCAAGCCGTTGCAGAAAGCAGCGAAACGATTGCAAGGCTGAACTGTGATCTTGCACAAAGAAGGGAAGAAGCAAAACATTTAGAAAATGAGCTAAACAAAGTCTGGAAAATCGTAGATGAAAACGAATGCAGTTGGCAATTGGATAAAAAGAGGCTGGAAGGAAAGATTGTAGCTCTACATAAGAACATCCATAAAAACAAGCAAGATAGAGAGTTTGCTAAGAAAGAGGACCAGAAAAAGAGGATTGCAAAATTAGGAAAAGCGAGATTGGAGGTTGTTGAAGTTAATTTGACTACACCAGGACATGAAAAAATTTTTGAATGCAAAGATACCACTGCTACATATACTGCTAATGGTGGCAACTCTGTCACTGAAGAGACGAAAAAGGAATCAGAAGTTAAATGCGAGATGCAGAAAAGAAAGAGAACAATACAGGAAAAGTTACCAGAAAAGGAAGAGATAGAACAGGCTTCATCATTGACCCATCAGGATGAAATAGCTACGCAAGGTGCTGAAGCCGACGACAAGAGCATAATCAAAGCTTTGCTTTCTGATATGGAAGGGATGAAAGCAGAATATGAGAGTAAAGCTCTTGTTGCAGAAACGAAATTGAAGTTGGCAACAAACAAGCTAGAACAAGCCAAGGGGAAGCAAAATAAGATAAGGAAAAAATTGAAGGCAACTGAAATCGAAAATTTACATTTGCAGCGAAGCATCGGTGAGACAGTAGAGGAAAATGCTGAAATGAGAAGGAATTTAGCACAGAAAGAGGCTAATTTAAAAGAGATGCAGCAAGAGATTGCTGAAATACCACACGCAATGAGAATAACCATAAGAAATGAAAGTGTAACAAAGACCGAAAAAGTGAGCGAAGAAGATGGCATTCTCATGAAAGGTGAAATAAGCTCTAATTATCGTACTATGCAGGGGAGAGAACTGGAACGACTTATTTCAGAAAACAAACTGTTGAATATGAAGATACCCAAGCTTGAAGAAATTAATGCCGATGGGAGCAAAATTATGGATGAGATTCTCGGGAGACAGATACAGTTAATGAAAGAAAATGTAGAGCTTAGAAAGAAAGTTATGGTTGATGAATTTGCACAAAAGCAGAAAAGTCACATGATAGCAGATACCAGTACACAGACAGAGAAAACAGAATCAAGTTTGGCGCAGAAAGCAGAGCTGGAACAAGGGACATTTGAATCGGAAGCAAGCGCGTACTCATCTAGTGAACCAGTTTTTAAAAATATGCAAACGATCCAGTTTGCAAGGGAAATTTATATTTTTGAGAACCTAGTTCACGAAACAGTAAAAATGAATAGAGGAGAAATGCAGACACTGATGGATAAAATGACAACATACCAGAATCGACAGGATTTCCAGAAGAAAGAAGCGGAAACCCAGGTGAATAAAGAAGATTTGAAAAAAATGAAAGACTTTGCGGCTGCATTTGAAGAACTGCTAAATGAAAACAAAAATTTTGTAGAAAAAATGCAGCATATGTCAAATGCCATAGAAATTTATCGTAAGAAGGAAAAACATTCAAAACATCGCATCGAAAGGCTGAAAAAGCTTCTAGAAATCAGTAAAGAGCACAAGAATGACAACATTTCAAATCAAGAAATGACTAGGCGGTGCAGAGAAGAGTCTACAGTCAAATTCAGCATTAGAAAAGATAAAGGTTTGAATGAATGGATGGCTAAAGAGGGCGACGAAGGCGAGGGCTGCAATATTATGATCACGGAAGAGGCCCTAGCACAAGGAAGAAGAAAAAAGCTAAAAAGAATGAGAAACAAACAAAGACAACAGGAAGATACAGAGAGTAAGTCTGGGAGAAGATCCTCTTCACCAAAAGGTATGAGGTGCATTAATGAAGGTCATGTAGACGCAGATAAACGATCAATGGTGAATGGATCAGGTCAAATTGTCGCAATCAAAGATCGTCTTGATTCTGATAATAACATTTTGAAAGATAGAAATGTCGACTCTGACATTGATTTCATTCAGCGTGCTAAAAAGTCTAGGAGAAAAGTCGATGGAAGGAACCAAGGAAAAGAAGGCATAAAAGGGAATCGAGATTTGTCAGAGAGTCAAACTTTGGATCTTGAAGCAGCTAAAACAAAAGAGGGAGTAGATGGAGAACTACACCAGTCTTTGTCAAGGAGGTTCTTCAGGCAAAAAGAAAATGGAAAAGAAAAACAGATAGCGATGGCAAAAGGAAACCGAATAGAAATGGATCGTCCTTTTGATGGAGGTATGTTAAAAAGCCTGCTTTCTTTAATAATATGAACTCAGCTTGCAAAGATATTCATATTCACAGTTTTAAGCCGCCTCCCTCCTATCTATTATCTGTATTAGCGTGTAGTCGATAAATGATATTCAACAACATGAATAAACTTTTCTATACACAATAAATAATTGTATCTAAGTAAGTTATTTTATTCCTTTTAAATAGATACTAAAGATCACAGGGCCAAGGCCGGCCATACCGCCAAAATGACAAGTTCAAACAACCGAAATAACCAAATGCAGTTCAGTTTCGATATTTTGGATAAAGATGACGATGAAATAAGTCTGGGAGAGTTTTCTCCTAAGCGAGAAAAAAACTCGCCAAGGCAACGGAAATCTCATATAAAAAATGACGCGCAAATGCGTAAGGCTGACATCATAGGAAGTGATGATAAAACTCCATTCTTAGTGACACGTTGCGTGGGAGAAAATGATAGCCAGACTAATCTAGTAAAGATCAAGAAACAGCTTTTTTGGGAAAATGAGAAATACAAAAGAGTGGGCATCAACAAGGATGCAAAAAAGATGGTTAAAAGACTGAAACGAGAAGATGAGAAAAAGAGCAAGAACGAAGGTCTTGGAGGCAACGGCAATGTGAGTAGGGATATCAATAAAGGAGCAAGAATGGCTGGTTTGAAACGAAAGATAGCTTTGCGATTAAAAGGAAGAAAAAAGGAGAAACTCGAAAACAAAGAAGACCATCCCAATTCATTAAGCACTGAGACGGTAAATCTCCAACCGTCTCTTCCTGAAAGGTATAGGAAGGATAAAATTAGGCAGAAAGGAAGCTTTAAAGATGGAAACAGTAAAAATTTAAGGGCAGATACAGAGCATCTGGTATCTGAAATCCGATATGAAGAATGCAAGGAGAGAAAAGCTGAAACAGGAAATGGATTTGATGAGAAAGAAGTGCGTTTCACAGATAGCGAAGCCAGTTTTGAAGGTGGTGGTGATGGTGATCGTCGACGTAATCATCATTTACAGAAAAGCTCAGAATTCTCTTTTTCAGAAGAAAATTACGATTGTAATTATGATGTTCACGCTGAGAACTATACAGAAGGTAGATTTGCTGATGGAAATACGAAGAAGATAGTGACGTTTGCGGACAACAGTGACTTGTTAGCTGTAGACAACTACCACGATCCCTATGTTAACTACCACGATCCCGATAGCAGCAAATCTACAAAGAACGCTAAGAAGTGTGGAAAGAAAAGACGGACCATTAAAGGCTTCAAACTAAGATGGGTAGGATTTGGATCAAAGAAAAGCAAGAAGGATAGGCAAGAAAAAGAAAAGAAGACAAAAAAGAACAGTAAAAAAGAAAAGAATAAATCTGAAAAGAGTTCCACGGATGTTACAGCAGATGAGTGGGAGGCTACAAGCATGACTGCAAAAGGGTCCTTGAATCGAACGAGGAAGGAGAATAACAGCATTGCAAAAAACGCTGCCGAAAAGAACGAAAAACTTCGAACAAAGGAAAAGAAGATTGCAAAAGATGGAACAAAAGTAAAAAAGCAGCAAGCTAAGCTTGAAAAACGGAAACGAAATTCAGAAAAGAAAGAAAACCAGCTTAAAAAGAAAGAAATAAAAGCACAAGAAAAAATGAAAAAGCAGCAACGGACTGTGGAAAACTTGAAGATAAAACTTCAAGAAGAAGGAAACCTGGTCAAGGAAGGAGGAAAGAAGAAAGCTGAGAAACTGCAGGCAAAAGTAGACAAAAAACAGCACAAGGCAGAGAAACTTTTGAAGAAGAGGCAAGAAAAACTAGAGAAAGAAAAAGCAAAATTGGAAAAAAAGGAAGCAAAACTTCAGCAAAAACAAGCAGATAAACTGGAAAAAGAGCGGGTGAAAATTCTCAAGGCAAAGGATAAGCACAGTGGAGAAACAAAAGAAAAATATGACGATAAAGCAAAGGAATTTGGAAAGATAAAGAGAAAAAGCTCAGGCAAAAGATTCCAAAAAAGTAAACGTGGATTTTCAATCAAGTTTATTGGGATGAAACCTAATAAAAAGAAGAAAGAAAAAACAGATCAAAATGGTGTCAATTTGCCTAAGAGTGTCGATGAAAATGCATTGGCGACATCGACAGTTAACGGGAATGATGCAGCGGAAAAGATTACTTGCTCCGAAAGCAATGGTTCTTCCCCATTATTTGTTGACGTGGTAGAGCGATTTTGCTGTGATGATGATTCTGATGATGAGGTATTGAAAAGGGAAACAGTAACTTTTGCACCCCTTAGGCCAAGAAAGCCAATAGATCGCGATACAAAAACGTTGTCAGAATTCGCAAATGCTCCTGAGAGGATTGATGGGAAGAATGCAGTGGATGAGATTTTGGTAATAGATACTGGAGAAGAAAAATTTGATTCCGCCAGTGATAGAGAGGATAGCAGGGAAGATAAACATTGTGATGTCCTTTTGGTAAAAGAATATAGTAACGGAAACTTGGATGCTGGTGGAACAGGAATATCAAGCAAGGATATAAGTCAGAGATACCTAGTTTCAGAGGATGACGATAGTGATACTAACATTGAACTTTTTACGCCTCAAAATTTGCAACGTCGTGAAAAGGATGACAGCGAAAAAACGAATGAGATAAAAGAACCGATGATAACATGTCTCAAGGGAGAGGACAAAGGAAAAGAAGACATTTCTCAACAAGAAATTGCGTCAAAAAATCTTAAGCCAAAGAAAAATGCTCGTAGTGAAAAAATTGAAGCTATGATTCATAGAAAAAACATTAACTTCACAGAAGAGACAATTAAACATCTACAAGAAAAGATATTTATTCTTGAGGCCGAAAACGCAGATCTTAAGAGATGTTCACAGGCAACAAACAAAATTCAGCAAACCTTTGACGATACAAGTCAAACAAACCTAGAGCCACTACTCAGAGATTTCGAGAAATGTTTGGCCGAAACAACTCAAGAATTCGTCCGAGCAAGACAAGAGGCAATAAATGCAGGAATCGAACTTGAGAGTGCAAACAATCAGGTTGATGCTGCGATGCACGAGGCAAGAGTTTCGAGTCGCGCAGCTCAAGTTGCAAGAAGTCTGGTACGAGTGGCAAAGGAAGAGACCGAGGCAGCTAAGAATGAGGCAAATACTGCTGTGATCAAAGTTGAAGAGGCAGAAAAAGAGAGGAATGAGTACAAAAGGAGGTTGGAAGAAATTTCACAGGATTTGGAGAAGTTGAAAAAAGAGAATCGGGAGCACGAAGCAGCAGGGCATTCTGAAGAAAGGAATGACAAAGTACCACAAGGGAGTTACGAAGAACAAAGAAATGAGGATGAAACATCGAATTCTGAATGGGACGAGCCGGAGCAGATTCTGCCGACTGTAAATGCCGAGAAGCGTATAAATGAAATGATAGAGAAAGAAAACTGTACAGTGGAAGCATATGATAATTTGCTCGAAGCAAGAGAAGAAGAGCTACACATTCTACGAGAGCACAATGCAAAGCTGCAAAGAAGCAACGAGTCAATGGAAGCAAGACTATTGGAACTAGAAACAGCAGAAGAAAATTTTTGTAAAAAAAGACAGGATATATTGTCTTCTCAAAATGAAGTAGAAGCTTTGAGAAAAGAGAACAGCGAGCTGAAATCAAGTCAAGACTCATTGCAAGGGCAAGTATTGGAACTGGAAGTGGCTCTGCAAATGGAAGAATCAAAAGTGCAGATAGACAAAAAGACTGCTTCACACCCAGATGACCAGGAATATGAGGCGGAAGTTCTTGCAAATCTACTGGAAGTAAAAGAACAACAGTTACGTTCACTCCAAGAGAATTACTCAAAGCTACAATCTAGTAAAGAGTCTATGAAAGAAAGACTTCTTGAATTGGAGATAAATCAACAAGTCCTTCATTTACGAGAAACCGAATTAGCAAAATCGAAACAGAATACAAGGAATTGAAATCACAAGAAGAGAATGTAAAGGAAAGGCAACTTGAAATAGAGATAAGGGAGCAAGCATTAGAAACTTCTGAGAAAGAAATCGAGCTTTTGAAAAACGAGAACAGCGAGCTGAAATCAAGTCAAGACTCATTGCAAGGGCAGGTATTGGAACTGGAAGTGGCTCTGCAAATGGAAGAATCAAAAGTGCAGATAGACAAAAAGACTGCTTCACACCCAGATGACCAGGAATATGAGGCGGAAGTTCTTGCAAATTTACTGGAAGTGAAAGAACAACAGTTACGTTCCCTTCAAGAGAATTACTCAAAGCTACAATCTAGTAAAGAGTCTATGAAAGAAAGACTTCTTGAATTGGAGATAAATCAACAAGTACTTCATTTACGAGAAACCGAATTGAGCAAAATCGAAACAGAATACAAGGAATTGAAATCACAAGAAGAGAATGTAAAGGAAAGGCAACTGGAAATAGATTTAAAGGAGCAAGCTTTACGGTCGGCACAGACGAATGCCCTAAAAGGTTACTCTGAACAGGTTGATCATTCACAGCCGAAAGCATTGGAGAGCAATTTTGAAAGCAGAATAGTTGAAGAGAAGGAGGTACAAATTCTAAAAGAGTCAAATGAACGATTGAAAAACGAAAACCAAGTCTTGTGGGCAGATGTCAGCAAACTTGAATCACAACTAGAATCTATGAGAGTTACCTTAGAATACTTTCAAGAGCAAGGAAATGAACAGGCCAGTACAGGCAACCAATTGGGAGAGAAGGAGGTACAAGTTCTAAAGGAGTCCAATGATCGATTGAAAAACGAAAACCAAGTCTTGTGGGCAGATGTCAGCAAGCTTGAATCACAACTAGAATCTATGAGAGTCACCTTAGAATACCTTCAAGAGCAAGGAAATGAACAGGCCAATACAGGCAACCAATTGGGAGAGAAGGAGGTACAAGTTCTAAAGGAGTCCAATGATCGATTGAAAAACGAAAACCAAGTCTTGTGGGCAGATGTCAGCAAACTTGAATCACAACTAGAATCTATGAGAGTTACCTTAGAATACTTTCAAGAGCAAGGAAATGAACAGGCCAGTACAGGTAACCAATTGGGAGAGAAGGAGGTACAAGTTCTAAAGGAGTCCAATGATCGATTGAAAAACGAAAACCAAGTCTTGTGGGCAGATGTCAGCAAACTTGAATCACAACTAGAATCTATGAGAGTTACCTTAGAATACTTTCAAGAGCAAGGAAATGAACAGGCCAGTACAGGTAACCAATTGGGAGAGAAGGAGGTACAAGTTCTAAAGGAGTTCAATGATAGATTGAAAAACGAAAACCAAGTCTTGTGGGCAGATGTCAGCAAGCTTGAATCACAACTAGAATCTATGAGAGTCACTTTAGAATACTTTCAAGAGCAAGCAAATGAACAGGCCAGTACAGGTAACCAATTGGAGAGAGAAGGAGGTACAAGTTCTAAAGGAGTCCAATGATCGATTGAAAAACGAAAACCAAGTCTTGTGGGCAGATGTCAGCAAACTTGAATCACAACTAGAATCTATGAGAGTCACTTTAGAATACTTTCAAGAGCAAGCAAATGAACAGGCCAGTACAGGTAACCAATTGGGAGAGAAGGAGGTACAAGTTCTAAAGGAGTCCAATGATCGATTGAAAAACGAAAACCAAGTCTTGTGGGCAGATGTCAGCAAGCTTGAATCACAACTAGAATCTATGAGAGTTACCTTAGAATACTTTCAAGAGCAAGGAAATGAACAGGCCAGTACAGGTAACCAATTGGGAGAGAAGGAGGTACAAGTTCTAAAGGAGTCCAATGATCGATTGAAAAACGAAAACCAAGTCTTGTGGGCAGATGTCAGCAAACTTGAATCACAACTAGAATCTATGAGAGTCACTTTAGAATACTTTCAAGAGCAAGCAAATGAACAGGCCAGTACAGGTAACCAATTGGGAGAGAAGGAGGTACAAGTTCTAAAGGAGTCCAATGATCGATTGAAAAACGAAAACCAAATCTTGTGGGCAGATGTCAGCAAACTTGAATCACAACTAGAATCTATGAGAGTTACCTTAGAATACTTTCAAGAGCAAGCAAATGAACAGGCCAGTACAGGTAACCAAATGGGAGAGAAGGAGGTACAAGTTCTAAAGGAGTCCAATGATCGATTGAAAAACGAAAACCAAGTCTTGTGGGCAGATGTCAGCAAACTTGAATCACAACTAGAATCTATGAGAGTCACTTTAGAATACTTTCAAGAGCAAGCAAATGAACAGGCCAGTACAGGTAACCAATTGGGAGAGAAGGAGGTACAAGTTCTAAAGGAGTCCAATGATCGATTGAAAAACGAAAACCAAGTCTTGTGGGCAGATGTCAGCAAACTTGAATCACAACTAGAATCTATGAGAGTCACTTTAGAATACTTTCAAGAGCAAGGAAATGAACAAAGGTAGGGTTTTGGGTGTAGCTGTGCCAAAACAATTTTAAATCAAAGAAAATAGCATAGACTTTGTATAAACTGAATGCGTAATCGAGAAATAACTTTTATTATGCCTCACAAAAACCTCATACTGTTGACATATATAAGGCAAAATTGCATGTACTTTAAAGTTTCATTGTCTTCACTATGTTTGATATATCAAAAGTCGTTCCGGAAATACGTACTCACCTTGGGAGAAAAAAATTCAAATAAATCTTTGAACATCTCTTATCCTTTATAAAGGGAGACAACGAGGGCACTGCATGATCCTGCCGACACTGCATTCACTCTGAACCAATATACAGCTGACATGGGTTGCGCGGAAATACCTGACGCATGCACAGATGACGAAGAACGAGAGTCTGAAAATGAAAGTGTGATCCACTCCTATCCTCATTATCCTCACGACGATAATTCAAGTGTAGGCGAGGAAGCTGAAAAAGAGAAGAAAGCAACCGATTTTAGAGAATCAATATCAAATCAATCCGCGCAAACAAGTTTGGTATCGAGAGGGGATGAAAATGATCCTCTTTCAGTTGCATCTTTACTTCGTACTGGCTTTCCATTCAAACGCGATAGCAAATCCATGTCGTTGCTGAGAAAATCATCGAATTCATGCCTGGTGCCCATAGGAGGAGATATTAGTGGTAATCCAAAGAAGTCAAAGAAGAGTCCAAAAAAGCTGAGTAAATTCTTTTTGACGCCATCAGAACAGACAGTGAAGAACTGTCCAGCATTTGAGCATTTCAGTCCGTTGCCTACACTGCAACCAGTTTCAAAGTCTAGGAAACAGGATGTCGGAAGCAATTAAAGATTCAGACATATTGACGACGGACTTATTTCTCAAAGAATTTTTAGATTTATTGTAATTGGTACTAATTCATATTGTAGAACACAATTTTATTTTTATTATTGAATTCTATCCCCTTTAAAGTGTTCTTCTTTTCATTTATATATTCTCGGAGATATCTACTTTATAAGACACGTAAACAATAAAAATTCGTTTAGAATCAAAGAAACCCACAAAACGATACTAAACAGGTAGATAATCCTGCTCAACGGATTATGATATTGTTGTCCTGTAACAGCTTTCGATATTAATAACAATTCATAAAGCAGAACCGATAAGGTGATAAGTTTTTTAAGAGGGAAAGGATTATTTCCAGGTAATGGTTCAAAAACTCCCCTGAGACATTAAAAAATGATAATGTTTTCGAAGTAAGAAAATTGGATGTAATGAAGAACAGTCTGTGGCACCAAACGTAGCTAGCATTGCAACGCACCCCTGAGCCTCATCTGGTATCACAAGTAAATAAACACTAAATAAATAATACTCAGAATGTCGTTCACTACAAAAGATTAAATACCAATTAGCAGTTATGAAAAGAAGCAGTGTATAGTTAGTATACAATAGTCTAGCCCAAACATTATCGAAGAATTTATCTAAGTTACCGAGAAACACACGAAATCAAAGTAATAGTATAAACTCAAAAAGACCAAAATCTTTAAAAAAATCAAAATTAATGCAATGTAGAATAACAAATTACTCACAATGGACTTGCCTCCGTAGCTATATATCGCCTTAACAAAGCATTTGAAAAAAAACTATAACAGGCACGTGCTGCAAAATGTAATCAAACTATTCTTCTTTCGGGAAACGCCCTCTTTCCTCTCCTTAAGTCTCTGCGTGATTTGACTTCACCAAAAGCGTATGCACAGCATATAGCCATGAAGACTGGATACGAGACTTTGCCATGTTTGTTTAAACAGGCAAAAGAGTCTTGGAAAACGGTAAAAAAATTAGACCTTGCTTGCTTGTCAACAAGAGCGTCGCAAGAACATCACAGCTGTTTGCACGTAACACAGTCTGTCTAAAATTGACGGACAACTCATTGTTTATATTTTTGCTTCTATTTTCTTTCTAGCAGTTACGTAACAGTATCATTATGATCTTCTAAACTTCATTTATAAAGACATTTCTCGACTTCGGCTGACATCTTTTGACAGAAAACTGACGAAAAAGTATACGCGACTCAAGCAAAATGAGCAGATAAATCTACATTTCAGGACAAGTAAACACGATCTTCTACATGAAAACGATAAAAAAATTACATGATTAGGCAAAAAGTCTCTATGGTCCAGAAGTAGATTATTCCTTTTTAGACAGTGCATCCACATGTTACAGTCCTTCAAAAATCAAGATCAGAATCAGATGATGTGATTGGCGTCTTATTTCTAGATAACCGTTGTTAATTGAAGCTCAATCGTTGAAAATTAAGATACGTTCACAGATAATCATCCATGATTTGTATGATTATAAATCATATGATGACAGAAACGATCAATTTCATTCATGTAACTGTATGCAATTTTAGCACCCAAGTGTGATGGCAAGGGAGCTCTTGCGGCCTGATGTTTTTGAGACTGATTTCCATGCCTGCTTGTCCACTCTTGTGCATCCACAACAAATCCTTCTTTAAACCAAGCATTGTAACTTTCGTTCCAAAAGACGCCACTGGGTCGGATAGAAATACGACATCGTTTTCTGGCCATTCCAGTACGAAGGCGTACACATTGGAATCCTTGGTCACATACCTGAAAGGAGCAAACAATGGAGAAACAATGGAGCAAACAATGGAGAAACAATGCAAAAGCAGGCAAGAAGCATCAATAATAGGATTACCGTAGTTGAAAAGGAAAGTGAAACGACCAAATAAAATAAAGGGATCCGCTAAACAAACATCCGGTATATATGTATTATATTGGTGTCCGGTATAAAGGTACGGAATGTATTTAGTAGAGCAGTAATAAGTTCTTACAACAAGAAAATTGGAGATAACTCTATAGATTAATGGAGGTTAATGGAACGGAGGTTTTTTCGTTTTCTCCTCTAACCCTAAAGAACATTCCGTTATTTAAAAACAAAGTAGTTTTTTCCTACAAGGGAAAACGGCCACAGACTGATTAATTAGCAAGGCGTCTCAACAAAAGTAGGGTTAAAACAAAGAAAGGCGCGCACCATATTCCCGGCGTTACTGTGTCATTCTGTTTTCTCCAAGGCTTCGTGGCGTAGACGCCTTCACCATTTACTTTCAGCCATGCACCAAAGCCTCGTAGTCGTTCTTCATATATTGGCGTTATTCTTCCGTCTGCTGTTGGCCCGATATTCATAACGAGATTGCCACCGCAACTGTGCAAAAAAACGTTTTTAATGACAATGAAGAAATTTTGGTATTTAAAACGGTAACGAAAATTATGCAGTCTGTGTGAACGCTCTTCAACAGTATTGCATATGGATGCATTTTCTAAAAGCGTGACCTTTAAACCGTGCGCTAAACATTTCTCATGGGCTAAAGTGAAAACGCGGATTTTCAGCACAAAAACCAAAAGCTTACATTTTTTGTGTGCAGCGTGATCACTTTTGAGCAGGCCTTGAAAAAAAGATTTTTCTTCCTGGCAGCAAAATAAAAAATTCAAGATTTCCTGCGAAGCTTTGACAAAGTTTCCAGCCACTGACATATTTTAAGTTGCTTGATTTGTTTAAACATTTGTCCTAAAAATAAACTGCCATACTAAAAAAGAACTCATTGCTGGTCCTCGATTTTTGATAATAGCTATTCGAACAGCAACCATTTTGTTTATACTGTATTAGATGATCAAGAAGAACGTGGCAAAGCACAATACTCATAGTTTGTTTTCAAGGTTAAAGTTAGAAGATCTTAAAATCTATAATAACTTTGATTAAATTTGATATCAGTATTAGCAAACTAGATACTTTATAAGTATTGATGCATCCTACATCTTGCTCTGGGTTTCGATTTGTTGCTATCATCAAAGCTAGTAGTTCGTACAACATGTAAGAATACTTTTTTCATTTCTCAATGTTTAAAATTACTGTTTTAAATCGGGGTTGGTGCTAGAGGCAAAGATGTAAGACCAAAACGCTTACATTCTATAAGGCAAGTGATGAAAAATGTATGCGAATGCCAGTAGCAAAGTACGAATAACAATGGACACATCCACACAGGGTTTGGGGCATGTTCACCTTCAAAACAAGATTGGCTGTCTTTAAGTATTTTACATATATAGAATGGCTAATGTAAAAAGGAAATGAACTTTGTTTTAGCTTGCTTGAATTAAATTAGTAGCTGAAAATCATGCCCGGTAATTTGGTACAACAAACGCTGATAATACCAGATGATTGTATTGTGTGTTAGTGGTGCACCACAAAAATTATACAGTATGTGTGTATATCACAAGAAAACAGCGTTCTTAATATGGGGAGGTCAGATGCTTCTTAATGAATGTACCTGATCGTTTCCGCAAGCAAATCTGTTAAATTCTTTACAGTCAAGTAATCGCTAAGCGGTGCATTTCTTCTGAAGCCCCAGGAATAGTGATCAATTGTCATATCATTTTCCCATTTGAATGACAGAAGTTTACCTAAAAAAAGCAAAACAAACGACGATTGCAAATGCCTGTACCAGAGGTGTTTTTAAATACAGTAGAAACCCGCATAAAAGAACCTGTTTTTATAAGAACATTGAGGCTGAAATTCAGTCTTTAAAACCCCACAATTAAGAACCCCCAGGAGGCTGAAATTTGGAACGGTTCTTATATATATAAATACATATATAAGAAAAAAGGGTTTTTTGTGAAAATCTGGTATGTTGCATTCTAATTGGACAATCTCACAACACAAATTCATTAGATTGGTTGAAATTTAACATAAAAAAGCTGGTTTAAGTGTGTCCATTAGAATTCTTGCGGTGGAAAACATTGTTAATGTATGCAAGGCCTGTACATATATAAGTGCCCTGTTAAGAACCTTTGAGACTGGAATTTAGAATAGCAGCCTGTTAATTAAGAACCTATTCAGGCTGCCAGAAAAAACCTCGGTTCTTTTAAGCGGGTTTCTACTGTAGATTTCCAAGCCATAATATAGTCTGTGACTGTTTTCAACTGTATACCCAAATGAAGAAGTATATTGCAATTATATTGGCGCTTTGTTTCACTAATTTTGATACGAAAATTTTCATACACAACAAATTGTCGAGAATCATCTTTGGTAGATTTTAGACCAAAGGGTTTATTTCTGTATAAAGAAGTTGTACAGCATATAATGGAACACCAAAGAATTCAAAAAGTTGAATAGAAGTAGAGAAAAGTCTATAGGGAAGCTGTTCAAATACAAAAGCTTTTTCAATGCAACAGAAATTTGCTGAATTCCTAGACAAGCGAAATATCTTAAGTAAAAGCAAAGCTAAATAGATTTTATACATAAAAAGGAACATTAGCTATAGTAAACTGATACCCGGATCAAAGCGATCACGACCACATGTCTTTACATCCCCATGCTTGCAGTTGGCGTCTTTACCCCACCTGTCATTCACTAAAATGTCGTCTTTCACCGGGCTGCAATAAAAAGGTTAACATTAAATTGAGAGTTCTCTACCTGACATAATTTGCCGCTTTCATTGACTAATTTATTTTGATTCAAGAAAAAGCTTAAGGTTGCCCACTGCAATTTGACTTATCAAAGATAGTGATTGGTTAAGATATTCTAAACCAACATTTTTAAGCAGGAAATTCTAAACCTTGGTTTGAGTCTAACCACGTGAAGGGAGAGAGTCTAACCACGTGAAGGGAGAGAGTCTAACCACGTGAATTTAAAAGACGTACTCTCGAGTCCGGAAAAGAAATGGGGTTTGAAATAAACATGGTGGGTGAAAATTTCCCAAATCCTATTAAAAGGGGTGAGTGGATATCGGCCCCGTTTAATTAAAATGGAAGGAGACAGCGGTTTCTTAAACGTATCTTTAGCAAACAGTTTGATAGAAATGTTCGTTTCTAACAATATTTTCTTTCTTTTTTGTTTGTTATTGATGCGCTTCCATAAGCCTTCGTTGTATATACCTTTCAGTTTTTAATACAAAAAATAATAAACTGGTCAAGAATAAGGATGTCATGGATTTTTTCCCACAAAGTTAATAGACGGGTGAGACACTTATTCCGGACGCGAGAGCAGCAGTTTTAAAAAATTGGGGCAGCGAATAACAGCACAGTAACCAGCACCAGCATGCATTGCGAACAGACAATCAACTTTCAAACGCTTTGCTCAGTGGATGCTGCTGGGAATACAAAAATAAAAACTGGACGGAAACATAATGATTAAAAGAGGGCAGTAGCCATTGGAACTAATCATATGAGCAGATATGAACCTGTCGTTATAAAGCCAGGCAAGGAATTCTTTGCTTTGCCAGTAGTCTGAGCCTGCATCCCAGTCTCCATCAGACCATATATAGTGTGGCTTAAATGTATTGACCATGTCATATAGCTGAGGCAGCAAGATTGTCTGCGTCAAAAAAGAAAAGTGTTAATTATGTTAATCAAACTAAATATGTTTTTACAGATCTCCTCACATTGTTCATTAAATTCAGAGCTTTGATTCACCACTGTTGCCTAATAAAACTTGGAAAATACCATTTTTTCTAGTTATATATTGTTCTATACCCATATGCAAAGTATTAGCTAGCCAAAGATCACTAAAAAATCAAGTCTCGCTTTTTAACAAATATTCTTGGATGTTTGCGATACGTTTTGAAGCAAATGACAGAAATTAAAATTTTATGACATTGAAAGTGTTAATTGAATGTCACTATAAGTTTTCCACAACGCAATCAAGTTGAGCAGAATTAAGAAATCAAGCAAAACCCACCTTAGGATATTCCAGTGTTTGGAAGCCATTGCTTTTGTCCTTCAGAAACAACGGGTGAAACCATTCAAACAGAGAGTGGTACAAGCAGAACTTGATATCGGTTTTACTTCTGATTTTTGAAGACAACTCGGCTTGAAATCAAAGACTTTGTTACTAAATGAAACATGAGTTGCTAAAGAAAACATAAAGATACGACATCAAATGGAGAGGAGGACTTATTTGAAAACGTAAAGAGAGACACATCCATTTGAAAAAGGGATAAATCTCCATCCTTGTTTTGTAACTAAAAATATTGTAAGTCATTTGCCAATCGAGTTTACATAATTGCTCTGCAAATTTCTCCCCTGTAAAAACTTTCTGAAGCTTGAAATTGATTCCAAAACACATGATAATAGAAAATGGAAATAGTTTGCAAGTAAATCTTTGACATTTTACTTTCCTTTAAGTATGAATTGGAGGGCTTGCTAGACAAAGGAGCCCCATTGTAATCCATGAAAAAAATTATTCATTTTTTAAAATATAAACCCTTTTTAAAATAATTCTTTTTCCTAGATTTCAAATTTCAAACAACAGTACCTCTATGAAATTATTTATGTAGATACAAAATATTCAAAGATTCATTCACATTCATAGAACGAAAAATAAACAACTTGTTACCAATGATATCCCTGTGAGGTCCAGTGTCTACAGAATTCCAATTCCATGAAATATTTGATTTCCAATTTGTGAAACCATCGTGATGCTTGCTTGTAATGATAAAGTACCTAATAAAAACATGATTTACAGTGATTATATACATGTAACTCTGTTCCTTAGCAACAAAAGACAGCATTAGAATTTGCACACTAAGTACACTATAAATATAAATATAATATACATTGCATATAAATATAAACAAATAAAAGAACATTATTTTTAGAAACGGTGTAAAAAGCTTTATATTTGAACATGATTTCGCTCTAAGTTGAAACTAAAATACAATTTAGTAATACTTTTTACTTAAGAGAAGAAGTGATTATTCTTTTATTATTCTTTGATCGCTTTTTGGACAAGACTTCTGCATTAGAAATTGAGGCAGTGTAAGAAGGTGGACAAGAAGGTGGGAAGATTGTATAAAAGAAGTTAAGAAGGAGAAAGGAGTTTGGGAAGAAAGTGCTCGGCAGAGCTGAATGTTGGAGGAGGATTCACATCAGGGACCCTGGCAAGCGTGTAGGAAGCCACAAGAAAAAGAAGAAGAGAAGAAGTATAAGGGAAGAATAAGAAGCTAACCAGGACGAGGGTGGGTGGGAAAAAAAGTAGGTGCTATTGAAGGCAATAAAGCCTAGCATATTACAGAGCCCATGACTAAACGACTCATGTCCATGACCTGTGCAGACAGGGGCGGACACTTGGTAAAATATTGGGGAGGGGCAAGCCTACTGTTTTAATAAGATAATGTCACATTTCTCATTGTTTTTTAACAAAGAACCATTGTCCTCTAAAGTATTGGGGGGTTGCCCCCCTTGCCCTCTCAGGTGTTGCCATTGTGTGCAAAGCAAAAGGTCACATGTAGAGTAGAGGATGCTGACATCTTAAAGGCCAACCATCATCATGCATCAATCTAAGCCCAGCAGTCCTTATATTTAGACTATCATATTGAGACACAGTCACAATGAACCCTTTCTGTCAAGAAATAATACCAATTAAAGTTATTCTTGAAAACAACATTTACTGCATCGGAAATACCAATCCTTGTTTGATATTTCTCTTGGCATCACTGCTTTTCTAGCAATGTACAAAGGGTAGCCAGTTTGTACTCGAAGGCAGTCTGCCCCTATAGTGCTCAACTTTATTTTCGCAGGAGTGAAATTCATGCACCGTTGACCTTGATCAATAATTAAACGATTTAAACAAATCAGAGCCAACTTTGCTTCGAGAACATTTGAATTCCTGTTGAAGTGAATCTGTGGCTAGAAAAATTTGGTTTGTGTGACAGATATATCAACAGTAAAAGAAAATGCTTCCATAATCATCTTTCAATTCCAGTAATTAAATCTCCTTGCCATTTCCAATAGCTTTTTGCTCGCAGTTTCGAATGTTGTCCACTGTTGCAGCTAGGCCAACCAAAGCGATCAGAGTAATCCGTTAAGGCAGGAAGACCAATTGTTTATATTAGTCAATCATTGAGGGGGACAGTCTGCCTTTAAAAAGCCTGGTTTTCATATATCACAATTCATTTGCAATGAGCCACTGTGCAGTTTACCGATGGTCTATGACATTCTATTGCACTCTGCAATAAGATATAAAAAACTGGGCCATTGGGAACCATTGGTATCCATCCTAAATCATTTCAAAAGTCAAAATAATTTGACTTTCCAGATGCTTCCTGATAAACAATAGCAAAAAGAACAATAGATCAGGAATGTTATGTAACAACTTTACAAAAGAGAGGCCATTTTAACAAAAGTGCGAGTAATGACAAACTTTTTTAATTAATGACAAGTTAATATGGTGATTCAAACTGTAAAAAAAAGAAGCACAGTATCAGTGTTGTGCATTGCTAAACATTTTTGAGTGACTGGGGGAATTAAAACAGCAAATTACAAAAGTCTCTAGCTTTCAATTCAAGTTGAATGGTATCTTGACTTTGAAAAATTGAGACTACATTTTTTCAAAAGTTCGTATTATGAAAGGGTACTGGGAAATAAGATTACTTTGCAACAAACATAGCTTACTATAAATGCTGAAATACATCATTGGATTATTTTTGGTGTATGTTGTATGCATAAAATCACACAAAAATTTGAGCATGTTTATACTTTTTCCTTCTTCTACTTACACAAATGATCTCCAAATTTCTTTACTTACTGGAAGGAACATTCTCTGCCCTGTAATCTCATTTCCTACACCAGCGTTTAAAACTGGCCCAATTTTGCAAACTGTAAATATTTTCTGAACCCAGAATCATAAAACCCAGAATCTCCCCAAAGTCGTCAAATGCAAACTTTGATTTGTAGTTGCCTTGGTGTAGTTTCCTGTTTCGGTGCTCAGATGTTGTTTAAGCATCAGGGACAATCCCAGACCATCAGTGATAGTCACAGAGCATTGGCAATGCTGTACATCAGGGATCATTGCTGATGAATTACGATATGAAAACCTGGCTTTAAGTGGGAGGAAATGTGGAATATAATATTCTTAGAGCTGAAAACAAAGCTTTGCTGTTGCTGCCCCTGAGGAGAATTGAAACATATCAAACTTGTTGCTCCATTTCTATTTTGCTGAGTTTTTCTCTTTCATATTCTCTTTTCATCCTCTATCAAAAAAACATTCAAAAACTTGGTAAAAATAACTACTTTTTGTTCAATACTTACTTAGCACCAGATGCATTGAAAATATCAATCCATTTATCAGCATCAAACATTTCTGCCCTAAACTGAGGTGCAAAATCTTCATACTGAAATCCTGGTCTGTAATTTTTTTTCATAAAATCTATCCACTTTTGTCTTTTCTCCCCTAAAGCAGGAATGGAAATAATATGTCAGTTAATGCTGTTGGATTGGATTTAAGCTTCTGGAAATCAAATTGACAAAAATTGTAGAGGAATTACACAATTTGTCTGCTCACATCCCTTTATCAATGAAGAGGCACACTATGGCTTCCACATCAAACAACTAACGAATAACTGAATACCAAAACAAAATGTGAATCAAACTGGCAATTTATCATTTCCTCTAACTGGCTTTATTTTTAGTCATTATCACTGACATGGCCATAATACAGATAGGTTGTTGCATAATGCGGAAAAATATGGCATTCTTGTATCTGAAAATATTTTTGTATCTGAAATATTGAGGGTCAAGTTTAAATTGCTTTTCACTAGAAAATGAAAGATGGCTAGAAGTATACTTGGACTAGATAGATGGCAAGCTGATATAATGTATTTGTCATCACTTCCCATAACGTAACTGATGCCATATAGGCAGAGCTGTACATTATTTTGGTTCATAGAACTGGATGTTTCTAAGTTGCTACCCTGAGCTTCATGCTTAATGCAGTCATGAGGCAACTGTAGAATCATTTGCACATTAAGTAAATTCTATAAAATCATATAATCATTCTTGCTGTCATTGCTGTTACTTTGACTTGGAATATCTACATACAGTTCTAGTGGGATATAATTTGCCTTTGGACTATGTGTATTGCAGTATTCTGCAACCATGTCCATTAGCTTTACTGACTATGTTCATTTTTCATCTGCAATTTTAAAATGGATTTCCAAATGAAATATTGATTTCTAAACAAACTGGATGTCAGTAGCTGAAACAAGTACTTCCGGCTTACCTCGCCAAGCCCACCAAAACCATTCTCCAAGAACCCCATCGGTGCCAAACGCTGGAACAGAATAAACTCCCCAGTGTACGAATAGCCCGACTTTGGCTTCATCAAACCATGCTGGACCTTGATGTTTATCAAGTGACTCCCAGGTTGGCTCAAATCTATCTGCATAAGAATTTACAAATAGAAAAATAAGCAATGCAGCTAAGACGGGCCAGACTCTCCTCATATCCATCTTTCCTTCCTTAGTAGACTGAGCCCGGTTCTTTGTTTTGAAACAACACCGTCTTAACCAATCAGCGTCGCAGTGTAATGGCACATGCGCATTACTAACAGTTTTCGCAAATGGCCTGGAAAGGCTTAGGCCGCGGTCACACTATGCTTTTAAGCATGCTTTCTTAAAAGGTGTTGTACTAAAGGTGCTTTCTTTAGTGTCTAAATGTAGCATTTTGGCCTTTCTAACCATTAAGGGTTCATTCCTTAAACATTGACACGCTAAGTAAAAAACCAATTATGAATTGAAAGGGCAATACCACACAGTGTAAACTCAAATGTCAAATATGATCAGCTAACATAACGATTAGCAAAGAAATTTGTTTGAAGGAGAAAGTTTCTCAGTAGTGCTATGCCCAGACAATTTAGCGTTCAGGAAAAAGTGACCAACTTTACTTTTTTGATCGAATCTTGTTTCATAGAAAATTCATATACACTCTTAATGGTAAGAAAGTGAGTGCAAATAATGGCATGAAAGTATAAGGAAATTAAGTTTACGTAAACTAAGATTTCTGGATTTCGCATTTTTGGTGATTCCGTGAGCATCTTTCCACGAGCCGATTATAGATTAATCTGCAAAAATGAGCTACAGATTCTTTTGAGCTCCTCATAACAATAATTTCAATTTATAAAATTTCCTCTAATCTATAAGAATTTTATAAGACTTGCGTGGTAAATATAGATGGGGGCCGCCGAGAGGTTGCAGAGGCCCTGGGGCCAGACGGTAAGACGAGGCCCTTGTGAGCAAAGTGAGCAGAAAATTTTTGCGACCACACCCTTCAAATTAGTATAAAATGCATCTCAGAAAATTTCTTGCAGTCATTTCTTGCAATCGTTCAAAGTTTTTACTAATTTTAGGCATATTTTTGCTACACTTGATCAATTCCATTCTTAAATCGGAATTCATTACTTTATATGGCCACCAAGACCTTGAAGCCCTGTAGCAATTTGCCCCCCTTGCCCCCCCCCTCTTGGCGGCTCTGAGTATGGCTAAGTATGCAAAATACTGTAAACCCTTGAAGTTTCTCTAATTGGAAGGATTCTCTAATTGGCTCAAATATTAACTATCGCAAAACATCCAGACCTATCATCAGTGAAACTTGATATTTATTGGTTAAAAATAATCTTCCCGAAAAATCAATGCCCTTTTAGCGAATAGTTGTTCTAAGTGTAGTGTATATGTATTGTTGTAGTGTCTTTAGCTTTAGGAACGTCATGCGATGAGCACTGTATTCGGAACACTAAGATGGCTACTAGCTAGGCTCGTACCAGGCTTGAGGTATACTTCAGCTACAAAAACGCTATAGTAAGTTACGAGTCTGAAATGTTCAATCGATTTCATCTTTGAGAATTCCATTGGTTGGCGGCAACTTACAGCCGTTAGCTAGCTTCTTAAAGCAAGTTATTTGCAACTTTCTTTTGTAAGAACCAGTAAATTTAAGTTCAAATCTTCTCGAAAATCTGAGGCTGGATTGTTCTTAATTTGTTCTTAAGTTGTATGCGATTGCCATGTGGCTTGGCGTACACTTTACAGGAACGTCATGCGATGAGCACTGTATTCGGAACACTAAGATGGCTACTAGCTAGGCTCGTACCAGGCTTGAGGTATACTTCGGCTTATAGTAAGTTACGAGTCTGAACAATCGATTTCATCTTTGAGAATTCCATTGGTTGGCGGCAGCTAAATGGCTCACATGTGGAAATATATTTCGCAGTTTCTGGGGTTCTTTTTAGTTCAGGCTGGCTGTTCTTAATCTTTTCGAAAATCTGAGGCTGGATTGTTCTTAATTTGTTCTTAAATTAATAGGGTGTAAGCAGTGCGATTGCTAGCGTTTTCGTTCCAGGAAGGTGTTCAGGCTTCATTTGCTAACAAAGTGGTCTCCCGAACAAAATTCCTGACGGTTAAGACGATATACCCTGACGATTCACACGCAAACTCCCCCCACTCCAGTTTTCCTTTGGATTACTTTCATCTATCAGACTGATTTAAACTTTGAAAATCTCAGTAACCATATTTCACTGCTTTTCTTATTTTCATCGATAAATAAACATTCCAAGTAATTAAAAAGGCAAAAAGTGCGATTTGTGAAAGCAACCCTCCAATAACCTTTTCAAAAAATTTAAATTAAATTTTAATCAAAAGCACACATTGTTTCTCATAGTTTCCACCCCCTAATTTTTCCGGATTTCCCAAATACCGCCCTTAAGTTTTCCTTGAATAGCTTTTTAAGATCTCGGGTTTTGTTCCCACCTGATATTAATTCCTTTCTCCGATGGCTGCTACACTGTTTATATAATTTGCAGTCGATATTTGTGTTTTCTCGATCCCCTTAAGCCGGCTATGCACGACCAACATTTTTTCTAGATCAAACGCTGTTGAACGTTGTTGAGCTAAGATTCTAAACGATATAAATATTTGAATGATCTGTGACAATTTTTTCCAAGGTCCCTTTTCTGAATTATTTCATAAACTGCTTATTTACTAGCTGAACGATTGCAATAAATTGATAATATCACTGAAAGATAACTGATCTAGACACAAAAAATAATTTCTATATAGAATAACACCAAGTAAAACACTAAAAGCATATCTAAACTGTTTTTATAAAGAACAATTTCATTACTATTAAGAATCAAAATTACCATTAAGATCGATCGTCTTGTAATTGCAAGAAATTAAATGAATATGAATACATACCTAAAGTCTTTCATTGAGATCTATGATGTACAGATTTTCCTTAGTTTGATCAAAAAAGAATTTCATCATAACAGGAATCCTGGAACTGTTGCTGCGTCTACTATAGCCTCTAGTGGCAAAGCCCATTTATGACTGCGTTTGCAGAGAAATTGGAGTCGCGTTAAAGGAGACTCCGACCAACGATAGGAAATGCAGGCAGCTTTAATTCGGTTTTAGTATTTAAGAACATTGGTGATACAAGTATCTAACAAGTCAGTTCGTTTTAAAATAAAAAGCAGGCCAACCTGAATTATCAGCCTATTCCATCTTATAAGTCTAAACAAAGAAGCACATTTGGAGCATTTTTTGACTTCATCAGGTAAAAAGTATCAACCATTAGGTGATATAATCCTGTTTTAGCTGAACATGCTTACGTTATTCTCAAGGCTAAATGAAATAATATGCATTCAACTACATGAAAATCGAGTCACCTGATGCTCTCCTACAGGACCAGGAGCAAATCAATCAATGAAGTTAAATCTTGCTACTAACAATAAGTAAAATATGTTATTAAATTCATCTTAAGCACAAGTTATGGCATTTTAATACTAGATTTGCGTTAAGTAAAGCGACAAGGATAAGTAAAAAATAAAGTAAAGCGAACATGTGAATGAGTTTAAATTTGAAACTAATCTGGTGTTTGCTGGTCTTCTATTACGTCTCTGGCTGCTGACCATCTTTCTATAAAAAACCAAACAAAAATGTTTAGTCAAGGAAAATCATTGACGTTTCTCTCAATAGTGGCAGCTTTCAGCGCCTAGGCTTTACTGCATACTTAAAATGACATTGTCCAATCCATGACAGCAGCGCTGAAGCCGAAAAATTGCGGATTGTTAAATTACAGATAATGAAAACAAGATTGAATTTTATGATAATTATTACCATTCTAAAACTCTGTTTCAGTTTCTTCGTAATAGTTGATAAGGGTAGTTTCATGACTCTTTTCCCCTGGTGTTTTTTCTGCTCTTTCAACAAAGACTGGTAAATCTGCCCTTCCAGCTGGCTCTAAAAATTCACCAGATGTTCTTGCTACGTCGCCTAAATCGGTTGGCCCAGGTAAACACGTAACTGCCGAGAGATCACGAAGAGAGCTGGCTTTGAATGAGTCCTCTACAAACAATGGCTCTTGATCGTTCAGTGCAATGTCATCTTCGGGGCAGCGATACTTATCTCCAGAAACTGGATTTACCTGGGGATGGCCATTGCGTTTCATGCGGAAGTAAAGAGTTGCTGCAATGATTACGATCAATGCAAGAATGATTGCCAAAATAAGTAGCATAATTCGAGTGCTAGTCCAAGTGGAGTCTTCTTTAACATCAGGACACATTGGGAAGCCATCGTAAATGGAACGCAATCGACATGGCTGGGTCTCTATCAGGTCGTTACACAAAATAGCAAATACGATTTCTGAATGAGTTGAAATATCAAGATTCTCTGTTGCAGCAATATCTGAAATACATGCATGGAACAAAAATAAGGCTGTCTGTGGCAGATTGATAGAGCAATACTGTTGTAATACACCGGAATAAATCTTTTGATGGCAAATTTCAAAAGCAGCAGCTTCGATACTGCTTGTCCGAAAAACTAATAAATAGCTTGAGGGCAGTTCAAAAGAAACCGTAGAGGGCAAAACTTCTGGAACATTCCTTTTTGGCATCATAGTCATATTAAAGATTCTGGCAATAACAGTTTGGTTATGCGGTTCAAGGAGATATTTTGAGTTAGGTGCTAGAAGTACCGGGATATTTTCTCCGTAGGTCTGATCGAAATATCCGGCAAGCAGCAACCCTGATTTGGGGAAAACAACTCGTTGCTTAGATACATTTTGGATATCAATAGAAGATTTCGCGTAGGCCCAAATTCTAAACTCATCAACAGCACCAATAAAATCGTTTTCGAGAATCTGTCGTCCATTCTTCACATACTGTCCTATTACAAGTGTACCATTCCAAGAATAAGAAGCGCCAAGTTTGACGACGTAATCAGTTGTAATCTGCAGGCCCAGGCATTCGGAGCTAGCTTGCATTTGCAAACGACCATCATAAGACCGCCAAGAAACTGCAATATGGGTCCAAACAAGAGGACGAACTACGAAGCTACTTGCTAATGAGAACTCATCCCATTCGAAATAGACACGACCAGCATACTTCAAGGACAAGTATCTGTTTCCATCATGTTCTAGAGACAGTATGGTTTGCTTTGGTCCAATGGGTTCTTGGGTTTCATTACTGCAAGGGCTTTTCAAATCATATGTTGGTTTACTAGGATGTATCCATAAGTCGAATGTCCACTCATCTAGTACTTCATGTAAGGGTAGCAAGGTACCCTCAACTCGGTTGTGGCTGAAAAACAGCATGTATCCTGGACCTTTCTGTGTGTATCTGGATGCATTCGACAAGAGTGAATCTGATTGGTTCTTCCAGTAATGGCGCGTGGTGACCTCGTGTACAATATCGGAAATCGATATAGCTGAACTGTTCCCGAAAGAATTGACGTAAGAACCGTTCATAAATTTACTGCTAGGCTCTAGATTTTTGTTACTTTTAATCAAGGAAAACGAACATATTCCCGATGAAAATCCCTTCTTGAAGCTTTCATCGACTAGAACAGACATATGATCACTTTGTAATAAGACCCTCAAGAAGTAATTCTCTCCTGCACGGATCTCAGCCCTGTCCTGCTTGCTTCCAGTAAGACGCATAGTCGTATCCCTCAATATACTTTGCCAGTTTACGCTTGGCTTAACTTCAGAAAGACTCCCTTTCCAAAGGCCATGAACGGTGTGTATTCCACTTTTCCTTAACAAAATACGTAGGTAGCCATTGGCGAAAGTTACAGAAACATCCCCGAATTTGCCGGTAACATAAATTTCTGTGATACGTCGACAGCTGGAATTCAATCCACAAGATTTCATTGCTATAAAAACCTTTGTTTCCTCATTTCCAATAAGTATGTACATTCCCTGCAAATCTAAATCAAAAGACGTCCCATCAAGTGTTCTGAAATGCATAGTACCAAATGCAATACAAAGACGGCTATTCCTGTTTTTATTTTGAACCCGAGCTGACATTTCCTTCTCAGCTATGTCACATTCGACGCCCTTCCATCCAGGTTTGCATTCAGAACACGGAAGCTTCCAGGTGTCATTTACATACTCAGAAATCCAATTCCCATGACAGCTACACGTTCCATTGTCCTTGTCACAAACACCACGGTTATTGCAAGTATTCAAGATGCCCCCTGGACAAAGAAAAGAACAATTTGTGCCCCAGTATCCTTGCTCACAAATGCACATACTCTTGTCAACTGACCATGTTCCATATACACAGACATGGCTACAGTTGATGCCTACCAGATATAATTGAGTGCTGGGCTGAACCATACTACATAAGGCTTGCAAAAAGTCCATATCTATTTGCAACATAGTTTTACAGTGTCTGCCGAATGACGCAACTGCAAAAATCCCAGCATACGGATCGCCAGTCTTTGCAATATCAGTTATGCACAGTTCGTAGAAATAAGACAATATACCATCATGCAGCTCTTTACATTGAGAATACATTGGTCCTGCATACAGCAATTTTTGACATCTGACAGCAGCTTGATCCATTAGAGATTGGTTGCTTGATACCTTGACTTCTATTTGTTCATCAATATCTAAGTCAGAATATTGAGGTGATCCTGGGTACCATTGTTGGTATCTGAATTCCAATGATGATACTTCGTCCTTGGCAAAGTGATTAGACAGATTATCAAACTTGAATAGATGCATCAGATCTTGCTTATATGATATAGAGGTGGGATTGATTTTTGTGTTCTTATTTATTAGGGATGGGTTAGATCTTCTTGACCAGATTCTCACTTCATCAACCTCAGCATCAAAAGTGCTATTTGGAATCTCTGTTATGTTATCAAAAGACGGGATCCACTGTCCGATAGACAATCTGCCTCCTGAGGTAAAGACATCAAGTTTTGTTTTGAAAGCTCGTGTTTCTATCTGGTTGCCAGCCTTGGTCAAATACAGGGTAACCAAACGAATGCTTCTTCTGTACACAATTGTTAGCTGATTCCAAATACCTGGAAAAATATAGAAAATGTGCCGTAGCTAAGTTCAATAGGCGAGACTAAAAAACAGCGGATCTGCTCTACGTCATTGAGTTTATAGAAAATATCAAATGTTTTAGATCAATTCAGTGTGTCCGGAACCTTGACATACTGCATAACTTTAAACTGCTTTATCAAAAAAATATAACATTTCCTGCAATTGTATGTTGTTATTCACTTACCAATGTCAGTAAAGATTCCTGTATGGTAAATCTCATTGCCAATAAACATCCGCATCTCCTGCTCATTACTTATTGCAAAAATGTGTTTGCTTAGGTAAGACATTAGCGTCCCTCCATGGATTTTAGACTTAATGGACAATTCCAATGTCAATACTGGACTTTCAATGGTGTTTGTAATCAACGTTGAAATCATTCCCGTATCCTTCAAGTACACATTGTACAAACTGTGATAAATCTTGAAATTTTCTCTATAGGTTTTGAACATCTTATAGTCAACGATGGAGGCTGAAGCTGCAACGACGTAGTTGTTTTGACGTCTTGATACTAAATCGGATATTGGCTCCCTAGCAGCGTCGCAGCTTCCTAACAGTCCTGAAGCGCCTTTGCAAATTTCTTTTGAAAGTTTGAAAATAATTTCTAGCGACTGACGAATGGCAATTGTTATTTCGAATTTACGATCGTAAATCAGCTCGTAAATGTTACGATCCCTCCTAATCATTCTTGCGAAAGTTGAGATGAAAGTCACATGATCCACTTCCTTCGTTTTACCATTGATGATTAGGATTGGTGCAATGATACTGAGGTGACTGGTGTTGATCAAATAAGGTGCACGAACAACGACTTTTAGGTCCTTATACCGAAGGCTGAGGAACGTCAAGCAACGGCTGTGGTAAATGCCTGACAATGTACAAGGCGAAAGTTTCACAGTTGCTAGAAATTTCCGATCATGATTTTGGGCAAGAATAATCTCCTCTGTAACGCGAATGTCGAAAGAGTACCCATTAAAAGTTGTTAAAAATCCGCTTGATGTTAAGAACGAAATGGCAAATAGCTGGTGCTTGTAAAGCCCAAAAGGTTCGATAACAACATCACAAGACAAGCCGGTCCAATTGGTGCCGCAAGATGAGCAATTGACATTTCCATTCCAATTTGCACTGCATAAACAATAACCATCCGTTGTGGCACACCTGCCATTCCCTGAACAGGCGTTTAGTGCGCCACCAGGGCATTGTCTTGAACAGTTTGCTCCCCAATAGCCTTCATCACACAAACAATGGCTGGTATTTCTTGGATCTGGCTTTCCAAACACACACGTGCGGTTACATTTGCCTCCAATCCATATCGGTAAAGAAGCTGGTGCAAAGCGATTGCAAAGCTCCTTCGCAGGCCACAATGTCAGACCCAGTGTATCCTTACAAATGTCTGCAAACATCACCACAGAATCAACAGAGAAAGATGCATCCTTCAAAGTGACGTCTTCAACGCAAATTGAATAGAAGTATGCCAATAAAGATGAGAGGTTGTGACACTGGGCATTTAATTCCCCTTCATAAAATAAAGACTTGCAATGCTGTTCAAGAGCAGTGAGATTTAATTTGCCTTGTGGCGATAACGGTAGCGCGTCTATGATACTGTCCTTAATTGTTGCACTTGATAAAACACGAACTGGTCTTTGCCAAAGGACGCTAGGTGTGTACAAGCTTTCGTTCTCGTACACTAAGTTCCGCAAAATATCGCCACCAAGCTCATTAAATTTCCAAAGTGCTGTCAAGTTTGGATAGGATTTGAGGACGTTCATCTTGAAATTCTGTTGTATAGTGAGAGGGTCAAATGTACGATTCCAGACACGAATTTCATCCATAAAAAATTTTCCCGTCAAATTAATCCCGTTCGGCCTTTTCACTGATGGAAGCCATTGTCCTATAGTCAAAATACCACAGGCATAAAACGGGTCTGTATATAAAGCAAAGGTGCGTCGTTCCATTGAGCTGTTGTGTTTGTTCTCAAAAAACACATAAATTTCGAAGCGTTTTAGACTAGACCACCAGATCATTGTCACATGATGCCAAGTGTTGTTGACAACTTTGATGTTTGAGTCAAATGCAATTCTGTCGATGACGATTTTAAAAGTATCTTGAATATAAACTGCAAATGTTGTTGTTAATGAATATGACAAAAGCATACATCGGGTGTTTAATGGTTTCACAAGAAACTCGATTGAGTAATCTCCTCTCGTTCTGAATGCGTTGCATAAAGGATTAGATACTGCACCAGTGTTATCAAACAACAACGCATATTCAGCAGAAGTGAAGGAATTCATATCAATCACGGATTCTACACTAGCCTTCGGTATGTGCCATCTTCGGTAAAGTGCCTCAGCTGCTTCCTTTGCAGATGATATCGAAGTTTCGTTGTAGCATGTCATCAGAATCCCTCTGTCATGTGTGCAACCTCCACTGCGATTAGCCTCGATCGCGATGCTCAGTGAGTTTCGAAATACTCTTACAACTGCAAAATGCTGACTTGAAATTTCAATTAGAATTTCGTTCTTTGTTGCCAACTTGATGGTTGCGGTGTAGCTAGGATTAGTCAAAACTACTGGAAGGCTGCTCAGTTTTTTAGTCCTGTTGTTTATCAGAGTAACTGCTTCGTGTGTTTCCGGGGTGGGAGCTCTTATTGAAATTCTGTCATGCATAATCTTAAAGAATATGGCAGACACACAGATTTTGTGACTGTAGCATGATGTCTGGATACATTGGATATCAACAAGCAATTTTTTATCGCTGTATATTTGAAACATCCCTAAATGGTTGAACCTAAAGGCATTCTTTGAAAAGAGAACAACAGAAGCATCAAATAAATAGCTTTTTGGCGACGCATCTATTTGTAGGAAACTCGCTTCGATCTTAGCAACTCTACACTCTTTTCCTATCCACCCTTTCGTACAAGTTCCACATTTTGCATCACCATCCCAGTTAATAGAGCAATAACATTTTCCAGTTTTTAATACGCAAACGCCGTTGTCACTACAAGGTCTCAATGCTCCACCTGGGCAAATGTCGCTACAATTGGCACCCCAAAACCCTTTGGCACATAAACATTTTTTCTGCGGAGTCTCTATTCCGTAAACACAATCCTCGTTACAATGGAATCTCATTTTCTCGGGAAGATCAGCTAGGTTGAAAATGCGACATAAATGTTTGGCAGGCCATATAGTTAGATTGGTAATTGCCTTGCAGTAATCGGCGAATGAAACAATACTTTGCAAACCAAGATGCAGGTCTTCCCCTTGCACTATCAACTCTCTGCAAAGACGATAAAAGAACGAAGATACTCCTTGTCCCATCCAAGTGCATTGCCTGCCTAGCTTTCCGCTAAGAGTATATCTTTGACAAAATTCATCAGCCTTCCAAATCCATTCCAAATTCACTTCTCTATTCTTGGTTTCTGCGAGCTGCTTCTTTAGGGTAACACTGGACGGCTCTTTAGTTGGTCTCATCCATGGTTTTTTCACCAGCAAAATCCGTTTCTTTGTTACTTTATCAATTACGTGACCTGCCTCAAAATTATCAAAATCAATGGCTACAGTCAAAAACCAGGAGTCATTGCGAAGTTTCCTCTTCCACAACTGCCAAATAACAGCTGGGCTAAATTCTCTCTCCCAAACTCTGAACTGCTCAATCAAGCCTATGAATGTGGTATTTGGTCGTACAAAGCTGTCATTAAAAGCAGGTTGCCATTGCCCAATTCCGAAGATTCCACCAGAACTGAAAACATTAATTTTGGTCCCAACATGTAATTTTTGCCAACGTATCGATCCATTTCGATCAAAAATAAAAACTGTAAAGTTCCCTGTTTCTTTGTCCCATTGTAAGACAATCTGATTCCAGCTTTTGGATTCAAGATTTAGCTTCGTTTTGTAAATATGATCACCGATCCAGATCTGCAAATTTAAGCGCACAGTCACTAGCAGAAAAGTTACTTCACTGCCATATGATAAGATCACGCCGTTGTTTTCCAAGAAAATCATGAAATCAATGGTCAAAAATTTACTATTGATATACGAAGGATTCAAAAACACCAAGGAAGAAGAGTTGAATCTCAATGCAAAACCCGCGTTAGCTTCTCTGTATTCTCTGATACTACTGAATTCATAGATGAAGCTGCTTTCACACAGCTCTATTTTGTGCCTGTCAATGAACTGGTTGATGTATGTTTCATTGAGGCTTGGAGCCTGGGCCGTATTATTAGTTGCAAATTGCCTTGTTGAGCAATTCCTGTCACTAGCTTTTTGTCCAAGAATTTCTTTGAGGTTTTTGCTGCCACAATTTCCCAGTAATCCATAAGACTGCCTACAAACTTGATGAGGCACGGCTATAATCACATCAAGGTACGCTCCAATAACAGTTATGTCGTAGCTGGTATAAGCAACTTTAATGGTGTAAATCATTACTGATCTTCGCAAAATTTCAACTTTGTGTGAATGTATGTATCTAAGATCCGTGTAGATGTCAACAAATCGTCCGTTCAGCCAAATAATAATCTTGTCAGATCCATGAAAGGGTGCATGAACTACCATCGTTAAGACCGAAGACTTGATAACTAAGGAATTCAAACAAGGTGCTGCGTCATAACATGGGACGAATCTTCCATACACGGCTATATCAAACAATGATGAGAACACAAGTCTATATTCACCAACAATTCTCAGCACTATACCATAACCACCAAATATGATGATGTGTCCCTTCAAAGATATGACTGAGTAGTTTGACAATGCAGTTGTCTTATTTACTGATGATACAGAGCAGTCATCACCTATCATTCCAGAAGTACACTCGGAGCAAATGCTATTGCCCATCCAGTTTGACTGACAGGTGCATTTTCCTGTTTTCAAGTCACAAATTCCGTGGTTCGAGCAGGGTCTGCTGAACCCACCATCACAAGTTTCATTACAAGCAGTACCCCAGTATCCACTGCGGCAAACACAAACCTCTGAATTACTGTGTGAACGACTCCCATGAACGCATTTAACAGTGCAGTTCTCTCCAATCCAACCGGGTACTTTCACATCAAGAAAAATGTTACACAGTCGTCTTGCAGGCCAGTCATCTAGGGACATGGTTTCCTGGCAAACATCGGCATACTCAGCAATAACACTTACAGCTGCCGACATCTTCTGAGACTTCAAAGCAACAGCAATACAATTGGAAACAAAGAACTGTTTTGTCTCATTAAGAATGCTCTTGCAGACAAGACCGACATGCCCATTCAGGATGATGTCTTCACAAAATCTTTGCGCTGATACTCGTAACGGTGTGTCATCGACAAATCCGACATTTCTTATTGGTGTAGATATTGGAGCTGTAGAAACTCTCCAATTGGGTTGTCCCATGGGGTATTGGGGAAACAGCAAGTCATTTTGTGCAATAAGGTTCTTTGTAATCAGCCCTTCGCCTTCGTCCAGTTTCCAAGCAGCAACTAACCCAGGCACACGCCTGTTCAAATTTGAAAATATTCTTTGTCTCACCATCGGGAAATCAAAAAACATTTCCCACACTCGTACTTCATCAATTTCACCAACAAATGTTCTGAATGGCGGCAAACCTTTCCCATTCAAGGAAGGCGTCCAGCTTCCTAAAGATATCACGCCACCATTAACGAATGGAAATTCCTTTAACTTAAATGATCGGTAGTACACTTTCAATTTTTCTACCGCAAGGTACACATCTATCCTTTCACGCACTTTGCTCAGCGTAACAAATACATGACTCCAAATGTCTACAGGCGTTTTTAGACCAGTGTCGTATACATCATTACCGATTACAATCTTCAATGTGATGAAATTGCTAATATACACAGTAGTAAGGGCAGCATAGGTAAAGATTGGTCCACCACAAATATGCGGCTCGCAACTTTTGATTAGAAAATCGACGGTGACATAGTTTCCAGAAAATATATGCAGTTCTTTGGAGTACAGAGTTGCTTGGCTGAAAAACAGCGCAAACTTTGCAAAGGTAAATGGAAGTTGGTTCAAGACAGGTTTAAAAAAAGTTGAATCGGATTTAGACCCTTGTAGGCAAGATCCACAAATACCATTAAAGGACTTGCAGGTTGGTGAGTGGGACTCCACTTTAATCTCATAGTACAGCGATCTTGTAGAAACGTCCACAGTCAGTCTGTCTGAAATCACGATACGATATGATCTTCGTGAAACTGTGTGAATTGAAAATCCTGAAGATACTTTGTAAAACGAACGCAATTCTAGGTCAACTTGTTTCCCATTGACTGACACCTGCGACTCTGGCTTGGATGATGTTCTGCGCAACGTCACATTTTTCATTCTATGGCGAAGAGATACAGAGACAGGGCAAAACGAGTCTTGTAAACATGGTACCGTCTCAACGAACAAATGTTCTACTGTGCTATTGACAACTGCATACGTCCCACCTCCCACCAGCATGTGTTGCTCGTCATTAAAACTAATAAACTGTCCGTAAGAACGTAGCAAGCACCGTATTCGAGTCGAATTTTTAGTAGGAACTAAGGCATATGAACAATCTTGCCCCTTCCAACCCGCAGTACACTTGCTGCAATTCGAATTTCCCCTCCAGTTATGACTGCACACGCATTTCCCTGTCCCTTGTAAACAAACTCCGTTATTGGCACAAGGATTACTCGCGCCCCCAGGACATTCTTTTGTACAGTTCATGCCCCAATAGCCTTTCAAACATAAACACTTTCCATTAACAATGTCACCATAAACACATCTCTTCGTGCAGTTTTCGCCAAAATTTTCACCAATGCGTTTATTTGCAGTTAATTCACACAGCATTAATGCCGGGTTTGTGTCCAGCTCCAATGAATCCATGCAGGCTGATGAGTAGGCCAAAAGAACTTCGTCAGCAGCATCAGTTGTATTCTCCACCAAGACCTTTTCCACGCATGCTTGGTAGTAAACCGAGGTCAAATTATTCATAACCGAAACACAGGTTTCTTGCAGCATTTTGTTGTAAAGAAGTTCTTTGCACCTGTTCTCAGCAATGGGAATGAACGTATTCCATTCCCGCTCGCTTTTACTTCCCTGGGCATGTAACATGTAATCAGCAGTTGTCCATATCGGCTGTACCCAGCCACTGGGCGGCATTTTCATGTTATTAACTCCAAAGGTGTCATGAACGACCAGACCAGTTCCTTCATCCATATTCCATGCTGCTTTCAATCCAGGCGTTCCGTCACTAAGGTCTTGTCTCCAACTTTCTTCTATAAAAAGACTATCCAATCGAATGTTCCATATTTTGATGTCATCAATTAGACCAAACAACAAGGGATACCTCAGTGATACATGAGACTTTGGTGATACATGTGACAACCCTAAACCCATGGAAATGTCACCATTGAACCATCCAGTACCAACGACGTAAATGGACGACTGAGCTAAGCCAATGTCAGATTTTGTGAACAGCTGTAAAACTCCAGTCATTTTGTGATAAACTAAAGTTAGCTGCGTCCACATAAAAGCAAGAATTTCAAGTTTGCTATCAATTTCAAGGTTGTCGCGCAGGATCTTTACGGTACCTTCAAGATTAATGGAAAAGGTAGTGTTGGATGTGAATGACAAAATTGTTCCTGCTTGAATCGGATTTGTAGTTTTGACCATCAATTGAAAGCTGATGTAGTCCCCATTGAAAACTTCTAAAAGTGGGGAAGTGATAATTCCAGTTCTATTGAAAAACAAACAGGTCTGGGCTTTCGTTTGATGCACATTTCCAATTAAGCGCAAGGTATTCGTGAAAAGACTTTCATTAGCAGATACTTCCAAGGACTTGATGAACAACGCCAATTCTTCGGCAGTCGTGTTTGCATTTGGGTAATATGATGGCTTTGAGGTATTGCAATGACTGATGGCAGGATCGCAAGTTGATTCAGATGAGCAGTTGGCAAAAAGGCCTAATGATTCCCGGCAAAGAGACTCGTGCAAGGCCAATGAGAGTGATAATGCCCTAGAATTATTATAGACCGATATCTGAAAGCCATCAGAAGCCTTGATAACAAATTGATTGAAGGACTTTCTATAAAACCTGTAGCCGTCTACCAAGTATCGAGTTTCTTGCACGGAAATTCTTTTGTCGTTCACTGTAACAGTTACGCTGCCGGACAGCCCCGCATGAATGACAACGATGGTTGTATTCAAACGCAATGCAACGCAACCGAGCATGAACGATTCATATCTTTGAACATATCGCAGCTGGAGTTGCAACTTTCTATTGCTTGAATGTAATGCACTAAATTCACCATATTGTTGTATTTTAAAGACAACACGGTCAAAAGTCATCAAAAAATTGTTGGCAAAAACCTTTGCATGTTTGATTTGTCGATTATCTCGTCCTGGAATAAGACTTAAGCACTCTCGTCCATAGTATCCCTGCGTGCAGGACGAACAGTTAGAATTGCCCATCCAATTCCAATCACAATGACAATTACCTGATTCTCCTAAACAAAACCCATGGCCGTGACAGGGCCTCAGAACGCCACCTGGACACGTATTAGTGCATTCTTCGCCCCAATAACCATGCTTACACTTGCAACTGCCGTTCACGACTTTGCCAAACAAACAAACAACTGAGCAGTTCACACCGCCGTACTCTATACCAGGGTTGTATCTCAATTTCATTGTGAAATTAGCACACATTGATTTTGCTGGCCATTCGGCGAGCTGTAGTGCTGTTTGGCAATTATCAGCAAAAGCTACTGCTGCCTTAAATCCAACATCTAACGACCTTCCTTTTGCAATGAGTCGTAGACACATCATGAAAAAGAATCTGCGAAAAAAAGAATCATGAAATGATAAGAAAAGATACACTTGATATTTCTCGAGAAAAAAAATTATCTTGGTAAAAAAAAGTTTGCATGAATGGATAAAAATGAAAGTAACTGAATCAAACGAAAAGAACTTGAAGAAAACTGAATGCCGTAGAAGTGAATTTAACCTGCATAATATAGCAGACAGCAGCTTCAAAAGATATAAAAATCGGGAAGTGTTCATACCAAATATATAAAAGGGATTACTTTTAGACATATTTCTTCAACATTAGTTGTTTCTTACCCAATCCTTGGTTTTCCAAGTTTGACACAGTTCCGGGATAAATCAGACCCGAACATCAACCAATTGCAGAGTTCCTTTGCTTTTTTCTCAAAAACTTTTGATGGAAATTCCAAATTTTCAAACTGGATCGATGATCCCTTGCTTACTGTCGATCTAATCCACTTTGGAGCTTTCGAATCAGCGGGAAAATACAAATCAATTTTAGACACTGGATCATAAACAACATTCCCAGATCCTTCATTGAAGTCCCAACTGCTCACTAGATCTGGGTCATTTAAGTCAATTTGACTGTAAAACAAGGCCCTAACTTCAAGATAGCTATATAGTCTCTGCCAGATACGAACAGTGTCGATGGTGCCCGAATAGCTACTGGCAGGCAAAAAGTGTTTCGTCTCTTTGCTTGAAATCCATTGGCCAATGCTTAGTACACCGAAACGCCCAAGTAGAACCGTATTGTATGGCAGTTGTAGTCGGTAAAACCAAGTCAGTCCGGCGGCATTAGTGAAATATATGACCATTTTCCTTGTTATATACTCATACACTATACTAACTTGATTTGTTAAGTTAACATTTACAACGAATCCTGTGTCATGAATGGCCGTTGAAACAACTACATGAAGAGTTTTCCTTACGATGATGGCAAAGGAATCGTCCTTGCTGAAGCAAATCAGAGTTGAATTCTGCAGAGCTCGCGAATCAGGTGTAAAGCGAATGTCAATGCTCAAGTTTTTATTCATATAAACATCGGTTAGAACATTCGTTGATAGTCCTACACCAGAAAAGACGAATCTGGATTTATTAGTCAAAGATTTGTCTTTTGAAAGAACAAGATTCCTATGACTGACCATGATTCTATTGGCAAAGACTGCATACTTATTTGTGTAGTTGCTATCAATGTCCGCATGACAAGATCCACATATTGACTGAGACCCACGACACAGCCCGTCCTCGACCTTCACTTGAATCGATAGCTCACCAAGCATTAGCCGAATATTAATTTCCATCAACGCTATGAGCGATAGTTTGACCCTATTGCTGCTCTCCAGATAAATTGATATCCCATCAATACGTTTCAACCGGGTAGCTAAAGATGTTTGAACATCGTTTACATAGATTTCAGGTTCCAATTTACCATTCAAGCTGGCAAAAACTTTTATTGTGTTACTTTTAACTTGCAAAGACAGTGCTGTTGCACATAATATCAAATCGCTGTTACACCTCTCTTGAAGAACATTTATTGTCACATTTCTTTCCTTCATTTTCAGCAAGTGAAATTCACCAGTATTCAAAACTCGTCTAGAAGTCCCGTTGAGGGTCACAACATTGCCCCCTGGCATAAAAGCGCATGACATGTAATTTTCATCAGCGTTGACAATATCACAAAACTCCCCGCTCCATCCTTTCTTGCACGTTGAACAGTTCGAGTCTCCGTTCCAGTTTGCCTCACATTCACAAGTTCCAGTTCTTTTGTCACAAGCTCCATTTCTGCTGCACGGGTTCGCTGCTCCGCCTGGACACTCTTCTGTGCAGTTCTTTCCCCAAAATCCTGAATCACAAACACATTGGCTTCTGTTATCAAGCTTAGCATGTCCGAAAATGCATGGCATCTCGCAATAATCTCCTATCCAATACGGAAATCTTTGTCCACTAAAGATGGTACATAGAGGTCTGGCAGGCCAGTAAGACAAACTAAGCAGAACCTGACACTGATCTGCAAAATTGACAACAGATAGAACAGCAAGGCTCTTGTTATTTTTGTTTGAAGTAACGTCTCTGATACAGCTTGAAAATGATAAATCTCTAAGACTGTCAACACCTGGACAATTTCTGAGCAATGGTCCACTGTAGAACAAAGACTTGCAAAATCGTGCTACAATTGATAAGTCTCTACTTACAATATTAGGAGGACGAACCAGAGATTGGATAACGGATTCAAGTTTGATGCTAGACATTACCCATTGCGGCCTTTCTGCAAATTTCCACGGCAAATACAGATGCTCATTTGTTATCAAATTTTCCGCAATGTGACCGTTTCCTTCATTGAACTTCCATAAGCCCGTTAACGATTGGTACGAGCTAATCACATTCAATTTGAAATTCTGCTGAATTGTAACTGCATCGAAAACTTTATTCCATATTCTTATTTCATCTAAAGTAAAGATGGCTGCACCAGAGACAGGCGGAGGCAGCATCGCATATGATGGCAACCAGTTGCCAAGGGACAGAAAACCACAACGAGAAATGAGCTTGAATGGAATATAAAACGTACGCCGCTGCACAGGATTGTCGTTTTTCTTTATAAAGACCTCTAAGCGATATAGTTGCTGGTTCCAAACTATGGCAATATAAAACCAGTGACCAAGAGCAATGTTTATACCAGTATCAAACACACGAGTGTCGACGTTCAGTTTAAATGTCTTTTTCATGAAGAGGCCTATGACAGTTCCCTTTGCGTACGACAGCAGCACGCCATTGTTGGTATATGGTTTAAGCAGCAGCTCAACAGTCAGATCGCTATTTTCCACAACAGACTTGCACAGCGTTGAGGTAACGGCCATAGTATTATTGAAGTACAATGCATACTCTCCTTCTTTATGTTCATTGTTTGGTATTATCGAAGTAGGTATATCTGAAATTTTCTCAGAAAGAGCGAACTGCCTGTAAAGATCCTTTGCAACCATAGCTGAGGTGGTGTTCCGTGCATTAATAGCGCAATATGCCATCATTCCTTGGAGTGAGTTGCAGCTTAGGCCTGTCAAGCCAACAGACAGTGAAATTTCTTGCTCAAAAAATCGTATCCGAATGCTAAAGCTTTCTCTGATTCTAACTGAGATTTCCAAAGATGCAAGGTACTGGACATCCATTGAGCTGTTGCTACCTTTAATTGTAAATAAAGCACTTGAAAGAGAAATTAAATGATTATCAAGAAATACTTTAAGCGGGCTATTGTTCAGCGCTACAGTCAATACTAAAACCCTTGATTCTAACTTTATTGCAACAGCCTTTATGCACATCTTGAACTGCTGGCATGGCATTTGAAATACCTCAATACTACTGTGCATGCTTGTATGTTTTAGCAAAAGAAACCTTCCAGTGTAGCTAAATTCGATAGTTGCTCCACCAAATAGTCCGAGAATTCCACCAGAAACAAAGAACTGTCTTGTGTAGCTTATGTTCGATATGAGTGCAAGCGAGCAATCTGATCCAGACCAGCCAACACTGCAACTGCCACAGTCTGTAGAGCCATTCCAGTTAACATAACATTCACAATATCCGCTTTCTTGATTGCATTGACCGTTGTTGTTGCATGGATTCAACGCACCACCTGGACATATAAAGCTACAGTTAGATCCCCAATATCCTTTGAAACACTCACATGTACCATTACCTGATTCTGCCCCGTACAAACAGACCTTGTTGCATTTATCATACATATACATTGGCATTTGCGACTTAGCAAACTGTCTGCAGAGACCATGTGCTGGCCAAACTGTAAGATTCAATGCGTACATACAGTAATCGGCATACATTACGATGATCTTGAGTCCCTCTGCTACTTTTCTTGTCTCTAAGACAATTTCATAACAAGATTTAAGGTATGATGTTATCCGTCCTTTTCCTACTCCGTGGCATAACCGCGAAAGAGTGTCGGATTTAATCAACTTTTCGCAGGTACTTAGAGTTGTTACAGACTCTCTAGTATTTCTTTCAATTTCCTCTCTTGTTCTGGTGCGCGGCTGTTTTGTCAATACAAGATTAGAAAACACCCAATCTGGTCTTTTCCAGGGGCTTTCCACGAGATTCTGAATATGACCTGAGCGTTTGTCTATAAACTTTGATCCTTCACCTTCATTTAGCTCAAAAAGGAATAAAAGACCGTCTGAGTCAATTTTCACTTTCCTTGATTTCAGCTGCCAAATCAAGGCCGGACTGAACAGCCGTGACCAGATCTTAAGTTCATCTATATATCCAAGGAAGGTTCCATTTGGATGGAGGTTACTTTCGTTCATTGCTGGCTGCCATTGTCCAAATGCTAGTATGCTCGATTTTGTGAACAACTCTGCATTAGCAACTATCTCACCCCGGGCTAAAGTTCCGTTAACGTAAATAACAGAAACACTTAGCAGGCGTTGGTTTCTGTCCCATTGCAAAATTATCTGATTCCATGCGTTCATTTCAATGCCAAGGGTTAGACTATACTTGATATTGTTGACTGCAACGTAAATTGTGCTGTCTTCTACTGCCAACAAGAACATAGTTTCATATCCGCAGGATAATATTGTCCCTTGCTTCACTACGTTAACCATGAAATCAATGGTTAAGAAGTCACTCATCCCAATTGAAGTACAGTTCATAACAGTTAAAGCTGTTCCATTTATCCACAAAGCATATCCAGCGTTCCCTTCTCTGAACTCAACTATTCCATTATATACAAAAACAAATAAACTGTCACATTCCTTCAATACAAACTGTGTTAGGTATTGGCCTAGCCCAATGCTGGTCACCAACTCAAGGCCAATTGGCTTGCCAGTGATTACCGTCTCTTTGGTGAAATTTCCCGCCATGCAGTTTCCAAAGGTGACATGACGTCCAAAAACTTCTTCTCTTGACTGGCCGCAGTGGCCCAAAAGGCCTACAGTTGTACGGCAGACATCACTGTTGATGTTGATCTGCAAAGTCATGTATTTTCCAGATATAGTAAAAGTCACCAGTCCGAGCGGCATTTTCAATTCGAATGTCATCCTCAGCTTTTGAGATAAAGTGAAGCCAAATTCCTCATGCAAGACAGGTTGCTGATAAATGTCACGCATTTTGCCATTCAGCCAAATTAACAGGTTTCCTGAATTAGTAAGCGGTGCTCTGATAACTACGTGATGATTTTTTACTTTGGCAGAGACTGCGACAAGACATACAGAGTCACTAAAGCATGGGATGAATCGAGCGTGAAGAGAAACCTTGAACTTTGACGAAAACAACAAGATGTATTCTCCTCTCTTTCTTAGCGTGAATCCGATTTGCCCAAACATTACAACTGCACCTTGAAAACCAACCTGTGCAATATTTGCACTGATATTGACGGCGAGTCCAACATCGACAAGGTCACAGTCTTTACCTGCGAGGCCAACGGAACAACGCGAGCAGTTCGAATCTCCCTGCCAACTAGGCTCACAGAAACAATTACCTAGCTCAACATCACATATGCCATGGTCAGAGCAGGGATGTAAAAATCCTCCAGGGCAGGTTTCGTTGCAAGACGTACCCCAGAAGCCAAAATCACAAACGCATCGGTTGGCGTCAGATTCATCCTTACTTCCATGGACACATTGCATGGAACAGTCATCTCCGATCCAATTTGGAAAGCGTCTGCCAGAAAACCTGTTACATAAAAGTTGTGCTGGCCATTTTTTTAGCTTTAAAATAGCCTGACAATGATCGGCATAGTGAATTGCTGTTGACAGTGCTGAAGAAACTTGCCTTGTTCTTATTATAACACTTAGACACTGCTTCAAATAAAATTGTTTTTCGTCCTCGTTAATCAGGCTGCAGGCAAGGCCCATTGGCCCTTTGAGTAACACATCTGTACAAAATATTAAGCCTTTTTTCCTAATACTTGAATCGTCTACAGCTCCTCTACTACTTGGATGTAACAACGGAGCATCGGAAAATTTCCAGATCGGTTTCTTCCATGGATATAAAGGCAGTCTCAGTCTGATGCCATTAACCAAATCGAAGGTAAAATTACCTGCCTCTTCATCAAACTTCCACGCAGCTGCCAATTGTGGAATTCTGAATGATGGATTAAAAAATGCATACTTTTTAATGGAAGCAAAGTCAAATTGGCGACTCCAAAGCCTCAGTTCATCAATTTCTCCTTTAAAAGAATCTTCTGGTTGCAGGCTTGTTTTCTTTTGCGATGGCATCCAACTGCCTACAGCTAGTATTCCTCCATTCGCAATTGGATATGAGCGGAGTTTGAATGTTCTATACGACACAACGAATGAACTTGAAATTACATAAACGTCCATCTTCAAGTCAATCTCTGATAATGAAACAAACACTTGGCTCCATTTGTCTTTTTCAGTACTTAGTCCAGTGTCGTAAATTTCTGACCCAATATAAATCCTAATTGAGATGTAATTGCTGATACTGAACGAGACTTTGCTCGAATACGTCACTATTGGTCCACCACAAACAACTGGAGCACAAGATTTTACCAAGAAATCAAATGTTATTGATGGGCCTCCAATGAAAAAAAGCTTCTCCGAGTAGATTGTTGCTTCTTCAAAATAAAGACTGTGCAAGGCATAGTTTGTAAAACGAACTGTACCAAATGGTTTGAACCTTGTTTCGGATAAATCTGGGGTGGATATACACGCTCCACAGACTCCTGAATAGTAGACGCACCTAAGGTTCAGTGAAATTAAACGAACGTTAAGGAAATTCTTTACCAATTTCACTTGCAAGCTTATTGAATCTCTAACTTGTATTCTGTAAGTCGCTTGATCTGTCATCAGTATGCTCCATGTTCCGTTTATTACCATTCCTTCTGGTTTTAAGTCAGTTATGATAGCGCTACCAACCTTAAGTGTCAGCTTCTTTTCTTTCAGTAATCCAAAGGCTATCATCAAATCATTTTCTTGTATGTAAACATAATTGACACAAAGCGACTGTTTGTAACAGAATACATGATCCACATAAACTGTCATGTTGTTATCATTCATTAAAATATATCGCCCGGCTTTGCTAATGTCAAATCGTAACCTATCAAAAGCAAAGTACTCTCCTGTTTCATCCACAACGCAAAACGGATTGATATAAGCTGGCGCCTTTTCAACGACATATTTGCAATTGCTGCCAAACCAACCATTTGAGCACTTGTCACATGCGTAACTTCCGTTGAAATTAGCATCACAAAGACATGAACCAGTTTTGACATCGCAAATTCCATTTCCATGGCAGGGATCGGTAGCACCCCCAGGACACGTTTTGTCACAGCGTACTCCCCAATACCCTCGATCACAACTGCAGGACTCATTGAGCTTATTAACCGTCCCATATATACACCTTTTACTACAATTTTTCCCATACCAATTACTGAAATGCCCTCCAGGCAACATGTTGCACAAAACCCTTCCTGGATCTTCAAATAAGTTTGCAACGGTTTTGCATTCAACTGAATAGGCCAATAATGTCTCGTGTAGTACATCATCAGCTTGTGACGATGTGAATTCCTCTACACACGAGGCCAAATAGAAACCTACTCCCTCTCCCACAATGCTCAAACAGCTTTTGTTCATCGTTTCAGAGTAGATGACACCTGAACAGTGGCTCTGTGCCGCTGCTCGCCTCTCTGATAGTTTCGCTGCACTTGTGTAAACAGTCGAGGCAGAGGTTTGATAATCAGCAGCAACCCACTGGAGACTAAGGGAATCCTTTTCTGTCAAGAAAATGTCATTCTGACCAATTCCATCTTTCACCGTCGAGCCCGATGCTTCGTTAAACTTCCAAATAGCTGCTAGCTTGCTTTCTGATTCACTTATATCTTTTCCCCACAATGCCTGTATTGTGATAGCATCAAGCCTTTTCGTCCAGATTCGAACATCATCTACCCAGCCGACAAAATTTGAAAGTCTTAAATCTACAGGAGAACCAAGTGACGCAATCCATAGACCAATGCCAAGTCTGCTTCCCTCTTCGAACCAATCGTTGTCATTCACAGTGAAAACTGTTTGTCGGATTAATGTAGTACTGCTACAAATGAAGACTTGCATTACTTTGTTCATTTTTTGGTACACTAAACTGAGTTGTAGCCATTTGCCTGATTCCACCAGTATTTCAGTGTCTATTCTTTTGTTTTGATAATGAATAAGCAATGTACCATTAATAACTACTGACAATGTTTTATTCCGACCCAAGGATAACAAAGAACTGCCTTTGTGTGCGTCCCTCACTTTGAACATGATTTGTAAGCTGATATAGCTGCTTTTGAAGACATTGGTCAAAGGTGACGTCACAATACCAACAACATCAAGATAGATGCAGCTACCTGCAAATGTTATGAAGCTGGGACGACTTGTGGCATTTAAAGCCGGCTGTATCAAACTATCTTTTGGAGGGACACCCCATTTCATGGTGTAATTTGCCAAATCGGACTCTGTAAATGACGTTGCATTGTACTGCAGCATGATTCCATTTCCAGAGACATCAGTTAAATTGCATGTTCCCAGCACCCCGATCGCACCACTGCAATAGTTTCTTGACATGGTTAACTCAAGATCAAGTGAAGAGTTCCTACGATAAATAGTAATAAAAATTCCGCCTGGCCCGCTTACTGCAAAAGAATCGTGCGTCTTTCGCTCGTATTGATATCCCAATGCAGTGAAATTGACGCTTCTGTTTTCATCGATTTCTTCCCCGTTCAATGCCACACTCACATTTCCATCTGGCTTCGACACCAATGCAACAGACTCATTACCTACACGCACTGCAGCTGCATCCAAAACAACAGATCGTCTTCGTCTTACCATTCTTGTCTGGGCTTCAACCTTGGCATCGCTAGACCTATACATTAAAAATTCACCTGTGCTGTTGAGCCTCACGCGTGCCCCATCGAATGTTCGAGTAAACCCTTCACCGAATACAGCAGAAGAATGTAATTCTGTTTCTTTGTGTGTTACAATAGACAAAGAGCAGTCGATGCCAGTAAATCCAAGAGAGCATTGAGTACAATTTTTCGAACCACGCCAGTTTGCATCACAGATGCATTCACCATTGGGTTTAATACATACCCCTCTGTTATTGCAAGTGTTGATTAAACCACCAGGACATACGTCATTGCATTGCTCTCCCCAGAATCCTTTGGAACATCTGCAAGCGCCAGTATGAACTTTGCCAAAGTAACATATTCGCGTGCAGTCAACACCGTACCAAACAGTGAGTGGCTGAGTGGCCCAGGATACTGTAAACAAATTGCAGAATTGCCATGCTGGCCACACTGAAGTTGAAAGAGCTGCATGACAATAGTCAGCTGTTCCAAGGATCGCTTTGACGCCAAAGTCAATTTGCTGACCATTTGATACCATTCTCAAGCAGGCAACGTAGAAGAAGCTGCGAGTAATAGATGATATGATGATATTACTATAGCTATCTATAAACTATAAGGTGATATTGCAATAACTGTATATCATATAGTTATATTACTTTAAAAAGTACTAACGTTAGGAAAACTACTGTTTACCTGTCTGGCATATAGAGCTTGACGCCGTACAGGAATATACTACAGTTATATGCTAGGGGGGTTGGCACTTGCTGATTGACAAATAAACTAGAAATCGTTGAAGCGCGTTATTCTTTCTTTTCTTCCATACCTGGATTTATTAACAATCACTTAATCATAGGTCGTCATCTGTTGATGAAGTAATATTACCTGCATATAATTTCAAATTTGAATACTTTTGGCATTCCATGAAAAATTAGGAAAACGAGGTTTTGACTTGGAAAATGAGGAAAACGGGATTGTACAGAAAATTGTATACTACATGTCCGTCATTAAGTATACAAACGTAAAATAGATATTGTAAATGAATGTGAGCATGTGCTTCCTTAAAAACTATAAGCTCCTCGCTAAAAGGACTCATGACGGTGCGGTAAACAGGAATTAAATTCATTAGAAAAAAGCAAGAAACATAAACAAGTAATGTTTACCTGAGGCTTGGTCTCCCAAGGGCATTACACTTCAAGTACAGAGGTGATGCAAATATCTTAACGTGACACCAGTCAATCGCTTTTCTCTTCAAGTTCCAATTAGCAAAGGGCACATCGTTTCCTATTGGAATGGCGTTCTTATTAATTGTCAACCTCGCCCAGGAAGGTCCACGTGGAACAGGCGGTATGAAAAGATCTACTCCACTGACTATATCCCGCACAATGCCCCCATTACCTTCGTCAAAATTCCACAAGCTCAAAATATTTGGATCTGCTGCTGACACTTTTCTCTCAAGAAGCCGTTGTATATCCACAAAACTGTAAGCATGTCTCCAAATTCTCATTTCTTTTATAACTCCCTGGAAGCCAGGAGCAGGATAAAATAGCCTGTCGCGATATCCAGACACCCACTCCGACACGACAAGGGTACTCATTGGATCAAAAAATGAAAACCAGGGGGACACCTGCAAAACGTACTGCCAGATAACTTTTTTGCTGTTGATGTAATAGACAGTAATCTTTTTATCGCTTTTACTGTAAACCATGGTTACTTGGTTGCTTACATGCTTTTCTACTTTGTATCCCGTGTCATAAATTGTTCTGAACACAGCCAGCTTCAAAGTTTGCTGAATAATCAATCCAAAACTGTTCCTGCCACTTAAAGAGAACAATGTAGACTTTTTGCTTGAGATTTCGTTAGCTGTAAACTTTATTTCAATTGTCAAATCCTTATTAAAATAAAGCATTGGTAATACGTTGGTTGAGACACCAATGCCTTGAAACATCAATTGAAATTTTGCCGTTTCGTGCATGCTGTTGACGAGTAAAAATTTATCTGCTGGTACTCTTACCATATTCTCAATCTTTTGATGAGACAACGCAAATAATGCACGCCCAGTCTCGAAGCAAGTGCTGCACAGTGAGTTCGACATGTTGCAATATTTGCCAGTAGCTTTCAGTGTAACTATTAATTCGATTCCTATTTGTCGTATTGTAAGGCGCAAGCTGTCTCTTTTGTTGCTATCGAGCAGTAGGTCGTACAAGGAATTCTCCCGTCTAAGAACAAATAAAGGTCCCACTTCGTACTTTTTGCTTGCCATCTTTATTTTGACTTCATTTATAAAGACTTCTGGACTCTTATTTTCATCTTCCCGAGCTACCACTTTGATGAAATCTTTCAATGTCTTTAATCCAACACCTTTAATGCACCTAGTCGTGTCATCAAGACACGGTACTTGATGTAAATGAATTCTGACGTCATCAGACGTTCCTCCAAGTAAATAAAATTCCCCCTGACCGTAGAACGTCGTGTGAATAGTATTTAAGGTTACAAAGTGACCCCCGGCCATAGCAAGGCACACTGACGTAGATGGTTCAGGAGCTATCACTGTCTGGCATTCTGTCCCTGTCCATCCGGGTGTACATGCGGAACAATTTGCATTTCCTCTCCATGTTTCTTGACAATCGCACATCCCTGTTGTAACATTGCAGTCCCCCTTTCCAGAGCAAACATTGTTGTTCCCACCAGGGCACAGTTTCGAGCAGTCGGTGCCCCAGTAGCCCTTGTTACAAATACAGCTGGCTGATTCGTGATTTATCTTTCCAAAGACACATTTTATCGCACAATTGATAGCATCTATTGACGAGTAATACTTTTTAGGAAGAAGGTCACATAGTTTCGAACTAGGCCAAAGACGTAAATCAACAGCCGACTGACAATAGCTAATATATCCCAGGACACTGCTGTATGGTCCATCGATGGAGTCTTTATGATAACCATTCTCTAAGCAGCTCATAAAGTAAAAGTCAACGAACGCCTTTCCAACATATTTGCCGCAACGTGCTTCTAAATCTTGATGATATATCATAGAACTGCAAAGAGAATCAACTGCACTTCTCAGTGTTTGATTAGATAGTTCAACTTTCGATTTCAAATGCTCCAAGTACCTCTTTTGATCTGAAAATCGCCACAAATATAATGGGTTGATTAAATTTGGTATGTACAAAATGATACGAGATATGTGGTCCACAACCTCCCTTCCATGAGCCTCGTTAAATTCCCAGTACGCTCTTAGGCTCTTCGAATACTTGATCCTTGGCTTATGCAAGAACATCAACTGGAACTGATGCAAACGCTTGTTCCAAATTCTTAGCTCATCAATGCTACCAACAAATAAGGCAAGCTGGTCCGCATCCGGGCGGGCTCTTTTTGCTTGCCAATATCCGAGTAACAAATGTCCTTTGGAACCAAAAAGTGGCTGTTTCAAGACTGTTGTGTGCATCTCATACGTATACTGGGAAGTGAATTGAAAGAATGAAAGTAGGTAATTATTGGCATCAAATGTCATTACTAATCTTACCCAGGTATGGAGCTTCGGTTTGATCTGACAGTCAATTACTTCCGTACCTTTATATATTTTGAAAGTTTCAGCTACAACAATGCCAATAGTTTCTTCATTCGAATACGACAGAAGTGTTCCTCTCTTTGACGAAAGTTTTACGAAAATCTCAATTGTAAAGTCTGCTGAATGATGGAATAAATTTCTTATTTCACCTGAGCTTATACCAGAGCCATTCAAAAAAATCGTGTGCTGAAATTCTGAGACAGCTCTTTCCTCTAACAAGGGCAATCTCTGATAGACAAATAGACTCCTGGATGAACGGTTGACCCTTTCATTCTCCATTACCCTTGTAAGAAACTCGTGCGATCGATTGCTACTAAAATCAAAGCCACTATATGTATCGCATGACCCGCACAGTCCATTCATCATTTTACAGGTAAACGAGGTGATTGTTAGAATGATATCTGTAGGAAGGAACATTATCGTGACATTCATAGGCTTAGGTCCAAGGACTGCAAGCTTGAATTTAGAAATAGAAATGGGGATAATATGTAAGTTTATATTGATTTTCTTGATACTATTTACAGTTATTGGTAGAGAATTGTGCCATACAAATCTGTCGTTTCCTGTAATATTCGGGTTGTAAATAGTTACATTGTCTTCGTCAACTCGAAGACCAACTGCATGAAGACAGAGGGGTGAAGCTGCACATGGAATAAATCTTCCTTGTAATTCTATACCATCTAATTTGATCAAGTAGAATTCTCCGAACGAATTAAAAAAGAATGCAGTTGCTGAAAAGCCAACAAAGTTCTGCTTGAATAACTGACATGTATATCGTTTAAAGTGGGGACTATCTGCTCTTCTCACCATTGCACAATCGCTAAATGTCCAGTTTCTGGCACATTTATTACAGTCAGACCGTTCGAAGTTTATTTGACAGCCACATTCTCCTGTTTGTTTATTACATTTCCCTTGCCCATAACAAGAGTTGAAGAACCCACCAGGACACTCATTTGCACAAGATGCTCCATAAAAATTGTCTGTGCAAATACAATGATCGTTCGAATCAAACTGTCCAAATAGGCATGGCTTGCTGCAGTTGGCACCAGACCATTCTCTATCTGCTAAAGATAGATAGTAGCAAAATCTCTGCCTTGATTCTCCCTCACTTTTAGAGCAAAACACATTGTATACAGCTGCTGTATGACGTGGGTAGTCAGCTACATCAGTCTCCCAGAGCTCCCTTATACACATCGTTGTGAACAAATCACTTGCATCATTATTCAAATTTCTACAAGTGTATTTAATTTCAAAGATTTTTCTGCATGCCACTTCCAATGCACTTAATTTCTCTGCCTGGTTAAAAATCTCTGCAAAATCTTTCATGTTGTAAACATTGTTCAAAATAACAGCAGGCCAAGACATTGATCCGGCTACTATCGCAATCTTGATCCTCGATACGCAGTCTACAATGAAGGGTTCCTCAATCTGCTCAAATCTCCACATCATAGCGAGACCACTAGAGGTACATGGAACAAAAGACGACACCTGCGTGCGGATCTCGTCAGTTGACAAAGCTTTATCCCAAATTCTTAGCTGAAACACGTCCCCAATAAAACCTTTGACAGATAGCTTACCAGACACGTGGATGGGCTTGGCCCCAAGTGTGAGCACCCCACCAGGGTAGAAAGTTTCTTTGACAAAAACATTCGAAAACGTTCGAATGCTAAAAACCCCGTTCATCTTAACAACGTAAACTTGCAGGAATTTTGTAGACGCCTGAAAGATGATAGTTATTTTATACCAATCGTTTAACTTTATAGTAAGACCAGTATCAATCATCCTTTGATTTTGAAATATTATCACTGTGTTATTCACTGCAATACCAAAAAGTCTCTGCATCGAATACGTCCAGATGACACCGGGTTCTAAGATTCTCACAAATGTTTCAATTGTAAACTCTTCCCCAGCAAATGAGAAAAGCTCCCTTGTATTCAGAATTGTGTTGTTTATTCGCAGTGCATGAAATACTTTGCTGAAGTCTAGCTCTGTGACATTCAGCAGGTTTTCATTAGGTCTTACAAGCCACGACTTTGAGAAATTTTGCATGAATTCCTTGTTAACATTCGATAAGTCTGGTGTTGTATTATTCTTCAACATACTGCTAGATCGTCTCCGGAACGTCCTGTTGAAATTGTCTGGCACAAAATTGTCACAGGAACCTAGCAGGCCACTGCTATTATAGCAATAATCGTAGGCAGAAAAGCTACACGATATTGTCAGATATCTTGAATACAAGAATACTTCAACGGTACCTTCAGTTCCAATACCAACCATGACTCGCAGCCTAGAGATTCTCTTTACAGTAATTGGAAATGTGCGGTGTTTGGTTAATGTCACATATAATTTCGTCATTATTTGATTATTAACAAAAACAGTCATGAGCTCATGTTCCCTCTTTGGGGCCTGTACAATAACAGATGAACCTGCATGCTTAATAGCAACGGCGTGGATGCAGATGTAATGTTTTTGACAAGGTATATAGCTTGCTTGTAGAAAAAAGTCTTTAAAAAGATTGTACATCAAGTACTGTGTGCCCTTAATTGCATTAAAGAACACAAGACCACTAAATGTGTAGCAGATACCAAGGCTGGATGCACGAGCAGTGAAGTTCGTTCTGTTGCTAGAATGCTTGCTTCCTGCGAAAATTGCGCAGTTGGCGCCAAACCATCCAGGTGTGCATGTTTGGCAATGGCTGTCACCACGCCATCTTGGGTCACATTTACAGCTCCCGGTGGTAGCATTACAATACCCGTGATTATAACATGGAAGCAATGCTCCGCCAGGACACACATTAGAGCATGTTTTCCCCCAATGACCATAATTGCAAACACATTCCTTTTCATCCTAAAAGAAGAAACAAGCTTGATACCTCAATATGAAATGGTTTGAAACCATTTTGACACCATTTTTATTGACTAAAGAAGATAGATTCATATTAGACAGAAGTCGAGAAGATTTAATTGAATGCTGGAAAATTGTAACAGGCTGCAAGATATTATTATAAACCTAAACAGGGATACATTCTAGGTTTCAAGATGAGATTGGGCAATTAAGGAAAATAAAGAATCATCAATACTTTCATCTTGGATTTAGCATACTGAGACATTATTGAATGATACCTTGCTCAAAGCAGCAGTGATATTCGAACATGTAGTGAGATTTGAGCTTCTGAGAACCACCGTGCTTCTCTGACCTGATGGTGGGTAGGACAGTGTCCAGGCAAGAAGATCGGGATTTTCTTTGTATCTAAACAAAGAACAAATATTTCAGATTCTAAATGTCTGATTGATTTGAATAAGTACGTCAACGCAAATGTTCAAAGACAGTCTTAGCAACAAATGTTCAAAGAAGAAATCATCATCTATTGGCATTCGATAAATTTTTTGTTCTGGCAGATCAAATGTGTTAAATCTGTCGATCATTCAAATGTGCAACTGGAGGAAACATTCTCTGTCGGTCTTCTGCATTTGTCACGTGACAGAATACTAAACCTTCGTACATTGACCGTAAACTCCGAAAATCGATCAATGAAGCCGCTGTAAAAATATAATATATCGTCTGCTTTTTGGTCTTATCGATAGCTGCTTTTCATCAAATATACACTGATAAAAGATTGCGGGAGAGTCTAATTTCCTAACTGGTCAGCGTTTACCGATAGAAAAGTGCAACAAAATCACAGAAAGGCGAGTTTTAAAACACCAAATACTGAAAATTTTCTTGACTTGGTTTGTGAAGCAAATTTTCACTTCCTTTCTCCAGAGGAACCGTCTAAGACGCAATTACAAAATTGCCTTACCGAATTTTGAATGCCATTGAATGCTTTCCTGGTTTGAACTTTGCCGGCTGACTCATGTTTTCAAACCTCATCGTTGAGTTAAGAAAGTATCCCATGACACTGCCAACTTCACCACCTGGAAGCAAGTACGGCGAAGGCAGCCAAAACATACCATTTCCTGATCCATTCTGCAAATAAATGTTGACTGGATTTCGGTTTTCATAACCTAGCCAGAATATTGTTGCGTTTTCGTTGTCAGTATAAAAACAGTTCACTTGAGGTAAAATTGGTAGTTTTATCGGCGATTCCTTATCAAAAGGGTCTTTGTATTTTGCATTGGCTCTCACGCAATCTACAGTGCAATTCTCGCCAGCGTGTTTTGCATCGCAATTTGTGCAGGACGGCAAAGCGTAGCCAGCAGAGCAACTTTCGCATGTTGTACCATTCCAGTGTCCAAAAGCATTGTTATTATGACAAACACAAACTTTTCCACCAAGGGTGCTTGCAGATCCATGAACACACCTAACACTGCAGTCAGTTTTGAAGCCAATGTAGTTGTCATTACACTTGTCACAAAGTGGTTCTGCAAAGTTCATCTTACATCGCTGGCAAGAATCTCCGTCGAACCCATGATCGCAGAGGCATGTTGGCCTGTTGTTGCTTAATACGCATTTCCCACGATCGCTACAAGCTGGTTCTCCCGGACAAACAAGTTGAGAGCAATTTGCACCACTAAACCCAGAATTACAAGAGCACACTGGCAAGCTATTTGGCACTGAAATACAGGCCCCTCGGCCCGAGCAGTCCGGTTCACCAGGGCAGTCAACAACCCTGCAAAACTTGCCCTTCCATCCTTGGCCACATTTACAAGTACCGCTTAAGCATATTCCGTTACCACCACAAAGAATATCACAAGAAAACCCTTCATAGCAAGAATTGCAAATACATAGCCCCCGCCTACTCATGTCTTCTGACCCATACAAACAAGGTTGATTGCATGCAGTTCCCATTGTCCCATTCGTGCAATTTATGCAAACAGGAGGGTCTACAGATCCATCACAGATGCCAAGATTGTTACAGTCTGGCGTGCCTGGGCAGTCTGGGGTCTCACATCCAGTTCCTTTCCATCCATTATAACATACACATTGACCCGATGATATTAAGCACACTCCTTTCCCAGAGCAATCTAGCTCTCTACCTGGACACCCCTTTATACCGCAAACGTCACCTCTCCATCCAACTGCGCACGTACAAGCTCCATTACTGCAGTTTCCATGCAAACTGCATTCTTCATCGCAGGCAATTCCACTGTAACACTTGTTGCAGACACACCTGTACACAATTTCTCCACCTGAACTATCTAATGACGTACTGACATTTCCGTGGACACACTTCAATTCACAACCACGTCCCATATATCCAACATAACAGCTTACACACTTAGGTGGATCGAAATTAATGCCATCACAAACGCCATGGTTACTACAATTCCCACCACCAGGACAGTGTGGGATTTCACATCCTAATCCACGCCATCCTGATCGGCAAATACACTGCCCTGTTGAGGGAATGCAGTCGCCATGTCCGCTGCAGTCGGTACCCCAGCCAGGGCATCCTTTGACATCACAATTGATTCCTCTCCAGCCTTCAAAGCCACAGGTGCAAGTGCCATTTCGGCAGGTGCCGTGCCCTGAACATTCTTTGTCACACGCGGCTCCTGTGTAACATTTATCACAGTCACAAACAGCTGTGCTGTCAGATCTTATACGCCCGGTTCCATTCAAGCATTTTTCTTCGCAAGCGACTCCCATCCAGCCCAAGTCACAGTCACATCTTGTTGGATCCACAGAGCTACAAACTCCGTGATTGTTGCAAATCGGTGTGCCTGGGATAAAACATCAAGGAATAATGTCAAACAAGTATTTCAGGATTCACAAGCAAGGAAAAAGAAAAAATAAACCGTGTATAATAATCATTAAGCATATACTATTATCATTTTCTATTATAATGAAAGGAAATTATCACGAATTGTAGATCTTACTAGCCAAAAATCGATTGAAGAAATCTACTTTTACACTGTACAGTACAAAGCATTTTCAAATTTGTAAATTCACTAGACAAAAATGCAAATGGAAGATTGATGAGGAAAAATATGAAAATAACTTCTCAAAATTTGTGAAAAAAACTGGATGGTTAGGTAAAAAGAGTTTGCTTAATTTTCCTAACGAAACATTGGTCTACGTGTCTTTTTGTGCAAACAATCTCTTTTTTCTTGCTTCATGAAAGAAGTGATATCAAAGAAAGGATACTTTCTAAATAAAATTATCAGTAGTTTCACAAACCAGGACAAGTGAAGTTCTGACAGCCAATCCCCGTGTAGCCTGGGTCACAGTCGCACTGATGAGTTGCACTGTTGCAAGTGCCATGTCCCGAGCAATCTAACTCATTTGCTCCTGGGCAACCAAATCTCTCACAAAACGGCCCTCTCCAACCATCGAAGCCACATCTGCATACATCATTTTCACATCTAGCATCTGGCCGTCCTGAGCAAAGTTGATCACAGCTAATGCCAGTATAACATTTATCGCACACGCAAAATGATGGGTTGTTAGGATCAGCTTTCCCATGTACGCAGCGAATCTCACAGGCTTTGCCGATCCAGCCATTGGTACAATTGTAACAGTAGGGTGGGCTAGCCACAATGCAAATCCCACGACCAGAGCAGTCAGGATCCCCAGGGCAATCACTCCCTTCACATCCACGCCCTAGCAAAAACATTTAGCGTTTACAAAACATGAACAGTTTTCAGCTCCAAGAAAAAATATGCAAACTTTCCAAAAATAGATTTCCTAGCGCTCATTTCAAAATTAAAAGATAAAAATGTCAAACAGGTTCATTTCTGTAATAACAACTCTACGTCGGCAAAAAGATTGATGAGACGTACCTGTCCATCCTGGGTCACAGGAACAGGCTCCTGTGGGCAAGCACACACCATGCCCTGAACAGTCTTTCTCAAGGCCAGGACAACCTTTTCGCTCACAAAAGTCCCCCCGCCAGCCTTCAAATCCACAGTCACATTTTCTTTCTCTGGTACATATCAGACTATGACCCGAACAAAGCTGGTCGCATGCAGCACCGTTGTAACAAGGAAAGCAGTTACACGTGCCGTCACTTGAAACATTGCCATGCACACATTTGAACTCACAAGCATCTCCTCCCCAGCCGTGCTGACACTCACACCGAGGAGTTTCGTTAATCACAACACATTTTCCCCTTCCATTGCAGTTGGGTGTGCCTGGACAGTCAGCCTCTTTGCAATCCCTCCCAATCCAACCAGGATCACAGGAACACTCATTGGTAGCGATGTTGCATACCCCATGCCCGTAACAATTTAGAGGCCACCCGGAACAGCCAGGAAGCTCACAAAGCTGACCCTTGAATCCTTTATCAGCATCGCAAACACATTTCCCCTCCTTACATTGCCCGTTGTTAGAGCATTTGATATCACAGGTTTCTCCACTGTAACATGGATCACAGATGCACCCTGAAGCATTTCCATAATTTCTTCCGTTACGACATGGTAGCTCGCAGGCGGCACCTGTCCACTCGGGCTCACAACGGCATACCCGCGGGTTTACATTTTCGCATATTCCATGATTGCTACATAATGGGAATCCTGGACAATCAAGTTCCCCACAGTCATCCCCAGTCCAGCCAGGCTCACACATGCAAACTTGCAACACCGTTGAACACATTCCGTTGCCACTGCACACAGCCCCGTTCTTTCCAGTTGGGCAGGAAGGAATTTCGCACTTTTCTCCTTGCCATGCATCCCGATTCGTGTTCTCACATTTGCAGACGCCAGAAACACAAGCACCATTTCCAGAGCACTCAACATCGCAAGATTTTCCTGTAAATGCAATAAGATTAAAAAGATACTAACTGGTGTCGAGCTTGTGGGTCATTTTTTCAACATTTTAGCAAGCTTTTTAATTGTTAGAACAAAAAATAAGAACAAACTGATTGAAGAGTGGAGGAGAGCGGAAACAAAAACAAACAAGTGTGGAAGATTGAAGAAACTCGCTGTTCACCTAAAGATCAGTTTCAGTTTCAGTTTCAGTTTCAGTTTCAGTTTCAGTTTCAGTTCCAGTTTCAGTTTCAGTTTCAGTTTCAGTTTCAGTTTCAGTTTCAGTTTCAGTTTCAGTTTAGTTTAGTTTAGTTTAGTTTCATTTTTAGTTTTAGTTTTAGTTTTAGTTTTAGTTTAGTTTAGTTTAGTTTAGTTTAGTTTCATTTTTAGTTTTAGTTTAGTTTAGTTTAGTTAGTTTAGTTTAGTTTAGTTTAGTTTAGTTTAGTTTAGTTTAGTTTAGTTTAGTTTAGTTTAGTTTAGTTTAGTTTAGTTTAGTTTAGTTTTGTTTAGTTTAGTTTAGTTTAGTTTAGTTTAGTTTAGTTTAGTTTAGTTTAGTTTAGTTTAGTTTAGTTTAGTTTAGTTTAGTTTAGGATCGAATTCGGTTAGATTTTCTGATCGATGTTCAGACTGTTGTGAAGTCAGTGAATTTCCAATATCGTTTGTGGGGATTCCTGTTTTCTTTGTAACGTACTGCTTTCAAATATACTCGACTCATCCCAGACATAAAAAGCATGGGCGGATGAAAAATATACAAGAACAAGAGACAGCTCAAACTAACTTGGTTCTCAAAAATAAAATCAAACCTACGGGACATTTACAAAATCGAACGGAAAGAAGCTTGTGAACTGGCAAAGAAAAGACTTGCCTGGAAAAACATTTCAATTAGAAACCATGTGTTACACTAAGTAAATTTATTCACAAAAAATGTTTTATAGTAATAATTATTATCTTTTTGTGGCATAAATTCAAAGATGGCTTTAAACAAAAGCAAGCATTTTGAGTTATACAAGTGCTTGTCGTCCGACACTCTTCAGAGTTTAAAACTTCAGAACATAGATAAAACACTAGTATAGGAAATTTTTATACCCAGTTGTGGATCGAAAAAGGCCAATCAGAAAGGAATTTAACAAATTAAGAGCTCGACTAAGCGTATGGCTTACGCTTACCGTGGCTCTCCCATCGACCACAGATATCATTTTCAAGCTCTAAAATCAATACGGTCTAACAATGACATCTTTATCACAACACCCAATAAAGGGTAAGGAGTGTTAACTTCGAACAAAAGGGACTACATGGAGAATATTTGGGGAATATTCCAAAAAATGGAGAATATTTCCCTTGACAAGGAAATATTCCAAAAATGGGTGACGTCGAAACACAGGATAAAACGGCCAAGCTAGAGCGGAAACTTCAAAAATGCCTTTTGGAGACGGTCAATGCAAAATTGTTGACCAACGAAGTTTATGGTAGGATAAGACCCACAGGTTCACAACGTAAACAAATGTGTGGCCTCTCTAATATACATAAGCCGAATTTCCCACTTAGACCCATAGACCCATCTTGTCTATGATTGGCTCAGCACAACACGAACTGGCTAAGTGGCTTTCTGAAGTTTTGGATCCTGTTCTTAAAAAATATTCAAAACGTTGCATCAGAGGCTCCTTTCATTTGCCGAGTATATGCAAAACCTGTACTCGTACCAACCTGGATAACATCATCAAAAGCGAAACATCTTTCATTTGTTCTTTCAACATAAGCAGTCTTTTCACAAATGTTCCTCTGAGTGCCGCACAAACTTTGTCCACTTTGCCCTCCCGTTTACACTGTGCCGGATAACTGCAGTCAAATGACCTAAATTATGCACAGAACGCCCAAAATGAAGTCTTCTCTGGCAACAAATAATAACAAAATTCCCGCCAACGTAAAAAGACTTCATTCTCTCTTCAAAATCATCTGCTTCTCTTTTAGACCAAATCCAAAGATATTTTCAATACAAATTAAAGAAAAAAACTTTTGTTGGCTTTCATGAAAAGCGTTTGTTCGACTGCGACAAAAAGCCAGGTGTCTATTTTCGATATGTGGATGATATGATTTTCAAAACAGAGGCCGAGTGTGATATTGTTCCAAAAAGCCTTGATGGCCTTCACCAAGCCCCAAAGTTTACATTTGAAAAGGAAGAAAATTACTCCTTGTCATTTCTAGATGTTTTCGTTGAAAAGTCTGGCACCGGATTTCTTACCAGTGTATACCGTAAACCCACATTTTCCGAAATTTACAATCGATGAAGTTCGTTTTGCAACAAAACACGGCAAAATCAATCTTATCAAAACGTTAACTCACAGGGCACTGATGATTTGTTCCAAGTCAAAACCGGACTCTGAACTTGACAAACTGAAAAAGATTTTTCTGGAGAACGGCTAGCCAAAGGATGGCATTACAGTTTACATTAAGGAAAAAATCACAAAGTAAAATTTGGACCTCAAAAGTGCCCGATTTATCTAAAACTTCCATAGATCAGCAGCATTTCCTTGCGATTTGAAAGTCAGATCAAACAGGCCATTACAAAATGTTTCTTTGCAGTCCACCCGCGTATTGTTTACAGTACCAAAAAGGCCCTTCCATCCATTCAAAATGACAACTTTATAGGGGCAAAGGATCATTACATCTAGACTACGGTCAAGTTACTCCCAGGAAGCAGATTGACAGTCGGTAGCTTTACAGCTCGTTGGAAATAGAGACACAAAACAATAGCTACTGTATGTTGGCAATTTAACCCGATGAGTGAAATATTAGTTTTTCATTTAATTTATATTTAAATTCGATTTCACAAAATGTTTCATTCTAATCGTCATTTTGCATTGCTCCTACAATTGCTCCAGTTTTTAAAATATATTATCACTAAATGAGCCAGAGATTAAAATGGACGTTTTCATTAAAATTAGGTACGATTGGAAGAGCATTGAAATAAAGGAACAAAAGATGACACTGAATAAGCTAGGGCAGGCAACGATTCCTGAAAAGAAATGCCTTACACTTGAACCGTATTTAAAAAAAATCAAAATGAAAGTGTACAATATAATAGAGAAGAATATTTCCTTTCCATAAAAATCAAGAAGATATTGCAAAGATACATAAACTGGAATTCTAGTAACACAAAATAATTAAATCGTGATAAATCTTGGTATTTATAATAACAAAAAAGAAAATAAACATTTTGCCTTTTTAAAGGCTCTATGTCATTTCTCGTAGATTTCTGTATTCACACGCCGAGTTAATAGATCAAATCGATTAAATAAGATATTTTAAAGATTGCATTCTTTATCTGGACAGCAAATTGCATAATCAAGATTTCCCCATAAATATACAAAACCAAATACGCCTTACCCGTGTGACAGGAATCACATCTGCAAAGCCACTTCTTTTCAATTGGATGAAAAATTCTTTCTCCATACATACATCGATCGTTACAAGCTGGTCCCATCCAGCCAGCTACACAATCTGTACATTCCGGAGTACTACGACCAGTAGAATTACAATGGCCTCGTCCAAAACAATCTGGATTTCCAGGACAGTCTGGAATATGACAACCGATGCTTGTCCAACCTGGATAACATCTACAAATTGCTAGCTCACTATTGCATAAACCATGTCCGGAACAATCAGCACCGATTCCTGGGCAGCCAGGAATTTCACAAAGTTCACCACGCCAGCCACCTGCGAAGTTACAAACACAGGCTCCGCTCTTGCCACAAGAGCCATGCCCAGAACATAAGCTATTGCAGCTACGACCAGAGAAGCAGGGATCACACTTGCAAATGCCGCTATCCATTGGACTCTGAGTGCCATTTGTACAGAGTATTTCACAGGAGTCACCCATCCAGCCTTTTATACAGTCCGTGCATTTTGGTGGGTTATAATTAATGTTGCATAAACCTGAAAATAATCGAAATAAAAAAAATTTTTCATGGGAATAATCAAGTTTCATCTCTTCTCTGTTTTTTATACAAATTAAACCGGTCTTTGGCAACAATTTCAATTTGTTGAGTGCAGTTAAAAATCTAGAGTATCAGAAGTCTACATGGACTGCTTTTCAAGCAACGGCAAAAGTCTAAATAAATAGGATAATAACTAAAAGTAGTGAGATTAAAGAACTTTAGAAAAATGCATGGAAGAATTAAAAAAGTGGCTGAAGACAAAAAAGCTTTAGTTAGCCTCTGGAGCTTTTAAAATGATAGTTTAAAAAAACCGAAAAAAATCCAGAATCAGACCTCTTGCACTGCAGTCAGGATTTCCTGGGCAGTCAGGTATACTGCAACCTTTTCCAGTCCATCCATTATCACACAAGCATACATGAGTGGCACTATTACATTCACCATGTCCGGAGCAGTCGACATCAATACCTGGACAGCCTGGACGTTCACAGTTTGTTCCTCTCCAGCCTACTTGGCAATGGCATGTCCCATTCAGAACGACCCCGTGCTCTGAACACTCGCTGTTACATCCAACACCCACCCATCCTGGCTCACAGACACATTTTCCACTGTCCATTGGCACTTGCTGTCCATGAAGACACGGATCGCCGCAGGCAGGTCCCATCCATCCACTAATGCAGTTTTGGCACACTGGTGTATCTAATGTTCCATTGCAATAACCACGGTTAAAGCAATTTGGAACACCAGGACAATCAGGAATGCTACATCCTTTGCCCATCCAGCCAGCATAACAGGTGCAAACATGCGTGACACCATTACAATCGCCATGTCCTGTGCAGTCAGAGCCATTGCCTGGGCATCCTGGGTTCTCACATGCATGTCCTCTCCATCCAGTGTGACAGTGGCATATCCCGTTTAAGATAACGCCGTGATCAGAGCACTCGCTATCACAGCCAACACCAACCCACCCCTGGTCACAAACGCAATGTCCACTGTTCATCGGCACTTGGACACCATGGAGGCAAGGTTGATTACAATCAGGACCCATCCAACCTGCGATGCATTGCTGGCATTTTGGAGTATCAAGTGTTCCGTTGCAAATTCCCCTACCAAAGCAGTCTGGAGACCCAGGACAGTCTGGTATTTCGCAGCCAGTACCGGTCCAGCCTTCGTAACACGTACACGTGTGTGTAGCTGCATTGCAATCACCATGACCAGTGCAATCTGTACCAATACCAGGGCAACCTGGTATTTCACAAAGAATACCTCTCCAGCCACTAAGGGGATCACAGGCACACTGACCATTGACGCTGCATGTTCCTCTTCCAAGACAAAGGCTATTGCAACCCTTCCCAGCATAACATGGTTGACATTTGCAAAACCAGCTATTCATCGGGGACTGAACTCCATGGACACAAATATCATTGCAGCCTGGGCCCATCCAGCCACTAGAAAAATGAAAATTAATTAAAACAAGGTTTAGATTATTGAAACCATAGCAATTTGAATATCATTTCATAGAACTACAACTTTTCAGGCAATTTAATGACTTATTCTTACCAAAGAACTTATCAGCATGATCCTTGTCCAATATTCCCACATCGACACCTTTTATTCTCTCTATATCTACGCTATATCCACGCCACAGGTTTCATACACAACATTTTGAATATGTAATATTGGTATTACATTGGAAGTATACATGTCAATCGAGACGGACATACCTACTACAATTGAGACAAACGGCCTTTCCCAACTGCTCCATGCATATTCCCCGGGCATAACAATCTGGCTCACCTGGACAATCAGGACTGTTGCAGTCCCTACCTGTCCATCCTGGGTCGCAATAACAAATGTGATGTCTACTGTTACAAATCCCATGTCCAGAACAATCGGTTACGCCAGGGCAACCAGGCGTGTTGCAAAGTTCTCCACGCCAATTCTCCAAGCAGGTACAGGTTCCATTAATGCAACTGCCTCTCCCAGAACACATTGAATCGCAGAACTCCCCAACATAACATGGTTCACATTGACATATTCCACTTATGCACTGCCCATGGCTAGAGCATTTGCGTTTACAGTCTGTCCCATCGTAACAAGGATTGCAAATGCACTCCCCGGTATCACTGCAAATACCATTGCCATGGCAATCGGTCACTGCATTACATCTATGTTCACATTTGAGACCAACAAAACCTGCATACAAATTAGGCAACTTGATGAGTCGACACAAATTCATTCGTAACATATTGCAAGGGTGGCTAAATACAAAAAATTTTATCTGATTACGATTTTTTTTCAAATAGGAACAAGTAAAGCAATCTCAAATATCCAAACTAAACATAGAGTTACTTGCCAATTTGATATTAAGTAAGTAATAAGGTCATCAAGATTAACTCCAAAGGCCAATTAACATGTTCTACGTTTCACAACAAAGATTTACAAGGAATAACAATCACCGGCAAAGTGAAACTAATGAAAACTGAGCAAGTACAGTAAAGTAAGACTAACGAATCAAAGAACAACAAATGAGTTAAATTGGAGTATGATGCCTAATTTGAACGAAAACAAGTATTAAAATTGAATTTTTATAAATAAACCAACTGGTTAGAAAGCGATAGACCTTCCACCCGAAAAATTGAGAAAATTATTTCAGTTGGCTAAGAAAGGCCTCTCTCCATTTTAAGGTTACGTGAACTCAACAATAAATAGAATCAATTAAAGGAGATATTTCACCTATATTGCAAGTGCATTTTCCTTCGTTTGTACAAAGACCATTTCCAGAGCATGTGGTAAGTGGATTACAGAAATACCCGCAATTGAAGCCATGATAGTTTGAATGACATGTGCATTTCCTCAAGGTAGGTGACCATATGCCATTTCCGCTGCAATGACTTCCTTCCAAACACATTAAACCAGAGGCACCGTTGAAATTACCGCAGAAATTGCTGAAGCAGGTGAGGCCCCCTCCAGACACTGACCTGTGATCCACAATGTCTGTGAAATAAAGGTTGGCACCGTTAAAAATCTAAGGCTACTGCATATTCTACTTAAAACTCAGAAGCATCGAAAGCTGCGGATGCAATTCTAACAGCGAAAAAAAAACACAAAAAGCTGCAAAATTACAAAATAGGAATTGAAAAGAATACCAAGAAAGATTATAAAAAGAAAATCTAATACGAACCAGGGGAGACGACAAGCGGAGAGTATGACCTGATCAGTCCACCACCTCCTCCTCCTGCATAGCGTCCTCCGTTATCTTTGCAATAAAGAATACACAAGTTTGCAAAGAACTTACGAGAAAATGTTTGCTTACACAATTCTAAAATTCCAATCAATAAATAAGCACGAAAATGTCCTGCCTTTTTCTAACGCAGTTAGTGGACTCACCTAAAGCTCTAGACAACCAAAAGAAACTAAGTTGCAGCTAAAAGCATGTTATCTGCCGCCAATCAAGCCTACATTAGAATATTTACCCCAGGCGTTATCTGCTAAAGCAATATCACATATTGTCTTGTATATACAATTTTGCACGTTTACGTTTACATGAAATGACAATCTAACGCAAACTAAGAATTAGTAAGACATGTCTGAGAAGATGTTTGTGAACCTATTATAAAATAACACTCTTTTAAAAAACTATCAGTCTTTGTAATCTGAACGAAAAAGCAACGTGAAATGATGTTTAATATGCATTTCAAAGAGAAACACCAGATCGAATTATTAAAGGGGTAAAAATGAACAGAGTACTTGACTAGCAGACTTTATGCTGGCATTTAAAGGGTGTATACATCTAATAAAAGCTATACTTGATCCAGTCTTACCAGTACATGAGTACCGAGCGGTGTAGCAACTCCCTGCGCCACCCCTAGCGTACAGGTAGCCATGACCCTCAAAGGCAGCAGCATCACTCCATATACTGCCACCACTGCCTCCACCCCGACCAGATGTGCCACTAGCACCGTCACTTACGATTGTACCTTCAAGCTCAAGAATATGATAAACATTGAGAATCAAAGCTCCTCCTCCGCGGCCTCCGGCACTACTTCCACTGGATGTTGGCTTACAAGGATCAACACTCAAAGCAGGACCACCTACGAAACCAATTAACAGCTTTCATACTCGACAATGTTTCATATTGTGCAATTTTATATTGTTTGAAACAAACAATTTACCATTTTTTTAAACTTAAAAAAATAAACAAAACTAATTTCTATTTACAGTCGCTGAAAACTTAGATAAAATATGTCGGAGATGATATCAAGAAAATCATAAAATCAGACTTACCCGAATAGCATTGGTCGCAAGTCTGGTACCCAACTCCACCTTTACCAGCATGGCCGGCACCAGCATAATAGCGACTAGACGGACGGCCACTCCCTTGGCCGGAGTAATGTCCGCCTCCTACAAGGCTTAATTTAGCATCCAATTCAATTTTTGTCTTTAGAGATACAATCTGCACTACATCTGCACGAACGAATGCAGTATTTTCAACGTCTATGACGTCAGCATAAAGATGAATCGAACTGGAGACAACATTTGTTGAATAGCTATTTATAACAATGTAAGAGCTTTTCATGAGCTCTACCGTCTGAAAGTAATACTTTCCAGGAAATTCAGTTCTGTTTGAAGCTGCAAAGAAGCATGTTGTACATGACGTTTGGCCAGAAGATTGTAAATAAACAGCACTGCCTTTAAACAACCGTAATTTTTGTATGCCCAGACAGGAACCATAAACATTCAAAGAGGGTATCCTCGTTCCGGCAACTGTAACAATGCGAGGCAGAGTCAATATTGCACCGTAAAATATCTCAATGTTACCAAGAAGATGAGTTCGCGGAATCAAGTTCGCTAAGTATACCTTGTTTTGCCTTCGCACTTTTAAAACGCCGCTTCCATCTCCCGAAATGTGACCAATGAAAAATTCAAAGTCAGAATCCTAGAGGAGTTCAAGGATAAAATAACGTTTAGAAAGCATTAAAGGTTCGCTAGATGCTAAGTGGAGAAGGGAATGGAAGTCTTTTGAACTTTACCATTGATCATCTAATACCATTAAACTAAATATTTATAGCCTGTACCACCAATCATTTAATTTTATCAAACTGTACCATTGATCATCTAATACCATTAAACTAGATATTATAAGACTGCTATCCGTCATCCAATATTATCAAACTATGTCAAAGACTAGCAATCTAACAGCTAAAATACTGGCTTGTTACCTCTTGAAACTTCAAACCGCCATTTACTGTTTACTGTACATTTATTGTCTCATTGCATCCTAGGTTTTTCATGTAGATAATTTTGCAATATTCTAAACAATCTGCGCATGTACAAAAACTTTATCATCCAATCTTGATTATAATGAAAACGAATAAATACTTAATTCTAAAAAAATGCTCTCGCTTTATAAAGAACAAAAATAACCTGCGGAAGTGTGATAACGGCTCTTCTGTACAACTCGAGAACATCAATCTCTGATTTCGGAATCTTGATAGTTACGTAATAGGACTCATCCCTGTTCATGTTGTCGATAATAAGACGTTCTGAGGTCTTGTTGGCTATTGCGACATGTATGTAAACTGTTCCAGGGCCGCCTTTTTTATAACCATCTCCACCCAAGGCCGTAATTGAACCACCGAATCGCAGTGCTGACGTCACAAAAAGTGCTAGTCTCCCTCCAGATCCCCCTCCTCCAAAATTCCCACTTTCCAATGAGGAATAGCCTAAGTGATACAAATAAAAATATTAGTATAGTAACCTCGGCATTCAAATTTACATTTTAGTGGTATTTTTGGCACTTTCATACAGTATTTTTTCTGCTTGATCAGGACATGTTTGTATCTGCCGTAATAGAGAATCAAAGATACGGAACTTATGCGACCTGGCGAATGGACCATTGCCCAAAGCAATAAATTTAAAATTAGACATCATAAATAACTTAAGTTACAAAAGAGAGCATTTATTCAAGCATTTTACTACCTACAAGTAAATGTGCAAACCTCCATTGACTGTTATTGATCCCTTCCCTCTCAAATCAAAAGTCTCAATAATTATGCAGCCACCACTGCCGGCTCCATAAGCAGCTGAGGTACTTTGACCTCTTGATTGAATCGATCCATCGATTACAACCTCATTTCCAATTTGAAACCGTAAAAGCCCACCGCCAGCACCAGCTCCTCCGCCACTTCCAGGCTGAAATTGCTTGTTGAAGTGTCCGTATACCGAAGTCTCCGAGCCGTACCCACCATGTGAAGCAAAGCTACCTCCCATCATGAGTGTTGTTGCCTTTCCAGGACCTTGCAAAGATTTGAATCCTGCACTAGAAGCATCAAGTGTACTCCCAGATTCAACAACAAGAGTGTCGCCGTTAACTACGACACTTTTTGTTTGGACTTTCACGTTACCGCCTGAAAATGATTGCAAAAAGCAATGACGATTAAACACAGTAAATGTATTCTAGTACTAGTAAATTAATAAAGTCATTTCAACTACGCTGAGAAAAAGATATTCACTAGAAGATTTGTCAGCGTGCAAGCAATGATGACAACAATCAAGGGATTGTTCATCAGAGAAAATCTACGAGAAATTCGTACATTTGCTATGAATCAAAACTAACAGGTCAATTTCAACTAAGATACAACTCACAATACTAACATACACTGTACTGCTTACTAAACTGCAATAGCCATGGAACTAAAACCTTTATCTTTGAAAATAGATAATTATTCAGAACAACCTTTTTTGACTTTGAATTCTGCTACTTCGAGCACAGGAACAACTGGATCCATTTCTATTTTCAAGTTGCCTTGGTTTGTCACTCTGAGAATTTGCAATCTAGTTAATCCTGGCGTGAAGGGGTAAAATGGATGGGCCTGGAACCAACTTGCTTCATCGCCTACGGATGCAGTATGCGCATTGCCCTGCAGGAGAAGTCTGCCGCCTCGTTCAATCACTAGACTCTCACAGCCTCTCATTCGTCCTTTTATAGTAACATCTTCTCCTCGTATGATAACCTCAGACGGCAGGACGATTTCGGCAAATTCGCTGACGAAAAACCCGCACGGAGCATCCATGTATGTGTGCGTGGATTGAACGATAAAGACAAAGAGACTCTGCCTATCATGGACCCTTACAACACCGGTCTTATCCCCAGTCACTTCTCTTGCGTACACACTGAGGTTGCGCGACGTGTAGGGATGATAAAACTGTAGGTGTGCCTTGCCACTCACCCCAAGTTCGTCAATATCATAAAGAGATTTTTCTCTGTCCTGATCCATTATTACGGCGTACGACGATGTTACCTATAATTCAAACATAAATAATACAAATCATTACTATACTTTTAATTATAGTCACAGGTTATTAAAAAAGTCTTTAATAATTGCAGGTGAAACATTTCTTTTTGTGCTCGAATAAATAGTTGGGTATAAAACAAACATGAAAATCAACACTAAACGGAAAATGATTGTTCAAAGAAAATAAACGAAATCATTTGATCAATTTATCTTGTGTTCTTCTTCAAGATGTTTATCTTCAATTTATTCTGTTGTCACTTGCTTTCTTAACAACACACATGACTGGTATGTGAACATAGACAATGGCAGAAACACTGCAAATATTTTCTATGAATAACTTCTTCTGTACCATCGGAGAGACACTTAGTGATAAAATCCCCATAGCAAAAAACCCTCTTCTTGAGAATGTGTATAATGTAAATCCACAAAAAACCAAATTTAAGTTCCACGTTATGATGGCATTTTTAGCTGTTTCCTGAAGATTGCACTTCCGGTTATCTCAGAATCTTTTTGCGATATTTTCAATTTTCCAATTGCTACTGGTTGTTTTCCTGATAGCCGTAAAATTGCCAGAGTAGCCCCAATTTTTAAAAATAGTCAACCTAACGATCGATCTAACTACCGACCTATATCTGTCCTGCCTGTTTTAGCCAGGACAATTGAAAAATTTATCTTTAACAATCTGTACGATTATTTGAACAAAAACAAACATCTATCTTCAAACCAATCTGGCTTCAGAGCTCTTCATTCTGTTGTCACTTGCCTTCTTAACAACACACATGACTGGTATGTGAACAAAGACAATGGCAGATACACTGCAAATATTTTAATTGATCTCAGAAAAGCATTTGACACCGTAGACCATGACATTTTACTTGCGAAGTTGAGAAAGTATGGACTTAAAAACCTAGAACTCACTTGGTTTACGTCATATCTAACCACTAGAAAGCAATTCTGCAAAGTAAATGGGATATGTTCTAAAACCGAAGATGTTCACTATGGAGTCCCCCAGGGTTCATGTCTTGGCCCTCTATTGTTTCTGATTTATATCAATGATCTCCCGTTCTCTCTGAAAAAAGGTAGAGTGACAATGTTCGCCAACGACACCAGTACTTCTTACTCTTCTTCGAGCTTAGCAGATATAAATCAAACTCTAAACAGTGAACTGAACGATTTGAAGTAATGGTTGCAAGGTAATAAACTTTCTCTGAATGTTCTAAAAACACAAGCTCTGATTATAGGCTCCCAGCCCAAAATAAAGAAAATAACTGATAAAACAGTTGATCATCCACAGTTTTATATTGGTGACTCTCAAGTTGACCGAACAAAGTATCTGGGTGTGATATTTGATAGAGATTGAAATTGGGAAGAACACGTTAACAGTATCTGTACCAAAGTTTCTCGTGCAATCAGATTTTTGAAATATTCCAGAAAATTTTTATCTCAAAACACGTTGAGTAAAATATATCGGGGTATCGTCGAGCCCCATTTTCGGTTCTGCTGTTCGGTATGTGGGTGCTGCGGGATGACTTAACTGGAAACGTGGTGACGAAGGGGTGACCTTCCCTTGCCACCTTTAAGAAAAGAATCAAAAACTAACTATGAACGTAGGGGCTACCGTACCTAAATAATTAAATATGTAAAAAAACAAAAGTAAACAAAATGCCTTAACAATGAGGTTTGCTATTTCATCGATAGGTAAAGGTGATATCAATGAAATTGTGAAAAAAAATATTTATAAGGACACCGAAGCGTTTTATGTAAGCAGCAGCTCACCTGTTCATTAACGCGTGATGATTAAAAACTGCTTCAAGCCGCAATAAGCAGAATGGTGGATTTAAAGATATCTAAACAATCCAAACAGATAAGATTACATGTTGCTGAAGGCAGATTAAAACATTTTGTGAAGTCAAGAGCGCTTACCAGTGCCTCGTTATCAATCAAAAATGCTGAATGCTCCGGTTTGTACTCAGTCATATTCAAATGTACGTTGTACTTGATTTCTCTGTACTGCGGTCCGCGTCTGCTCTGGTACGTATATACTGTACCAGGGCCTCCGCTGCATGCATTGCTTTTGCCACCAGATGACTTAAATGTGCCGCCATAGTCAATTCTGTGACGTGCATGTACTCCAATGCGACCTCCGCTACCGCCACAGCCACAATGTGATGCTGATCCACCATTCACGTTAATTTGTCCGTGCCCTAGAGAAAGAAGTACCAACTCCTTAACAAAAAGAAGATGGAAGTACGATCCAAAGAACTAGCTGATAAGTTAACATCGAAACAGTTTCAATATCAAATACATGTTGCTCTTACTTCACAACAGTTTTAAACCCAGCCATTAAGAGTGTTAACGCGCCCTTGAATGTGTAAGAGAAGTAAGCGATATTGAGAAACACAACAAACCTGTCATGTTTGTGACCTCAAAGAATAAACTGCCTCCACTTCCTGCACCTCTTCCAGAGGTGGCTTCATCCGCGCCCTTGGCAGTGACAAGTCCATCAATATGCATATGCTTCTTTACAATCCATCGAAGACTGCCACCACCTAGCAAAGGTAATGAGACAAGGCCTCCTTTATGATGTGTCATTTCATAAATAAGCTATGCTATAAACTATCGTTTAAAGGGAGACCATCACAGACCTAAGCATCTATGTTTCATTAAAAAAGGGATAGGTAAAGTTTACTTAAAAAAGATTTAGGTATTTATGCATGGGTCAAACTACTGGGCACAAAATCGATACTCGTTAGGTCAATGGAACAATGTACAAAGGAGCAATGTAAGTTGTTATTGCTTTGCGTACCTTGGCTCCCTTGGTTTCCACCTTGGCTGCCAAGATTGACTGGCACGAATGCTGATCCATATGGCTCACCGCCATAAGTACCATTAGCAGCTCCCCCTCCATAGCCACCATATCCACCTCCTGCTCCGCATCCATTTGGCAAGACCATCCCAGGAGATTGGCCTAAAAGTAACATAACTCTTAAAAATACTTGAAAAGATGGTCTAATAATACTACGAATGGTTATCTTTTTGCAAAGACAGAAAAACACATACATTATATTTCAGAATAGAAGGACAAATTTCACACGGTAACTAGAAAAAATAATCGAAGACTGTTTCGATCGATATTTGGCAAAAGCTGACTCATTTTCTGAGATATACACTTGTCGTAAACAAATTTAAACTTCATCTACGCCTATTCTCTACTATTAGATAAACTTTATCTAATAAATACCTGAGCCAATGGCAGCTCCATCCAAAATCAACTTTCCCTCCGTTTCCACATCGCCATACGTAGAGTATATAACAGCATGGTTTATGCTAACTTTGCCATTGAACTTTATTTCGAAGAGCTCTGCTTTAAGTCCTACAATTACGTCCTTCCGCCTGACAATGTTCATGTTACCGCCATTCTTCACGATGACATTTGCTATCGATGCATTCCCGATCCCAGAAATGTCCGTATACGTTCGATTCTCAATCAAAGCCGTACTTGCTGTTTCCGAAAATTCGATGCTTGAGCTGTGCTCTAAAAACAAGTGATGCACACCCGTCATTCTTCCATCCATAACAGTGCGGACACCATGCACATGGAACTCAAACGGGAGGACAATCTCAGCACCATAATCAATTTTGAAGCTACAGGGCGCCTCAGTTCGATTCATTACCGATTCCACGTATTCTACGTAGACAATTTGGTTTTCACGTAAGTGTAACTGTCCTGTCCGATCGCCAATGAATCGATGCGCCGTTAGGTCCACTTTGGTTTTGTTTAGATGGTGAATTATCATACGTGAATAGCCGGTCAGCTCTACTTCATCGAATTCATAACTTGTTTTTTGCTTATCCATGACAACACTGGCAACGTCAACATTGTATCCTTCATTGCTCACGAATAACATCGTGTGGTCAACAGCCAGGTAACTGCTATTTGTTCCACTGTGGTATTTTTTGATTCTATAATCCAATTCCTTCAGGTTCTCTTCCTTGTATACCGTCCCTGCGCCGCACCTTTTATTCCCTGGCCTCCTCGTGTAATAAACTTACCACCAAATCTATACTTCCATCGACAATGGATTGCGGCTCGACCACCAGCGCCACTGCCCCCAAGAGAATGTCCTGTCCCACCAGCTATGTCAATGACACCATGACCCGTAATGTTGGTCGTGAATATTAGAATAGCTCCTCCACTGCCACCACCAGCATTTCCATTTTGACCATCAGCGCCTCTGGCTGTAAGCTGTCCATCCAATTCCAACCATTGACTTACAAACCATGTGAGACGACCACCTCCTGGGCCACCAACTCCAGTGCCATTTCCTCCTCCACTACCAAGCGCCTTCGGCCTGTAGACAGAGTCATATGCTTTTCCTGAGCCAGATACAGTATTGGCATAGGCCCCTTCCCCACCGTGGCCTGCTCCAGTCCCAATGATAATTCCTGAAACGATCATATTCTTGCCCCTTCCGATTCCTTGGTGCGCTGTTTTTCCAGTATAAGATAAACTTAACAGGCCTTGACTATAAAGGTGACCGTAAGTGCTGAAAATCGACCCATGGTTCATGTACAGCCTTCCTTGATAATGAATATAAAGTTGGTTAACATTTAGTGTCAGATCATTAATTATCTTACGAAATTCTAGATTACCTCCCTTTTTCACAGTCACATCAGCTATTGAAATGTTTCCTGGGTCGGATACAAAAACGTAATACCTATTTTCTTTTAATGCGGTCTGTGCAGTCGAATAAATATCAACTTCGGATCCAAAGGAAACGAAAAGCTTTTCAACACCGGTTATCATTCCTTCGAGCACAGTCCTTGTGCCATACAAATGAACTTCAACAGGAAACAAAATCTCTCCGCCAACATCAATTCGATAACTGCAAGGAGCCTCTGTTAGATTGTTTAATGACTCAACAACCTCAACAAATATCTTTTGCCGATTGAAAATATGAAACTGTCCTGTCTTGTCCCCGATAAATTTATGTACAGTCACATTGACACTCATGTTTTGTTGATGATAGGCCACTAAGCGTGAATAGCCAGTCAGCTCCAGTTCATCGAACTCATAAACCTCAGTGTTTTCCTCCATTATCACGGTGGCACCAGGTACATCATAACCTTCGTTATCAACATGCAAGTAAGTATGATCTACACGTAACATTGTCTCGTTAGTATTTCTCATATATTTCTTGATTCTATATTCAAGAGGCCTAAAGTTCTCTTCTTTATACCCTGTCCCTGCAGCTGCTCCTAGATTTATTCCATTGAACTTAGATTGCCCACCTTTATCCTTGATCTTTCCGCCATATGTATATCTCCATCGACAATGAATGGCTATTCTGCCACCCGCGCCACATCCGCCCATGCCAGTTCCCGCACCTCCTTCAACATTCAGCTCTCCGTGTCCAGTCATGTTTGTAGTTTTGATAAATATACTCCCGCCACTACCCCCACCAGCATTTGTACCCGTTCCTTGCATACCTTTTGCTGTCACTAATCCATTAATTTCTAGGTGTCTGCTGACAATCCAAAGTAGATAACCGCCTCCAGAACCACCAATACCCTGTCCATGACCCCCACCACTTCCAAAGTCAACAGGCGAGTAAACTGACCCGTACGCCTGACCTGGATGTTTACCTCCACCTTCACCACCATATCCAGCCCCACTTCCAATGAGATCTACTGTTTTTCCTGGGCCTTTGCCAATCTCCCCTGGGAATCCAGTACCGTCTAGAGTTATCAAGCCCCTACCTTCAACCCATGCGTAGGAAGTGTAAAATATCCCGTGATTCATTGACAGTTTACCTTCGTATTTAACTCGCAGCATGCTGGTGTACAATTTTAGTGTATCGTTTACTCTTGTGAATATTAGATGCGAGTTTCTCTTAACGAGTACTGAAGAAAAAGAAAAATTCCCGTGCGCAGATATATACAAATAAACCCGGTTCTCTACTTTGGCTGTTTGGGAAGTTGACGAAAACTCGATGCTGCCACCACTAGCAATAAATAGGTACTCAATGCCTGTCACCCTTCCATCAATTTTGCTTCTTGTCCCACGGATATAAACAGTAGAAGGGAACACAATCTCTCCTCCTACATCAACAAGAAAGCTGCATGGTGCAGTTGTTTCATTCGACATAGATTCAACAACTTCAACGTATAACAACTGCCTCTCTCTGACGTGAGCGCGACCGGTTCCGTCGCCAAGAAATCTATGCACAACAATTGTCACATTTGGGGACCTTAATGGATGCTCTGCAATAAGGTTTGAATGTCTAATCAAGTGTAACTCATCAAATTCCCAATAGTTGCGAGCTTGGTCAACAAGAACAGTTGACCAAGGTATTATGTGGTCCTCGTTATTTACAAACAAATACTTATGCAGTGCAAGAAAAACTGTTTTATTCTCTGATTGGTCGTATTTTATATCTGCATATTGAGGTGACCGACCGGTTTCTTCGATGTACACAGTCCCAGATGAGCCATACGTATCTCCAGCTCCTCCGACTGTCCGGAATGTTCCACCATACTTATACTTGTACTTAACATGAACTCCAACACGACCTCCGGAACCACCTCCACCAAGGCCAGTTCCATTCCCACCAGTAATATCAACATAACCATGCCCGGATATATTCAAGCAAGTAACCAATAAACTGCCTCCACTTCCACCACCTGCATTGGTTCTTGCAGCATTACCTCCATTTAAGAAAAGATACCCATCCAGATAAATGTCTTTTCCTATTGCCAAGACTAAAGATCCCCCGCCTTGTCCACCTATCCCATCACCGTTGCCCCCTCCACTTCCGACATCCTTTGGCGAAAAAATGTAGCCATATCCTGCTCCTCCACCATTTGTTCCAGTCTTTGCTCCGCCTTGGCCACCATGACCTGCGCCTGAACCAACGCGGGTATTGGTACTTCCAGCTCCTGGTCCCAGTTCCGCTTTAAAACCACTAGGTACAATGGTTAAGTGTCCCATGCTTTCTATTTCCATGTTTGAAGCCTTGATAATAGCCTTATTCATTTTAAGCAGGCCATGATATTTGATTCTTAGGTGATTGATAACCAATGACACTGTGGTATATATTTTGGTTGTGTCCATTATTGCATTATTCTGTATAACTATTTCTCCAATATTAAGGTTTCCAGGTTGAGAAACGAGCTTATAGGTCCCATTTTCAAACTTTGCACTCGTTGCATTTGGCCCTAGGAGGACACTGGCTCCTTTTGCAAGAAACAGCTGATCTACATCGACAATGCGTCCGTTTAGATGACATCGTGTACCCAGAACAGTCAATTTTGATGGAAAATGAGCTGCAGAGCCAGCGTCCAACTTATAACTGACCGGAGCGATCGTATAGCCTCTCCTTGCTTCTTTAACTTCTACAAAAATTATCTGTCCTGATTTCAAGTGAAACAAACCTGTACGGTCACCTTTGAATTTATGGGCTGTCAACGTTGCATTGCTTCCATTTATTTGTAATACAACGTGATTTTTCGCTTCAATTTCTTCAAACTCATAATTCATACGACCTTCCATTATAACTGTGATGGCATCTTTGTTTCTGTTCCAGTTATCAAGGTAAAGTTTTCTAAAGCTATAACCCCACTCCGTTTTATTTTCACTCCCTAATGACATCCTTGGTCTTTGATCTAACCCAATATTATTGTCAGTAAAGTAAACTGTCCCAGCAGCTCCAGCAGGACTTCCCAAACCACCAACAGCAACAAATTTCCCTAGGAAAGTTGTAAAGCACATTCAATTAGTGAATATTTGTAAAAACGTAAGATAGGAAAATTGGTCAAGTGAATAGATGAAGTGAAAAATGTTTATTTTGTAAAGAAACCATTAGCAAAGACAAACCTTGAAATTCTCGTCTCCAAGCAATGTGGATCGCTACCCTGCCACCTGAGCCACCTCCTCCTACACCAATGCCGTTGCCTCCTTTGGAAGATATGGTACCGTGACCCGCGAAATTCTCAGTTTCAATCAAGACACTTCCTCCACTTCCGCCACCTGCATTATTTGATCTTGCATTTCTGCCATCAGCCACAATAATACCGTCAATATGCGAAGAATACGTAATGTTCATCTGCAGAAGAGAAGCAAAGTATAGACCACGAGTTCAACTTAGCCTCTTCTATTGACGTTCTTGAATAACAATCCTGAGAACCAGTTTGGTTGCTTAAGTAATTGGGTAAACTATAATAAGAAGCTAAAGACTTAACCGAAAATCATACCTGTTCAGCGTGAATCATTGATTAAGATATCATAAAAATGATCAATGAAATTTTCCAAATAAATTTATGCTTGAAATCTTGAAATAAAGAAAACCTTAAATCTAATCTTGATAGCACTTTTAAGGAAAAACAGACTGTAAAAACATACGAAGATTGTTCCTCCTCCTGAGCCACCAAAAGCAGTGCCACCTCCAGATCCTGGCATTCTTGGAGAATAATATGAGCCATATGCAGGGCCTGCGCCTAATCCTCCTCCATAGCCTCCATGGGATGCTCCTGTTGACTCGTTTCCTGGACCCGGGCCTGACTGTGCCGGAAAGCCCTTGCCTGTTACGTTGATAATTGAACCAGTTTCTAAGTGAAGATTCGATGTCTGCAGCTGAACATTCTGTAATGCATAAATCAAAATATCAATTTCAAAAAAGTGTCAAACAAATTCGTGCGATATTAGTGATACCGCTAATTTACATTAAACTGTTTGAACTACATGGTTTTCGAAATAATATTGTCAGCTGAAATGATATTTTGCATGAAGTGGGTATTGAATCGAAAGAGTAGTAAAGTTATGATGTAAAAACCCAAAACTGTTACGTTGGATGAGTATTATTAAGGGATAACAATTAAAAATAGAAAAGTACCTTAGCTCTAACTACCGAACCGCTGCGTAGAATAAAATCTTTTGCGTTAATTCGACAATCTTCAGTTTCTGTGAAGATTAACATCGAGTTAGCCTCTTGGGTCCAGACCCCAACATCAACGCCACCCTGCTCCATCATACTTCTTGTGTGGTTTTTTGAAGAAGGAGGCAATATTCTTGCGGATGAAGCCAAGTGAACTACTTTTCCCTCTGCGACAGTGAGATTAAGAACGCCTACAATTGTTCCCTTTAAATCTATAGCAGGGATATTCTGACCAAGCACTGTGACATCGGTTGGAAAATACAAGACAGCAAATGAATCAACCAGGTAATTGACTTTAGATATTGATCGTCTTGTCATTTGTGGATTATATTCGATAAAGAATGTTTGGTGCTTTTGTACATGGACCAACCCGGTACCGTCACTTACGAGGTTTGAAACTGAGATTGATGGATTGGAAGATATTTCGCTGCTAATCTGCAGAGTGGCCTGCAATCAAAAATGTGGTCAAACTATTGCAAACTGGTGATTGACAGACCAGTCTAGAACAGATCTGTCAACATAAAAAATCAGGGCTTAAAATATGTAGCAATGGCATGCATCAGTGAGATACGATAAAAAGTTGGTATTGATATTTTTTCATGGTATAAAAGAGTTCTTTTGAGCTTAATGTAAATGAACCTGCAATAGACAATGGTTTTGGATGCATCGAAATCATTTTCCAAGGATAAGATTTGGTAGTAGTAGCCTAATTGTAAATAGTAGCCTAATTGAACAAATCATACTATTTGCTAATAAATGCAATAAAATTTCATTGCTATAAAAGCCATTTATCATGTCAAATATAAAAACGCTCTTGATAGAGAGCTCAACTTCACAAAACAATCGTTACGCTCTCCTTGCTGCACCAATAAGTGTGTATTATACACCTCTACGTCAAACTGCATGTAAAACCGCTATGTTCAGAGCACACCCCTATCAAACAGCAACGATTTCCTCCATAAGGCTTAGTTGAAATCCACTTTAAAAAAAACGTTCATCTAAGCAATTTAAATGACCCCCCCCCCCCAAAAAAAAAAACTTTCATGGTCATTTACCTGCTTCAAAATTTCAACACTATCAAATGCAAATGTTGCATTGTTCAGCTCTGTAGAATTCCACGGCGTGCTTGGGTTTTGCTCAGAAACCCGCAATGGCTTGGCCGGTTTGGCATTGTTACCATCAATAATTAGCCTGCGGTGATATCCGAACCTGGTCTTTGTTTCAATGAACACGGAGCCAGGTCCTCCTGCTGACGTCCCGGTCCCGCTTCCACCTACGGCCTTCAAACGACCTCGGTAGTGATTCAGCTTCAAGATATGTATTGCTATCCTTCCTCCAGCACCACTCCCAGACACAAGGCTGTTGCGGCTAGAGCCCATTCCACCATTCGCTCGTACCTCTCCATGTCCACCCAGTTCATTTGTTGTTATCCATATACTTCCACCACTACCCGCACCTTCACCTGTAATTAAACCTAATTCTTTACAACTGTTACTTTGTTTCATTAAGCGGGTTGCATACTGTAAGAGCCTCAGTACATTGAATACCAGCAAAGAGTCTCTTGCCCATCGATCACAATGAAAACCTGCTCTAAAAATGTATATTATTTCAAGTCAAATAAAAAAATCAAAATCTTACCAGAAGCCCCTTTAACGTTTATTCCATCAGCAGCAAAAACACCATCCAAAATAAACTTATGCCCAACCCTTATTCGCATTTTCCCACCACCTCTCGTGCCCATACCTCCTGGACCAGAACCACCCCTAGCTCCAAACATGCCAGGTCGGTAGATTGATCCATATGATTGACCACCAGAGGCCCCGGACATCGAGTGACCACCGATTGAGCCATGGCCTGCCCCAGCAGCTGCAGTTGATGAATTCGCACCACTTGCTTTTGAATGATATACAGATCCACGTCCGGAGCAATCAAGAGTCGCTGCCGGCTCTAACTGGAATTCGGTTGCCTCAACGTCGAAGTACTCAGCAGTAAACAAGCAATTGTATTTCAGATCCTGAGAAAAAAGCGTACTTTTACAGGTTTTCTTCCTTCTACCAAAATTTATTTCTACCACATGTATTAAATCGTTTACACTACACTGTTTATTTCAAAACATTTTTGAAAGAAGAGTACCAAGCACAAAATGCTTGATTTGCTCCTAACATTCAAATTCACAATACAAATAATGTAAATGAAAATATCTACCACAATCTTTTAACTGCTAGAGTAAACTGCACACATCTCCTTACTTAACAACACTGAAAACCAAAGCACGTAAACAAAGCAAAAAATATTACAACGAAGCTAGGTTCTACACTATTACAAATAATACTAGGTTCAAACATAGTCAATTGAATGGTACAGAGGAGTATAATTGAAAGATTAAATGCAAATGAACAAAACTTACCAACAGTCCAGCGGTAAATGTGACACCCATCGGCGGCGGGAAAGCAATAACGGAACCACTTCCAAATTCTAAATGGGAAAACCTGAACGTACCAAAACGGTCAATATACTTTCTTTCTTTATTTACGATCAGCGAAGTATGAGACATGGCGCCAATCAAGACTTTTCTCTTGTGGGCTATGTGCAAATACAAAGTATTTGTAAGTCTTCCATTCCAGTCAAAAGCAACAGCTCCTAAGCCAACTATGTGCAAAACAGTTGGCATAATGGCTTCTGAACCAGCATCAAGCTTGAAATTTGCCAGCGTTCGGCTTATCGTCACTCTTGCGTCTTTCACCTCACACCGCAATAATTGATTCTTGTGTACATGGATAAGACCTGTCCGGTCTCCAATAATTTTCTGAACTGTAAGATTGCGTTGAATGTAGTCTTTATTCATTTGTAACGATGCAGATCTGTGAAGATGAACCTCGCTGAATTCGTAACTTGTGCTATTTTCATCCAGTGTCACGTAGTGCCCCCATCCTCTATTCTGGTTGTCAATTCGTAGCTGGTTATAATCGTATCCTTTTCTTACATCGGCGATGTATATAGTCCCTGGTCCACCACCTTTATCTGTTTTGTCTTTTGTTATATCTCCTGCCTTGCCACCATAACCAGTGAACGTTCCAAGGTACTGTATTTGCTTCTTTAGGTTAACAGCGACTCTTCCACCAGAGCCACCCCCACCTTTGACTCCTTCTCCGTTTCCTCCATTTACATTCACAGTTCCATGCCCCTCGAGCGTTTCTGCATCTATTAAGACGCTTCCACCTGCACCACCCCCACTGTTAGAGCCAGACAATGAGCTTGCCCCATCTGCTGTTATGATGCCATTAACATACAGCTTATTAGTGACAAAAATCTTAACAGAGCCTCCCCCAAGACCTCCAATACGGTTACCTGGGCATCCTCTAGTACCAAATGACGTAGGCCTGTACATACTACCAAGTGGTGGCACAAATTGGGAGGATGTCAACCCAAGTCCTCCTATTGATGCATGACTACCACCTGCACCCCCACACCCTTTTGGCAAAGCCGGCTCAGCGACAAGTCCCGGGCGGTCAGCTCCAGCTGCAGTTATACGGCTGCCATCTTCAAGCTTCAGGTTTGTAGCACTTATGTCAATGATGTCGGCGACTAGTGTAACACCATATTTCAGATGGAAATTGCCAATGGTGCACTTCATTGATGTTACGTTAATAAGCTGGAATTTTGAGCCATCTTGTAACTCAAACAATGGAAATCTGAACGTTTGTGGCTTTTCAACTACATACGTACCGTTTTCCGTGAAGGACGTGTGAGCTTTTCCTATGAAATAAAACCTTTTGCTTTTCGATACAACCATGTCCCTCACACCATCTAGCAATCCACGTAATACCAGAGACGCCTGAGGTCCTGGAGAAATTAATCCAAACTCGCCAAGCAAACGTACAACGGAAGGCAACACCAATTTTGAAGTCTCTCCCACAACAAAGTTGACAGGGGCGGACGTAGAGTATTGTTCTTTCTCGATATAAAACGTTTGGTTTGATAGAGACCACAGGACTCCAGTTCTATCGCCTTTAACGCTATGGATTATTAAGACTCCAGGTCCAGGCCGGATTTGGAGTTTAGCGCCACCAAATATCAATGTTTCGTTAAAAACATACTCAGTGGTATTAAATTCGTCCAAGATAACTGGATAAATTGATAAACGCCTTGAATTATCTACTATGAGCTGGCTGTGGAGCTGTTTATACTTTACTTGTGATATATACACTGTTCCTGGCCCACCAAAAGAGTTCGAACGCCTGCTTACACCTCCAGTCGCGTGATACTCCCCGGAGAACTCATTTCTAGTGAGAACGTGAATGGCCATACGACCAGCCGCTCCACCGCCGCCTGACGAATCACCGGCTCCACCTTTCACTGACAGGTCACCAGTTCCCTTGACTTCATAAGCCTTTATCAAAATACTGCCACCACTTCCTCCACCTCCTGAACTGCCAACAGGCGCATTCTGCCCATCGGCTGTTATTGTTCCGTCTATTATAACAGTTACACCGGCCTCTATTCTGACAAAACCACCTCCAAAACCACCCAACAAAGCTCCGCTCCCTCCCAATGATCCTGTGTGTTTGGCCAAATGTATGACCCATAAGGAGCTGCAAAGAAGCTATAGCCATTTCCACCATAACTTCCATGGCCAGCTCCTTGGCTTGATAAGATGTAAGGCCTTTTGTCTGGTACTGTTCCTGCACAGTTAATTTCAGCCCCGGATTCAATATCGACTGATGACGTAATAAGCTTGAAGAACTTAGCACTTATCTTCGAAGAGTACTTCATACTCAAGTAGCTTGTGACAAACTCTACACCTACACCACCTTCAAGTCTGACGTCACTGCCGGTAAAAAGTTGGATTGTTGCAAAGTGGTAACTGCCATCCGGAGACGAGACGTACTTTCCATTTATAAATCTCTTTGTGTTAGCCGACGGGTGAATTTTTACCAAACGTTTTTCAGCTATGATGATGTCTTGTATTCCTATCAGTGTCCCATTCACCTCTAAAGCAATACTCCCTATACCCTGAAAAAATGTTTTATCTGCCAAGAAAGCACTGCCACCATGGTCTAGCTTCAGGTTAAAGTTAACTCGTGCTACTGTTTTTCTGTATAAATTATGTTTGAAATACAAGTACTGGCTGGCATGAATATGAATCAAGCCAGAATTGTCACCAAACACGCTTGCTAGCCTGAGAACGGCGGCATGGTTTTCTTTTCCCATTGACAAAGCAGCACTTTTGAAGAGATGCAATTCATCGAAACTATATTCACTTTTACTATCATTTAGTACAACAAATTTGTTATCTGATGTGTCTCTGTTACTGACTTTCAAAACTCTGTACTCTCTTTTATCTCGTATGTCAGTTAGATACACAGTTCCAGGTCCACCTAACGACGCCACGTTTTCACTTCTTCCTCCGAAAGATTCAATTTTCCCATGGAATTTACTCTCAGTTTTGACGTGAACAGCTATACGGCCACCAGCCCCACCGCCTCCAGTCCCATCACCATTACCACCATTAGAAAGAAGATTTCCCCCTCCACTGAATAGACGACTCACATCTATATGTATGCTGCCACCACTGCCACCACCTGCCTTTGTCGTTAATGCTGCTCCACTGCCACTGCATTCTATGGATCCATCAAATAAGAATGTATTTGCTATAACAGTTACTATACCACCGCCTTCACCACCGGCAATCCCATTGGTGGAATTGCCACCGGGAGATCCAGCCTCCTGCGGTTTGATGAACGAGCCATATGCTGTGCCCCCTTTATGTCCACCTCCTGAAGATGCATGTCCACCACCACCTGCAAGAAGTCCTGCTCCCTTAGACACAGTCCCCGTTGCACCTAACCCATTCGTAGAAATAACTGAACCACGTTCCATTTTGATCCAGTCCACCTGCAAGTTAACGCTACTCCGATGCAACATTACTCCTGTTCTTACTGACAGTTTTCCAACATTTAACTTCAAAGGACCATTGCCTCCATATTTTGAATTGCTCTTTAAAACAACTTGTCCAAATTGCTGAGCTCCTCGGTCACTAAGGGAAACGTAACTCTCACCCTGCAATATACCAGTTTGCGATTGTGGTCCAAAGAAAATGCTTGACTTCGATTCGACAGTTAGAGTCCTTACATTAGCAAGAATACCGTTGATTGTCAATGAAGATCCATCGATAGTCAAGTTAGTTGCTAACACCAAAGATGCTGCGAAATCAACAAAGACATTAGCTGTTAAAGTTATCAATTGCTCCTTTGCTTCCGTTACTTCAATCATCAAAGTTTGATTTTTCAAGGCTCCTATCTCTCCTTTACCATCACCAATTAGATTTGCAACAAATATTTTGTTTTTTGCTAGCTTCCTCATTCTGAATCGCAGTCTCGACGGACCTTTAATGTCAAGCTGATCAAAAGTAACATGATCAGAAGCCCTTGCGACAAATTCTGTAATCGCTGAATATGCTGATTTCGATTCCAGATTTTTGCATGTAAGTTTCCTCCTGAAAAAATCAAGACATATAAAACAAGAGAATTGAAAACATATTTCTGTTCATTTCTTTTAACAAATATGTTATCTAATCAAATATTGAACTGCATCTGATGTTTCGTACCCTGCTTGGTTCAAAATGATACCGGTAAAAACGATGCGAATCAATCAGAACCTCTTTTACTTATTAAAACTTAAATGACTTCGCAAATATCATTATGAACAAATGCTCAAAAATGTTACCTTGGAATCATCGTTTTCATATCCTCGACGTAAATGGTCCCTGCTCCACCCACAATCATTCCATTACCACCACGTGACTGCATAGTGCCTTTAAACTTCGCCTCGTTATCAACATGAACGGCAACGCAGCCACCCCCTCCTCCGTTTCCACTGCCAAGTCCATCTCCTCCGTCAGCAAAGACTTTTCCGAGCCCGTTAAACGATGAGGTGATAATGTAAATGGTGCCTCCACTTGCCCCACCGCTGTTCTGTTGCTTTGAACCGAGGCCATTTGCTAGCAGGCTCCCGTCGACCTTTAAGTTTCCGGAAACTTTCATTTTCAAAATACCCCCTGTAAAATACATTATAAATCTATGAACTGGAAAAATTTTCTTATAACAGGAGTGAAACGAACAAAAAGAAATGGTAGCATAAATGTAGCTCTAGTCTATAACAGTGCCGCTTTACCCTTAAAACTGACGTGTATTTCTATAAAAATAGTTAAGACGATGTTGGAAAAAGATTTAGCAGATAGTGACCTGCAAAAAAAGTCGTATGAGCCCTAAATATAATTGCAACGACAAAACCTGACAGCATTCACTGTTGCATAAGAGCTTATATATATTTGACTTCGCTCTCTTATATGTCTAATTGATAAAATAAGTGTTGATGAACAAACCTCCTGCGTTGCGACCACCTCCGGCCTCACCAGTCAAATCAGGGTGTAGTGATGACAACTCCCTATATTGATCTACAATTCTTCCACCACCGTATCCACAATGACTACCCCCGTCAGCAGAATGCGTGACAGAACTTTTGCTTATCATTCCTGATACATCAATCATAGCACCAGCATGCAAGATAATTTCGCCACTGTCTACGAAAAGTCGATGAGCACTTAGGACAGATCCAAAAAACATTTCCAGTGATGCAAGGGATATCGGAATCATTTGTTCGGCGGTATTCTCAAAATACAGCTTCGCACGATTTTGAAGGGTAACTTTGATAAACTTGTACTCGCCACGTTTCGACAAAACGACATACTTTCCGTCCTTGTACTGTGCAGTTCTGCCAGAAGCGGACAAAGTGGTCGTTTTTGTTTCGCCTATATTAAAGTCGAACACACCCGTAAGTGTACCAAGAAGCCTGTTGTCGCGCCCAAGGAATGTTACTTTGCTTGCTAACCGTACTTCGCCAAATTTATCAACGTGAAAACTGGCATGGACATCGCTAGACGCTTGCGTCTGTTCTAAACTAAGAATGACACCATCAGGAACGTGCAAAACACTTCTGTCGTCTGACTCAAAGCTCGTAATGTCTGCATTTTTGTCGCAATGAAGCACAACACCACCCTTCAGGACAACAATTTCAAAAGCATACTGGCTTACCGTTTGGTTCAGAAACAACTCAAAAGAATGATTTAAGTTTAATCGGTTCTGTATCAGTAACTTCTCTCTTTTGAAATAGTTGTTATGAATATCTTTAATGTAGGCAGTACCAGGTGAGCCACTGAACCCCCAAATAGAACTACTGTTAGCTTTTTTTCCTCCAGTTGCATCAACTATTCCCTTAAATGTAAATTGATCACTGACAATGATCGATATTCTCCCTCCTGAGCCACTACCCCCGAATCCTTTCCCTTCACCTCCAAGCGTTTGTATTGATCCAAGTCCAGTAAGCTTTGAGGTGACAATATGAATACTTCCTCCTGATCCGCCACCGGCATTTTCTGCACCTGGTGAGCCATCTGCTGACACTGTACCATCTACTAGCAAATTTACCGCTTCTATCATCAAAATTCCACCACCACTCCCACCTAAGGCCCCTCCGGAACTACCTCCACCGCTGCCATGGTTTTCCGCCTTGAAAAGAGACCCATATACAATTCGCGTTCCATTAGCGTTTCCTCCTGAGCCAGAAAACCCTCCATACGCTCCGCCAGCAGCACCCCAATTTACCACAGAAGTTCCACCCCCTGGACCTCTTCCCGCAGGAAATCCCTCACCATTTACAGAAATTCTGCCACCATAAGATATCACCAAACTGGGAGTCTTTAAAAGCAAATTTTTGCCTTCTAATAATCCGCCATATCCAAGAATTATGGATTCAGAGTTCACTTGAACTTTCTCGTCCAACGATGACTCAAATTTCAACTTCCCTTCGTTGAGAATAGCAATTGATCTAAAAGAGAAAGTCCTTGGTTTCCCTGTTGATATCCCTATACTGCCGGTTCTGGCAACAACAATATGACCTTGCTTGCCAGCTATGATATTTTCTCCGCCAATCACCCGACCCTCGATGTACAAAGAAGGTTTGTTTATCGTTTTTGTGACGAATAATCCTGTGGCTAAATACAAAGTTGCATTGAGTTTGACAGATAGCGAACATGGAAGCATAAAAGGTCGTTTAGAGAAAGCTTTCGATGTTTGAAGAAACACCTTCTGCCTTGGCATTATTGTAAGAAAACCACTGAAATCCCCTGAAACTTTGGAAAACTTAATAACAAGATCAGACGATGATGCAAATGTCAGCTTTCCCTCTCCCGAGATATCTAAATTCTGCAAGGTCATCGTCGCACTGTCAACCATAATCTTCGACTCGACATTTGACATTAAGCCATTATTGTTGATAAATGTTGAATTTACATCGACTCCAACTACTTTTTCGGATATGAAAATAGTCCCGGCCGCTCCTGTAAAAGCTCCTTTACCACCGTAGGCCGTTATCCGCCCCTTGAAATTCGTCCTATATTTTACGTTGAGAGAAATGCGTCCTCCTCCACCTCCGCCACATAGAGAGTTCCCACCATTAGCAGATATACTACCCTGTCCTGACAAAATCTCTGCTTCTATGAGCAAACTCCCACCACTACCACCACCTTGGCTACCGAAAGATGAAACTCCACTGACTGAAACATTTCCATTTAGCACAAGTGTTTTAGTAGTAATGAATAGAACGCCGCCTCCAAAACTTCCAGCAAGACTACCTGCAGATCCACCACTGCTTCCAAAGGCAGTTGGCCTCACTAATAAACCATACGATTCACTAGTTAGAGCTCCGCCCCCTTGGCCACCATGGCTTCCACCAAACCCACAAGTTTCGTTACCAGATGAAATTTTAACAGACTTTTTATCATTGCCTAGTGCCTTGATCTCTGATTGGTTCTCCATCACTATTTTACTTGCTTTTATAGTCAAATCAAGCTCCGACATCGACTTCAAACGTGACCCACGGGCCATGGATAATGAAAAAACATTTATTGTCACTTTTGGTGAGCTAAAACAGATTTCAGATGACACTGATAGAGTCAATCTTTCTATGTCCAGCTGATATGTGGACGAATGACCAATCCGTGATTCTTTGCTTAAAGAAATATTTGATTTATGCCCTATGTAAATGCTTTTCGTGATTAAATAGCTTTTCTGCAGCATACTTAAGCTTTTCAAAGACTGTACAACAAGACTTTCCGCTTGCAGCCAACCTGAAATTTGTTCAGATCCTGGTGAACTGAGTTCTAACTGACCAGAACAATTAAACATTGCATTTTCCCTCACATTTATGTTACAGTATAACTTCTGTCCTTCTGTTGAGTTTACAACAATCGAGGCGTTTGAACCAACATCCAAAAAGCAACCACTCTGTGTGCTTAGACGACTTGTTATTAAAGAGAAATTGTTGACCTTAAACGTCGTAGATCGTCCGAGTGATATCTCATCGAAAAAATATGATACACTATTTGCTGGTAAAGTTACAACCCCTGATTCGTTCAATAGCAAGCGTATTTTGCGAATTCCAGCCGTATTTACGAGCACTACGGTGCCTGGCTGTCCGTTGTGAAATGCACTGCCTCCATGAACAGAATATGATCCTTTGAATGCATCTCTTTCTGTGTAGACTGCTATTCTTCCTCCTCCTCCACCGCCTCCATTGCCGCCCTGGCCGGCACCCCCTTCGGCTCTAAACGCCCCTCTACCCTTTATCCAATTAGCTATTATCAGAAGACTTCCACCGCTACCTCCACCAATACCATCACCACCATTTGCATCAATAACTCCATCATGTGTTATGCCACGTGATACATTAAGTACAAGTTGTCCTCCGCCTTTTCCAATCTCACCAGTAGCGCCTCCTCCTCCACTTTTGCCATGGGCTTTGGGTGTCATAACGTTGCCAAAAATACCATTTGCTACAGAAATTGAAGAAGCCCCTTTACCTCCTTGTCCACCATGACTTGCTCCTGTATCTGTTGACGATAACCTTCGATTGGGTAGCGAATGTGGTAGAAGGCTGAGACGGCCATCAGTAAAGACTTTGATGTTACCAACTTCAAGTGTTGTTTCTTCGTAACCATTACTTTGAAAGGCAAATACAGCTTGTTGCTCTATCACCAGAGATGAGTACCTATACCTTCCTGGTGGCAAGGAGCATCTCTGGCCAACCAATAACGTGAACTCTTCGTAATTGCAAGTTATATTATAAACGATCTTCCATCTTGTTACTTCAACTAGGTAAGGCTCAATCATGTACCTGGTAACATTCCGAGTGTAGCTAACATTATGCCCTTCACGAATTTCCCAACCATCCTCTCTCACGAGGTACGATACATTACGAGAATGGGTGACATTTGCATGGTAGCTAACGTTTCGAGGATAATAGAACAACTTGCCTGTGCCACATGGATCGTAAACAACGTCTGAGGATATATTAACAATCTCGTGTCCGTGGGGGCAGCTTAAACGAGAAAGAGACGGGCCTCTACTTTGTTTTACAAACTTTTTTAACACCACAAGAGGTATAATAGGCGGAAAAACTGCAGAATATTGAAGTTCAAATTCGCCTACATCAAAATGTGTTCTGTCTTGTGATTCAGGAACCACTGACGCTCGGGATTCTACAACAAGCTTTTTAAATGAGAACCTAGAAATGGAGATATCCTTGTAACTTGTAAATCCAGGATGTTTTACCTGAAGCTGACTGTATGGATGCAGAATGAAAGAGGCAGCGCCTACTAACTGTCCAGCTATGTGCAACTTAGTAAATGGTTTCAAGCTGAATACATTGGGAACCTGAAGCAGTGCACCAGGAAGCACTCGCAGTGATAATGGAAGCTCGTAGCTGATATCCCCTCTATATGCAACATAAAGCTGGCGACCATCTTGCAGCGACAGTTCACTCTGTGGGTCTCCTAACAGAGCATCAATAAAAAGGGTACGTTTGGATACGGCTGGGCACGCTTGCATACTTAATCTTCCTCTGTTCAAGACTGTCAATTTTGAAAGTTCAATGCTTGATCCTGAATCGCATGCAATGACGGTTTCTTCCACATTACTTTTTGAGTATCCATTAACTTTTATGCTTCTCTTACCATTGGCATTTTCATGCAATATTCCACTTCCTCCTGCATTCATAACTCCTTCACCTCCTTTTAAATCATAATCCAGGATGCCTCCTTTTGTTGAGTATTGCAATGACAAAAGCCCCGCACTCCCACCGCCGCTGCGCGTATAACCATTTCCTCCCCCAATCGAGATGCGACCTGAACCAAGAAGCTTTGTAGCGATTATCCAAATACTTCCTCCTGACCCACCGCCATCGCCAGGATGTTGCCCGCTGTTTCCTCTAAAAAAGCAAATTCAAAAAAATAATGTAAGTAGTTTATTTTCTGTGTATTGCAATGCCAGTACAGTTTTTCATTATTATCAAAATTTGTACAAATATCGGCGGCATAACACTCTGCATTGGTCCGCTTCTTCTTGTCATTTTGAAATTCTATATTCCGAAACACTTTTTTATGACATTAAATATCATCGAAAGATTTAACAGAGGCCATGCACAGTATTCAACGAAACGGAATGCAATTCGCAAGGATTTTTATTTGAAGGATAAATGTGATAGCTTGGTTTTATCTAAGGAACTTTAACAAAATTGAATCAAAAGCACCAAATACGTATTATTAATGAATTTACCTACATTCGCTCAGCTGACAAGCCTTAGACTTACCTTGCTGAAATTGCTCCATCTAAACTTAATTCAACGGTGAAAATCCTGATAATGCCACCTCCTTCTCCTCCGCCAGTGGCAGCACTTATTCCTCCGCCACCAGAACCCGCCTTTCCAGGTTGAAATATATTTCCATAGGGAGCAGCATGTGAAACGCTGGAAGGGCAAGCTCCAAATCCAGCATGGCTGCCTCCACAGCTTTCCTTTCCTCGGCTGTCTGTTGGACCAGCTCCTTCGCCTCGCATCTTCGGGAAGCCACCATAATCCACGGAAATAACTGCTGAATCTCTTACGGCCATTGTTTGTGCTTCAATGTCTAATGATCGGCCTGAGATAGTCCCTCCTGCTTGCATATCTAAAATTCCTGCCTTTATTTTGAACAGATTCATGGACGTGCTTGGCCCAACAATCACACCCCCTGGGAATATACTAAGCTTTGTTAGATCGAACCCTGAATCTCCAGAAAGATAGAAGCTGATCCTAGCATTCAAAGACACACGAAGTTCACCAGACGACACCGTCAGTTCTCTGACTCCAATAAGAGCACCTTCAAGATACAAATCATTATTGTGGAAAATGACCTTTTCGGGTAGTTGAAAAACGCCATTTGGGTAAACCTGCAAATTGGCAGGGACATACAAGTCTGATTGCTTAATAATGATAAGTTGTTTGGCCAGTGTGTGCAAGTAGCCAAAGCTTTGGCCTTCGTATGTGCTAATCAACTGATGTAAAATGATAACACTTGAGACTCCCTGTTTGTTTTGCTCAAACACTACGTGAGATGAACCTCCCAACTTGAATACATTAAAGCTATATTCCGTATAATAGTCAGTGCGAGACAAGCCTATGACCTCACTTGCATACAATGCTCTGTTTCCGTCATTGCTAGCAGGGACCCAAGTCCTCGCAGCATCTGTAGAAAGCCTAGAGAAATCTTTGATCCTTGCAGATGAGGGTTTGCGGCCCCGGTTCGAAATGGTGAGATTGTTTTCCCCTGTCTTTGAATTAATAACGACAATAGTGCCAGCTGCACCACTTTCGTGTGCTGAATAACCGCCAAATGCAACTAGACTTCCTTCAAATGTGTTTCGTTCTGCAAAATGCAAAGCGATCCTGCCTCCACTTCCACCTCCACTTAAGATATCTCCTCCACCACCGTTGGATGAGACACTGCCGGACCCTTCCAAAGTCTTACAGTCAATCCAAACACTGCCACCACTCGCGCCGCCATTTGGAGAACCAAGAACTGCACTTCCAGACTGACCGTTCACTTTAATGTCGCCATCAAGTTTAAAAGAGAGGCATTGGACACGCAAAACCCCTCCACCTGCAGTTTTCAAGCCTCCTCCACTGCTTCCAAATTGGCTTGGCTGTTTAAGGCTATTGTAGAAACTGCCTCGTATCTCCTGCATATTCCCTTTACCACCGAATCCACCATGGCCTGCACCTGAAGCCCCGTGAGAGTTAACAATTCCTGCTCCCAAACCAGCACCATTCACAGCACTCTGTGGAAGTGTAAATGAAGCTCATTATTCAAATCTTTATCAGCTAAATCGATAACATAGAACGGGCTATGCAAATAAAACTGTTTTCAATAAAATTGACCTTATGATGGATACATTTTGTACTTAAAGGAAAACGGCAATTTGAAAATTTGACACTAGAGTGAGAGAGCATTTCGTTGCTATGTAAACAGCCAACAAAAACTCACTTTAAAGCTTAAGTCGAGCAATCCTGACTGAGCTATCTCCACATTTTTTGCTGTTAAATGAAGTCTTGTTGCAACTACACGACCTCCGGTTTGTATTGAAAAATTTGTAATGTTGATGAAAATTCCATGCTTATCTGACTCAAGAAGCATTGTTCCACCACCAAGGACGTTAACGGAACTAAGACGTATCTTTCTTGACTTCACCCCACTTGGGTCAATCATTTCTCTGCAACGAAAAAAGATTTCTTTTTCAAGCCATAGACTTAAATTCCAAAAAAGTTATATAACGATATTAGAAAATTTACGAAGAATCTCCAACCATTTGAGGAAATATATTGGAATTTGCTCTTAAACTAATATCTGCGGATTTTCGTCAGGTTTCTGAAATCTTTTGCCATTATTCGATGAAAAATATCACGAAGAACCAAACTATTTTCTTAAAAAATTGATGTATGAATGACAAACCAACATTTAAAACAAAAACTAGTAATATTATGGGCGACTCTTTGTCAATACCTCCTTTATTTTATTTTGCCTAGATACAAATGAAGTCTGCAACTTGCTTTGCTTTCACTTTGCTACTATGTTTCTTGATGTAAATGAGACTGATCATTTCCATGCTCTAAATAGCTATATACAGTACACACAGTTTACATATATGCGGGGGTTTTGCTGTTTGTAGATGTGAAAGCCCTTGTATCTACCATGAAAAACGAAACAGCACAAGGAATTGGTTCTCATTGTGAAAATAAGCTTACCGCACGGTGAAAGACCCTTCTGGGCCAATTGTCACATTTTCTGCTCCACGTATTCTTCCAGCCACGACAATTCCGATGCGATTTATGTTCAATCCAGGAGGGAGTATGACATCACCAAACTGTTGAATGTTCAGGCCCCAAAGAAGTTCCTGGTTAATTCCATTTCCTTTCGTCATATCAATCTCTTGGTACTTGAGGATAAACAGCATTCCAGTTCTGTCACCGCGGATGGCCCCAACGTGCCACGTAAGCATAGAATTAGGTAATTCCGTCTTCGCTGCAAGTTTCCCTCCTCCGCGGATATCAAGTTCATCAAAAATCACTGACCCAACGTCCGAAGATGCGAAGATCCAAGTCATTTTCGTCATTTCAGAACGGTCTGCAATTGATGTTGCCTGTTCAATTTTGTTGTCAATTAACAGCTTCGACTTGTTCTTCCCTACGTCCATCAGGTATACAGTACCTGCTCCAGCAGGATATTGCTTGCTTTCTCCACCAAGAACAATATATGAGCCAGCAAAAGATGAATTCTTGTAATTGATAGCAATGCGTCCTCCGCCACCAGCACCTGAACGAAAGAATACCTTTCTCTCAATCAGTCATTACTTAATAAATGTACTAACAGCAATATAGCTCTCAAAATTTTCAGAAATTCATGCTAGGCTTAAAAATTCAGAAACAATATATGATTTAAAAACTTTTTGAAAATTAATCTTCAGTCATCAATATTTGTGGAGCATCTTACGAAATAGCATGAGAATTCATAAAAAAGGATACATTGATCATTCAAGACTGACGAGGAATACCTAATTTAAGAAGCTCTTCTTGGTTATTAACCTTATACAAAACACAATTTGTTTTTCAAGTCATTTTTAGTTTGATGTGCCTAACCCGTCAAAGGCTGTAGTCAGATATTTACTTTTTCGCAGATAAAGAATAATACAGTTTCTTTGCGAAACACATACCATATGAATCTGCACCGCTCCCTCCCTTTGCTGACACTGTTCCTCTTCCTGATAAAATGGCTGCGACCAAGTATATACTGCCTCCACTTCCCCCAGGCGACTGTCCGTTGGCAACAATAGACCCATCAACATGCATGGTTTCACTAGCGTTTAACTTGATAATGCCTCCTCCTGTAGAGTTACCGTTACCACTTCCAAATGAAGATGGTTTGTTTACTGTTCCGTATGTATTATCAACTGCAAACGAGCCGTGGATCTGGCCACCACTGCCAGCATGAGTAGCGCCATTTCCACCTTAAACAAACATGCAACATGACAGAGCAATGAGAAATTAAATTTCTTTCTCCGGCTTATTTCAGATACCAAACTATTCCAATAAGATAAAACTTGCAGCGTGGTAAATCATTAAACATACCTAAAAATGTTTATGAAATATTTATAAAAAAGGAAAAAAGTTGCCTTGAACAAAATTAAAAGAAAGTTGAGTTGAACAAAATTAAAAGAAATTTGAAGAACATATCATACCTAAACCGACACCTTTGCCATTTTTTAGGCCACCTCCATTTGCAGAAATCTCACCAGAACCATCAACCGTTAAAGACTTTGAGTTTATTTCAAGCCAAATTGCAAGGACCTTGCCACCAGGAAGAATTCTGAGTGAATCTGAAACGGTCAACTTTAGTGCAGGATTCAGTAGAAAAACCGTCGCGTTTGATTGGATTGTGCCGCCGATAGTAAGTGATCTTAAGCTGAACTCTTTCGCCTGCATCCCAAAGCTTGATGCCTAAACAAAGCAAACATAAGAATCGAAAAGGCCAAGAAACAAACTCTTATATTAATACAATTATAATTTTGGCTTACGAATTATTATAATACCTAATAGTCACACACTTTTACAGTAAAAGCAAATATGTACTCCAATTTACAAGGGTTTTTTTTCTAGACAAAATTGCTTTAACATAAACATAAGAGGCTATATACCTTGTCACCAAGCAGGACGCGTACACCCGGACTGACAACCAAATCCTTTATCCCAGTTATCGTTCCTTCAATGCTGACATCTTCATTTGCAAGTGAATCCAGAGTTATCGATTCAGGCAGCCCGATGTTGCCATTTTTGTAAACCCTAAATGATGCTGGAAACAACTGGCTTGATTTGTGAACAGTGAGATTCACACCGGAGGACACGTGGATCTGGCCCGTGAAATCGCCATCAAGCAGGCTGGTAAAGATATTTAAACTCGCGGCCTCAGCTATTGAAAATGCAAGATGGGCTCGCCCTTTTAAAGAAATTCTCTCAAGCAAAATACTATCGGCATTTTGAACAATGAGCCATGTTTTGCCTGTATCATTTCCTGTGTCGCTGGAGCTCGTCAAATACACCGTTGAAGGTTGCTGGTTTTTGTTGTCAATTATCAACTGTCGTTGCAATTTCGAATCATTTCCGAATTTGATGTACACTGTGCCAGCTCCCCCTGATTCTGACTGCCCTGATCCACCATACGCAGTGTAGGCACCTACACATCAAATACAATGCTTATTAAACCGTTCATCATATCACTTGGATTTAACAAGGAAATCAATGAACAGTTCATCTTAAAGTGCAAAGATTATCTTTAAAGCATTTAAAAGGAAATATCTATAAACTGAAATGATCAAACAAAAGATATTTGCAAGACAGTCAATAAAACAGTAACAAGCGAATATATTTTCATCCTATGAAAAATCTTACCCGTGAAAAGGAACGTTTTTGTATGAATTGCTATTCTTCCACCGGCTCCTCCGCCTGCGCTACCAGTCACAGATGAAGCGCCACCGTCAGCTGTGAGTTTTCCCTTTCCCTGAAAAGATTTGCTCCTCAAATTGATACTTCCCGCACTTCCTCCTGCACTTCCAGCGTTAGTTCCACTGCCACCACTCACATCGATTGATCCATCGAGTGTCAGAGACTCAGAGACGTCCAGAGTAACCACACCCCCGCCAAAACCACCCACCTGAAAATGGACAATTTCATTTCATTATCATTTTAAATTTATTTATACAGGGTAACAATTCAGTGTAGAAACCTGTTTTACAATTGGCCCTATGAAAAAATACCTAATAATACCGAGTTATTTTAATTGAATATAAAAATACAATATAATACAAGCCAAAAGAATAGAAAGGAAGACAGAGAAACGGAGAGAAGGGCGAATTTGTCCATGTTAGAGACCCTTGTAAGTTTTAAGTCTCGATTTACAACAATGGATGGAGGATGCCGATTTTGATACTAAGTCAAGATCATTCCAAACTTTTGCACCACGAAAAGCAAAGGATTTTTGTCCGTAGGATTTTCTCATTCGGGGTATTAGCAGGTCAGTCTTTGAGTTACGAAGGCCGCAATTATGGCAATCTGACAGTTTAGAAAAGCACCCACTAAGGTATTCTTGGGCTAGATTGTTAAGCCATTTAAAGGCCAAAGTTGAAGTTTCACGGTGAAGAAGTGTCTCGACTGTAGACCAATCTAAAACTTGAATCAAAGGTGCTGCAGATGTCCCAAGTCACTGCTTGTTACTATTCTTGCTGCCCAGTTTTGGAGATTTTGTAATTTATCCAACTTGGTGGTTCCACAGGAGCCCCATACGGAGCAACAGTATTTAAGATGAGGCTCCACTATACCCTTATAGCTATCATTTAGTGTGCTAGTTGGAACATATCGCTTAGGGTATTTTAACAGACCAAGAGCCCGCAAAATCTTAGTTTGGATGTTCTTGATTTGGCTATCCCATTTTAGATTATCATCAATCATTATGCCAAGATATTTAGTTTCGTTCACAAACCCAATTATCATTGCTTGAGTTTTAATAACGTTCAATGAGAGTTTATTCCCGCGAAGCCATTCATTGAGACTTGCAAGTTCTGCATTGACAATAGCATTCAAATCCTCCATATTATCAGAGGCGTAACATATGGTTGTATCATCAGCAGCAGCAAAAAATAAGTCATCTATTCTTATGAGTTCCTACAGGCATTTGCGGGATAAGGTTAAAAATCTCAACAGACAACTGAAGAGAGACTTTTTCTTTTAATAAAATTGCTTCTTATAGAGACAGTTTAACGCACTCTTGGAGTACCATTAATCAACTGCTCAATAAGAGATCCAAAACAACAAACATCGACAGCGTAGAGGTAGATGACCATGAGATCAATGAACCAGCTGAAGTCTCACGAGCTATGAATGATTTTTTTTGAAGTGTCGGCTAAAAGCTTTGAGATAAGATACCACCGCAACCTAACCCACTTCTGTCTAACGAGTACACGATTAATGAGAACATTAACAATTTTGAGTTTAATGCCATTGATGCTGCAAATGCAGAAAGAGCCCTTGGTAAAATGAGGAAATCATTTGGATTTGGGTCTGACGGCATAGCCAGTTATTTTATCAATGTTGCTTTTCCTATAATTTCACAATCTCTTTGCAGTATCTTCAATTTTCTATTAATACCGGAGAATTTCCTGATAGTTGGGAAACTGCAGGGGTTGCGCCTACTTTCAAGAGTGAAGAGCGTAACGATCGGTCTAACTACAGACCCATGTCCGCTCTTCCTATTGTATCCAGGCTGTTTGAAAAACTAGTATATGATCAGCTATATAATGACCTTGATAGAAACAAACATCCGTACATGCATCAGTCGAGCTTTCCAGCTTTACACTCGGTCGTAACATGTTTGCTTAAATCCACTCATGACTGGTACGTTAACATCGATAATAGTAAAGTCAACGCTGTATTCATTGATCTAAGAAAGGCGGGTCGACACTGTTGATCATGATATACTCTTAGCAAAAATGCTTCACTATGACATCAAAGGCATGAAACATGATTGGTTACGTTCCTATTTAAATAATCGTGAGCAGTTCTGAAATTTCAATGGTGTCTTCTCTGAAATTCAGGCCATAGAAATAGGAGTACCACAGGGTTCATGCCTCGGACCTCTCCTCATTTTATTGAAAAATAGATGATCTGCCCTTTGCACTGAAAAAACCCATGCTACAATATACAACAAGAAAGCGTTATTGAAATTGAATCATTTACAGTCGTCAAGAGGGATTCAAAGTATCGTGCTACTATTTTCAAAATAACGGACCTGTCGTTTCAGTCCATAGCCACCTCCACTTCCATACTGACCAGGAACCATGAAAGAGCCATAGGCTTTCCCTGCTGTCTGGTGGTCCTTGCCAGCCCCTCCAGAGCCTCCATGTCCTCCACCAGACGGGCCTCCGGACAATGACCCGACTCCTTTTCCAGGGCCTGCACCGCTGGCATGCCCCCGTCCTGCCGCTGTTATCAGACCAGCCACATCTACGGATAAATCCTTGGCACTGATTGACACAGAGCTTATATTAAGAATACCGCCAGAATAGATGTGAAGATCATTTTGAATTGTGAAGTTTAGGGTTACAAGTGATAATGAAAGTACTTGAGATAGCGTGCCGCCATTGTGTATTTCCAATGAATTAAGCCATAGTAACTTAGCCTCGTTTGAATTGATATGCGCAGTGTCGTAAATTAGCAGCTGAGCATTATGCAAAATCTGTAGATCAGCCACGTTGACTAAAGATCCTTCAAGAATGTAATCAGCCTGTTGAAGCCTTGAGCGCTTCGGAAGAGATACGGTTGCTCCCTGGCAAAAAAGAAAGGAATATACAGAAGACGCCAAATATAAAATCTTATACTAAACAATAAAACCAACATATAACCTATTCTAATTTTGAAAGATGGATTCGTTACCTATGATTGATATCTCATCCATGTAAGCAATCGAAAATGACTCCCAGTACATTGAAAATAGAATTGAAATACTTACCTGATATGCAAAAATAGAGGCTGCAACGATCGAGTTAGGAAATGATTGCAGAACCATTCGCTGCCTTTTTGCTGCGTGAAGAGTGCCTGTATAATCACCGACAAGCTTTCCAAAAGTTACGGTCTTCAGTGATGAGGTATTACTTGTAAATGCAAGATCTGCGTTGCCTCTCAACTGAATTTCATTAACTTTTATTTGGTCGTCATCAAGAACTAGCCATGTTCGTGCACTGTCTTGCGTAAGATCATGGGCGTCATACGAAGGACTTTTTCTTCCAATTTTTATTACAATCTCGTTGAGAGAAGACCAAACGCTTTCAGTCTTTATTGATAAGTGAAGTCGGCTAACCGTGTCTTCAACTCGAACTTTGTGAAAATTATAAACTGATGGAAAACAATCTCCGATGGGAAGGTATCCATTGGTTTTGTTCACAATACCCTCCGAGCCTTGACTACTCACGAAAACACTGCTCTGGTTGCCATGACGACAATTCTATAAGGACGAATAAGTTATCTTAAAAATGTTTATAACCCGCATCGGCATAATTCTTTGATTTTGAAACACTTGAAATAATAGGTTTAAAATTAAAACAGTTCCATGCAAATATGTTTGTTAAGAAGCCGAAAAATTGTTAGTGGCCTAAAACCCATTTTGGTACGATCAGTGCAAGCCAGAATTTTTTTCAATTTACGTGATGTTTAAAATTTTACAAACTACAGAATGGTACAGAGTGGCATTATTATTCTTCACCTGTGATATTTTCCAAATTAGTCATTTCCAAAGGGTTAAACTTAATAAAAGTCAAAACTTTGATACAGTGATTAAGGACATAAAAAATATGCGGAATAGAGGCAATACAATAACATACCGGGTAAATTTCCAGATGATTCACATAAAGTGGTTTGGGAAACTGCACAGTCAGGTCAACGAGTCTCGCAGAAGATGCGTAGCTTGTGTCCAGTTTTCCATCAAACAGATTTGCCAATGGAAAGTAAATATAGTGGTACTTCTTTTTAACTAACCAAATCTCCCATTCCCAATAAGAAATGTAAGCGGTCGGTTGATTTGCCGAAACTGAGACGCCAGAGCGAGTGGAAAGAGACTGACTGCTTGATTGTCCTCCTTCAAAAATGGCAACATCCAACTTCTCGACCTTGAAAATAACAAAAGAAAAACTACATATTAGCAACTAGTAAAATACGTTCAAGGAAGCGAGATCAGAAGAACCCATATACAGAAACTACAAAAAAAATATCAGTTATCTTTAACAATAACAATACTAGTAAACAACAAGAAAATGTCACTGAATATTGAAGCTACAAAATTTCAAACAAACCTCGTTTATTCGCCTTGTAGATGGTTTTCTGTTGTTGTTGTCAATCTTCAAGATTCCATACGAGGTTTTGTTTTCAGATATTCCTTCGAAATAGGCTGTTCCAGCAGCCCCATACTCACGTATACCAAATCCACCACGAGACAGAACTGAGCCTGAGAATTCATCCTTTGAATAATAAATAGCAACTCTTCCACCAGCCCCGCCTCCACCACCATGATTCCCTTTGTATCCATCACCACCATTGACCTACAACAACAGCGACAGAAAGAAAATCTTCAAAATCAGCAATAGAATGCAAAAAAGTTCTTTAAAGCCAAAGCATTAATCATAGAATCATATTATAATATCCCTAATGAATTCACTTTCAAAGGACTTGTCAATGTGAGGCTAGTGTGCTTGATTTTTTTAACACTAGGGATCATTCCTGCAATGCAAAAACACCTAATTACCTGAACTGCAACTAATTACCTGAACTTCAACTAATTACCTGAACTTCAACTAATTACCTGAACTACAACTAATTACCTGAACTATAACTAATTACCTGAACTGCAAATAATTACCTGAACTGTGCCTGTTCCACCGAAAGCATTCGTTTCGATTAGAATACTGCCTCCACTGCCACCACCAGATCCCACACTCGAAGAAGACATGCCATTAGATTTCAAGTCACCATTGATAGTCAACGTGTTGTTAATCTTTAAATATAGGATGCCTCCACCTGCTCCTCCAGACTTCCCATTAATCCCTGCACCACCTTGGCTTCCTAAAATATAAAATTTTTGTTTGATAGAAAACCGCGACAGCTAGGGTAGAACAACCTATACTTGCATCAATTTAAGCTATTCACTTTGTTTATAACAAATAATTTTCTCAAAAAATATAGCGAATGGCAAGCAATCATGTAGGACAGCAAAATGAAACCATGTTTTCAATGCCCCATGGCTTAACCCCAAATGCTAGCTTCCCTCGCACTGTCAATCCAATCCTTATAGAGTCTTAGCGATAAAAAAATGTCAATAAACTTGCTAATGTAGTTCTTTCTAAAATATTTGTCGTCCACTAATGAAGCTATACAGAAGATGTCATTTCTTCTTACACTAGGGAAAGAGTCGCAAGCTTTTTGGCCGACCGAAAGGTTGGTCCACATAAATGCCCAGCTTATCTTAAACTACCCTGTAACACCATCTTGCAATTTGAAAGACAGATTAAAAAGGCCATCGCAAAATGCTTCTTTGCTGTCAGTCCTCGCATTGTTTACAGCACTGGGAGAGCCTTTCCATCTATTCGAAAGGATTGCGAAAAGAAAAAGCTTTTAGTATGTTGTAAAAATGGGTATATTTGCACCATCTTGTTCATTTGGATCCTTATTCTGACGTTTTGTACTCTGAGGAGTGTCAGACGAAAAAGCTTTTGATATGTAGGAAAATGTTTGCTTTTTTCAACGTCATTTTTAAAATTTTGTACCGCAAAATAATTTTTCACATTTAACAAACATAATGCACTATTAAACAACTGGTCCAGTTAAGAGGTAAGTTGAGGACGGCGAGCTTCCCTTCATCATTTCTCAATTTATGTTGGGTTAACCGGGTTGTATCTAAATTGATCACCGCTCGTATTTCCAAGTCTATTGTAAGAGACGCCCCTCAAAGAGCACATTTTTCTCAAAGATGAATTCAGAAATCAAAAACTAATGAGCTGAATCTCAAAAATATGTATACATGCTAATGGAATAAAATGCATCCATTGCTTACATTCCTTAACAATTTTCGGCTTTGCCACTTTTTGACTTTGCCGAAACCTGCAGTTACTTGAAAAAGAATCAGAGGAAGCAAATGATAGAATGAACTGGGCGGAAAGGGTGGGAATTTAATGACATGCAAACAACTAACCGAATTCTCTTGGTTTCTTGAAAGATCCATACGCTTTGGCAGTCCATTGTTGATTCTCAGATCTCCCTCCACCCCCACCGTGGCCTCCACCTGTCGCGCTACATGCTCGACCCCCTGATAAGGGGCAATCTTGGCCAGGTCCCATTCCTGAAAAATGATCAGCAACTGTTTTGAAAAATTTGATAATATCATTTTTTCAAGTGGAAACCAAACAGGCAGTGCAATTGGCTTCAAATGACTGAACAAAAATACTTTGCAGGTAAGCAAATCTGACCTTTTTTAAATTTATAAAGGATTTTTCTGGATGTAAGAGAACTTTATCTAGCTCAAGGATATCTGTTTCACATCTTTCTCGTCTTATTCTAGAATTGGTATCTATTCTTTACTAGACTAATTAGTATTTGATCTTGCATGCACCTGGCCTAAACTGAAACGCACCTTTACCAAGAAAAGGGTGTTGATGCATCGATGCTTCTATGGTTCCAGAAGAATCCAATATCAAAGTATCGACAAACATCTCAAGATGGGTTGCAGTAATTCTCCCTCCACCAAGTACTCGTACTGTTTTGCCAACAAAAGAGCGAGGAACTTTCTCATTTGAAACGACCAGAGATCCGTTGTTTCGCACTTCTATCTTCTCGAATTTGAATATCTTCAAAAAGAAAAGGTCTTAGCCAGCAAATTTCCACTGTTAAGATCGTTTATTAACAGTCTCAAAATCAAAATTCTAAGAACAACAATGCATAGAGCTTTCATTAAGGTTAAACGCGTGAACAAAGACAAATTTCCAATGATGAATATTGAATTCAGAATTTCAGAAATTCATTTCTATCAATAGCCATCTGACAATTATTTCCAACAGCTCTCTTTAATAGAAATAGCGGAAATATATACAGGCGCGTTGTAAATATAGGCGTATTTACAAAAAGTAAAAATGAATAAAAATCAATAGAGACATACCCTGGTTGGGTTTTCATTTCGATCTATCATATCTTTCATTTCAACAAGACCGTTTTTTTCAACCACAATATTTTCACAATTCTCCAAAACACCATCAAGTACCATTCTCACCCCAGCAACAGTTAAATTTCCCTGCAGACTGACTTTCCCCCCTGGGTAAACAGCTAGCCCCATAAGTAAAGGTGATTCCTTTGACAGCAAACTTTGATTTTTCCCAATAAACAGTTGCCCAGAGCGATCTCCTTTTAGATTGCCAAACGTTATATTCACTTGGCTTAAAGGCTGCTTTGGATTAACCATCGCTAAACGCGCTCCTCCGTAAACTTGCAGCTCATCAATTTCTAAATTGGCGTCTTTGAAACTGTTGGTCAGTGTCACCCAGGCAACAGCAGGCGCATTGCTCATATTCATATATGTCTCACGTATATCAAAGAATCTGTCTCTAGGATACTTATTGTTGTTATTTGCATAAAGAGTTCGATTCGGTGTAAATGGTAGACTAGAGTTAATGGGAAACTTTTCAAGATACACTGTTCCAGCCCCACCATTTTCAAACAGGCTGCTACCACCTGCTGACAAGTATCGTCCGGTGAAATCATTCAGGCCATAATGAATGCTGACACGACCAGCCGCGCCACCTCCTCCTGCAATATAACATACTCGGAATTACACGATGAGATATTTTTCAATTGGAGATTCATGGTTTATTGCTAGAACGTAATACTGCTAAAAGTACAGCTGCCCTAAATTTATACTGCACAAAAGTAATATTGCTCAAAAGAAATATGGATCAAAAGTAACATCACTCAAAAGCAATGTCAAAAGAAATAACAATATCAAAGTCGAAAGTGATAGTGTTACAAAGTAATCGTGCTTAAAAAGTAATATTGCTCAAAGTGATCTTGCTTAAAACCAATACTGCTCCAAAGCAATACTGTTTAAAAAAAAGACATTGTTTTTATTCAAGCAAAATATAATATTGCTTAAAAGAAAAATTGCCCAAAAGTAATATTGCTCAAAAGTAATTTGCTCAAAAGTGATATTTCTCTAGTTCTATGTTAGTCTATTAATAGCATGAAGAAGGAGCTTTGTTAACGACCATCGCTTAGCATCACCTTCTCAGCAATGCACTGTTACCAAAGTAAGGCCCAGCAAAATACATGTCCTAGTCATGAATTATTATAATGCATTTAGAAACCTAACAAATCTTTGGCTAATGGAATTGCCAAGGACATTTTGCAGACATGTTATCGTCATACGAAGAGGATAGGTAGAACAAAGTTTCAATCTTCTTCGGCTAATATCCATTTCTGTCTATCTAGCCTATACAAACAAAGACAGTAGAAAGCAAAATGATGCAGACCACTGCCAGTTGTGTTTGCCATTTTTTGAGATTTTAGAATAGAGCCCTAATCTTCAGGTTTATAATTATTTGGTTTAAAAATCACTCCACAGAAACAAACCATGGAACTTTTGTATTGCTCCTGCGCTGTTCCAGTGAGCCAATGAGGTCGAATGGCCGTTGCCACCAGAAACGTCGATAACACCATCTCCATGAAAGTATGTCGCGTTTAACAGAAGGCTTCCTCCACTTCCACCGCCACCACCAGCCGACAACCCATCGGATCCTGTAAGAAATTGAAGATTGGATTTCTGAAAAACAGATTAGCTTTTCCAAAACGTTCTAGTGATTGCAATTAACTTTATATTGATTATATAATATGGTGTCGTTTGAAATAGTTATGATGGCTTAATCACCATGTGGTTGACACAGGTTGTATGACCATCTTTCAGTGGGTGAACGGGACACTAAAAGGTTTTAAGATATAAGCCTTTTGTGATCAAATTCAGGTCCACAAACCTTTAGCTGAAATCTCGCCATCCACAATCAATGTATGTGACGCATGAAGACCGATTCGGCCGCCACCAAACGCTTCTGCGCTCAAAGGGAACACCGATTTGCCGCCACATGAACCTTGGTGACTAGGCCATCTGAAATTCCCGTAAGCAACACCAACATAAACTTGAGACTGGCCTTGTCCACTGTTGCCTCCATGACCACCTCCCGATGCACCGAAGCGCCCTGGCTTGCTGTAACCCAAAGGCGTTCCATCTTTTGCACCTGAAGCTTTGTCCGACGATAAAACACTGAATGGCTCTAAAGTTATGTTTTTATAATATAGCTGAAGATTCGTTGTTTCAATCTGAAATTTAAGAAAAACAATAAAAAACTGATATTGTGTACTTGTTCTTATGCCTAGTAAATCTGAACAGCTTTTTGGCGGTACAGAACTTGCAAATGGCTTTAATAAAAGCAAACATTTTACAACATATTGGCTAACAGCTTTTTCGTCTGACACTCCACAGAGCATAAAACGTCAGAATAAGGATTCGAAAGAACACGATGAAAAATATATACCCAGTTATAGATCCAATCTGAAAAACGCAAGCACAAGACCGGTATAGTTGACCAATCAGTGCCGCGTGCGTAAAGAAAAATTACCACTGGAGTCCAAGAGAGAAAACAAACTCCTTCTGTCTACACAATGGCGGCTTTTTCGTTTGTATGTAGAACGATTCCAAAACTGCCTAGTAAATCAAAGTGATTGAATCCAAGAAAAAGCCCATTCGAAATAATAAAAACGATTATTAATGTTGCTCAGTAAAGAAATTTGCTGTGCCAAAAATGCTCTCATGTTAAATCTGCTAACTGACACCCTGGTTATGATTTTTTTTAATATTTTGAACAGGACGGTTTCATATTTAAAATTCTCAATATACTAACATTTTCAAAACAAAAAGAGCAACCAAAATAGTATCTAGCATACAATTTGGCAGTAACTAAAAAGCTATTAATAAAAATGGGGTACATCTATCTATAGATATTAGTATGGTGGGGATAGCATGGTCATTTAAGCACTTATAATTTGTTCAAAATCGAAAATATATTAAGAAATATTTGACTTTAATGTGGTTAATTCAGCTGGCTACAGAGGTCATTCATCATAAAATAGAACAAAACGCAAAATTCAATAAAAGAACAACATCAATGGAGATAATAAGGCCAAAAAGAAGCTTCACTGAAAGTACCAAAATGTTGGTCTCAAAAAATTACCTTTCCACCACCGTGTACTGCAAATGTGCTACCATAAACTTTAATTTCGACACTATCTCTGTGCGTCACTTCCAACTGACCAAGACGCTGAACAAGGACATTATCAAAATCAAATGATCTCCCAACTGTATTCTCCAACGAAAATTTACAGCCGGATCCAACGGTAAGGTTATTGAGAGCGCCTAAGACTCCAGAAAGTTTGATTCCAACACTGCGACACTTTGTTATCGAGGGCAATGAAACAATTGACCTTTTACGGCCATGAACCGAGTATGGGATATACCCATCTGAGGCTTCAAATGTTACTTTCTGCAACGGACGCACAATTATTTGTCCGCTGTGGTCACCACTGGCCTTCAACGTTTTTAATGAAATCTTGCTGCTCGCACTTAGAGAGGCAGATCCACCGATGTTAAGCTAGAACAAGAATTTAACGCTAAATTTAGTAATGATATCTCCGATGATGACATTTATATGCTAGGCGAATCTTAAGTCTATACATAACTTGCTCGTCTATATACCGTTAAAATTATATGTGCATCTTTATCATGAATAGCTATATTTAGAGCAACCATTAAAATAAAAAGTATTCGTTCTTTGTCGTTGAAAACATAAAAAACGCATGCATATTGTATTAAGTCAATCTTGGAGACATGTTACTCTGTCAAGGTATTGAATTCTGTCAAGGGTATCTTTCAACTGTCTTCCCAGAGGGGCAATTGGAATCCTCCAGCCACGGTAATATGTCCTTCTTTAACATAATAAAATATTCCACTTTTAAAATTAACAAATGCCTAGACCACTGCCTGAATTCGCTTGAAAAAGGCTACTATTCAATCAATTTTAAACAGGTACAAACCTCTTCCAGCTCAATTGTGCTTTGCTTCTCATCTACCAACCAAGTTGAGGCTCGAGCCTGTCCTGCTCCGAACAATGTCTGTGCCGTGGCATTCTCATCTTCCATTGTGAAAACCTCAATGTAGTCCAGGCCTGTATATGTTGCCAATGTCCCTCTTTTGAGTTTTAGAACAACCTGGAGCAAAAAGAAATAAACAGAGGTCAGTATGGTTTAGCATCATCTTAGCTTGGCATAACAAACGATTGTGAAAATAAAACACAAGCGGATAAGAATGCTGTCTTTGCAGAAATTACGCTCCATACCTTATCTATGATTTTCCCAACAGCGACAGTCTCTCCTTGATTACTTTGGGCGCCAAATGTTGCAATCCAGTCATGGCTGGTAGTCACTTGTGAGGTTGCGAGGAATGCAGACAGTTTAAATAATGTTTCATATTTCCAATTCAAAGCAGGATAGAGAATAACACGATGGACGAACAAGGAGAACGGGAAGAATAAGGTGATGTCAGCAGTGCTACTTAAAGTCAAGTAGTAAGGCCCTTTTGTAAAGATATTCTGCAAAGGGTAACTGTACGATCTGGTGCAGTAAGGGGTTGCAGTGGTTGAAACACGCACATCATTAGAATACGTTACTGACGTCGCAGAGCATGCCGGGCTACCAGTGACGGACATTTGAAGCACATGAGCTACCTGAGGCCTTAGAATACGTCGAGGGTTCCTGTTAACCACTTTAAGGACCCTGTGTGGCTGCGACGGTAGAGATAAGTCATGAATGTAGATGGTTCCAGCAGCGCCAAGGTCGCTGCTGCCAGCTCCTCCTAACGCTTGAATCGACCCTATGTACGTACTTCGATTGCTGAAATAGACTGCGATTCTACCTCCTGAACCACCACCACCAAGCGACCCTGCACCACCATTTGCCTGAATAGATCCATCTCCATCTATGTGAAAAACATTCATCAAAATACTGCCTCCAGCACCACCGCTGTCTTTGGCCTCGCCATCAGCAGCAACCACTCCTTCTATACGAAACTTGTTGGCAATTCTGAATGAAAGAAACCCAGCTCCTCGGCCACCATTTCCTCGGCCACCACTGCCCCAGGTACTCGGATCTAATGCAGAACCATACGAAAATGAGGTCCCTAATTCATTTGGCCCCATGCCTCCTCTACCGCCATGTCCTCCTCCACAATTCTTAACCAGGTGCCTAATATTTTCGTAGGATGGTCCTTGACTCTGAGCAAACCCTCGGTTTGTCGCAGTTATCGTACCTAGGAGAGAAGATATTTCTGCTTAAAATAAAGAAACTAGCGCATTCTAATGAACGCTCGTTTGATAATAGGAATTTATCTGGATGCATAAGAGTTTGCATCCAATACATATTCTGTGTTACCCATTAAACGCCTGTTATTCTTCTGAATGTTTAGACATTAAAGCTATTACTATGATTTTACCTGCAGTTGCTAATGTGTTCAGTCTTTGTATAAGAATACATTGTGTGATTCTATAGCTCAAATTCTGATAGGTAGAACAGGGTCTTTATTTGCCTTCATAAGGAGAGCATTGGGTGGTGACAATGCTTTTTTATTACTTTGATAGATTCTTATTGCAACATGATATCCCATCAGAAACCTAAGTACAAGTTGTGATAAGTTAAAAAAACTAACAACGGAAGACAACATTTTAAATTTTTTTTAATAATATGACTGAATTGAATTTGACGTCTGATCTTCCTGGGAGTCGTGTTTTAATTCTGGGTTCCTGAGCTCTTCAAATGAGCTTTTAATTTTCGTTTGAATTGATAGAGCGAGGGGGTCTCTCTTAGTTCTATTGGTATTTCGTTCCAAGCTTTAAGCCCAGAGAGGTGGAATCCTTTTTTTGTATTCTCAAGCTTAAATTTTGGGATGTCGAGATTTCTGTTGTTTCTTGTGTTATAACTAGAAATTTCAATCCTCTGATTATACTTGTTCCAGAGGCTCTCAGGGCGCTGCTTATTAACTATTTTGTGTGTCATGATAGGTCGATCAAAAGAGATGATCTGATCAACGCTTAGCCAATTACTGGTCCAGGGGTCCTTTCGTTTGGCATTTTCAATAATTGAGAATGCCCTATCATGTAGACGCTGAAGCGTTTGTAGTTTCGTGTTTGGCAGGCTACCCCAGACAACGTTCCCGTATCCGTAGTGACTTTTAACCAGCGCATGATAAACCTCACATAGTTTAGATTGCGGAAGAATGTGCTTCAATTCTTTTAACGCAGACAGAACACATGCTACTTTTCCTTTCAAAGATTTAAAGTGTTCCTTCCAGTTGAGATTCTCGTCCACAATAACGCCTAGAGATTTAGTTTTTTCGCTCGTTTTATTTCTGTGCCATTACGTTTCAGAGGAGCTAGAGTTTTAATTCTATTTATTCTACGTCGATTGCCAATAAGCATAAACTCAGTTTTGCACTGAATTCATTGATCCTCATCCACTCAGAAATATTTTCTAGTTCGTCATTCATCATTTGGGTAAGCTTGTTAATGTCTTCAGAGACTATTGTCGTGTGTGTATCATAAGCATACATGCTTGCCAATGAAAACTTTAAACATTCTTCAAAGTCGTTAAGGTATACGATGAAGAAAAGGGGGCCTAGGCAGGAACCTTGGGGAATGCCACATGTTACCCTAAGGGCTTGGAACATTCACAATTGATTCTGCAAAATTGTTAACGCTGGGCTAGTGGCAAAAAACACTAGAAAGAGCAAGCTCTATAATGAGAACTGAACAAAGCGTACATTCGAATTCCTTAGAAAAAATCTGAGTGACTAGATGGTTTTATAAGAGAATTTTTGGTGAGTAAGCGTCAAATAGATGAAAGCAGAATGCATTACCTGCCATGTCCAAAGTCAAGTTTGTACTCTTTATCTCTAGGTTATTTCCGCTGACAACTCCTCCTGCATTAACAACCATACGAGTGGCATTAACAGTAACATTCTCTGTGCTGTTAACTGCAGTGGTATACAGCAAACCTTGAGAGCGAACCGTCAGGTTCACGAAATTGTAATAACCCTTCTGGCAATTTACAGTGTTACCAGTTGACCAGAGAGACAATGAACTCCTCTGGTCGATAATATACTCAACCGAGTCTGAAACTGTCCCGTTCACCTCCATCCAAACGTCTCTAAGGTAAAGCTTTCTCGGTATATCCAGATGACTTGCTACGTAGACCATTGTGTTTACGGGAAAGTAAATATTGACAAACAGGAAACCAAAAAGCTGATTGCTGCCCAGATGGAGAACGGCAGTGTTGTCACCTGCGAATGTATTTTGATGCCATTTAAAAAAAGTTTATGGTATTTATAAGATTGTAAATAAACTATGCTCTGAAAGCTTATGGAAAATGTTCCAACAAAGATGCTCTATATCAAAGAAAAATACGAGGAATTATAGAGATCTCCATATTCCCAAGCTAAACCTAAAATAACCACCAAAAAAGGATTTAATTACTCGAGCATTAAGGCTTACAATGATATTACAGTTAATATCACAGAACTGTCATCACTATGCCTATTCAAAACACATCCTAAAAGGCATTTAATCAGCCATGTTAATTGATTCAAGCCCCCTCAAAAAGGACTCCCAGGAAGATCAGGTTTATTTAATTATTTTATTATTTTATTCAAATAATTCATATCCTTAGTTTAATTTTTTTAAAGTTGAACATTTTTGCTGAAGGAATGTCATTGTGAAATAATTATTATCATACCTGTCAGTGTATGAGCCCTAAATTCAATTCTTTTGTGCTGACTTTTCCACAGAACAGCGACGTGTGCATTCCCTCTGAAATCAACATGTGTGAAAGAGTGGTTCTGGTTTTCGATAAGCCATGTTACCCCACCAACACCTGAGATGTCATTATATATTCCGTGTAGCAAATCATGCAAATCTCCCTCGCTTTTCCTTACAGCTTTTGGATACTTGAGTCCTTTATTGTCAACAATAAGTGTTGTGTTTACCGTATTTGTTCCATTCCTCTGTTCCAAATAAACAGTTCCAGCACCACCTACTTCTGCAGTCGAATCACCCCCCTGTGCATTGAAGCTTCCTGCAAACTTGCTCATCTTCATATATTTTATGGCTATACGCCCACCTCCGCCACCACCTCCGCCGTTGTAACCTTTACCGCCTGTGGCCAAAAAGCTGCCAAAGCCAGAAAGGTCTTCACAGAAAACGTTAATGCTTCCTCCGGCCCCGCCTCCAGATGAGCTTGACAACGCCGCATGTCGCCCGTTTACAGAAACAATACCATCAACAACTGCGTGCCTCGTCTTCAGTAGAAGAGCACCACCTCCTTGTCCTCCGAGGGCACCGTGAGAAAGAAAATTTTGCTCAGGCTCTGTGGCAGTGACGTGGTAATTTCCAAAAAAGAGCTGACCTAGCGATAGAGAAACGAATGCTTAGATTGCTTAGATTGTTAGGGCAACTGAGTGTCTAACAGTTTGACTCAACTGTATCTCTTGTAATTGAAAAAATAGGACTCTAACCTCCAAAATTTATCATATTAAACATAATATATAATCGAAAATATCAAAGATGACCAAAACTGCAAAGGAAGCAGTAAATGGTTCAGCGGAAATGAATAATAGACAAACATTGTTGATAAGCGTGTAAAGCATGTTCTAATACCAGACCAAATTGAAGCTGCGTCTCAAACCCTAGCTATTTACCATAGTGGTTTCCATAGCCGCCAGCACTGCCGTAGTCGATGGGCCTAAACAGAGATCCATATGGCTGACCAGCCAGCTGCACCCCATCTCCACGACCCCCCGTTCCAGCATGACCTCCTCCTCCTCCGCCGGCCGTGTTTCCTTTGCCTCTTCCAGGCCCTTCTGTTGAGTGTAAAGTTATAGACGGAGGTGGCGTCCTTGTTCTGTAGCCTCCACCATCGAGACTTAGTCTCCCGCCAGAATAGACACCAAACAGATGGGTAACATTCAACTGGAGACGATTACTGCACTGAAAATGACCCCCACCGTAGATCTGTTTCGAATTAAAATGAACATTATCAAAACTGGAAAAGAATAGAAATGGCTAAAGCAGCATTCAGCAAGAGACGAGAGTTTTTATCGAAAGGCCTTAGCTTCGATCTAAAGAAAAGAATGATTAAAACCCTTATTTGGAGTGTCCTCCTCTACGAATCAGAGACATAAACGTTTAAAATGGCTGAAAGAAAATAACTAGAAGTTTGTTAAATCTGTTTTTGGTTTAGGACATTAAATATTAGTTGGAGAGATAAAATTCAAAATGATTTTTTCTTGAAAAAAATAGGAGAAAGAAAGTGCATATCGAGGACAATAAATACGGCTCGCAAACACGATCAGACATTAGGAACATGCTGAAAGTTGCTATAGAAGGACGAATGAAAGGAAAAAGAACATAAGGAAGGCCTAGAATCGGAATGTTGGAGGCAGTAGTGGATGGCCCTTAAAGGCATTTTAAAGAAAAAGCAATGAAACGTGAGGTCTTATTGAGACGAAACCTGCCATCAAGCAGATCACTCAAAGAAGAAGAGGAAAATCAAAACTAGCATGAAGGTAACATGTAGTCCAAACTTAACTAACTGTTTTTAAATTGAACGAAACTACTAAGTAATACAACTAAACTTTAATTTGCTTTCTCTGCTTATGTAAATATTCTCAAGTATGTGTAAAGTATTAAAACGCAATATAATGTAACGTAATGAAATGCAATGTAATATTTTGTATTGTAACGTAATGTATTGTAATATAATGTAGTGTAGTGTAATGTATTGTAATGGATTGAAATGCAACGTAATGTAATTGATATCATGCAATTTAATATCATGCAATCTACTGTGCTGTAATGTACGGTAAAGTAATGTAGCTTAATGTAGTTTTTAGTAATTTAACGTAATTTTATTAATGTAATACAATTCTATGTAATGTAATGTACTGTATGGTAATGTACTTCAATGGAACGTAAGATCATGTGCGATGTAATGCAATTAACATTACTTATTGATAGTGGAAGCTTACAGAAAAATATTTGGATCCACTGTTAAATTAGAAAATTTATCCCATAAAATGTTCGCCCCATAAAACGATTTTAAGCTCTTACACGGCCTGTCCATAACAATCTATATCATCAACAACCATTTAACTTTATTAAAGACTTCTAGCCCCGAATACCTAAGCACGACCAAGACCTTGAACAGTAGGCGACAAGTTAACAAGGTTATGAAAGTGTTAAGTTATGACAGGCCAATAAGAATAAATGATGCGTTTTTCTTACCGATAGATTGCTAAGTTTCAGCCAAACATCATTCTCGTTTTCCAGGGTCCAAATTTGAAAGTAGCCTTTGTTTTGAACATGAAGCGAGTTCAAAGACATTTCTCCGGGACTACTTCCGTTACCAACGGCTGAAGTCGTCTCAAATCGAACTTTTCCGTCATTAAAAACAAACATATCTTCCAACCCAAGAAGCTGTTGACAACAGATAAACAATAAAATGAGTTTACTGAACCAAAAAGCTATAAGATACCATACTCCTACTCAGTGGCGTAGATAGCGGGGGTTAGAGAGGGGGATGAGTTCCTTGCAAAGCTAAACTGCTCTTTTGTCGTAAAACCTTTGAACTTAAATAACAGAATAATAACATGGTTGTCTATTTTTATCAAAGTGTTACATTTTGAGAGAAAATACTTTAAAGATTAGTATAATGATTTTTCAGCTGTTCTGAATTACATCAGAATCACATTTTTCTCAGGGGAGAAGACAAGAAATCTTTAAGTATTTTGATTAATGACATTTGACTTTGAAAAACGTTAAGAGATTATCTCCTATTTCATTTCAGTTCTAATGTAGTGCCATTACCAATTTTATGAAAAATAAAAATGCTTTTTAGACTTTACTAAAATGTTAGAAAAAGCTGTTGAATAAATTGTAAAAGATTTTCTTGTGTATTTTGGGGATTACAGTGCAAATATAGATAATACAAGGACAAGAGCAGCACTTTCTATTTGAGACATTTAGTTTCAATGCTGCATTCAAATCAGAATAACATCGGTTACATTAAAAGAATGACTAAAAGACTCGAACACTAGCAGTAAAACATTTGTCAGCTATCGCCTTACCTTGCTGTTGTTTGCCATGTGCAAACTAACTCCGTGGATGTACAGCTTGAAAGGCATCATCAGTGAAGCATCTTCGTAAGCTCGTATGTTGAAAGAAAGGTCTGCTTCTGTTTGAACCACGTGCATATTCTGACCAACACCAACATACAAGTAACTGTTTAGCTCACCAACAATTTTGTCTGCTTTTATTTCAGCATTTTTTTTACCACTCATGAATGCTAGCCTTGCAGCACCTTTTAGATGAAGCTCTGAAAAGTGATGAATCGAATTCTCCTCAGCTTCTATCCACGTGGTCGCTCCCTTGTATTCCCTGTGGTTGTATCTGCAAGATATGTCAAAATATTGCAAAAACACCTTTCTCGAACAAATGCTGGGAAGAAATAGCAAATTAACAAAATTATAAAAATTCAAAACAATTAGATCTTTTTTGGCAAAAACATTTAATTAAAGCTTCTCTTTCGTTAAAAATGTCAGTCATCGAGGTTATCTTATTTCCATACAATCAAAGGTAGACAACTGAAATAGCGTACCTATTTTTGTAGCTGACATCGCCTTCAAAGACCTCGATTTCATTCAATGAAATCAATCTCGATCCTGCGTTTAGACTGATACGGATCTCTTTTATGTACAGGGCAACTCTGATATCAACAAAAGCTCCTCCGGCGAAGGTATATGCTGTCTGAACATAATCTGACGTCACGTCAATCCAAGTGGTATTGAAAACCGAGAGCTGCAACAGAGTTGACATATAAATTGAAAAGATTAATATGAGCAGCAAAAGCCAATTGGTAAACCATTTCATGTGAGCAACAAAGTAAAACTCATCGGTTTTGTCATTCCAAAATGCATATATATATATATTTATTTTGCTTCCTTAGCAAACGAAATGATCAAATTCTTCGAACTCTTGCAAAATGCAATGCCGCATAGCAAGCTAAAGCAAAAAATTGCACATAACTTCTTCCAACTAACATTGAAACACTGTTTCTTCCATACATTTATGTCGCCCTTGATCTTGCCTACCTTTTGCGGTAAACAGGCACCTAGCAATAGCACATAAAAACCGGCAAATGGAATTCAACTGTAGAAAATAAGGAACATCGCAACGCGTCGAGAATAAATAGCAATAAACACAAGCAAATTGAATATAGGCGATATTTTGCCCCGGCATAAGGCGCTTCATCAGCGAAAAAGTAGAAGGACTGATAAACGTACAAATTCTTCATGATTCATGGGATTCAGTTTGCTTAAAGCAAGAAAAAATTCAAAGTACCTTGAAATTTGTTCCAAAAACTGGGAATATTCTGACTTTGTTTATGAGAATGGTCCTTGGCAAAGACAAAACAATATGACCACTGTGACAATTTCCAGTGTAAACATGAGACTGTGTGTAGACGCCAATTCTTTGATACGAGTACTTATAGCTTTGGTCAAACATCGCACTGAGTGGGTAGTTAGTCCAGTGCACGTTGTAGGTTGTGCACGATGACGTTATTCTCATTCCGTTAACTAAAAAGGAAGAGCTTATTCCTGTATTACCATTGTATAGATCAATTTTCTGCCCTGTGGCATCCAATTCTGTGTCCATTGCCCAGCCAGCTTTATTATCGACAATAAGCTTGGTAACGTTCATGCCGGTGTGTTTTAGATAGACAGTTCCAGACGCACCACTTTCGGCCAGGGCACCAGCAGCACCTCCGTTAGAATCAAAGGTTCCACCGTACAAAGTATCTCCTACTGTGTTATTGTAGTATGCAGCGATGCGGCCTCCAGCCCCGCCGCCACCATTAACCGACGTGGATACATATCCACCCATCGTTTGAATGGCACCAGTATGGCCACCAGTGAAGACAGAGGCATATATTGAAATACTGCCACCAGAACCGCCACCTCCGTTGCTTTGTGTGACGTTTCCACCGTTGGCAAGAATTTCACCGTCAACCTACAAAAACAAACCAGAAATGAAGTAGTCAGATAAGAATTCCTGACCAATGAAACAACTGAAAATATCAACATAAGATAAAGTCCTTATGAAATCTAGGCCAGAATATAGGATATCGATATTAGAAAATCACTTCAAAGTTACTCTGTTCTTTTCCTGTAATAAGCGCAAACAAAGAGTAGTTGAGGTATCATAAACCATGTATTCAGATACGTAGAGAGCCAATACCTGCAGTAAGTGTGCTACGATGTTAATAATTCCTCCTCCTGTGCCACCTACTAGGGCAGTGCCATCCCCACCACTTCCAAATGTGTTCGGGTGATACATACTGCCATAGGCCAGGCCTTTTCTGCTGACACAGCTGCGGAGCCCCTGACACGAACCACGCCCTCCAGTACCACCATGGCCAGCACCATTGTGCTTAAGTCTGCCGCGGCTATTTGGGAAACCATGACCTTGTCCCGCAGTGAAGCCACCTAGAAAAAAAAGACACCTAGAGAGATGGGAAATTCGAAGCGCGGATTGAACGAGGAGCAGTTGATAGACTATTTGCAAAGCCAAGCTGTTGATATAAGCAATGAATTAGAGGTTGTCAGGCCCGTAGACAGCTTAACTGGATTTGGGGGGGGGGGATGGGTAGAAATACAGATTTTTCTATACCTGCCTTACAAAATATTGTCAGATCAAGATCAATCAGATCAAGCTGCGCTTATAAGATCTTCAAACACAATTTTTGCAAATTATTGGGGAAGCATTCTCCCAATTTTATCTATACATGCAATATCGCATTGCATAAATTGTCCCTTGGGAGAGACAGCTGCGTCTAACTACAAAATCTCCTTTGCAATGGAAAAGAATGAGGGCAAGGAGCAATCATCATTTTTCATTACAAATGCAAAAGTTTATCTTAAAGAAAGTTAAATCTAAGAAACAGTATTTCATACCTTGATTTGCATTGATCAGTCCACCATCGTCAATGGTCATGTTAACAGCAGAAAGTTTAAGGTGATACGACCTGATTTCACCTCCTCCGTCAACTTGAAGAGCATTCGCACGCAAAGAAAAAGGCATGTTATGGGCCTGACTGTTATGCGTTTCAATCTTAGAACCTGCCTTTACACGCACAGTTCCATTGAAATGACAGTTCGAACGAGAATGCCCATAAGTTGATCCTGTGGGGTATATATGCAGCTGCCCACCTAGCATCAATGTCAGATGAACAACGTGCTCTAAGTAACCTTCCAGGTATATTTGTACTCCATGTAATGAGGTGTGCGTCGCTAGGCCTAAGAAGCCATGGTCATATACATATGAGCTAAATGGAGTATCAACCACATGCCGTTCCAGGTCCATCCTTTGATAAGGCCCTATGTGCACAAAACCCGATCTGTCCCCTATCATATGCTTGAAGAATATTGATGCATTTTTAGCCACATGCGGTAATATGGCCACGTGTGCAGTACGAAATATCTGGAGCTCCTCAAAATGGTAGCTATGGGTTCCCGATGCTAAACTGTGGTTGCCAGATACAGGCAAAATCCAGGCCCGACAGCCATCAACTTTCACATTACCATAGTCATTTATTCGCCTTCCTACTGGCTTCTGGTTGTTGTTGTCAATGTGCAAGGTTCTATGTTGATGCAGTTGATGGTACAAGAATGTCGTTCCTGCTCCGCCTGGTTCTGGGATTCCACGTCCACCCCAGTTGCAAAATGAGCCAGTAAATGTATTATTTACATTGAAATAAATTGCTATTCTCCCCCCAGCACCCCCACCACCTAAAGCTACACCATCTCCTCCAATAGCTGTAAATCGACCAGTTCCTTTAATTCTGTTAGCGTAAACCCACTGACTTCCACCACTTCCTCCACCTCCAGATGCACTTGCGGCAGAATTCCCGTCTACAGAGACAGTACCGTCGATAAAAAGCGTATCCGTAACATTCATCCATAATATCCCTCCACCACTTCCAGAAACCTCAGATCCACCTCCACAGCTCCCATATAAATTTGGCTCGTATAGATCACCATATGGTTGGCCAGTGTAGGATGTTCCTTGACCATGCCCCGCACTCCCTCCAAAACCTCCTCCAGAAGAGCCCATTGGGGATGTGCTACCAATTCCAATATTTGCTTTACCGAGTATACCAAGTGCACCACCGTGGGTGAAATTATAGCCAAAACCTTTACATGTCAAGATACCACCATCGTCAACGGTAAGATTTTCAGATTTGAAAGTAAGCCTAGTAAACTGGGCTATGCCACCTCCTTCAATAACCAGTGATCTGGTTTTCATCTTAATTCCTAAGTCGAAAAGAGGCTTCGTAAGACCTTTAACAGCTCCCATATCTTCAATTCTAACAGCGTCGAAGTCATAGAGCTGGCAGTATTGTTACCAGTTCTCCCTCCATGGTTCATCCATAATTCTCCTTTGTGATGCAGAGTCAAGTTTTGAATATGGTCAAGTGTCCCAGAGTTGTATATTGTTATCCCATGAACCTCAGTATTAGGTGCAAGGCCAAGATACCCTCGTTCGTAGTTATGCACGCTGAAAGGTAAATCGATCTCTCTTCTCTTCAGATCCATCACCTGTCTGGGACCAACGTGAATTGTACCAGTGCGATCTCCAATCATGTTCTTGAAAAACAAACTTGCTTTCCTTTCTGTTGATGAAGAAAGGACAGCTAAATGTGCCCCTGCATATATCTGGAGCTCTTCAAAGTGGAAATCGTCTTTCCCATTAGCAAACGCATGTCTTCCAGATTTGTAAATAACCCATGCTTTGCAGCCGTCGTCATTTGTGTCGTCGTACGTTTTAATGGCAGACACCAATGGTTTTTGATAGTTGTTGTGCAAGAACAGTGTGCGATGGTTTTCAACCATGTGATATAGAAATACCGTCCCAGGACCGCCCGCTTCAGCCTGACATAAATCTTCCCGGCCCTTCATACAGCCAACTGCAGCACCACCCTGGGCACGATATGTAAAACTGTAGCCAGTCCTATTGACACTGAAGTATACTGCTATGCGTCCACCAGATCCCCCTCCACCCGGAATGGATGAATGAAATGATCCGTTACCACCTTTTGCTTGAATTATTCCTCTTCCTGATAGCACCTTACAGTATATCCAAACGCTTCCACCACTTCCCCCACCTGATCCATTATCCGGTCCTGTTTCACCATTGGCTGATACCTTTCCATCGATTTCCAAGACATTTGTTACATTAAACCATAAAATTCCACCCCCATTACCACCACGACCCAAAGTGGAACTAGATCCTCCAACACTACCAAATTCGTTTGGCTCATAAAGATCTCCATATGCAGCACCAGTGAAAGATGCTCCACTTGTCACGTGCCCACGGCCACCTCTACCACCATGTCCCGCACCGGAAGCTCCATTTCGTGAATAGAATCCGTGACCTTGGTTGACAATTCCGTGCATTCCACTATCAAAAAACCCATGAGAAGTATTGTAACCAAGAAAGTCAGCTATCAATGCTCCACCGGCATCTATCGTTATGTTTTCAGTGACAAATGTGAGCTTTGTTGCTCTAACAAGCCCACCTCCTTCAATAGACACACTCCTAGTGAGAAAAGTTATGCCAGGATCAGCGACGGGGGAAGAAATTGCGTGAATAATCGCCGTATCCTGCACTCTAACATAGTCAAACTGATACTGATGAGGCATATGTCTCCAGGTTCTACCTCCGTGTAGCAACCACAGCTGTGCACTGTGATGCATTGTCAGATTCTTAACATAGGCCAAAATACCACTGATTATAACCTCGATTCCGTGCACTTCTGTTACTGGAGCGAGACCAACAAAACCACCTTTATAAATATGTAAGTTGAATGGCAGGTCTATTTCGGGTCTTTCTAAATCTAGAGTTTGATTTGCAGCAACGTGTACCCGCCCGGTTCGATCGCCAATCATGTACTTGAAAAAAATGGAGACGTTTCTCTCTCCTACTGTAGGCCAAATGGCAAGGTGTGCAGATCTGTAAACTTGCAGTTCTTCAAAGTGAAATCTATGTGCACTGTCTGCAAATCTATGGATGCCTGAATCTGGCATTATCCAAGCCTTGCATCCATCTTTGTAGATATCAGCATAATCCACGTAGGACATTAGAGGTTTACGGCCTCCATTGTTGACAAGGAGAGTACGATGATTATGTTCTTGATGAAAAATGAATGCTGTTCCAGGGCCCCCAGCCTCCGATTTCAGACTTCTATTGCCACCTTCGGCAGTATAGGAAAAATTTGTGAAAGTTATATTGTTCCAGAGGTAAACAGCAATTCGTCCGGCAGCACCTCCACCAGAGTTTCCAACACCATTGCCTCCATTTGTTGATATTTCACCATAACCTCGAAGAGTGTGACAATAGATCCAAATGCTACCACCACTACCTCCACCACCATTGGAAAGCCCATCGCCACCTCGAGAAGACAGCATGCCATCGACGTCAAGAAATTCAGTTACATTAAGGAATATCCGGCCACCACCAGAACCTGAAAAACCAAAAAAGCAAAATCAAATGGCAAAGAACAAAAAAGTAAACCTTGGACTTGTCACTATACCTATCCTAATATTTTCTTTAAAGATGAATAACTGCCTGTAACTAAAAGCAAACTTTTCATCTTCTTTACTTTTCAAGTCCATTTGAAAAATTTAAAAATATTAATTAATTCAATACTGTAAATAAGATATAATAAAAACATCTAAAATAGAAATTTATTATCATTTTAAATTTCTGAAATTTTAGGTAGGAAAATAGATCATTTACTCTCTGTAAACTTTGCCTGTCCCGAGGTACATAAAATTTCAAAATACTCAATGAATATCAATTTATCTTGTTTCCTATAACTTTGTATGACGAGTAATGACTCCATTGATTTTTTATATTCAAGGAGCAACCCTTCAGCAAAGGCTGATTTTCAAGGGTTACTCCATCTTGACGCTCTCAAAATCGTGGCTACATTCCTTGGCTGCAAAAACAAAACCAACCTGCATTATTTGCCGTCCCTCCACCGCTGCTTCCAAATTCATTTGGCTCATACAGGTTTCCATACGGTGAGCCACAGAAAGACTCGTTCTCACCGCGGCCACCACTGCCCCCGTGACCAGCCCCAGAAGACCCAGCGGCCATTCTTCTCCCCCGGCCTCTGTTGATTTGTCCGTTCAATCCGACGCCTGAAGTTAATGGTTACGGAGTTATATCAACAAAATAACAAAAATCTATTCATGGGCTTAAAAAGTATAGGTTAAAATAGAAACAAAGTCTCAAGTTTGATTTTTATAAATGCTCTAAAGCGATTTTTATTTCCATTCATATTCATCTCATTTTCAATTGTTCAAGCATGGTAGCCCATTCAGAAATGCTGGTTTATAAGGGATTATGCATCTAAACTAAAAGAAAAATTAACATAAAACAGAAAAAAGTAAATAGTTACAACAGATCTAAACATGATAAAATACGCTACACAACCCCTTCTCACCCACCCTACCCTCGCAATTTTTTATACTCTTTTACATTATTTTAAATTTTATTTCCCTTGGTGCGTCATATTAGAATATATACATATATATATATATATGTACAATAGTTAAAACCTGAAGTCTGATATTAAAACAAAACAAGGAAAATAAAAAATTTTTAGAGCAAAGTTTTAAATTTTCTAAGAGATGTTGCCTTCTTAGCCTCGGATTGCTGCATTATATTTGAGCCATTATGAAGGGGAAACAAATGCGGCTTCTCGCTTATAATGCAAAATACATATGAACAAAAATATTTACCAGTGCCATCTGTAATCTTGTATCCCTGACCATCAGCAGAAAAATGACCTCCAGAATCAATAACGATGGTTTGAGAAAGGACTCTGATGTCATTGACAATAAGTTTACCTCCTCCTTCTATGTAAGTCAACTTTGTAGTCAGGTTCATCCCTTGGTGAGAGGCAGGGGGACTGAAAAATCGCACTACGCCACCAGCTTGTATCCTTACTGTGTGAAATACGTAATCGTCGTTCGCTGATATGTTACCAAGACGACTGCCTGCGTGAAAATGGGCTTCTCCGCCATGATGTAAGGTAAGGTTAACGATTCTCGTGATTGTTCCATGATTATAAATCTTGATTCCGTGAACAAACGTCATACTGGCCAGTCCCATGTGCCCATGTTTATAGATCCTAGCGTTGAATGGCAGGTCAACTTCGTCCCTGTCTAAGTCCATACTCTGGTTTGCTCCAACATGAATAGTGGCAGTACGATCCCCGATCATATGTCGAAAGTAGAGTGAGACCTTATCGGTCGTGGACTCGCTCCGAAAAGCTAAATGTGCATCATTGCGTAATTGCAGTTCTTCAAAATGGTAATTCAAATCAGCAGCAAAAACGTGTTTAGAATTTGTTATTATCCATGTTTTACTTGCGTCTGACTGATAATTTGTCCAGTCGTTGATAATTTGATTCTGCTCTGTCACAGCTCCACCTCCTTTGTTACTTATCTGCAGCGTGCGGTGCTTATGGCCTTTGTGGTACAAAAAGATTGAGCCGGCTCCTCCCACCGATGCCCCTGGCCCTCCTCCCTTGCCACCGTAGGCTTCGAAGCTGCCACTAAACGTTTTATTGACATTGAAGTACACAGCTAGACGACCGCCACTGCCACCTCCTCCGTTGTGGACACCAGAAGAGCCAGTTGAGTGACCGCTGCCACCATTTACCTGCATTGAAAATATAAATCAAAGGTCTAACAATTACATGATCTCAACATGAAGTAGAATCAATGCCACCTCTCCATTTAGAAGAATAGCGAGTTTGCTTAAACATGACGAACGATGTTACGAAACATGTATTTCATTGGAAATGTGTTATATTTAATTCAACTACCATAACATAGTGAAACCTAATGCATTATATTTGGCTCAGGAAAAGCAAAGCTTATCAAGTATAGGCCGCCTAAATTAAGATTATAACATAAAAAGAAACAACAAGCTAACGAGGACTACCTAGAAGCTATAGGCAGAGTCAACTGAACTGGGGCAAACATATTGAAACTATCCAGACGGACGGGAATCAAGCCCCTGTACGTAATAAGTATTCCAAGAAATATCTCCCATCCGATGTACTCAATGTATAGAGGAACTGTTGAGCCGCATTTAAGTTACTGTAGTTCTGTTTGGGGCTGTTGTAGTGAAAAAAAATCAATGCCTTACAGATAATCCAAAATATAGCTACGAGGTTCGTAAAAAGTCCTTTCAAAAATAGCGCTTGGAGAAAACGATTAGAGCAAATCAGATAGAAAGTATGAAACTACGAAAAAATATATAAAAGCCCAAGATAAAGGGCCTACCTGAACCTGTCCATATCCTTGAATTCGATTGGCAACGATCCAAATACTTCCACCACTGCCGCCTCCACCATAAGGGCCAGTGGCAGTTTGCGCATTACAAATAATTGTGCCATCGACTTTTAATGTTTCATTAACGTGAAGCTTCATCTTGCCCCCTCCGAAACCCCCACTTCCACCTCCTTTACAACCGAAGTTTGCTGGCTCGTAGAGGTCACCATATGCAGCACCTACTCTCGATTGATCACTGCCCGTTCCTCCGTTGCCACCATGACCCGCGCCTGAAGAACCTTTGCTAAAAGCACCGATTATGCCAGCACCTCTCGCGCAGCTCCTAACAAGAAGAAACATTTCAACAAACCAAACTGGCAAGCTCAGCGTATCTTCAAAATCGAGTTCAATTAGACTAAAGCAACTTTTTATAATAAGTTATGCATTTCTTTGAATTTCGTAAACGTGTTAAATTTTGTTTACACGAATCATGTTCTACCTTTTAAAAATAGCTCCTACCTATGTGTCGAGTATTTGCATAATTTTTCATGGATTTTCTACAATTTTCTTGGCATTACAGGAGTTCGTCTACAGTTTTTTTCAACAACCTAAATTATTTGGCTGCCAAGCTGTTTGTATAGGAAATATTCTCATCCATGCCTATAAAACACCTTAGAAAAGTAGTAAACAATATATGTCGTACTTGTCATCGATTAGATCCCCGCGCAAAACACCAAGATCGTCGACGGTGAGGTTGCCAGCAGATATCGCTACCGATACAGAGTGCAAACCACCGCCTCCGAATATATGCAGGTCTCCTACGTCAAACTCCATCGTCAGCGAACCGACTTCAGGCAGTGACGTCACTATACCGCCGTCTGCTATATGCAAGGATTTCATTGTGAACATACCGGTCCGAGTTGAAGAGACGGTCTTACCCGTATTACTCAAAAGCAGTTGACAACCTTTTGACACTGTCACATCGTGTACCCAAATTATCCCCCTACAATGCAAAGAATAATCTGTAAGCAAGCAGAACATGAACAGACACATCTGAAGCAGTAAAGGCGTTGGAAAGATTTGTTACAGAACTTCGATTATCTAAATACCTGTAATCAGACTTTTTGTGATACTAACATGAACATGAGAAATACTTAACATGAGAAATAATTAACATGAGAAATAATAAACATGAGTTCAAATTTTTATAGCGTATAAAGCCATCTACCACGAAAGCAAAAATGGCTTTGAAGGGCTTCTACTTTTGAGCGGGTGGTGTTTCTCCATACAAAGATTGCGAATCGCAAGTGACGCTCCTCGAGCGCATATTAAAAAATAAAAAACCTGGTTTAGCAGAAAATTATTACTACCGTTCACCGTCCGATCCTCGTCAGAGTACAAACGTGGGTTGGTGTACAAATTTTCTGCTTACTTTTGGACATTACCCGACGTTTATACTCTGAAGAGTGTTGGACGAAAGGTGCTTTAGTATGACATCTTTCCGCTTTTCTGTGCTATTTTAAAATACCAAATTAAAAGTTACACAGAAAATGGGACCTTAAAAATCTTATACCAGGGAGCTTTTCTGCAATGTAAATAAGCTGCCAACCTCACTGACTTTATTCATTTTAATATCGTTTTGTATGCATTATTTCTGTTGTTACCTTGCTGTAGGAGAATCTACTAAATTATGTAAATGTTTATTTGAGTAACATTATAATTACTTTAATTGTTTATCTGTTTAATTAATACTATATTTTTTTGTTGTTGTATGGCTTCAACTGTAGAAGCTATTGTTAATTTGCTGTTTCCGAAAATTGATACTTTCAATTTAAGCGGCCCAGGCTCAATATAATGCAAATTCAGTGGCATTTTAGGTTGCATGAGTCGAACTGAGTTGCTCATAGAAAAGACCACTTAATCATTGTAAGCGTAGCTATATTTATAACAAACTGCATTCACCTGACTGTAACTGAGATGTCATAACATGTAAATTTTGATGGAAAGACCATGTGACCGTCTTTATGCACAAAGATGTTGACAGCAAGTTGGTCGTGATCCGCTAACTGCGCTGTTGCTATTTGGTTCGCTCCAACATGAATGAAGCCTGTGTTATCTCCAACAAACCGGGATGCCTTTAGTCCATGTGGCCTAAAAGAAGTACGATACAAAAGCAATGAGAATAAAAGTGGAAGAAACAGCTGAAGGCAATAACTACCAAAAAGGAGTAGAAGGAGTAATGGCTCTTCAACAATGTATGCTGTTTAATCAAATGGAGAAAAAGTGCAACTTATATTTGGCCATCATTGCTAAAAGTCAAACCAACTGTTGAGCTGTTAAACAGAATTTTGAATATTTTTTTTTCTAATTTTCTTGCAATTAATTAATAAATCAATTATTTACTCAAGTCACATACTTTGTGATACTTTGTGACAGCAAAAGATGTGCTTTTCGAAAAATATGAATCTCATCAAATTCATATCCTCCAGCTTTAAAGGGAAGCCAAGTGCGGCTGCCATTTTGGCTTATGTCAAAAACATTGACTTCTCTAGTTGGCGGCTCAAGGTTGTTGTTGTTTATGACCAGTGTACGGTTCTTCGCATTTAATCTTGTATCCTGTAAAATAAATCCTATTTAGTAAAGCAAGCCCAAAATATAAGGACAAATCACCCCAAAGAAATCTTGTACACCATAGAAATCTGCTTGGACACTGACTTGGAAACATAAACAGTCACGTGCTCGCGCTTCTAATTGGCCTACTTTGATAAACAAGCGGGTAAATATGTATATTTCCTAGTTTATAATTTTCAAGTTTTCATTTTTAAATCCATATTACAATTCATATTTTCAAGTTCTACTTTTAAATTCTACTTTCACAGACATGCTTTAATCCTGTCATTATAAGGCTTAATTGGCTTCTGATAATACTGTCATTATAAGCCTTAATTGGCTTCTGATGATACCATATAACTGTGTAGATGATTGAAAAACAGAATATATCTCATTAGTGCCAAAAACCAAATGTAATTGAAATTTATACAACAAATATAGAGTTTGTCTGAAAAGACAATCATTTTGAAGGCATTTAATAAATCTTTTTAAATGCATTTAGGATGTCTGCATGCTGCCTTAAAAAAGTTTCCCAATGAAACAGATCAAATCGTACATCTTGAACTAATAGATTAGAGAAATGAATCGCCTAACCACACAGAATTCGTGACAATTGTAGCATGGTCTTATCTTTTCATGGTTCCATGGCAAAAGGATAAAACACAAATCCGAACAACAACAATAGACTAGCCATCAAACCTGGAAGAAGATTGTGCCCGCTGCACCATTGTATCTGCCTACACCGCCAAATGCCTGCAAGCTCAAGAATGAAAAACTTTGTAACTTCCAACGAACAGCAATGCGGCCACCTGATCCACCTCCTCCAGACCCATGACCTGCTCCACCATTTGCAGAAACAATACCAGAGCCTTCTAATTCGTTGGTATCGATATTTATTGTTCCTCCGCTGCCACCACCACCATTAGATAACGACGAAGCCCCGCCATTAACTGTTATGTGTCCTTGAATGTGATACAGAAGTTTGAATCAAATTAATGTTGAGATAGTACTTGCAAAATAAACTTCTTCGCTCGTTTTTTGAACTTCTAACTCCAATTAAAAGCATTCCTTCAAGAAACATCTTCCCATTTATCACAGAAAGGAAATTAAAGCTTCTTAATTTCTAACTGGAATGAAAACAAACGCATCCTTGTTTCATATCCACTCAACTGGCGTTGGCTTCAGTTTAACAGTTAAAAAAGTTTGATTACCGAGTGATCAAAATATTTAATAATTTCTAGAAGCTGCATGAGCTTAATATATTTACCCTCAACTCTCAGGGTCTTGGTAACTTTTAAGTACAATCTGCCACCACCAGGTGAACCTGCTCCACTTCCAAAGTTAATCGGGTTGATAACATCGCCATAAACCAGTGAATGTGAACCAGTCTGACCGCCAAGACCACCATAGCTTGCACCACTACCCGATTTACCTACACCAGGTCCTAAGAATATCACAAGAAGATTTGATTACATGGGCTGCAACAATAACAAATAGACGGAATTTGTTTAAATACTGCAGAACAAACACGTGCATGGAGATCCTCTAAGCTTAATTATTACGCTCACCCTTTTGAAGGAAGGATTTACGATATGTAGGAAAGATCACCTTGACTTCAACATATCACCACCCACATCCACTATTTTAGCCAAGTTATCGACCCCACAGCTACTTACCAATTCACCCCTCCAAGCCTCCCCCCCTTGGGCAAAGAAAATTGAATGCCCCCAAACGAAAACCATGAAAAGAAATACGTCGACTTGATTAAAAATAAGACAGATGGGTCTGGATATTCTAGGCCTCCAGCATCTTTCTTGTTCCAGTTAACTGGTTGACTGGCCTTCAACTGCCTTTCTGTTATCACCTGATAATGCAACAGTGTATTCTTCCACCAACGTCTAATTTATTAACCACCTCCTCCTCCCCTCCATCAATTTATTAATGTTGGGAAAATCTCCACCCATCCCCGTTATTATAAAACCATGTCCATAGATTTTTCCTTTTATCTCCATCCCATTGACTTTTCAATCCATCTATAATGAATGTCTTGCGATATAATAAACAGGCAGAAATTACCTGCCGAAAACCCCTTTCTATCCAAATTCATCCAGCCATCTGCATCAATTTCACATTTATATGCAAATAAGTCTAAATTTTGTGCTTCAAGCTTGCCACCACCCTCAACTGTGAAAATGCCATCGCGCATTCCTTCACCAAACCCTTTTGAAACTTCTAAAAGCCATTTGTCCTGTTCGTTGTTTGCTTCGGACAGCAAAATCAGCATACCGGTTTTTTGTATTGTTAATCCAACAAACCTTAATGCAAAAAGAAATCATAAAAACTCGTTTTGCTACACTTCTAAAAATCGATCATTCTGACAAGCGTATATATAAATTAAGAAAACCAAGATGGTTACAGTAATGCTTCGTAAAGTTCAGGTAACTAGAATAATGTTAAAATTAAGAGCAAAACTGAAGACAGAATTGATAGAGTGAAAAATTTCATTTGAATACAAATAAATAATGCTTTTATAATGCTTTATCAAATTTGCTAATTGTTGTGAGTAATAACTGAGAATTAGGTACGGCAAAATCGTATTGGTTGGGTAAAGTAACAATATTGTCTTGTCAATTGCTTCTGAGCGTCCCTGTTTTGCCAATCCAAACAGTTCACTGTTTTATCAACCAAAACTATTATTGTGGGAATGTTACTACAATGAAAAATTGGAAAGGTACGGCACAATTGGATTGTTGGAAAGACAATTGTGTGAATGGTACAATCAAAAATTCCTTACTCTAACAGACGTCTGCTGCTGAGTGCCATACTAATTGTACCTCCGTGGCCAACCAATAAATGAGAATTTTTCCCATCCAGGTATCCCCATATCTTGTAAATGGGTGAAATTGTAAGTGCAGGGTAGGTCTTGCTTGCAGTGCGTCTGAACTCTACTGTGGCAGGAGGTAAAATTAAGGTTGCATTCGGGTAGACATATGGTGACCATGTCATGTTGACTCTTTTGTACGGAGAAACAATCGTCATGTTCAGCTTATTCCCAGGTGGAATGTGTATGTACCCAGTGGAATCTCCGTAAATGGAAACTGCCTCTATGGTTGTACCGCTCGGTGGAAAAACTAAGTGTGCTCCTCCGTATATTTCAAGTAGCGTGAATTGATGAGTGAAGTCGTTGGGGGATAAAAGGACTGCAACTCCACCTGTTAAAATGACGCAAGAATAAGAAGAATCAAATAGTTGATTTCAATGGGAATGCGCAAAATTGAGAGCTGAATTAAATTTACTCTACAAAATTTGGTAACTAGGTACAGTATTGGAAAATATGGAGAACAAGAATTTTTTTCATCTCAGTATTTGATAGATTGTACAATTGGAAAGATTTAATTTATACCGAGGGGCAATTGAAAACCTTTTAGCTCCACGGGATATGTTACGATGAATCTGTTAAAAAGGCAATCGCGAGTTGCAATAAGAATGTGGCAATAGGAGGCGGGTTACTAAAATGTTAACCCTCTTGAAACAATTCTAAAATACGTACCTGTCTGGTTGAAGACACTGTAATCTCCGACTAATGAAACCTAACAACGGAGAAACATTTTGTATAACCGGAAAAATTGCTTAAATTATATATTGAAAATTTTTAATATCAGTTTCATTGGTTTAGATATATACATTTCATACACAAATACATTTTGAAAAAAGAAAAGAGAATCTTACAAATAACTTAGTGACCATAATGACAAGAATGTCTTTCCGCTCTGTCCAGCAGTGGAATTGTGAATGTTGGCCAAAATGTGTTTATTTCAATTTGATGAAGGAAGATAAACAAAATATCACGCTTATCTAAACTAATTTCCCTACATTAGCATTTATTGCAAATCTTATGGCATTGTTTTAGAGCTGCCTTGTGTTACCCCGTCTTGATTACAATTTCACAATATACTCGAGGTCATGAAGTTTTAGGGCCAAAAATTCATGCAATGATTCTGCAATAACTTGCAAAATGTTTTAAATTTTCATGTGAGACGCAAGACATGCAAAATACAAGAACACGGGGCGAATAACTCCCTAAAAATCTATTGTGTGCCCCTTTGACGTCATTAAATCGGACCCGAAGCTTCGATTGCATAACATAGCATGCAGGAACATGGCGGAGTACACTTGGTTTAGAAAAGTTTGAAATTCCAGGCTTGATTAACGATTGTTATTAGATAAAAAAAAACTACCGACTAGGTTTCTAAATCAGAAATCAGTAAAATGTAAGCTATCATGTACGTAAATTTCTAAGCAACATGTACTTGTTCTGCAAGCAGTTGAATGGCTAATATGGAAGAAGCAATGTCTTTCCAAATGTTGTACTTGACTTAGACAACGGCCTAAATGTTAATACCTTTGCACTTTGTCCTTTATTGTCGATTCGCAGATTGCGATTGACAGGCACTGAGCCATTTAAAAAGACAATACCAGGGCCACCAGCCTCTGATGCTCCTCCGCCTCCAGGGGCACCCCCTTTAGCAAAAGCATGATCACTTTGAAATTGACCACTTTGGTAATTGACAATTATAAAGCCTCCGGCACCACCACCGCCATATAAGTTCCCTGCACCACCATTTGCCTCCATTGTACCAGTGGCGCTAATTGTATTACAGTCAATCCACACAGATCCACCTGCACCTCCGCCAGAATGTGTAACCTAAAATACGTTAACTTACCATCAGAGTCAATAGAAACCCAATTTTAATACAAATGAGACAACAAAAGTTAAACATGTTTAATATCGAACTCAAGCAAAGTCATATTACTGCCCATTTGCAACGCCTCTTGTACATTGAAGAAAACAAGTATCAGAATTATGAAATGGGAGAAAAATGAAACGTAATCGACATGTTGTATATTCTTGTTTCAGTTTATTAAGTATTTAACCAACCTTATTTCTGTTATTGTCTATTACTGTCATGTTTTTAATTATACCTTTTGTTAACGGCCTAAACTAGATATGTGCATACTTTTCTTGGGTTGTGTATATTACAGTATTAATGTAGTATTCTTCTGTAGTATACGAATAAAATTGAATTGAATTGAATTGAATTGAATTGAACTACCGCTGCGCTTTGTCCATTAGCCGTAATCTTTCCAGATAGACGCAAATGGCTCCTCAGTCCCATGCGTATCTGTCCTCCTCCACGCCCACCCCCACCGGGCAGTTGACTCCCACCTCCGCTGCCCCAAGCTCCAGGCGCATAAATCGTTCCATAAGGAGAGCGGTTAACTAAAGCGCCATTTCCACGTCCACCTCTCCCGGCATGACAACCACCAGTAGAGCCAGAAGGCGAATAGTTGCCAGCCCCTATTGAAGAATTAATGAAGAATTTAGTGACCCTTTTCGTTGTTTCCTCAGGACAGCATTTACTTTAACTTCGAAAATTAAATCATTTACCATAAAACGCATTAAAGTGTTTATCAACATGCTAAGTCCGTCTTTCTGGTTAAAATATCTACAAGATAAAGCCATTGCTGACAGCCATATATATTCTGCAGGTTAGGATCAAAGCTGAGAGAAATCGTTAGCCTTATCTGCTTTTCAAGCAGTTTACTTCATACTTTTAATGATATTTAATGTTCTGTGAAATCACTGAAGCATCAATACTGTAAAAAAACTATGGCACGTTCACAGTAGAGAAAGTTAGTATCAAAATTTCTGATGACCTCTAACTGGGTTGGTGCCAAAGTTAGGCTACAAAAATCCTTAACACGGAAGCTTGTATGACGGAGCTAAGAATTAACAGAAAACTGGAATGCTATTTTACCTAAAAAAGTCATTTTTGAAAACCATGGCCTATGATTGGATTCAAAATATTGATATGTGTAGATCAAAATTTCATCAGTTTGGATCTATGACAAAATTCATTTCTAAATGCTCAATTTGTGTGACTTTACTTTAGCTATCCCGGTTCTTTGAATTTATTCGATAGTGGTAATCAAGTATCATTGAAAATTGAGATTCCACCTTACAAAAAAGGATCAATGACAGACCTTTTCCTTTGCTCGACATTGCTCCTCCATAGTCAACGGACAGCAAACCGGTGATAGTGACATCATCCGCAGTTAGATGTAACGAACCGAAGTAGGCGGAACCAGACACCACCATCTGTTTTAGAATAAACACTGACGCAGTTAAGCCGTCGTCTTGCTGTGGTTTTCCATTAAAGTTAACTTTTAACGTTCCAGCAATATTGAGCTGTTGGCCGATGAACTTCTCTGTTGGTGTGAATGGTGTCCAGGTCTCCATGCTTCCATCAATTGTAGTCGTATTTACCTTGAATTCCTTGGTTTGATTAAAAGCAATTACACCTGTTACAGTCAAATTTTGCATCCCCTTGCCTATACTAAGCAAAGATATCTCCATCTTACCTTTGACAATCAATTCGTCAACAAAAATATCAGTGGTGTTTACAAGACTTTTAAGGTATCCCTTTTCTCCGATATACAGTTGTGGAAGGTACTCTGTGTCTTTTCCTTGAACTTCCAGACTAGCTTCAGACGTCATTTTTCCAAGCAAATTAAATCTATTAAAACTAAACCAACCGATAGAGTGCACAATGAAGTTTCCCTTCAACCCAATGTATAGGCTGTCCCATCCACGGCCAATGTAAAGCTTTCTGGAAATAAAAGAGCCACCAATATCTACCGCTTTTGCAAAAAGCTGCGAAGCATGATCTTCAGCAGACTGTGATGAATTTGTCGACGTATTTGAAACTGGAGCAGAGGTTGCCTCAGGGGCACAGTTCAACTCAAGGTAGCCACCGTCGTTGACCCGAAGCGTTTCTATTTCTTCGGAAAGACCTGTCTTGCCCTTCAAAACTACCATTGTATCCGTTCTGAATTTTCCATCAATGAAAACACGATCTACGTTAATGTGGCCTCCAGGAATAAAGGCAAAGTCCCCTTTAGGACCCACAGTTATACGGTCCCATCCAGGGCCTTCAGATATTCTCCCAGCATGAAACACCCCATTGACTGTGACATTTAGGGCCAGGATTTCAGATGTTCCACTGTATTTGGTACGATTACTACATGGAACAAACTCATCTAAAACAAAAGAGCCACCCTCTTGAACGGTAATTAAAGAGTTTCCAGCAAAATCTCTTGTTTGCAAACTGATTGTCCCATTGATTCTCAACACTCCAGCAATGTTCAAGATATCGATGATTACAGAACTGTTAGAAACAAAAGTAAAAACTCCACTGGGGCCTATTTGCAACAATTGCCAGCCAGTGCCAGTGGATATGTGCCCTGGGTTGAAATAACCGTTGATCGTTAATGTATGTGCTTGGAGAACTATTGGCAAGCTTGCATTAACAAAGAGAACTTTACCTACAGGCCCAACCGACCACGTGCCGGTTTCAATACGAACATCGCCTTTAAATTGTAATGTGCCATTACATTGAAAGTCTTTTACCGATAAATGAGAAGTCGCCAAATCAACTTTTCCCACAGCACCGATAAAAAATAACTGCAATGCTGATTTAATGACCACTGTTCCGAGTTTTGTTTCACCATTAAAAAAGATTTCATCGGCAAAAAAAGATGTGTTACTGCCGTAGCCTTGGTTTATTACGACTTTTGTATCTGCAAGAAATCTTAATCTTTTTGCTCGCAACGAAGACAACATTGGAGCAAGAAAATAAGACCGGGCTTCCCAGATGACATCCTTGTCCAAATCTGCTTCGAGCTTCCAACTTGTTTCATTTCCGACAGATTCCAAGATCAACCCTGAGTTCTCTCTTACCGTCAAGCCGCGAAACTTTAAAAGGCGAGGACTTGATTCCGCTCTCATTGTCAGGTTTCCAACGTTTTCACCGTAAAATAGTTCAACACGCTCAGCTCCAGCGAGCGAGCCGTAGTTATCAAAATGGCGTTTGATGGCAAAGGCAGAAGTTCCGTTGTTTTCAATTGCAAGGGCTCCTCCACGATAAACATGTGTACACGATTCTAAATGTGTCCTTAGTTGCAATGTGACATTCTCGCCGATGTACAAAAAGCCGCTTCCGTCATCATTAATCTTGTCAACTGAAACAACGCCATCCCCTCTTATAAAGGTATTTGCCCCATTTTTTATGATAATCTCAGTAAGGTTGTTTAATTCAGGTAAGACGGGAAGCCACGTGACGCTACCTATAGAAAATAACAGACAATAGCCATCAAATACAGAATACCCTTGTAGTCAAGCATCTACGGAGTGAGAAAAAGCGAATTTTGCCTGAAAACTCTATGAAAATAGGGATACCAGGATGAGCTTGGTGGAAACATCTCAACAGGGCGTCATATCTAAATGCCTTAGAATGTGACAACTAAAAAAACCATAAATCCATTTACTCAACTGAATAAAAATTCAGAAAGAATATTCGTCAATAAAACCCATTTCATTACACTTTACGGTAACGCCCAAACTTCCCTCCCCCTTAACCTGGTTCTCAAATCAAACAGCATAATTGTTTTAAAAAAACGTCTAAAAAGTTCCTACATACCTGACTTTATTATATCTGATATGTTTTCGTTTCGGCGGACCTAGAATAAAATCAATTGAAAGCCTTTTAATGCAAGACAATATATTAGTAATTAGCAGGGACGCCGGAACAACCAAGAGGCAAGAGAAGCAAGCTTGAGTAAAAAGTCATTGGAAAAATAATTCCCATATACTAACAATTCTTTCGTAAATATCATTTTGTTTCGATCAATTGTAGGTATCTTGAAAATCGACAAACTTATGGCATGAGGAATTTCTTTACAAAATTTTAGAAATGTCGTTATGAATAAGGCAGTATAGTCGGAATTTTATATGAATCTTTTGATCATAACAAACGGCCGATGTCAAGGACAGTTCTATGAAAAGGGCACTTTGGCCCCCTTGCCGCTCCTATCGAAAGGCAACAGGGGTGGTTGACCCTCCATGCCTCCCTCTCAGGCGTCCCTGGTAATTAGTGATAATAATACTAAAGATATGAAAAAATATTTACACAGAAGAGCAAGAGATAAGCCCATTATGCTTCTCTTGACCTAAAAGATTGGTTTGTTAAATTTGGCAGAACCAGCTTACTAGAGGTAAGAGCAAATGTTTTTGATCTGAGCTAGAATCCCTTTTATACATTAAAAGGCTAATGGATATAAATTGTTCAAGTTACAGAAGGTTAAGAAATATATCCTATTCAATTCGGTAAATATTAGAAAATAAAGTAAAAATAGCTTTTGAGTGAACACATTAGAACGGTATATTTGAATCTAGAATGACTCATCCATGCTCTGGAGTTTTTTAAATATATTTTAGTTGCTCAAACTTTTCCGTTCAAACTTGCATCATAACTTCAAAACTCCAACTCCCCTCCTCCCCCCCCCCAAAAAAAGCATTTTGCCACAGATTGTTCGTGTGAAAGGGGGGCTAAATAAACTATCTTTATAAAACGTGTAAAGACATACTGCAGGGCATACTGCAGGATAATCGTGTATTAACCCCTTCCCCCATAAAACATTTGACAAACACTGTTTCCCTGTGTACACGGATTTCCTTTCTCGTAATGAAAATAAAGCCCCTGGTTTAATTTAGGGTTGGTATCAAACATCCTAGTTTCATTTCATTTTCATTTTATTTCATTTTTATTTTACTGCATTTTAAAATTATTTATCTACGATAGCCCCGTCAGTCATATTGACTGATTTTCAGGGGGGGAGCGTGCCAAAAACATACACACAAAGATCTACTCAAACCAATAATAAGAAATGAAAATTTATTAAAATCGTCATTTAGAAACTAATTTTATGGAAATAATTATCATCCGATTTATGAATAAAAGAGAGAACAGCGAATTATGAGGTTAAGGAAGAGAGGTTTTGTGGTGATCAAGGTTTTTATGAATCAATATGAAGCTAAAAGACCACAAACTGCGTCACAGAACTAAGGAGGAAAGGAAGAGCACCGTGCACTATATTAGAATCATTTGACGTACTCTTGGGAATGCTCCATGGTTGTCCACAACTAGTTTCCTTATTATCGATCCATCGGCACTTTTCCCATTGACAAAAATAGTTCCAGAAGATCCACTCTCAGGGACATTCTCTAGATTGTCAAACAAAAGATGTGTGAAATTTCATTGATTAACATGAAAGATCATCAATAAAAAACATTCCTAATGTTATTGGATTCAATCTTTTGTAATATGCCACTATATCTAGAAAGGGGGGTTGCTATAGATAATAAATTCATTTTATTGATTTGTGATTCCCTTATTATCAGGAACGAAATAAAAAATAATAAACGAACAAAAAATCAATAAGTGTATAAAAATAAAACTTTGGGAAAGTATCAAATTTGACAAAATTTAGCAAAGAGGGCTCATTGAGACACGACAGAATAAAGCTTTTATTGGACACAATATTGCAGGTTATGCATAAAGCTATAATCTTAGTGCTTTGTGGCCTAAGTCAAATACAGCAATGTAACTGCATGCAACACAAAAACGTTCAAGTTGACTCAGAAAAAAAATTTTCTTCCTATTTTAAATCAGAATTCAGAAAAAAAGAAGACACGACGTATTGTAGGTTCTAAAAAAATGTGTAAGAATGAAGAACCGCAGAATATGATGTCCGGTGGATTCTGTGAATCTTGCAATGGAGAACAATACGGACAACAGGATGACGAGAATCCAATGAAGTAAAATAGAATTCTCTTTTTTCTACAAAAAACCTGCCACAAAACGGTAACAAAAATTTTAAAGTTGAATTAAAACAATGAAGAAAAATCAGTGGCAGAAGAGAAAAAGCAACGCTAGAAGAAAGAATGTTGTGCAACGCTAGAATACGGAAAATTGTACAAGTCAGACCTGGCAATACTTTGTGGCAACTGTCATCTGATTCCACGCCAGGACCTGAAATTGAGAAGTCTATAATATTTGTTCTATTTTAAAAAATTTTTGATATTTTTTGCCCGACAGAGTAAACGTGAATTAAAAAAAACGAAATCGAAATAGAGATCCAGGTGCGAGTTGACATTAACACCAGAAGGTGGATCGAAATCAACTGAACTGGCCAAAAACAAGGAACCAATCAATCAATTTGCAATAGAAATTTCATTTGTAATTTAAACAATTATCTTTCAACTACTTAAAGGAAATCTGATTGATCAAAGGAAAAATGAAAAATCAATAACTCCATAAAATTCCTCGCAAAACCTACAAAAATGTTGACTGGAGAACTGGGTGATTGGCTCAACTTGTCTATAAATGAATGAAGATATCCGCGGGTACACGAATTTAAGAAACAGTACACGCGTTTCGAATTTAAAAAACCTTACTGTTGATATTGGCCTTGTGACCTAGTCTTTGTTTCTCATTGAAGCAGCCATTCTCAACTCATGATATGAATTAAATTGTGTCGACTTACTGTAAGAATATCCTTTCATTTCAACCCGTAGAAAAATAGAGCTTTGCCACGTGACAGGCTCGATTCTGATTGCCTTTGCAAGGAGAGCCGCTTCAAGCTTATTTGTAACCACAGACGAAGAATCGGTGTTTCCAGTGAAAATCTTATCTTCTCCATTTTCCTAAAAATTGTATTGTGCGTGAACGATTGTTTGTGATAAATCAACAGACAGCAAGACATTGGTTTAAATTAATTTCAATGAAATTGAAATACGAAGAAGAGAAGACTAGGTGAAGACAAAAACACCTCAGGTTTTCCTTTGCAATGCCTGTTAATGTCCCTTCATTTTCATAGCATTTAAAGGCCACGATTTCGGCTTGTAAATGTTCTACTTAGATACGTATACGTCAGCAGTTGAATATAAACTACGTGATAGATCGCACACATTATCGAACATTACAACTGCAGGCAACGACATTCAAATTAAGGGACATAAAGAATCCATATCACAGTCTATATGGTTTTAAACTGCTCACACAAATCCATAAGTGACGTATCAAAATTGGTCATACCTTTTGACATATAATAGATACTTACCAAATATGGCAGCCATATTCCATATTCGTTTTCATACTGAAGCTTGAACTGCGTGACCCACCCACTTCTATAAAAATCAGCGTACCCTTTCGTTTGTATATGAGTGACATACCAGTAACGCGAAGAGGGTTCGAACGTCACCTATTTGAGTAGATAATCAAGTTTCAAAATAAATATCAGCAGTTGGATGACCTTATCGAATAAATTGTAATTGCATTTTCCAAATGAACGACTAGAGGCTTTTAGTCTTTTTTAGAGTCATTCATCCATCCTATAGAAAATTTCTTCGAACTTTCGAGACCTCAGAAAATAAAAAAAACGAGACAGTGTATGTTGGAGCGGCTGACCTTTCTCGGGCCTGTGACACCATGACCCTTGATTTCCGGGCTCTGTTTTTTCTCTGCAGTTGGAAATATCATTCTATTTTAGTGACTAGGGATCAAGCCCCGGGATGAATCGTGCCAGACGTTGGGTAAGGGCATACCCCTTCCAAGGTATTTATAAAGCACCCTTTATGCTTAAATAAAAAACATAGAAAAATCCCGCATATGGGAACCTACATTAATCCTATTAATCTTAATAACTAGTTTCCTATTCAATGGGTATCGTACAGAAATTTGATAGAATTTGATATTTGTAATTGTCTTTAAATATGTTTGGTCTGTAATCATTTTAAATCTCCAATTCTTGTTTTCTTGATTTACCAATTTTGCTGCTGATTTTGTTGCACTGCTGATATCTACACTTAAAATACTTTACTTATTAGAGTAAACAGGGTGCTTATCAAAGTGGTCTAAAATACCGGGTTTAAGCCTACATGTTCGTATTAAAGTATATTCTTATATGTGGAATTTCACTATAACCATGTTGATCAGAAGAACCCCCAACCCCCTTAGGTAAAACCCATTGAAATTCTATGGTCCTCAAGCTCGTTCTGAAACTGGTATTACACTACCTTATTGTATGCAAAGATAATCTACTCCACATTTACTTTCTCGTCTTGTTTAACCTCGGTTTTAAAAGATGAATTGATTCAACGCCCAAAAGAGCTTATTCTTGCTCTAAAAGGGCGGCCATGGCCTCCCACTTTTTAGCGAAGCAAATAATTTCAAAGCTGCAATCAAAAATGAAAGAAGCCTTGCCCCACCCACTTTCGTTAGCCTTGCCCCCTCCACTTTCAAACTCGGAGCGTGGGCCCTGATTTGATATGCAGTTTTACCTTTACGTACTCTATATGTCCTTATTTCATGTATGTTCTAAAGGTTGTCTAGATCTCCAGGCCATTCTTATACTGCTATCCCTTTGTCGGTCCTCACGATTTAAATAGAAGAAAGAAAGTAACTGCCAGTACCTATAGTTATTGCTTTGTTTCATCCTGCTTTTAAGACCAAAGTTACGAATCGTGTAGAATGTAGGTTTGCGTCAATAAACCCTATACTTAGTATAGACAAACATTTCACAACATACTAAAACACTTTTCGTCTGACACTACTCCATGTATAAAACGTCAGAATAAGGCTCCGAAAGAACACGATGGAAAATGTATACCCAGTTGTGGATCGAAATAGGCCAATCAGAAAAATGCAAGCACATGACCGGCATAGAAAATTACCATTGGAGTCCAAGAGAGAAAATGAACTCCTTCTAGACAGAATGGCACAATAGCGGCTTTTTCGTTTGTATGTAGATCGATTAAAAAACCGCTAGATAAAAAGACGACCGGGCCCTTCTAATTATCTTAAAACATGTCGTCATTATAGAATTTTGCATAATCTAGGTTGTCTAAAAGGTATTTTTCCGAAGGCAGAGTCACTAGTTTCTGCTGTTATTTTAGATATGCAAGATCGAGGAGGCTGTTCTCTTTGAGGGGCAGTTTTTTTAAAGTAGTATATTTCAAAACTAAGTTTCCTGGAAATGATCTAATTGCACCCTTATAACTAGTGTTTTTGCAACACTTTGACTTTGCTCACCTGTAGTGATGCCTTCGACGAGGGTTGGAAAGGGTTACCATTGAGTCTTCCCGTTGAGACGAGACTGTTCGTACTTGCATCCCTGAGAGTGTGCTTCCCCGACGACACCCCGAGCAACGTGATATCAGTTTCTAAAGACAACGATATACTCAGAAATAAAACAGGCACTGGAAAAAAACCTCAACAAAGGCTTAAAACCACCAGTACAGCTATAATATGATGAATTAATTCATTCAGTTCACTGATGTTGTCAATCAATAAATTAGGAAAACTTCGGTACTGTTTTCTTCAATGGCAGTTTCTTGCGAAAATTATTTAACATAACACAGTAATCGAGAAAACTTCGCTTGAACAGCACATATAGAAATAAACTGGTAGAAACTATTAGAACTTAAATCCTCAAAAACATTTCCAGTGCAGTTCAATTACTAAAAAATTATTTTACATTGTGGATTTTGCAATTGTTTTTAGGTACTTCATAGTCGTAAGACAAAGATTTCTGGTCACAAACAACTTAGCTCTAATCATGTGCAGTTTAGAAGACTGAAGTGACGCAAGTGAATACTTCTACTGCAAGGAAATTGCTCTTTACTCAAAAGGTGTCATTTCAACTAAATTAGCGAACGTCACAGAGCAACAAAATGTATGTATAAAACATCTATCAATTCTAGGTTGGCTGCTGCTTTTTGAAAAGCTGGTGTGTTTAAGTCTGTTTGTCAAAAGGAGAAAATTAGAGAAATTGTCAAGAAAATGAGCTCAATAGAAAAACGTATACAAAATTGTAAACAAAATAGGGCAGACGCAAGCGCTCAAAGACGGGAGCAGTCGTGGTTGCAGACATGCGATGTGGCATGCTGTGCATCTCCAACAAAGCTCCAAACAACAATTGTTTGGTTCAATTCTCAGAAAATTCTTTCCGTCCAATCACTTGACCAGAACCTGTGGAAGTTTTCTACACAAGGTATGCTTCATTGGCTTCTTTATGAATCGGTTCTTTTGTCACCTTCAGGTATGAATGTACTGCCTTCTTGGATGCCAATGACAATAAAGATGGAAGCAAAGAGAAGAAGGATAGAGAAGAAAGAACAGAGAGAGACGAAGAAAAGGCTTTCTTCTCTTTCTTATTTCTTTCTTCTCATTTCTTTTTCTTTCTCACTTTTTCATTCAGAATATTGAATTGTGGATTTTGAATTTTTATAGTGTCAAATAGTGGCACACTGAATAATCTAGACAATTATTTCACAATTAACAATAAGAGAAGATCTATTTCAATTTTTAATCAAAGGCCGAAAAATTACCGAAGAGTTCTTTAAAAATGGGGCTGTCACTTCCCCCAAATAGAACCCACTTTCAAACGTCCCTACTGCCAACTGTCAATGGGACATGTCAGCAGGGGTAAAAAATCAAGGAGGGGTAGAAAGACCCTTGGTAAAGAAAAGGGAATTTCACAAAGGTTTTCCTTAAGAATAACTGCCAATAATTACCTGTTTTCCCTCCATGTGCATGGATGCCAATGTGGTCGGTGAACATTCCCGACTGGTACTGTACACTTATCATTCCGCCACTGCCACCCCCACCGTTCCCGTCGCCTTGTCCGCCACGGGCCTCAATCTGTGCCATTCCAGTCATTTGTTGACACACAATTGCGACTGTACCGCCTGCACCACCACCACCATTAGATGACTCTTGTGCATTCTTTCCATTTGCCTGGATTAAGCCATTTATTTCACAAACATCACTTGATACAAAAACTGCGCCACCACCCACACCGCCAGAACCAATAACAGACCCATCTCCACCTTTCCCACCAACTTCTGTGGGTTCTTTTGGGTTCCCTTTTGGTTGCGCCTGGCCCCAAGATAATGTCTGTCCCTTTGGGCAGCCCCCACGACCAGCATGGCTTCCACCAGAACCAACACCCCCTATAGACACCCCATCTTGGGGCCCTGTTGGTCCTTGATTCGGCTGTACAATAATGCTCCCAAGAAGCCCGATTTTGAGCTTCCCTGTGACATTGATTTTATGAATACTGGCGGAGGATGATGACTCGAGTATCAGAGTCTTCTCAACAATGAGGTCCTTGAAATGGTAGGTGCCGGTTGAAGAGCTAATTTTACAAGGCGATAATACATTCATGCTTGTATACGAATCATGGCATGCTGGTAATGATGCTTCGGTTAAATGTTCAAGTAATAAAGCAAAAAGAAGGCAGATTACCTTGTTTACATCCATTACTGGAACCATAGACAAGGTGTAACATGAAATATCAACTTCAATGAGCTACTCACAAAAAAACACGAGAGCAGCCCTCGTGGTACAGACATTCTATCGAAACCGTACTTTCTTGTTACTTTCCAAAGCCGCTGAGAACCAAATTTTCAGTGCAAATATATGCCTGGTCTTCCTTGCAACCTAAGTTTTTTGAGAGAACGAAATTGAATCCTTTCTTCTGCAAACTGTGTTTGAAAACTTGCTTGCAAGATCTGATTATATGCATGAATCTAGAGAAGTGGTAAAACTATTCAAGACGGGGGTTGTTGATTTTGGAAAGGCGGAAGTCAAATTTTCATCCTGTTAGTAACAGACAGAAGGCAAATCGCTCAATTTGTTTTATAAGAAACGAAGCTGGGATTGGCCACGCCAGAGCCGGGGGTTGGGGGATATTGCCCCCTCACTTTCCTTTTAAACAATGATATTCAAGTAAGGGCATCAAATATAATGGGGAAAAACTGCTATAGAAGTTAGTTTGTCACTTTGTCTAAAGCCCCCCACTCCAAGTTGTGCTCCGGCGTCCCTGAGAAACATGAGATAATACAACTTCTAATGCGTCACAGAGATCCCTTCTTCCTATTTGTCATAGAGATAATATCCTCTCTATGTGGTTTATCTCTATGCTATCTATAATATCCTCTCTAGTCTTTAACTATTTGCAGCCTACTCTTCGGTCCCGAATAGATGCCCCTCCCCCCCCCACCCCCATAAATTTTTCCCATAATAGTTTCCGATACCTCCACGCTCTTATCAGGACCCCGTTGGGGAAGAAATAAATTACTTAACGCTGTTAATTATTAACACATTCTGTTATAATTGTGCTGCCTCGCTTTTCTGCAGAATTTAAATCGTTTTCCCTGTACTATACACATCGTTTAGGTTTATAAATAGGCAGTAATTGCCCCCTCCCCCCCCCCCCCTCAGCTATTTCCACCCCCTTGCTTGTTTTATTTGGTGATTTTTCAAATCTACTAACCCAACAGCTGTAAAACCCCCTTAAAAATTCCATCTCAAGTTGTGAAACTCCCTTCAAGATTTCATCTCAGAAAGTTTTTTACCATTTATGGGTGCTTTCCGGTGAATTTTTAATCTTGTAGCAAAATAAAGGATGTCGCAAAACAAAGATAAAGGGTACTTGAGCCTGGATGCCCTGCATTTAATTTCATCCAAACCCCTTCCATGCAAATCTGCTTCTATGTAGAGTTCTTTTTCCAAATATGAAAAATTAATTTTCTTTGGTTTCTTATATGAGGAAGCTCAAACCACAACATAGAAATGGTCCATGGAGGGAAATGGAACGGAATCGAATCTCTTGACGTGATAAATGAAATTTGACAATTTTAGATAAAGCACACTTTTTATAAGCAAAATTTGCTGATTTCAATTATATATGTTGAGGTGATTTTTTTCTTGCAGAACCGTCTAAAAATTCAGGTTGAATATCCCATTTTCGCGTTTTCGACTGTGACAAAGCGCCGTTATCTGTATTTTTTTTACAATAAGGCTTGTAGGCCGAAATGACCCATCGCCAACACAATTACCATATATAAGTTATTACCATATATTACAAATTTCCATTACACAATTACCATATATTACAAATTAACAATAAATGTCAGAAAACAGCCAACAGAATTACTATACTTACAAGTTAACATAATTACAAACTAATAATAAATCTCAGAAAACAGCAAACAGCTAATACAAAGATAAACAGATGAAAAAATGATGACGAGCTAGAAAGTTTACGTTACGAAGATATGCACGTAGAGGACTTCCCGTGATTCAAAAGCCAGCGATATAAAATTAGCTATTGATATCAGACAATCCGTATCTTCTTGACTCATCAACCAAATACTCATCACAAAGGTCAAGGGATGATATTCTGGCAAATTTTGAATAAATCATAGATAACATAGAATTCCTAGCAGTCTCGTAAAGGGGACAAACTAATAAAAAATGAATTTCGTCCTCCACAGCAGTTTTATTAAAAGATTGACATTACGGACATTTTCTATCAATCCTAGGAATAGGATTCTTCCCATATCTACCTGTTTCAATCCTGAAGTTGTGAGCACTGAGACGTAGTTTTGCAAAGTTGGATATTTTCTTTCTGCTAGGTATCAAGTCTAAGTAATCCTCAAACTTATAAACAGTTTTGAAAGATGCGTATGTACAAAGCTTTTTATTGAGAATAATTTGTTCTTTTAAATTTTCCATAACTTTTGACCTAAAATGGGAAGACACTTTTGATTTCACGATAGAGGAGTTATCGGTTGTATGTATTCTGTAAAGGGTCATCAGGGAACGGGCAATACTGACCCAATTAGAAACACCGGAATCTGCATCATTAATTAACATTTGAAGAGCTCTGTATGCATATCTGGAGGAATCGAGATTTATTAAACGAATATAAAATTTTAAGATGTTAATATGTCTATGTTCAAGCAACGACCAGCCTCCCAACTCCGCATAAACCCCAAGAGACGTTGTAGATCCTTTAACACCTAGGGTTGACTTGCGAGCCATAGGATGAATTTTTTCCAGGCATTCCCATGTACCAGATCCCCATACGTCAGTGGCATAATTTAGGATAGGAAGTATTGTACTGTCAAACAAAAATAGAAACAGTCTTGGGTTGAAACCATTCCATTCGTTGATTTTGGACAAGAGAGCAAAGTAAGATTTTTGAGCTTTTTGCTTAATTATATCAACATGAGCACTGTAGGAACCATTCGATTTGAAAATAACTCCAAGGAATTTGTGCTCATTGCATTCTTTGATCTCTTTATCACCAAATTTCCAAATTTTGCACACCTTAGATTTTTTTTCTGTTTTTTCTCATAACCATTATCTTGGTTTTGGAAGTATTTATCTCCATATTAATGGACAAGCAGAACTGGTTTAGCTCGTTCAACTGGGATTGCAGATCATCAGCAGAATTAGCTAATAAAACTAAGTCATCAGCATATAAAAGGGTGCAGATATTTCCATCACCCAATCTGACACCGGTAGACACAGCATTAATCTTTGAGTCTAAGTAATTAAAAAAAATATGAACAGCAACAGACTCAACAAACAACCTTGCCTAACACCACGATGGCAGGAAAATAGATTAGTTAGGCTGTCTTGTCCCTTTACACAAGACTTAACTTTTGCATAGAGGGACTTAATGACATCTAACACTTTACCATTAATACCATAAGACAACAATGTATCAATGAGATTTTTGTAGTCAACGGAAACACGGAAGCAGTTGACGTTTAGTACACGGAGGTCGTTAATTGAACTACCGCTAATATAGCAGTAGGCGGCAATTTTAAGTCAGGGTACATATCCAATCTTTTTTAGCACATCAAACTGTCCTTCTTTGCAAAGTTTCAGACTGTTGTACCAAAGTACGACTGAAATACGATAATGCCTTCTATTAAGATCTTGGGCGGTGTACCCCCGTCTAAGAAATAGAACAAGGGGGCAATTTTCAGATGGAGTTTTTATCCTATCATTTTCTGCGTATCAGATTGCCGTCTATTGAAATGTTTCTTGCTACTGTACCTGCTTTCGGCAGAGATATCAAAATAACGTCGTTAGTGGAGTAATGGGGTAAATACCCTAGTCTAAAAATAGCCCAAGGGGGCAATTTTCTGTCAGGTTCTTTATCCTATCTTTTTCAGCGTATCAAACTGTCCTATTTGCAAAGTCTAGCGCTGTAGTACTTAAGTACGATTGAGCTGCAATCAAACCGTGTTTATAGGTCTGGAGCAAAGAACCCCAGTCTAAAAATAGAACAAGGGGGCAATTTTCAGTTATGCTTTATTTCCTATCTTTTGTACTGTATCAAACTGCCCCATGTTGTAAAGTTTTGTTCTACTATACCTACTTTCAGGAGAGATATTGTAATAACGCCGTTAGGGGCTTGGGGCAAAGAACCTCTGTCTAAAAATAGCTAAAGGGGGCAATTTTCAGTTGGGTTCCATATCCTATCTTTTTCAGCGTATCAAACTATCCCTTTTTGTGAAACTTCATGCTGGTATCACAATTTGCAGAATTGTTTGGCTAACAGCTCTGACTAAGAGGTATGGTGTGTTTACTGTGAAGACGGAACCAACTGCAAACCTTGTGACGTCACTGATTTTTATGCTTTGTCACTCGCACTCATTGTTTTTAAAACCCCAAAAACAAACTTTCCCTTGCAAATGTTCGAGTTAATTTTCGTTTTCTATTGCAACAACATGTAGAAGTTTCAATTTCTTACAAAAAAACTATATGTGAAATTTCATTTCATAGACACTTAAAACATGGAAGCAAAGATTTTTCCATTGTTTTCCTGACTCTGGTAATTTCTTCTCTTTCTTCTGTTGTTTACTATGTCTGGCTGAATTAGATGAAAATTATGTTTAACCTAGAATTAAATGCTACATTAGCAAACTTTATATCATTTGAATCGAAATTTAATGAAGAACAACATATTGAGGGCCTTATACTGAGGTCTTTGGGCAAAAAAAGTTATAACCGCTAGTTTGGAAGGGGGTTTTGTCAACAATTTGTATGACTTTTGATATTTAGCTGCGAACCCTTCTGTTGAAAAGACATTATGTACCTTAAACTGCAAATTGTAAGCGGTTCAAATTTTGCACCAATACTTTGAAATATGTCACGCTTAATCCAACAAAGTTTAAAAATAACATGATGACGTCATCAGTGACGTACTCACTATCGAATATATCGACCACCATCATTTGACGCCTACCCTGTTTCATTAGCATACGGTGATATCCCTAGGTATAAAAAAGGTGATATCCCTAGTTAATATCCCTAGGTCTTGCATTGTTATCCTCTTTAGAGGTGTACACGTCCTTCTTCCGCTTCTGGTGGCAAAGTATTGTTCTATAACTGTTGCGCATTTATTCATATTTTAGGGCTAGTGCAAGGTTTACTTTAAACAAGACTGGTGACATGCAATATCCCTGAGGTACTCCAATGTTTGTTTTGAATTGCTCACTGCCATATACCGTAAATCCTTGAACTAGCCCCCTGGGGGCTTATTTTTTAATATTTTTGGATGGGGGTATTCAAGGGGGACTTATACGAAGGGGCTTATAAAATTATTGTAGACATTAAGAAGACATTAACAAAAGACCTCGTATATTTTGTTAGGAATTTCTTGATGAACATTTAATTAATTATAACGCCCAAGACAACTTCAGGTGGCAAAAATCAACATATCGAGAGGGGCCAGTTCACGGATTTATGGTAGC